ACAATAGTGTTTCCACAAATAGGATTTCCACAGCAAGACATACGAAAAACATTGTGCGCAATCAATGAAGCTTTTTCAATTATAATTCTTGCTATTTGTAAACGAAGTTCTACTATTGAACGCAGATTGTTACAAATGCCTCGTTTTGGAATTAAAAAAAAGTAAGTGTGTCTGTCAACCTTTTTAATTACAAAGCTTTTAAAGAAAAAACAACCACAATTAGAATAATGTTATAACGGTTCAAGAGGCCGACCATCAGCGAGCGCTTTAAGCAAGTTTGCAGCATAAAGTGCTACAATAAAGTGAGATGAAGTATTGACAACAAGTTATTACTCATTATTTTAACGCAAGAAAATATCTGTAGTCTACTGTGTCAAGATCAGAAAAATAGGGTATACGTTTACTTTGAGAATTTAATAATGGGATGGTTTGAATTGATAATAATAGAAGAAAAAAGAGGTATGCCTACATGATTTGTATTGCAAAAAAAAAAAAAAAAAAAAAATGTTTATCTCTTTCGCAGTAACTAAATAGAAAAATGAAAAAGAAAAAAGAAAGCGTGATGGGGAGATAAAAATGTGGTACTCACTGGTAAAAGGGGTAGCCGTTGAAGAACATCTTTAAAATATTGCTCACTACCGTTGCTTGATTTTGTTTACAACCGGAACCCATTGACTGTTACGTTTGTTTAGTTTAAAAGAGAAAATTATGACAAAAACACAAAAGACATAAATTCATTGTTGACCGAAGTAAGGAAAGAAAGATTACAAAAATAATATATATATACAGGTATCGTATGAAAAATGACCCACTCTTTACGACAAAAGATAAAAAAAATGTGCATGAATTATATGCTCATTGATTACATGGGATGTTACCGAAATATACCACAATTTTTCTTCACTTAATTTTGTCAGAATTACAACACTCATAAGTTCCGGTTGCTACATCTATTCAAGACCTTACGAAACTGGTCAAGAAATGACAGCATACAGGACGAGTTTAGTTCTACAATGTAGGTAAGACCAGAATGTCACCAGCAAAGGGAACTTAATTGCCTGCAAATACAAAATGTAAGCCATAATATTTCGTCGATAGTTCCCCCTCCCCCTTCGCTTTCTTTATTTGGTGAATATAGGCGATCTATAACGCAAAAAAATCGAAACTCATTATATAATAGTCTTTAACAGTGATTAAGGCCTTCTTGCGGTCAATTATTTACAACAGCAGGAGGTATAGGACTAGAAATGAAGAGGATCAGTTTTGTTTATAAAGAACATTCTTAATTTCGTTTTTAAATCTAGTCAAGTTATTGCAGTGACTAGATAAAGACTAGAGACAGGACTATAAACGGTTGAACAAGGTCGAGATGGTGACATTATGACTGAATTTCAAGCTTTGTATCGTTGTGTTAACTTAGTTTTTTGCTAATCGCAAAGCATTCCAACTGTAAGATTACTTCGAGTAGATTTTAATGAAGAAGAAAGTGAGACACGCAAACGGCTTTTTTAATATTTTATTTTAAATGACAAGTGTGACTTAATATTAACAGCACGCTATCAGTCGGCATCAAAGCTTCTCGATTTTTATCACACAAAACCACCTTGTCCCTTACTGGGATCAGAATGAATGTGCTTCTCAAGAGGCTTATATCGGATGAAGTAGCCATTGGTTTTTTCTTTGATATTATCAATTCCATCAGAGCTCTGTAATTTCATTCGAGTATATATATATCAGGTACATAAAACGCAGATATAAAAAAAGAGAGGGAACTGGGTAGCTGCAACTATTATAATGTCCTGTGTGAAGGTCCCAAAAAAATGGTAGTTAATATCGCTGCAGCTGTAAAGGTAAATAAAAAAGGTATTTAAAAATCCCATATTTCTGTTTCTAATGCACTATTTAGGTGACTCGGTGGGGGCATGACCAAAATAACATAAAATGCATTAGCACAATATACTTGATCCCTTAAAATTATCCAATAAATTATTAAATGCTGTGTTTGTTAAGTAGATGGTTCAACAGAAAAAACAGGCTTTAGAAAACAGGCTTAAAAATAAGAAGTCGTATATGTTTGCAATTTGATTTAAAGATAATCTCGCATGGATTGGGGAAGCTAAACATTTAAAATGATAATTCGGAAAATAACTTAATTTTAATTGTAAACTGTTTGTGAAATAATGAAAGAATCCAAGAGAAAAAAAAAAGGAACATCTTTTGGAAACCCATTGTGCCCCAGTTACTATATCTGCTTTAGCGTCACCATCAATTTTTCTTTTAAATATTTAAAGCATAATTGTCAGACTGTTTACAACAAACGAGAATACATCTTGCAAACGCAGGAATTACAAATCGTTGATATTTCATAGTTTTCATTTTATCATCCGAATCCTCGTCATTTCATTCTTTTTTTTTTTTTCTTATCATTCATAGGCCGTGATAAGGATGATTGCCAGCATTGCTGTTTTCATTTCATTTTACTAGTTCCCCCACAAAAGTACTAGAATCTCGATTCATTTCATAAAGATTATAATAAATGTACCCCTAGACTCGAGGATTTGCCAAGTTGAACTAAAACTGCTACCCTAGTATCCTTTCCGTATATCCAATTTCAACACTACTCTAACCCCCAGACGTACGTGTATATCAAATCCCGCTATCTGCTGTAACCCTATATTGCTACTATCGATAACACACTTCTTGCACATATAATTATTCTTGGATCAGAATAGTTGGGCGTGTAATACAGTCATTCCGAGTGAAAGATTGATTAAGTAATAACAGTGGATCCCCTCGTCGTCAGATGATAACTCCAAATTATTCTGATAGGTGCATATCCTGTCCTCTCTCGACTTGATCATCATCGTATTGATCTTTAACAAAATCTAAAAGCACTTTTAATAAGACGTTCGATTCCATATCCTCGATTCCAGTTGTCTCCGCTACATTATTTTGATCACAATTATGTCTACATATTCAGATTTGTTAATTTCTTGCGTCTAACTCTTTCAAACGCCTATCCTTCAATCTCCCTTTTTTGCTGGTAATCGTAATATTATCGTCTGCAGATTTGTTTGACTTTTGTTCGCCCAATACAAGCCTTCATGGGAAAATTAAGGGGTATCTTATTGCTCGTGCGTAGAAGGTATTTGTGTTTTAATCCACCTAATCGTAGACTGGGGGAATGTCACACTGGTGTGAAAGAATGAGAATAGCTTTTTAGTAAAACGACATGAGCTTGATCCCGCAAAAACAGTGATCCTCAATGCCAACTTGTTGTATTTAGATACTATCATTCATAGTTCATAGGTAGACCATAAAAAAGTTGTAATGTCTTGTTAGATGACGGTGATTCTTGTTGGTCGTGAATTTTCTAAAATGAAAAAATAAAACGTAAGCATTGATTGTGTCATGGGTAAAGAAAGAGAATACTATTATTACAGTTTAAGACACGACTTTTACAAAACAATGAATGAGTCAGTGATGGCAGAAGCAATTCCATAATTTGGTTCTTTGGGATAAAAAGGAAGAAGGAAAATTATAGTGAGAACATTTTGCCAAATAATCAATTCCGAGCCGGCTTAATTCGTGCACCACAGTTTCTCGTTTCAGCATTACAACTTTTCTTACTTCCTGCTGTTAGCTTTTTGTTCCTAATGAATTCAAGTCATTTTTGATTGAAAACTATTTACGAACAGGCTTAAATAACCCCTCTATTCTACAGAGGAAGTCTTTGAACAGCGATCCAGCATCAACGAAGAAATAGATAGCATATTTTCACGACTAAGATTGTTCCGAAGAACCTTTGACGAAGCGACAGAACATTTTTTTTTTTTTTTTTTGCGTTTTAATAACAGAGTAGTCAAGTTAAGGACTACCTTTAACGCGGGATCTCTCTTCGAAAAGATATTTATTAACAATGTGAACTTTTAACTAGAAATACGGTTTTAATTACAAGACTAACAGTATCCCTGTTAAGCTGTTAAAAAACGATGAGTCTTATAGAAGACATGTTAAAAGATATCATACTTCCAACCGGGAGAAGGTAAATTCAATTTATATGATGAAAATGTGACGCTAAAAATATATAATTTAGGAACAGTTTCCGACGACGTAGCATAACTACTAGAAGAACGATTGTTTACGTTGATAAAGATATATAGCAGTTGGACAATCATGTAAAACTTAACCTAGCCAACTCAAAGATAACCACTCTTTAAGCGTGGTCATAAAAAAGCTCGATGTAAAGGATGAAGGGTTTGCTGATATAATAATGCAAATAAGTAAATCTCTCAGTGGTATGCGAAAGGTATGGCTTAAAAATGATGTAAGGAGAGTCTCTGTAAACCCAGTAGTTAGTGATAAGTTGTTGTCATAATAAAAAATAATTATTTTTTCGTATTTTATAATGCCTTTGTAATGTGCCCATAAAACATCATTTCACCAATATTTACATGCAAGATGGATATTAAAACCAATGGCATTACCGGGTTTTGTTTAGTAATACCAGGTGCGCTGTTGACAACTTGTGTTTTTAAATGCAGATAACGTTATATCAATATCTTTTTATTTTAAAACAGTATCACCAAGACCGATTTGTACTCACAGTCGTTAGACAGGTGGAAATAACAAAAAAATAAAAACCGACAAATTAAAATCCGTAAAGCAAATAAATAGTATTAGTGGAAGTGTATGTGTGTAGTTAAAGAACCAATCTAAATAAAAATGTTATTGCTTATCTCCTTTACAATAATTTTCCATAGTGTTGGCATCAAAAACAGACGCAATTTCAAAAGTATTAATAATTATGGCTTTTTTTCCATATGGTTACCGTTTCAAAAATTACAATGATCATCGTATGTCAATGGACGTTTCTTGATACACGAGGTTAAAAATAAGAGCAGGTAGGTGTCATAATTCATCTCAAAATGAATAACGATACAGTAACTTTTAAATAGGGCTATGCATGGTTTAATTCGTGGTATAAGAAATATCATTATTGGTGATAAATTGTAGCGTTCCGTAGAAATAAATTTCCACGAATAATAACACCATCAAAAGGAAAGAGTAACCAATAACTAATCCATAAGTTACTTTTCGCCTAAATTCTAATCAACTACGGCTACAAATAAAACACTGCAAAAGGGCCCATCTGTTTGGAGGGGAAAATTATTTGGCATATGTACTTCTAAATTATTCTTCGTCTGGCGTGAAAAGATCATGCGGAGTCATGCTGAAAAAGAAAAGACTGATTACGTGAAAATTGCATATTACTCCTTGAGCCGTTAACTTATATACAAAAATTTTAAGTTATGAATGTTAATATCAAGCGTAAAGTGAAGCTATATCAATATATAATGGATATCTGAATATTTTTCTTCGTCAGATATAAAATCAATTTAAAAAGCAGATTACAAAGGTGTATATGTATAATTGTTTATCTGAGTGTGCTTGATAATATATATATATATGTGAATTGAATCTATAGTGTCGCACTTGTTGAATGCTGATAATATTTATAAAATTGAATATCATGAGTAGACTTTATTTGATAGAAGAGAACTGCGTCGTAAAGTAGGCTTAACTTCTTATACCAACCACACACTGGACAATTGAAAAGTCAAATACAAACCAGTCTTTGTGATTCTGTTTGTAGACAAAAAGCCATTGAGAATTACATTTTAGATTTATCTTGATAAAAAAAACACGGATTCATCATGTAGTAATCGAAAAACGATACGCTTGAGATATAATGAGTTAAAAGTATATCTTTATTGGAGGTAAAAATAGATTAAAAGAACTATGCTGTTATGAAATAATTCATCCTTTTTGTACTGCACAATTCTCACGGGTTTTAATGATAAGCCAACCTTTCTGATTTTGGACTATCGGACTCCAGTATCTAATGATCGTGGATAATTCAGAACACTTTGACAGATAAATATCGATGAGAATATGACCTCTGAAGGCATGTTATCTACTGTGGGTACGGGGTATATAGTCCTAAACCAACAGTTGGCCTTACATGTAATATCATCGTGCTGTAAACTCGTTGGTTAAAATGTCACCCCAACATGGCGTCTATGGCAGTTGGATCTTTTATACTTGTCTTGCTGTGAATTGTGGGTAGGCAGTATGTGAAAGATATTAGGGTCACCCGTAAATCTAGAAGTAAGCAGGTATTTCGAGTACACAAGAATTGTAAGAGTAAGGAAATAGAGAGTAAGCCCTTTTTTTTTAGTCAGGATGTGCTTACACCTTTTCGTGGTCTGACCTGTTAACCAACTTCTTGTTGGGAACTGAGAGAAGCACACTTTCTTTTTTATCTTTAAATAAACGTTTTTGTTCGTAACCATTAATTAAGCCTTTTTCTTTTCTTTGTTCTTATTTTGTCACGAAAGACTATAAAACATGCACCTTTGGACACAAACAAAAACACCTAATTTTAATGTCGAACGGCTAGATTGAAGAAAGATGTCTTGTCAACATGATTTTTGACCATCAAAGTTACCCGCCGATAGTTTTTAAATGGAGACACTTTCAGACCGTTCTCAATTGCTAAAAGCCAGTAAAATCATAAACAGGGAATGTCTACAGATGAAATGTTGAACTTCTATTGTAGTTTTACCTTAATCTAATGTTTCCCATTGCTGTACTTTGCAGTTTTATCCATCCAGGTACAGACATAATGCTGTCAACCATCAATAAGAACATGTTATATTTATGTTATTAGGCTGTTTAGTTAGACATTTTTTCGGAATTGATGTGGTGATTAATCATGAGCTGGCAGAGAAAATTCAATTACAAACATAACGCTTTGTATCGATTTTGATTGATACGATTACAGCCAACAAGATAGTCATATATGAGAATGCAAGGACATTTAGATACTATAGAATAACGTCGACTTATCATCGAACTATTGAGATATTGCATTGGATGAACCCATTGTAGCGGAAGATATGATGCGATCTTTATTGAAACGACTTAGAAGCGAAAAACATAAAAATAACGGGATCATATAAACACATAAATTCAGGTAAATGGCAAATGACCCTTAATCAGGATAATGAAGCATTTAGTTTTATGGAAGAAAAAAAAGATCAACTATTTTAGTTCAAAGATAGGCCAGCGTCAATGGATTTCCTATAGTTTTCGAATCTCTAGATTTCACCTTGTCATATTCGACATCATGCCCAACTGTTCGCATTGATAATTCAAGAGAATAGTTGTAATGAATACTTTTAGATTCTATAACCAAGTTTTGTTTTACTGTGCCTTTGGTATTAATCCAATAAGTTGGACCCCTATACACTTTGTCCAAAACTGTAAAATTTTTCAAAATTGAAAACTTTTTCAACGGCGTGTCGTCTGCACTTCTTACTTTTATAATTACTATCACGGCATTGATTAGAAGAAAAAATATAAAAATGATTGAACAATAAAGAAAATTACCGGCAGTCGGCAACATTTGAGGGCCTCCCTTTATTTTTATCGTTAATTTTGTGCTAGGAATTGGCTTCCCCTTTCGAATAAATATCAAGTAACTATCATCATCTATGGTGTTTTGATATCGCCATTCCTGTTTAGACGGTAAAAAGGAAGATACGTTACGTTATCAGAGGTCAAAAAACGCACGCCATACGTTTCGCTAGATACTTGGCACAAAGTTCCCATGACAAACCTGTCATACATGTATGGTTTCATACCCGGAGCGGGTTTCAATAATTGATCAATAGATTCTCCCGATACAAAAGCCTGTGAGTCCTTTTCGTGTAATAGTAAACAATCTTCAATTGCTTGTTGACTCATTTTGGTGTATGCGGTGTAAATCAATGAACTGGAAGAAAGATTAAACGGGTCTCCAAACATGAAAAGATAATCTACTTCATAATTTCCAAATAACCCTTTGTTTGTCAATGAAGCTACTGTAATAGTTGCAATATTCTTTATGACCGATTTCATCCCGTCTTCCATTATGTTACGGAGGAAAACATTGGTACTACAGGTACATTTGTCGTTGAAGTTGAGTGTTCTTTTGGTATTGTAGTCTATACGTATTTTATTCATATCAAGCTATCGACAGATTAATCAGTAAAATAAATAGATTTGGTTTGATTTCAACTTACAAGCTCAACTACATATCGCTTTAAATTTGGACGAGTATTTGCATACCTTTGAAATGAGCCAAAATCATATTGTGCATTATTTTTACCCTTGTGCATGGTGCAATAATCAATGTCACAATCGGCTTGCTTGCTCATCCAAATCTTTTTGCATAAGGTATCATATACGTCATCGATATAGATTATTTCATCTTGAATAATAATAGAAGCTACATCATTCCCTGGTGATTCCATCTTAACAACTTGATGTAAAGTAAGCTGTACATGCTTTGAAAATATTTGCGCGACGACAAAGTAAGATTTCAATTTAAATTTCAAGTCTCCTAGCTTTTGTTGAAGGGCGGGTAAAATCTCTTCGCCACGAGTACAGAATTTGGCTTTTCGAAGATTGTCATCTTTCCTAAGTATCCCGCTTGCAAAGAATAATTTTTTCAACTTTTTGGTTGAACCAAAAACAGTGTCTAACAATTCCTTATCCACGGATACGCCATACCAGATATTCTTGTCCCGCGAGATATTTCCAAAGGTATCTTGTAATTTTTCTTCTATTATCTTGTTGAGATTCTGTAGATATGTTACCATAAAGAAGAACATATAAGCTGGATCACGGATAGCAATTAAGCTGTTGTCGTTACTACAGTATGCATCATTTGACGCAGAAAGACCATCCATTTTAACATTTTCCGTAAGCTGTTCCAGCAGATTTGGTTTCGAGAAAATAAAAATATTTGTAATTTCCTTTAAGAGAGCTCTACCTGTTTTTGCTTCTTTATTTCGACTCGAGTACATTTCAAGATATCTACCAAATATTTCTTCTAAATGCAGTTTCTGACTATTTAAGAACGGGAGTAAGTCTATAAAAGTATCTTCTCTGTCTATTGTTATTACCTATGGGTTATATAAAGACTAGATTTTTGGTAGGAATTTGACCGTGTGATAAAGCTATCTAAAGATTCTATATTGCTGTAAAGATGTATTATTTAGCAAAATACAAAAAAAAAACAATTTGTGATCAGAAAGCACTAACCACTCAAAATTTTCTGTCTGTTCGACTCGATCATGCTCATTGACATATGCCAAGGTAGCTTTAATGTGTGTATATGAAATATCTACTCGGTCCATACAAAAAAAAAAAAAAAAAAGTTAGAAAATCTATACCGAACCAAATAGTAAAACATAGGACCCAAGTTTTTTTTTGTTTTTTTTTTTTTGTTTTACCCATATTGATAAAATAACAAGACTTGTTTAAAGCTGCTTCTGGTGATCTAGTAATTTTAGGTGGTATTATAACTGGGTCGATACGCATATAAAACTCTTGCATACGTTTTTTTATAAGATCGTCAATACCTGTCTCTTTATCTATATAGATAAACTCATTCATCTCGGTCAATAATGCCAGCTCTTCATCATATGCACTCGACCACTTTTCAAAAAAATTGATGATCACCTCTTTATCATGGATTTGTTTGGTCCGGTTAGGGTAATATATTTTCATCCGTTTGGCTTTTCCGTCACTTGTGCCCTGGAGCAAACGATTCATATGATCAATAAATTCTATCTTGACGGTAGAGTTACAGACATTGGCATATATCTCCTCCAATGTGATTGATTCAATCGCCTCAATCTCAAATCTCTCCAAGTCGTGTTGTTCAGTGTAAAAATCACAAACGTCATGAAACGGATGATCAGCTAGCAGATTCTACAAAAAAAAAAAAAAATGAGGGAATAGTGGTGGTTAAAGTTTTTTCTTGGGTGACATGAATATGAACTCTAAGTACCTCGTCTAAATACTTCAAGAGCAAATTATCAATAACTTTTGAAGTTATGATGGTGTTACAACGCTTTTGAAGACATGCTATTATCGATAATTTAACTTCTTCTGGTCCAAAAGGTATGGTAAAACAACTAGTGTTTCGTAATTGCGGAACACAGTAGCTATCGTTTGCATCCAAAGCAGGATATTGAGCCGAGACCAACATTAAATTGACATGTAGTAAATCCATTTGAAAATTTAATGAGCATAAAACGTAAAGACTGCCTGGATGTACTGTGATTTTGTCTGGCATTGGATGGTTATCCGATTGCATTGATTGGAAAACAGCTTCTAACTCTGTGAAAAAAATCAGTCTACCTTGACCATCCTGTTCACCAATGAGTCCTGCTTTTATAAAAAGAGGACGAATAAATGCCTCACGCATTTCCAGACACCAGTGGGTAGGTAGAGTCAATGCATAACAAAACTCCTCGCTTAAACAATCGATTTTTTCTATCCAGTAATATAATTCTTCCCGTAGTGAATTTGCTGCTTCCCGAATAATATTCTTGTCCTGCTGCTGCTGTTGCTGCTGCTGCTGTTGTTGTTGTCTCAAATAAATATCTTGGAGCTCTGTAAAAATACTGGGTACATACAAAACATTTTCATGTTCTTTCAATTTCTTCATTTCGGTATAAGCCTCATAACCTCGGGCTATAACACAATTGTTGGATGTGTCGTATAAAAATGAAGGAATTTCGGTATTGTCATGTCTTTTTTTTTTTTTTAAAAAAAAAAAAAGTTAAGCACATTGTCGTTTATTTTTTATTTTATTTTTTTACTGACCTTAAGAATGACTGATCGTTAATCGCAATGTATCCCGAAGTAAGATTGCAATGGTGAAAACCTATACTTTACATGAGCTTCAGGCTTTAATAAATACAATAATAATAAAAAAGAAAGCACTTACTAAACCTGATACAATGTTTATGTTGAGAGTAGTCATAATATTCCTCCATATTTCTTAGTCAAACAGCGAGTCTGGAGTGAAATAGGATGGGTGGGCTAAGTTTAGATTAGCTGGATGGGCGTGACACAATGGCTTTTCAAATACTTTCCTGTAGCACTGTTTTGGCCATGCGCCAGTCTGTGTGTCCATTATGGAACTCTTTTCGACGAGAAGGTGGCTGTAGAAAGATGTAAATCATTTAAACCAAAGCTCATGTGTTGTTGGATGTACTGCTGTTTTGATGCGATTTGGCTTTGTTCCATATTGAACGTTATAAATGATGAGCAGGTGCTAGTGTTGCCACTCAATTTAGATTGTTTCGGGTATTACACAGCATTCGATTTTTTGCTACAACCACCCTCTACTTTTTTTTCTTGTAAAAAATACCCCTTCGGCTCTACCTTGACTGAAAGCCTATAGTTTTTAGAAATTTGTAACCACTTCCCCTCTAGTCTCCCTCGGTCCTTCTTTTTGTTACTTCATATTAATATCATATTAAAAAAACATTGTTCATTATCCAATTATTTCTTGAGTTATAAGTTAACAACTTCCATTCTGGTGATTGCTTTCTACTGCATTCTTATTAACTTTATATTAATAACCTTCATCTATCTTTTTCTATGAAGAACTGTTACCACTGTCTTAATACTAGTGAAGCTTTGATATAACCATATGAAATTTGAAGTTCTCTTGAGAGATCTTCACAACCTGAACCAGTTTTGTTACAAATTATACTTTGTCTTACAGAAACATTTGCTTTATGATTATAGTTGGCATTAATATTTATTCAATTATATGCAATTCAACGTATACAATGTAGAGTATAATAAAAGAACTACTCAACCCAAACTGTCAAAACATTTAAAAAGGGGTGCCGCTAATCTTTTTTTTTTTTTTTTTTTGAAGTAGATTTTACCACACACATGATATTTAAAGCAATTTTCTCTCTCAAAAATATATCTATCGGAAAGACACATAATAATTATCAACGAGACTAGTATACATATCAACATATTCACAGCACAGGGATTTCCCAGATTTGTCGAAAAAAAAAAAAACGGAAATCTTATTGACATTATAGACTAAAGAAAAAAAAAAAGAATTATGCCTCACTCATGCAGATATGATTATCCCGCACAGACGCCTTGTTTGTTGGCGTTAAGCTGTAATTAGATGAAACATTGTGTCTAAAGTTAAAGTTTATTGTATTTTAAAGAATCTATATTTACATATAAAATAAATTAGGTTCTCTCTATAAGAAATGAGAAGAGATGATGTTATGTTTACAAAAAAAAAAAAAAAAAAAGGGACGTGGGTAATAAAACAAATGAGTCAATGCTGAAACTTTGCTACATGTTTCATCATTTGTGTGTGAATGTTTATAAAAAAACTTCTGAGATGAGGACAGAAAAGGTTTGCTTTTTATACCCCAGACAGCACACATATCTTGGATATTCTCCAAAAAAAACAATGATATGATATCAAAAAAAAAGGCAGTTTTCTTTTGTGTATGTCCGCTGTCAGTCCCTACAAGTTGTGCTACAGACCTGCTCAGAAAAAGGAAAGATTGAGTACATCAAAAAAGCCATGCATGGGTTAAAATGACTCAAAATGGAAAATGAGGTATTTTTTTTTTTACCACGGTTGTATCACTTCAATTGACAATGGACAAAGGTAGGATCGGAATCTAATTTCTAGGGTTGATCTAAAAAAACGCACGACCAATCTTTCATGTAAGCTTTTGTAAGTAAGGGTACCTGAAGGGTATTGTACTACGTTTCAATCGGCATTGTTTGACCAAAATATAGCGTTTGAGGCATTTATATAGAATCGATTATTTTCGTAACATTGAACTTAAAAATTTCATCTCTCTTTCTTTCTTTCTCTCTTATGGTAAACAAAATGCAGTTTATTTCATTCTTTTCTTCTTTATTCTAAATCTCTTTTTTTGTTTGATTGTAGCATTCATACCAATATAAAATTCTCGTGGTGGGTGACTTAGGCACCGGGAAAACATCCGTGCTACAAAGATTTGTCTATAACACCTTTTCAACGCATTATAAATCCACTATCGGTGTAGACTTTGCTCTCAAGGTGGTCCAACAAGATTCCGATGTCGTGGTGCATTTACAGTTATGGGATATCGCAGGTCAGGAACGTTTCGGAAGTATGACCCGTGTCTATTATAAAGATGCCATAGGCGCCTTTCTTGTCTACGATGTCACCAGGCCAAAAACCTTGGATCATGTCGTTAAATGGAAACAGGATTTGGATGCTAAAGTACAAGTCCCTGGAGGATATGGTGATATACCTGCTATTTTACTAGCAAACAAGGTACGTTAAAAAAAAAACAAAAATTAACATTGACATAGGCCCGGTGTATTAATTTCTTTTTATTTTTAAAACCCGGTCATTTATTTTAGATTGATCAGCAAGCGAATCCAAAAAGCAAGCAGGAAATGACAGAATTTTGCGTAGACAATGGGTTTATCCAATGGTAGGTTATTGACAGAATGCATGAAAAAAAAAAACCAATACTAAAAAAAGAAGATACCATAGGTTCGAGGTGTCTGCAAAGGAAAATATCGGTGTTTCTGAAGCAGGGAAATACTTGATTGATGCGATTCTACAGCTTGAATCTACCATTGAGCGAAAAAATGAATACGACGACGGAGATTCTGCCATTACATTACATGAGCCAATCAAATTAAATAAATCCAACCCAAAATGCTGTTCATAAAAAAAAAACACGTGTACATATAAAGGCGGGTCTAAAATAAAATTTATTTACAAAAGTGTGTGTATGTGTGTATGTGTGTATGTGTGTGCGTAAGAACAAAAAAAAAAAGATCTCAAATGTCTTAGGCATCCTTCTTATTGACGGCACTATGTCTACCAGCAGCAGCAGCAGTAGCACGACGTGCAGCAGAATTCTGCAATACCTCTTGTACCTTATTTCTCGAGTTCAATTTCTTTTGACGATCTTCTTCCATCACCACACTATCCGCTAATAATCCATGAAATCCATAAAAGATACCTACGAACAATGAAACAAAGATGATGGTCAATGAGGTCTTGAAGGTGAACCACTTGAATTGAATCACATAGGCCGTGAAAAGTTCCAATCCTTTAACACGATGAGGGAACAACTTGATCAAGGCGAAAATCAAGAGATTTTCAAAGAGGTCAACGCACATGTTTAAGACGGGAATCCAAGCTCCGGGACGAGCACCAGCGGGTGCCTTTTTATAGGCCCAACTGCAGATAACCACCATGGGGACAGTACGGGCAATGACAAAGGCAACATCATAGAACAAATAAGTCAAGTAAGCTTGACGACCTTTGGGACCATAGCTGTTTAAAGCGTAATACACTTCATTGGCTGTCCAAAAGTTCTTGTACTCAAGAATATCTAACGTGGGATCTCCCTGTGCGTCGTAACCCAAAGGATTGACAATCTTATACATGATACGGTTAGACTTTTTCCCCAGACGCTCTCTTTTTTTGATATATTCTTACCATTGCATATTTGTAGAGACGGTCCAAGGTGATTTTAGCAACCACAATAGCAAAGATAAGGATACGTGCATTTAACAAGGCAGCCAAAGCTGTTTCTGTAAACTTGGGAAAAGGATCTAATCTAAACTTCATGATGACAAAAAAAAAAAAAAACTTATGAAAAGAAGAGAGAAAGGGAAAAAGATTTTTGTTTATTTTATTTTTTATTGACCGGTCGGAATCAAGATTAACCGCCCTCCCCCTTTCTTTTCCATGTGTGTGTGTGTGTGTGTGTGTATAATATGCGCGCGTAAATATATGTGTTGTTTCTGTGTTACAAATAAATGGGATCTATTGAGGAATATCGATTTTATAGGATGATTCGGGTGCTGCTTTACCCTTTATTTCTTCATGCTTCTTTGCCTTCATAAAAAATATATAGATTTAGCAAAAATGCACTCTCTAAAAAACAATCACAAAACTTACTCTTTCTTCCGTTAAACGTTCGTTTTTGACCTTGAGCTTTTCTTTACGTGTTTCACTCTTACTTCCTCCACCACCAGCAGTTAATTCTACGTTAATCTGTCTCTTTTTGAAAAACGTATGATGGAAAGCCAATGCTTTCTACAAAAGCAAATATCATTTTTTTTTCAGTATCGCTCACTTTTTCCTTTTTTTTTTTTCTATATACAACTTACGTTAAGATCCTTGGAGTTTTCAAATTCCATAAAGGCAAACCCCTTGGGCTTACCAGTGGCCTTATCCGTTAAAAGACGAGTGGATTTAATTCCTTCCACATTTTCAAAATGCTTTTCGAGTTCTTCCTTGGTAGTTGCATAAGGCAAGTTACCTAAAATAAGTGTGATGGGATTAATTGATTTTCTTCCCATAAACACACACTTCTGTTTGCTTTTTTTTTTTTTTTTTTTTTTTACCAACAAAAATAATATATCGGCTACCGTCCATGTTGGAACTCTTTTTACTTCTTCTGTTCTTCTTTTTATGAGGTTCGGTAGATTCACCTTCAACAGGTACACTGATGGCTTCTGCTTTACGTTTGACAGGTGCACTCGCAACTGGCTCCGCAACAGTAACAGTAGGGAGGATCTCGTCTGATTCGGGAACAGCCATTTCATCAGTGAATTGAGGCTTCTTGGCTCTCTTCTTGAAGGCTTCGGCCTTTTGCTCACGCTTTGATAATTTCTTTTCCACTGCCATCGTGTATGTATTTATATATATATATATAAAAAGCGAAATCTAGAATATAAAAAAAAAAGAATTTCAGTTTGAAAGAAGAAAAAAAAAAAAAAAAAAAAAAAAAGCAGCAACATACAAAGTCACAAAGCACTTTATCCCCAATAAATACACACAACAAAAAGGTGGCCCTTGGAAATAATAAACTATTTATAAATAAAATGTTTAAGCGACTTGGTCAATTAGGTCGCCAATGTGTGCGTCAACCTTCACCATGGAGACGTACCTTCACTACCGAGACACCCGTGGAACCTGTCATGAAGGAAACGTACAAGGCCAAACAACGTAAATTCGGTTTAGGTACTGCTTTAATATGTACCGTACCATTTGTTGCATTTGGTTTAGGTACCTGGCAAGTGCAAAGACTCCGCTGGAAGGTCAATTACATTAATACACTGGAAGACCGTTTAGAAAGAGAAGCCATTCCTTTACCCCGTCGCATCAAGTAAGTTTCCTTTTTTTTCCTTTTTGCATTACAAAAGACAACTAAAACACACAGGGAAACAGTGATAGTGTGTTGGATGAATATGAATACCGTAAAGTCTATGCAACAGGCCATTATCGTCATGATGAAGAAATCTTATTGGGTCCAAGAACGAGAGGAGATGGAAAAGCAGGGTATTTTGTCATCACTCCCTTTGAAAGAGATAACGGTACCACCATCTTGGTAAAGCGTGGTTGGATTGCTCCAGAGAAAAAGGATCCTAAAACTCGACCCGAGAGTCTGGAACAAGGCGATGTAGAAGTGGTTGGTTTGATCCGTGTGAATGAAGAGGTTATATCTTTAAAAAAATGTGTACATAAGAGTTGACACTAACGGAAAAAAATATATAGAGAAACACATTTACACCTGATAATGATATTAAGGGAAACCAATGGTATTGGGCTGATGTGGAGACCATTGCAAAGATGTTTCACACCCAACCCATTATGATTGAACGCGTCTCAGGTAAAAATGAATATAAATAACAGAGATAGAGTATGTACTAAGACATTGTAGATTTATCGCCATCCAAGGAGTACGTCTTAATTGAAAAGGGTATTCCAGTGGGTAGATCTCCCGTGGTGGAGATCCGTAACCATCATTTAAATTATCTTATTACATGGTATTCCCTTTCCTTTGCTACGACGATTATGCTTTGGCGATTATTGAGAAAGCCACCTGCCAGACCTACCAAAGTCAAGCGTACATAAACGCGGGGGCATAGATAATAAATATTTGTTTTTATTTTTATTTATTTTTTGCCTTATACATTTGTCTGGGTATCTTCACTACTGTCTTCTAAATCTAAGTCGTTAATTCTTTTATGAAGAACACTCTTTAATTCATGCACCATCGTTTGAGAGTCTAAACGTGTGGATTTCTCTTCCGTCTATATATATATATATATAAATTATAGTGAGTCAACTTTTTTTTCATGTTTCTCTAAATGACACACAAAATGCAAAAACGTACCTCTTTGGTTCGTTTGAGTCGCATCTCTTCAATCCGTTCTCGACGTGTCATTTTGGATTTCTCTCTGCCATTTTTCTCTACGACACCGGCAATGGCTTCAAAGACGGATGCTTTGGATGCCAAAGGTAAATTCAAAATATCAGCCACATCTTCGGAATCAAGCACGATACCTTTTCCTTCTAATTCTTCTTCCTCTGTTAAAGGAGACCCCTGTTCCTCTTCCTCTTCTTCTTCTTTGGTGAGGAGAGAAGAAGGAGGATTTAAAAAGGACTCAAGTACGGCTCGACCAATTTCCCATTCAGACGCCATATTTTCAAACCCCTTTTGAACAGACATATACTCATTCAATAATCTTTCTCGGGTCTCCATTGTAGACTCTATATTATATATATGGATGAGTTTTTTTTTATACCGTCTATTTTATGCTATTTTTTTTTTTTTTTTACATACCCGATGAATTTAATTGCCGCACATCCTCACTGCATAAATAAATTTTAGCCTCCATGGTCCGCAACTGTTGCTCAAGAGACGATAATCGATGAACAAATTTCTTGAGACGCGTATCTGAAATTTTTGTGGTATAATTATTCTTGTCGAACGAATTCAATGGTTTATCTTAATAAGTGTCAGCAATCATACTTACACGTCAAACCAAAAAAAAAAAAAAAAAGGGCTTACAGAATTCTGCATCGAGTGCTTCCACAATCTCCGTGGTAAACTTATCTGTCTCCGTCACCAATTTAGTCAAGACTTCATTAATGGCACGCCAATCATCACGATAATTATAATGTACCGAGTCATGATCCTCTGTCATAGCTCCCAATGCCAAGAAATGAACCATACATTCTCTTCTCTTTAAATGCATAATCTGAGCCAGTTTCTTTAACTGATCCAAACTATAACCTTCATCATCTCCTCCACCACCTGCACCATCCCCCATGGCCGAAAGAGAGGCAATGGAATGCACATTATACATTTCATAAAGCGTATTCAAGTTCTTCTTATGAATGACATCCATCAAATCAATAATGGCCTCTTCATACAACATAAAGGCTCTTCTGAGGACGGAAGCTAGCCGGTTGCGGAGTTGAATACATTTACGATGCTTGCTCTTTTGCTCGATACGCGAAATAGGAGACAAGGGCGTCGATAATCGATATCCGCGTGACACCAGTTCAATCTCTTGAATCGTAATCAAACAACGATGCACTTTCGTGTCAAACGTATCACTTTGATCTGTAAAACCACCAATCTTTGTCAACGCAATCTGGTACAATTGTCGAATACTCGAGCGGCGCTTTTATAAGTTTCCTTCCGGTGTTAGTCTTTTTAATAATCGCATGATTTATTTTATAACTCTAATCGCCTTTACCTTGTGACGGTAAAAGAAAAACAAGGAAGCAGACGCTGTGAAAAACAAGGTAATGATGGGAAGTTTGGGTTGAATCAAACATTTTTCTGTGCCAAGTAAAATAGCCAGTGTAGCAGCCAAGTTGGTCGTGATGGCAAGTTTAGACATGGTGGGTGTTGCTGCTTGGAAATCAGGTTGATGCGAATGACGCTTATGATGAACAGATAAGGTTTCGTTCAATAAAGGAGAAGTAACAATTAGGTACTTGAACTTTTCTTCAAAGGCGGTTTCTTCTCCTCTAGGTAAAGATATTGAAAATGCATCCTATTCAATCCGTTAGCGTTATTTAACAAGAAGAAGCGAAAAAAAAAATAGGGGGGGGGGAGAGAGATGGAGGCCTCTTACATGGAACATGGAGTGTCTCCACATTCTGGAAATACTGGGACGTTTATGAATGATTGAAGTATTTGAGTTGGTGCCAATGACAAGAGATGGAGGCGTCACTTTGACAGTGGTTTCTACCTTGTCAACAGCTTTTTAAGAGATAAAAGAGAGTGAATACAACAAAGACAGGATGGCGTGTTTAAACTTACATTGCAGGTATTCATCAAGGGGGGAGTCTTCATAGACTACGAATTCAGTCATGTATAAAATAGTAGGGTATAATAACAAAAAAAAAAAGAAAGAAAGAAGAGAATTATTTTTATTTTTGCTATTTATAGAGAGAGAGGGGAAAAAAAAAAGTCATATGATTTACTGTGTGTATTTACATTTTTTGGGTGTGTGCAATGATGATGGTGATGGTGATAACGGGGGAGACTATATGGTAGGTGGAGGAGTGAGAAAAGACTGCATTGGAGGTAAGGTAGTAATTGGAGTATCCGAGACAGTCGGACTGTGTATTGAACCCTCACTGACAGGGGAAGAAGGGGAAGACATAAGCTTCATATTGATCGAAGGTAATTCAATCTTGTGGAGAGGAGCAGAATAGAAGGGTAATTCATTTAAGCATTCTTCCTGTCGCTTTTCCAATAATAAACGTCTACCTAAACGTCGATTGATCTCTTCATGAATAAATTGCTGCTTTTCTTGTGAGTCTCCTTCACCAAACTTTTGTCGTCCTAATCGATACACTCTACATCGTAAATCGTTTCTCTTGTTTTTATCTCGGTTCTCTGCTCTCCATTTTCGCATTCTATAATTATGACATCAGTTACTGTTTATAGCATCTATATCTATAAAAAAAAAATTTTTTTTTTATGTACATATGAATGACATGTTACCTTTCCGTAGTTTCTGCTTTGCTAGAAACCTTTTTTGAGTGTCCCTGCCATCTCTTTTGGTCTCTACTACGAGCATATGGTATATTATGGATGTTTGGATTCTCCATGTGTCGTTTCCTATTACATAGAGTGAGTCTAATTTCTGATAAATACATCTATAGAAACTTACAGATTGGATCGAGTGGCAAAAACTATTATACACATATATATTAGCAAAAGAATATAGCATAACACAACAATAAAAGACTTACTTTTAGGACATTGTGAGCAAGTAAAACTATCTTGGTCTTTCATAATCAGATATATATATATATTAAAAAAAGTTGTCAAAAAAAAAAAAAAAAAATTGAAAGGAAAGCAAAAGAAAAAGGGGGAGGAGCATTAAATAAAAAAAGTACTCCAATCAATCGAAAACATCACGTTACTTGTTTTGACGGGTATATCACTAACGGGGATCCGCACTCCGATTTACCGGTTTTTCTGCTAGGGGAGCTGTGATTTGGTCAAACCCTGGTCTACAAGCGCCGCTATTGCCCCCCACATTTTCGCCACTCTCTACTGTTGCTCGGAATCAACAATTTGATTTGCATAATTTCAAATCTATTAAAAAAATAAAAGAAAAAGACTTTCTATAGCTTAAAATATTACCCTTTTTTTTTTTATTATTTTTATTTATTTATCTACCCCGCTTACCCTTTCCCAACACAAACAAAATCATGGATGAGTGTAATAGACTTCCACCGGACAATGCCCCGTCAAACTGCTAATTTCAGCTTCCGGTCACATATGTCAAAAAATCAAAATAGCACCATGTGTGCCCTGTTTAATGTAACAACAAAAAAAAAAAAGCTGCTTTCCAGAAAAGGCAAGTGAAACATTTTTTCTTTTCTGGAAAAGTGACAACGTCGGGAGATAAATTTCTGGTAAGGTATTATCCTACTTTTTTTTTTTCTTTCTCTCTCTTTCATTTTATTTTCCCTCTCTCTCTCTCTCTCTTTTTTTTTTAATGCTTTTGCCAGAACAACAAGAGAAACTAAGCGAGCTTCGTGCTTCATTAAGTCAATCCATTAAAAGAGAGTTCCCTGAAAATGTAATTGACAATAAATCAATAAAAGCTTGTTTTCCCTATTTGACCGTCTACTATTTTAGCAATTAATTCAATTTTTGGAAGCCAATGTTTGGAATGTTGTAAGGCTCTTTTTTATTAGACTACGCGAGAAATATAAATTAAACTTTTATAATGCTGTATTAGAATGATGCCAAACAACAATTAATAGATACCGTAGAATGGCGTGAAAAGGTCGATGCGGACCATTTGCCTGTCGCTACCAAATACAATGGTTTACCTTCACTCGTGGCCTGTAGAGGCTATAAATATGTGCAAGATGTAAACTTTGTGGTTCATCCCATCATGTCTGAAACTGTCATTCGTATAGCAAACTGTGTAGGTGGCGACTGTTTCCATAAATTCGACAAGGAAGGTCATCCCATCCTGATTGACCGAACCGTAAGTCATTTCATCCCTTATTGCCATCCCAACCAACAGTGTTGTAAAACTAGGGTTACCATAACGCTAAAGATATGGGAAATAATGTTTCCACCCTCGAAATCACCAATTTTCAAATAGCCACCAATGAATTTTTAAACAGAGTCATCATGCCAGAAGGCTGTGAATTGGCTGGGAAATCCATACATAGCGAAACTGCCATTTTTGACTGCACCAACATGAGCCTCTGGCGTAAGTCTGTCTTTTCTCTATTCTTTTCCTTTAAATAACTAACCTTTTTATATATTTACATCCAAAAGAGTTCCACATGAACGCATTATACCATTTGAAGGCCATTGCTGAGATCGTTCAACATTATTACCCCGAAACCCTTCATCGTCTCTTTATCGTTAACGCACCCTCTGCTTTTGTCGTCATGTTCAAAGTCATCAAGCCATGGCTCAACCCACGCGTAAGTCGCTTTTCCCCCTCCCCCACTTACCCTCTCCCCTTCCTACCTCTCTAAATAAGACACTAACAGAACGATTTAAACAAAGACGCTGGACAAGATCCATGTGCTTGGTAAAGGATATGAATCTGTGCTACTAAAATACATTGATGCAGAGAGTTTACCGGCTTTTTTGGGCGGAACATGTACGTGTTCCCATATGCCGGGTGGCTGTGTACCTTTGATTGCACAAAAATCAAAGGATCGCTTTGTGGCCACGGAACAAAATGAAAGGGTTCCCACTGTATATAATTCAACCACCATGAAGGCCGCATTGAACGATACCTTATTATGCGGTGCCTTACCCAACACACCATAGAACAAAAAAAAAACAAAATTGACGTGCATAACTATGACGTTATGCTGTCCTACGTCGCACATTCATATATATAGTGCGGTGAATTATCTTTTTTTTTATTTATTAAACAGTTTTACTTCCAATGGGATAGCAAATAGGTGAATACCCTTTTTATTCATAAAAAAAAGAAAGTTTTTTTTTTTTTACTGGATGACGAAAATAACTGTGTGTGTGTGTGCGCGTGTGTTGTGGGTGTGGTTCCTTTCAGCAGTAAGACTCTTTTTTCTGAATAAAGAAGTCTGTTATTATTAAGCCCGAGGTAACACACAGAAAAAAAATTTCTGTCCCTTTTTTCCCTCGCTTCGATGGCAAAAGTCCTTCTTCCTCTTCTTAACCTATCTTTAGAATGACGAAGAAAAACATTGCCGTGCTTTCTGTACTGACAATGACAGTGATATTATCTTGTCTGTTTTATATCGTGCATGACAATCGCTATTTTACAAAGACACCTACTCCAAGCTATCATTCCAACTTTAGTGCTGTCCACGACGATGCAAGACCAGGCTATAAAAACAAAAATCCATTGACATGTCTTTATAACACAGCACATCCCATCAATCAAACAAAAAAAGAATGGAAACAATGTTTGGATCCAGGAAAGAAACCGGAATATTATCTTTCTATTGTTCTAGTGACCCGCATGGATGATTACGCTGGGTAAAGAGCCACACAAATAATCTTTTCTTTTTTTTTCTATTTATAAATATCTTTTATATTTTTAGAAATCAACATCATCGTTTCCAGAATTTAATTGATAGCACTTATTTATTAGCAGAGCAATCACAACAAAAAATAGAGCTTTTGATCATTGAATGGAATCCACCTGTCAACAAGAGAAGAATTTTGGACACTTTTGTAAGTCTCTTTGACAAAATAGAAACCCTTCCCGCACTGACACTTTTTTTTTTTTTTTTTTTTTTTGGTCAGAGGTTTCGCGGGTCGAAATATTTAAATCATCGCATTATCACCGTATCAAAAGAAATTCATCAACGTGTACCTAATATCGGAAACGCTCCTTTACATGAATTCGAAGGGAAAAATGTAGGTATTCGCTTTGCACGGGGTGAATACATTGTCTGCACAAACCAAGGTAATTAAAATTTTTATTTAAGCCCATGTAAAAAAAAAAAAATGTCTAAATGAACTCTCTCACTCTTTATTAGATGACATTTGGTCTCATAATTTCATGAATGCTGTGAAATCCAAGGTGTTTGAAAAAGATACTATCTATACTCAATTTCAGTCTCCTCACAATATGTAAGCCTTCTTTCTTTTCCACTCTGTGTTTTATATCACTAAAATAACTATTTTTTTTTATTACTTGAAGCCATGAAAACTTACCTCCAAGTATCGTTAATTTAGCTCCTTTCCCAGACGATGAAACACTCTACAACGCCTGTAAACTAAGCGACCAAGACTGGGGAAACTACAACCTTCCTCCCGCGGTTCCTTCCTCCATCATCAGTCATGAAAATTACTGGTATTACGGTGACCAAGCTGGCGATTTCACCATGGCTCATCGCGATACCTGGAAAGATTGTCGTGGTTATCGAGAAACTGGAGGCGTTGCTTGGATGGATATCGAGTTTATATTGTCAGCCATCGGTCAATTTAAAAAACAATTAGTCTACAGTGGAGACACTTTTGCTTGTCATCAAGAACATCCCAATGAATGGGAAAAAACCCCAGATCGTCATACTAAACCACAAGATGCACAGGGGATCGATGATCTGATTACCGGTAAAAAGAAATTATCTAACAAGGAAGGTCATTGGGGATTGCAACAGATAGATATTTGGAAATATGGATTAGAATGTCATGATTTTCATGGTGGATTGTGTTTGTAGATATTGTTCATTAAATACAAAAATTTAAAAGAGGGGCAATATATGATGTAGCATTATTATCTGGAGTAATTCTGTACATGGAACTATTATTTCACCGGAGTGCTATTTAGCAGTTGGAGCCATGAGAGTCTTCCTTTTCTATGTACTCTGTATGACATGATGATTATACATATCCATATGTATATTATCAAAATTATGCATATCCAACTTTTCATGTTAATCATTAGCAGACTTCCATTTTTTTTGGGTGTGTATGTTTTATCCGCATTGTGATAAAATACTACGATTTTCCGGAGTCAGCTGTCAATGTAAAATTACTTTAAAATCATTCTATCGACTGCCTTAAATATGGTCATTTAGCTTATAGATTTTTTGATGTAGCAAATTGCATGCTACCGACTTCAGATCTGCTCAATTCTGATAAACGCCCCCGACACATCATATGCAAGAAAGCTGATTCAATTAGCAGTATTCTGTGAAATTAAATTGCGGGTATAATGCTAGGTACGAAGATATTTCTTATAATTAGATGGGGTCTTTAATTCCACACTTTTGGAATTAATTACAAAGGTATTAAATAAAAGCTTTCACATATCGAATAAAAGATGTAAAGAGCACAAAAAATTAATGAAACAAAACTTGAGTCTTTGTTCGGTGTAAAAGTAATTAGAAACTGAACTAAAACTGTTACTGCTGCAAAATGCGTCTTAAACCATAAATTTACGTTTAAAATTAACTTTTAGTTGGGTCAGTTAGAATAGAATAGTAACTTTATTTGAGATAGTTATTTGTCTTCCACAAGGTTTTTTTTTTTTTTTTTTTTTTTTTTTTTTTTTTTTCGTTTCTAAACTCATGTTTTTATACTCCTTTAATTTTACAATTAAGTTTTACCACATCTATGACACTAGACCTCAACTTCTCCAGCTATTCAAATGAGAATAAACGCGAATAATGATACAAAACTATTTTGAACTAGAACAGAGAAAGTGTGTATATGAATAAAAAGAAAGCCCATCATTTTGTTTGAACTTAAAAATACGCACCTTGCAGTTTAATGATTCAACAATATTTTTTATTTATATTAATGGTATTATATGATGGACTTCATGGATTATTTATACTGCATATCAAACAAATGAATAAAAAAAAATTATTCCGTGATAAAGCTCTCCCAATCATTGGCGGTCAATAGGCCTTCATCGTTATTATCCAAATTCTTGATTTGATGATTGATACTGTCCGTTATGCGACGTTCTTGTTCTTCAAGCTCTAATTGATTACTGTTACTTGATTCATGTGAGGATTCTGATCCAGGCGTATCTTCTCGAAAGAATATATTACTATTAGTGACACCAACTGGAGTGGTCAGGTATTCCACAGAATCTTTTAAGCATGTTTCGAATATGATTTCGAGCTTCTTCAGATTGATGGCAATATTCCTCTAATCACAGATAGATAAAAGTTAGATTATTTTACCACAAACATACTATATAAAATTTTACTTGTAAGGAAAGCACAGTTAGAAGATAATGGGATATTTGAGGTAGGTGATTAAGCGGAGAGATGGGGATGGAAGCATAGGCCTTTTGGTAGTGAATAATATCATCCATTTCAGTCATCTTGGATCCGTATATGGTCAGTGTCAGTCCGTGTAATTGAGCACTTAATACTTCGATGTGACGTATGTTTGATTTGTAAGGGATAATTGACTTCAGGTATAATAGCCGCTTTTCTCTGAGCTTATTGCCCTTTTCAACGTCATTATGCACGGTACTTGGCCCAGCGCTTCCGCACTTATCCTCGCACGTAAACATGTCCCCGTAGCCATGATTGAACAGAATCAAATCCACTTTGCAGTCTTTCTCCTTTTCATCGATCTTACCCATCTTCTTTAGATACTTGATTGTGGAGGCGTGACATTCAGATCTATTATTGCAGACTTGTCAGTCTATAGTCGTTGTATTTTTATGTAACATACCGTTTGATGTTATTATTTTTGTCGAAAAGAAAGGCAGAATCCAGCAAATCACCATAAACCTGCATTTGGAACCATGTTTCCTTATGATCATGGTTGAGAAGTACCTCACTTTGCCATAGGGCGATGCTATAAAGAATAATACATCATACTTTTTTTTTTTTTTTTTTTTTGAAGTGCCCACCTAAACCCCTTTTCCTCCAAAGTGGTTCATTTTACTTCAGATGTTCAACATTTCTACATTAACCATCTGTCTTGAACGATCTTGAACTGAATTGCCACCATTAACACCAGCGACAACAAACACCGAGAACTATCACCACCACCAAGCATATTCACCATACTTGCATCACGAACCATGTTTTTTTACTGTCGCAAGATAAAGTATTGAAAGATTGTCAATACCAGCAGAAGTACGAGCATCAGTGCAAGCAATGAAATACATAGCATCAAGATTGACAATACCAGCAAACGTATGAGCACCAGTACCAGCAAATGCAAACCCAGCAATATTATTGAAAATAGAAGTAATTTTTTTAAAATGTTTTAAAAGGTTGCCAAGCTAAACTCTATACCAATGGAATTCAAGGTAGAAGAATAATCAGCGTTAGATATGATGCCTAGGTGTCAAGTCGGTATGAGCGCAAGTAACCTCCGAACAAGTCTCTGCTTCTGATCGCTTGAATAAATGCTTTAAATTATTAGGCAGGTAACTATAACAAAACGAAAAAAAAAAAAAAAAAAAATGAAATCTAGTGTGATTGTATATGTAATTCAACTTACAGTTTTGTCAAAGCTATCGAAAGAAATGAAAACTACCAGTTTGCGGGACAAAAGGTATACTCTTGACAAGAGACTCAATGTCTTTGAGCGATTTGGTATTGGAGAGTCAGATAAGGAGCTGGCTCTCCTGATCATTTGCTGCTAATGACAACGCGATCTCTAGCCCTTTCTTTATTGCTGTTTTTCGACTTTGAATCTTTCTGGAATTAATCCAGGGCTAGCGAGATTCAAGACGTTATTCGAACAACTGTTTGAATAAAAATTTATCAATAGGCGATTTTGCGATGACATTATTAATAAACTAAACTACTTACAAATTACCAAACAAGGTATGTATTTTTGATTGAATAACAAGTGTTTGATATCTCCGGCTTCTAAGCGCTTTTTTTTTTGAGCGTGTATTTGGCTCGAAACTTGTTCTTTTCTTATTTGGTGGGTCCTGGCTGCGCCTTGAAGGTTGAAGGCCCAGCATTATTCTCGTTATTGTTTGAATAAACGAGGACGATCTTATTCTGGTATACGCTTTTCTTGGTATGCGCGCCGTATAACTCTTCCAGTTCCTATTTAACTTATTAGAGAAGAAGACAAATATACATCAAAAACAACTTACAATGTTCTCCCTCTTTTCAAATACAACATAGGCAGGTTTGGAAGCTAGCACCGCACTTACATTGTTTTTCATTTTTTCAATTGCCAATTTCACGCGTTTGTCTTGTGAGCTATAGTTGTTTAAAAACTTCTTGAAAGAGTTCTTGAAGCTATCGACTGCTTGTGCGTAGTCATCCGAGTAAAATTGTTGTATTGTGTGTTGAAAAAAGTTTAAGTACCTTCCAATCCTTTATATGATTGTTGTTTAGATACGCCTTATATATGTCCACTAGCTCAGCCTCCCCTTTTATGATATTTTTAGAAACGCGTTTTTTTGAAGACTTTCAACTGATTACTTACCAGCTTCAATGAGCAAATTCATGGAATGTACTTCTTTGGAGGCCATTTTCTGAATGCAACCAAGAACAGAAAGTACCAAAAGTTCAATTTTGCTGCGCAGTAAGAAAATTAATGTTAAGCATGCATGCGACTGTGTATATGTCGGAAATGTCTAGACCTCCGTATTTTTTTTTAAACGTATTTTTTTTTATGCTACTTACAGAAATTTTGGCCAAGAACAGCAGGCCAGTATGATTACGACTATTTACAGTCCAATTTCAGCTCTTCAATGTCCTCGAGTTTCAAAAACTCAAGAACGCTGCCTAGGAGGTCGTCCTCCTATAGCAAAGACTAGCCGCAGTCGCAATACCGCAGTAATATCTTTTTTCATTTTAGCGTCTTTTGAAAGAAACAAGAGTCATTACTAACTAACCTTTTTACATTATTGGCTACTTTCATAAGATAAAAGAAATATGTTAAGAGAAAAGAAAAGGAGAAGAATAAAGTGTGTGAGCCAGCTTTATTTGTAGGCTGATAAACAAGCTTATGTCAGGATGATTTAATTGCTTGTTTCATCTTTCATAATGTTTGGGCCTTTACCTAAAATAGAAACATATGCATACCCCCCAAGCAAATCAAAACTTGGTAGTTTCTTCGACGCCTAATTCCACGAATATAATTACTTCTTATCTTGTCACTTAATTACAATACATATACTCTACGTATTATAATTACCATATTGCGAATACACTCCTATTGGTCGACACAGTACCAGCTCCCTCATATGTCAAACTGAGATCGGATTTCCTAATCGATCCTGAATTGGTCGAGTAGCTGCTGAAGCTTCTAGTTTCTCATAAATTTATTTTAGTAATCCAATCAAGGTCCCTGTCATTTAATGGATAAACGATAGTGCACAAGAAGTGCCGGATACGGGTCACTTAGCTAATTGTATATAACAATAAGCTATGCTTCGTATGTAGCTGATTTCTAAATCCAATTCTACCATTTCCCAGTTTGCGGGCAAATAATCAATTCGATCTGCGCAGGAAAAATCTTGAAGTAATAATTGAATATAAAAAGGACCGTTATTTTTATCATGACAAACTCTTCAAGTTATAATTAAGGTTTATAGAGTCTCATTTCTTTACTTGCTTTATTCTCCAATTACACTTTCCCTTTTTATTCCCAATTATCACACTCGCCTTAAATTACGAAAATTAGCATTTAAACAAATGTAAACACAGGTCGCCACAATCACTTACTGGCATACTCTTTTAAGTAAAAGTTAGTCCCACGTTCACGCTCTTTTTAAAAATGTAAAGCTTGTGCTGTGTTAATAATTGAGTTGTGTGCCCCTATCCAATCACATTGCATTTTTGATACTCTTTATTTTCTCGCTCGGATGAAATGTGTGAGAAATGAAGACAATGCACTAAAGAGAAATAATAATAGATCGGGGGAACTACGCAATACGGTAAATAAAAAAAGAGCAACAAAACCATAACAATACTGACAGAAAATGTTTAGACTCCGGGCATAAATGGGATTAATACCAATAAAAAGTGGTAATGGTGTCAATCGATTCTATCTCATCATTGAGAGAAAAGAAGCATTCGATATCAATATTTTATAAAAATATAGCCTTGTAAACATTGGATATTACAGACATACACATACAAAAGAAAAATTGCGAAAAACAAAGGAGATTTCAAATTTAATTATAATGAGATACATTGGTTTTACGGAAGAAGTTGTGTGATTTCGTGTCACAAATACCACCTGGATAACAAATATGGTGAGCTGAAAAATCATACATGAAGTAGTGTTCAAAAGACACTTGAGTTTTTAATGTACCTTGATTGAACGTTGTTTATTTTTGTCTTCATATTTACATCACAATACCAATATGAAACTTTTTTTGTTATGATCAATTTCGGACTGCCTTAAAAAAATAATGTGACAAGTGGTCGTACTTCGTTTTTCTTTCTCTCATTGAAAACACGAGCATGGAAGAAGAAAGACAACACAAAATCACCAATTTATTGGAAACATACTTTAGTGATGCGTCTCTGTTGTGGGATAAAGTGATGCTTAGTAAAATATTAGCGGATCCTAAAGGCAGTAGGTTCTTTTGCTTTTTAATTCCATGCATAAATGTCAACTGATCCTGGCCTTCTCTTCCCTTTTTTTTTAAAAAAAAACAGTGGTACCAATTGAAGCATTATGTAAATTGCCCAGGTTGAAAGCTATTCAAGCCACACCCGAAGAGATTAAGTATTGTGCAGAACACCATTCACAGTCGAAATTACAGGTACGCACAGACACATGCACTCATCCTTGTGGTGGTCTTCAATTCCAACCAATTTGCTTTAAAAAAATAGATCGATCAAGAAAAGATTGGTAGAATCAAACCTTACGTGGTGAATAAAATTGAAGAACTGGACGATTGGTCTATTTATGTGGAAGGATTGGAAAAGCCATACAATAACGAGCAAGCTATCACTCAGTTATTTTCGTCTCTTGTTGGCCATGTTTCTTTTTTCCGTATACCACCCAATCAACAAGGACAGTCCAATTTTTTAAGTTACTGCTTTATCGAATTTGATCTTCAACAGAATGTGGAAAAGGCAGTTCAATTGTTTCAACAAAAGGTGACACCTGACCATCCACCAGCAAAGGAACTCAAACTTAGAGTCATGTCAAAGTAAAACAAACACGGTTTTTTTCTTCCAAAACGATTATATTGATGAATTTTTTATTAAAAAAAAATAGGCTGGAATGGAACAGGTACAAGGATGAGTATCTTCATGTTCTTGAAGAACGTAAAGCGGCTTTAAAAAAGCTGTGGGAGGATTACCACCAAAAATATCCAGACGGTCAAGGCGATGAGGCATATCATCCAGAGGCTCAAGAAGAAAAAGGGTATGAGGAAGGTCTGGTAGTGTTTGTAGATGGTCTTCATCCTCAATGTGCTAGAACCACCGCTACTGCTTTGTTACAGACCTCGGGTGTTGAGATCGCGTTTATGAATACAAAGAAGAAGGGATTACAAACAGTACATGTTCGTCTCAAGAATAGAGAGGATGCACAAAAGCTATGCGCTTATTTCGATCAGCATCCTATTATGCAAGAGACAGGACAAGATACAGTTGGCAAAGAGCAAGCAAGCAAAACTCGAGATTGCCTAAGACTACGAATACTCGAAGGTAAGATAGAAAATGATGGATTAATTTAAAAAGTCAACTGACATGATTATTTCTATATATCAGGAACTGAAGAGGGCATCTACTGGGAAAGCGAATTTAAAGTGCACAAAAAATAAAGACTATGATTTATTCTTTATTATAGTACAAACTAAAGGCGTCAAGGGAAGTTGTGATGACAGCGACGAGAATTTCCATGGCGATTAGCCAAATGACGATCCATTCCAAATGCTCACCGTGCGAACTATTTAAATGATCTTTGAGCATTTCCAATAGATCGCTAATGACTTCGACACGTTGATTTAAAAGCTCTACACGTTGTGAAATTTCCAGGTATCCTCGAATGGCACTGTACAATGGCTCCAAAGTTGGCTCCGACCAAAAAATCTCGGGCGTGTCCAAAATATTTGAAACCAAATTGACATTGATTCGCATGATGAACAATTGACCGATTTTTTTCGTAATAGCAGTTCTACATTATCATTCAGTACGTATTGGTCTCTTATGGTTGTTATTTATTACCTGGACATGTGGATGTTACCACTCTCTGCCATCACTTGAGGAATATATTTGGTTTCATTAATCGTATCATCAATCAATCTTTCAAACAAGGTCATCTTAACACTTTGTGCAATAGCATGGGCAATGGTGAGTTTGATGAGATAGTTGGAAGGGTGTCGCAGCGTAATGATGTCATTATAGATACTATATCAGCAAATACACATAGAGATATTAGCCTTATATGTAACAATATGTATGAATAAGAGCTTACCGAGGTTGATAGGCTTCATTGTAGTAATAATGAAATTCCTCTGTCTCGACGTCATTTGGTTCTAAATATAGCAAGTTGTCAATTAGCCCCTCAATTCTTCAAACGAATATATAATGCAATTACCCAGCTTTTCTTCTTCGAATGGTTCTAATAACTTTAACACACGCTGTTCTTCCTTTAATGTCATACCCCAAAATACACATACACCATAATCGAATAAAAAGATTTCTGGCAATCTATACATGTTTACAGGTGTACTACTGTTGATGGAGACCTCGTCTGGTTGAGGTGGAGCGATAGGATATGTAAAGGAGTAAGGTGTATATAAACATTCATCGAATCTTTTGGGTGCAGTTCCGTTTGTCTTTTTCTTGGTGGAAAGGTACTTCACCAAGTCATCCATACGATAAGCGCTAATATGATGTGTGTAAAAATGTCAGTGAGTGGTGGTTACACAAATGTATGTAGGGAGTGACTTACGAGGCAGTGCAGTAAGCTGTCATTCTGGACAATTCGCTTCTGTCCATTTTATTCAACATTTCAGCTTCCTGTCTTGCCATGCCATGGGGAATCTTTGCGATTTGTGTATAGACATCTGCTTCTTCCTCTTCTTCATGTTGGTCAGGCCATTGCTCTTCAGGGAATAACTTTAGTTTTTGAGAGATTTTTGTGGTACGCATGGGAAGTTTTGGCTTGTTGGTGCGAGGTGCTTTAATGACGGGTTGTGGAGGTTCAACAAACGTATTGTAATGGGCACTGCGTTGAGGGAATGAACGTGAGGCGGTGGGTTTATTAGGAGGTGATGCAGACATAGTGACATCGCCATTACTACCAGTAGCGGGGATATTTCTTGCTGTTAAAAGTGGGGCATTGACCTCATCGTCATCTGCTCTTCTACTGTTAAAGTTTCTTTGCTGTGGAAGCATGATTATTTTTGGGTTTTTGTTCGGGGAAAAAAAAAAAGAAAAATGATGTCTTATAAAAAAAAAGTTATTTGACAGTCCTTTATTTGATTTGTGTTTTAAAAAAATAAATCATGAAGTAAAAGGTGACACCACTAAGAACGGCAAAAGAAAACACAGTGAAATGTAAATCAATATTTGTAGATTTAATCTTGGAAATTTTTCTGGAGACTTCGTAGCGATGATGGGAGATACCCTTGTCAGAAGCAAACATGTGTTCCTCCACTAAATCCGCAGCATATCCCTTTCTTTTCGAGCCCATTTTGGCTAAAACCATCATACGCGATACATTACGTGCTACCTGACCATTAGTGTCCATTAGCAAGATATCCATTTCCTTCTTGACAGACTCAAATGTACTAGCGGATCGATCATAGACACGAGCTACGCCTGCAATGGTCAATGCACGCCCTACCAGTAATTGATCACCGTAATAAGGATTGATTAAGATGGGCACACCGTTAAAGGTGGCTTCATTGGCACTTTCTGCTCCACCATGACTGACAAATAAAGCAGTAGCATCATGCGCAAGAACAGCAAACTGACTAGCCCAGTTGGGCATAAATACATGTTTGGAAAGGTAATCAATCAACATAGCGGTGGTGAATGTCATTGTCCTTTTGCTTGTCTTGATGGACCAAGAAGAGCCATCATCATTTAATGCAATATGTCTTTTCAATCCAACCCAGATCACACCGTCCAATTGATGACGCTCGACTTGATCCAAAAGTGCACTTGCCAATATCTCGATCTCTCGCTTGTTAGGCACGGCTACTTGACCAAAGGCGACATAGGCTACTTTTTTATGTGAGTCTAAGAATTGAGCTTCCTCTGCAGTAAGTTCCTTTTGTTTTGCACTTAAGACAGGTCCGACCATGTGGGTCAATGGGCTGAGGATTTGAGGAGGTTGAAAACCGAAATACGAGTTGATCAATTTAAGTGCGTTTTCCCATTTCTTGTATCTGTTGAGGCCAACTGCTTCAACATCAAATAAGGTACGATAGCCATCGAGTTCCTTCATTTCTGGGTAAAGGTGATATACTATCTTGATCAAGTCGACATACTTGTGATGAAATCTTTCCCACATGGTCATACTCTCGGATGTGGCATGTGCCGTTGTACCCAAACTATTGATATAAGGTACAGGTATATCCTGGTGCAGGATACCTGTACATGTAATAGCAAATGGGACATTTAATTTTGTGGCGGTGTCAATGCAGGGGTCATTAAAGGCGTCGCAAATAAAGAAATCAGGAGTAACAGTGGTAAAAAGATCTTCATAGAATCGCATATCATTTTGGTAGGCCTTATTCAAGAATTTACGCACGACTTTAGCAATTTCATAAAAGTTTTTGGATTTGACTTTATCCAGAATGTTGTCATAGACAGGAGGACCAGTAGATACAGCTTGAATCTGGGGGAATGCGTCAGCTAGGGCCAATTGATCGTCGCGCGTGACGTAAGTGATGTTGTGGCCTCTGTTGGCTAATATTCTTCCAATTTCAAGTACCCATTTAGTGTGCTATTGAGAAGAAGAAAAATGTTAATATAAGGCTTCTTATAAGATGAAAATTTATTATTTACCGAGGAGCCACCAATGGAAGTCGCAATAAAGATACTCTTGGACTGATTGAATGAAAACTCTTGTGGATCTAGATCAAAGTATTGAGCACCCGATGCAACACCTGCAGATAGGATTAGAAATAGAGAGGATACAACAGTGATTAACATGTTTGTGGTTGCTAAGAAAATGTAAATTTAAAAGAAAAGAGAAATTGTTTATTTTTATAGTAAACCGCTGCTATGTTTTTTTTCGGTAAAGGAAAAGGGGTGTTGATCATCGTTAATGAGTAAAAATCATGCCGCTGGGTGAGGAGGGAAGAAATGATTTAAAATCAAAGATACAGTCTTATTCCGAATTTCTTTTGGCCTCTCTTTGTTGAATCTTTTTATCTTTGGCCCTCGAAATTAATTCAACCAGTGTCTTTCCGTTTTGTGCTCTTGGGTTATCTCTCTCGTTTAAAAAATATGCTAAAGTACCAACTGTCAATGCAAACACGACATCGCCAGACCTAAATAACAACGAAGAATAACGTGAGTCTTTTCCTTGCTTTCTATTTCTTTCTGGTTCTTTAGATTTTACCTTGAGATAAGGTATTCATAACGCATTGGGTTCGACATTATGGAGACAAAGTTAAAAGAATATTGAAGTGAAAAGGAAAGAATCCCAGGGTGATAGAAAACATTGTCGGTGTTTGTAACAGGTTTTTTTTTTTTTTTTTTAAAAAAAAAAGTTGAATGTCTCCTACAGTTGTTTAAGTAAGCATCGGGCACATCCATCATATTTTTATTTTGAGACTATTCTATGTCAATTACATGCTTCAACTTATGGATAGATACATGTATCTGTGATTGGAGAGAAAAAGAGCCTGACGACACACTATGCTTTACGGTAGCCGTGACGGTTTTACCTATGGTTTACCCGATAGAAGCTTGTTTTCCAACTGTATTTGACTCTTCATCTACAACCAGACCACTTGATAGAAAATAACGGATCGAATGCCAAATACACCCGAAGAACCGTTAAATATTTTAGTAGATTTTTAATGCAAATTAGAGGCGATATGCCGAAATGGCTTGTTACAGCTAGTATTGTGACTGTTGGCATCCTAGGGCGGGGAAAGATTTTTTTTTATATTTTGTTTAACCTTTTTTTTTTTTTTTTTTTTTTTTTTGAGACAGATACAAACAGTAAAGAAAAATGTCTGATCAAGAAATTGTAGCACCTCCTTCAGGACTTTTCACCTGTCTTGCCTGTCAAGTTGCTTTCCAATCGGCCGAGGCACAACGTAATCATTACCGATCTGATTGGCACAGATATAACTTAAAGAGAAAAGTGGTGAATCTCCCCTTTGTCAGTTTAGATCAGTTCAACAACAAGACCGAAGGTAAGAAAAAGCGGGACCTGATTTGCAGAAAGGGATAAAGAGCTAACCATAAATTAGCTCGTGTCGCCAAGGAAAAGGAAGCAAAGACTGTTATTGAAACCGCCAACAATTATTGTGGCACTTGTAAAAAGTCATTTGGATCTATCAATCAACATGAAAACCATTTGAATTCCAAGAAACATAAGGAAGTAGCTGCCAAGCAAGCTGCTAAACAAGCCGCCGCACCTGCTGAAGAAAAGGAGGCCGTCAAGGCTGAAGAGGTTGAAAAGCCTCAAGTGAAAGATACAAGAATTACTGAGGAAACAACCGAGGAAGAAATGTTGGCCATTATTGATGAAAAGATTAAGGCTGCTCCTCGTTTAGAAGAAACTGATTGTTTGTTCTGTACTCACAAATCTGAAAGCTTTGAGGACAATATGGCACATATGACTTCCGTTCACAGTCTCTTTATCCCTGATATTGAGTTTTTGGTTGATTTAAGAGGTCTTATCCGTTATTTGGGTGAAAAGATCAGTGTCGGTAATGTCTGTATCTTCTGTAACGGTAAAGGAAGAGGATTAAGATCAATTGATGCTGTCAGAAAGCACATGGTAAATATTATAAAGATAATAATTAAAGCAGCGATTAATGATTTTTATTTTGTAGAATGATAAAGGACATTGTATTATTGCATATGAAGATGATAATGATGCTGCTGAATTGGTTGATTTCTATGATTTCTCTTCTTCGTATCCTCAAGTGGACGGTGAAGATGTGGATATTGATGCTGAATTAGAAGGATTAACTGCCTCTTTATCTTTGGCCGATGATGAATTAAGTTTGGTGTTACCTAATGGTTCAGTTGTTGGACATCGTCATATGAAGCGTTACTACGATCAAAAGCCTAAACCTGAGGAGACTAGAGATTCTGTCTTGATCAACAAACTTATTGGACAATACTCTGATGCACCTGCGTTTGAATCTATGCGTAACTCTCAAAAGGGTAACAAATTACTGCTTACGGATGGTCGCCATGGTATGCGTGCCACTGAAGCATTCAAGGATCTTCGTACTCGACATGAATATACTACCAAGGTCGGTATGAACCAAAACAGATTACAACAATACTTCCGAATCCAAATTATTTAGATCCCCTTTTTATTCTCATTCATATTTCACATTTATATTTCTGTACACACAATTCTTTTTTTATTAAAATAACTAGCGAAATTCAAATTTAGCAAATGCACGGTCTGGTACATGATTTAATGTTAGTTCTTGGAACCAGTCTTTATGATTACGGAAAAAGTAGAAGCCTTTGATTTGATTTGTTGAGCGTTGATAGCAAATATAGTAGAATCCTGCAAAGCTTGCTCCGTGAATGGAACTCACATGATGATTCGGTACCAAAAAAGTCTCCTTCCATCTCATGTAGATAAAGTCACTCTCTTCTTTTTGTTGATAGACAAAGTCGTCGTTGCTGAATATCTCAATATAGGGTTTGAATGAAGGGAATTTCTTCTATATGATGCGTAAGTTTCTTTTACTATGTAACACACACTCTCCACTTACCCAGTGTAATAAGTCACTCTTTTGATCTGCTTGCCATTTACGTGTATGAAAAGAATATTTGGGTCCCATGATTTCTGCTTCAAAGAAAGTCTTTAAATCCAAAGGTTAGTAAAGTGAGGTGTGATGATGTCTGCTCCATATTTACTGTAAGTTCCGGGAATTCACTGGTCAAGCCTTTAATTTTCAGATAACCGTTCAGAGTGCTTTCTCTCATGTCCACATGCTAAATAATGAAAAGATTAAATTTTTGGGGAAGGGTCTGGTTGTCTAGAAGGTTATTTACGAGTAGTTCGACATTGACTTCATAACTTGCGTTGCCACATTTCTGAGTGCCCTGGTATCTTGAGCCAGCGTATAAACCACTAATGGCGACAGGGCAAAGTCTCTCTTCTGTTAAATTGACGGACCTGTCATCATCTTCACGTCTTGCATGAAGTAGCAGCGCTTTCTTTTTTGTTGTTTGGGAAGACGCTTGTTGTTTATTCTTGTCCATGGACACATCAGTTTCCATAGCATGGTCGGATTCACACTGGAATACAACTGTTTCACTAGACACGTTTTTACACTTGAAACTTTCGATTTCCGTTGTTGAAGAAGAAGAGGGAATGGGCATTTCTTAATATTGTTTGCAAATAGTATTGAAGAAGAGGGATTGTTGTACGTCCCCCCTCCTATTGAAATATAAATCACCCCTCTTTTCTTTTTATGGCAATGCCAACCGTATTGGTCAGATGGTTGCACAGCTCAATGCAACTCAAAAACAACGTCACCTATTTTATTTTATTCCCTTTCCTTTAACAAAAACTTTTTTTTTTTTTATAATGGACGACAACGAAGTAATTACTGTCAAACTTCCTATAAGCTAACCAAGCTATTCTCACCTCCCTTCTCTCTTTCCCAAAAAAATTAACTCGTAGAAAATAATTACTACCGTATGGGAGTCTGTAAGGACCATTGCAAATAAAGAAGGTACAAAAACAAAAAAGTGTCACTTTATAAATGGGTCCCGTAATTTAAACCTGTTTTCTGTTTATTTTTTACAGCAGAAGCCCTGGGAAAACAAGTGTCACCTGCTTTCACCGCATCTTTGGCTGAAATTCTCCTTTCACAAATGGGTAAGACTGTGAGAAACACTTTCTTGTTATTGGAAAATTTATCAATTGCTCTCTAGGTATCATGGCTTCGGACTTGGAAGCGTTTGCAAGGTAACAGTTATATACCGTGTGACGAATGAGGATATTCACTAGTTTCTTATTTAATGTAGTCACGCTAAACGTGCTGGTATTTCTATGGAAGATGCCAAGGTAAAATAGAGTTTCGTTCGATGACTGTTTGAACTGACTTTTAAAATAGCTGTGCGCAAGACGTAATGATTCACTGGTAAGAACAAAAATATTTAAAAATAACTCTCAAACTAACCTTACCAAAAAAAAAAAGCATGAGCTTATTAGTGAAGCATCAAAAGAAATAGCCCAAGATAAAAAGAAGAAATAATAAAAAGTTTATAAGAGTTTATAAGAGTTTATTATCATTGACATGCATCATTTGGTTACGAAGTTCGTCTGCGTGAGTACAACCAGAAGCATTCACATCACCGATCGTATGGACACCAGGGAATAACCCGGTCACTGCATCAGAGAAGGCACTGTGTTGTTGTTGAGGAGGTTGAGGAGGCTGTAATGAGCGACGTCGAGGCTTTTCCTCGGCTGATTTAGGAGACTCTTGTTTATCTTCAATGGAAGAAACCGAGTTACTACGACGACGTTCTTGAACCGCATCCTTGACAAAACCAGCAACATCCTTGACATAACCCACGAGACCGAGCTTTTCAGGTGAAAGACTATGTTGAGCTAATTTATGTTGTTCTTCATCTCCGTTGGGAGGTGTGTGGATCACGCGTGTACGTCCATAGGGATTTTGTTCGGGTGCGTATGCCATGTCAATAGGCATGTGTTTGGGCAAATTACTTTTATCCTCGCTATTCATCTCGTATTTTAGTTTTATGTGATATGAAAGAAGAAAGAAAAAAAAATATCTCCCCGGTAAAGAGAAACTTGTTTTATAAAATCAATTCGGAGGCTCAATGATTTCCAATTGCATGAATTCGGAGCTTCATCCCAAATTCATCAAAAATGATGTCATAACGAGAAAAAAAAAGTTTAATTTTTTTTGTGGAGTGATTGCTGTTGCTTGTGTACCCCGAATAATGACGAATATTCTTATGCCTTCTCTCCTCTAAATAGAACTTTATGAATAAGGACCTACTAGCAAAATGAAGACTAACAGAAGCAGGAAGCAAAGTATGTCAATATATATAGGGTATATTTTAAATTTTGAAGCTGGTACTGCACTTGTCAATAAAAATACAGACGACGCAAGATGGATTATAATTGTGCTTATATGTAAAGTTCCATTTGACAAACTTGGTGGGGCGCGTCACCAAATGAGGTGACACAAGACCTCTCGCTTAAAAAAATAGGCGAGCTGCCACCCTCACATGCGATAAAATATCATCCTGTTATACTATACTTTTTTTATATACATATAAACCTTTCGCGATATATATTAAAAAAGAGAAGTGAGAATCCTTCCCCATTCGAGTGGGTCACAATTTCTCCTGAAGAAGACCTTAAAATTGTTAGGCATATTCACGGGTTTGTATTGATTATAGATCCTGTGGCGAAGCTTAATTGTACGCCAGCAGAGTGTTACCTCGATTAATCTGCATAATCCCATGGAAGACAAGATTACTATTTTTTTCAAGTCATATTCATCTGACAACTGCTATCCTGAGGTTCCTTAGAAGTCCGTAGCCTTTTTCTGCTCGTATGATAGGTAATTCATAAAAAGTTTTTGAACCATGACAAGCATCAATTAACGTATGCTTTGGTCCATCAATTGCAGACAATTGGTCTCACTGTGACTAATCAGCCTTTAGCTAAGGAGTTAAAGTTTAAATGAAAATCAGGGATCATTTCTTTGTTCGTCATTTTTGTCAAGTTATGTTAACTTTAATATTCAAAAGCACGATAAACGATCGTAAAAAAAACAAGATTACGTTTTGTATTCCATTAATAATGGCACTGGAGATAACATCCAATATTTACGGAAGAGAAAGGTCCATGAATGAGCAATGTTTATTTAAAAAACACTGCGCAAGTGTTACACCGTCTCCTAATGCAAAAAGCTATACGCATTGGGGCGTTTACAAGGACGGGATAATTATCCGGCATTCAAGTGGGTACCCACGTATTTTACTTTGATATCAAAAAAAAAAAGAGAGAACTAAAGGCTAAATCAAATTTCTTGTGACAGTCTATGGGATGATATTAAATTGATAGCTACCTCCAAACGTCGTTGTGCAATTTCACAATGCGGATAAACTTGCAAACCCGAAAAAAAAGTAGTGTTAATAATCAACATAAAATTTGGATTTCTAGAATTTCAATAATAGATCTGCGTACTTTACATACTTGTGTTGTTAAACTTAATTAACATTCAGGCCGTAACTTAAGAAGGATGCCGTGGTTTTTTATCGATTAGTAAAAATGTGGATATAAAGCCCATTGCTTTTATATACTGAAAACATTTTATTATAACATAAATATGCTCAATACTTTCTTACATAGACATGTATTAAGAAGTGTTTATGTTTTGATAATTATCTCTCTATTAAAACCAGCAAAGAAGTGACATTTATTGCCATTAAAGAAAAAACAAAGCATAAGCCAATTGAATGCTCGATGCAAAAAAAAGGTCTTATCGTATAACGTCAAACGCCTCTGTTATGTTCATCGTATTAGCTTAATAAATTTTCTTATCATCATACAAGTTATATAAGTATTATCTGGTTTTCATTTTTTTAATAATCAGTATCGGTCCAAAACACGATTAGACTGGTAAAAAATTTCACGATGATTATATATACATCTTAATAACTAATAATGTCGGTAGAGATGAAATCCAATATCTACTGCAGGACAAGTTCCTTCGATGATCAATGTTTTAAATCGAAAACACATAATACCCAAGCGTTAGCCACACCGCATTTATGGCAAAAAGTTAATTATATTTTATCAGTACATCCTACTTAAACTCTAATAGACAACTACCAAGTTCTGGCTTTTGCTTGGGGTTTTTGAAAATGTTTCTATTTTAGGTAAAGACCCAAACATAATGGCTGATTTAAATAAACAATTAAATCATCCTGACATAAGCTCTTGTTTATCATTTCTACAAATAAATCTCGTTCACACACTTTTTTTCCGTTTTTCTTTTCCTTTAACATACTTCTCTTTGCTTTAAATGAAAGTTGAAAGGTTAGTATAAATAACTTTTGCCTTTATAAGAAACACTGAATTATTGGCTCTTTTTTCAAAGATATATTGCAACTCTTGCGATATCACAGCTACAGGATGGTGACCTCCTAGGTTGGGCTCTTGAGTTTTGGAACTCACTGGATGGATATACTGTAAATAGCTGGGGCTACACTGTCAATGGGTGTAATCATACTGGCTTGCTGGTCTTTGCCGGGATTGCTGTAAGTGATCCCCAGTTAAAGCCTCCCAAATTGCATTTGAAAAGAGGAGGAGCGGTGTAAGTAGTTTTCGATGTATTTTTTCTTCTTCTCTAATATGTTAAATAGGAACTTTAAGAGTTTTACGGCGCGTACACCAAAAATAGCGTATACCAGAATAAGATCGCCCTCGTTTATTAAAACAATAACGAGAATAATGCTGGGCCTTCAACCTCCAAGGCGCAGCCAGTAACCCCGAATAAGGAAAAACCAATTTCTGGGCCAAATACAGGCTCAAAAAAAAAGCGCTTAGAAGCCGGGGATATTGAACACTTGTTATTCGATCAAAAAAATACAAAACTTGTTTGGTAATTTGTAAGTAGTTTGGTTTATCAATAATGTCATCGTAAAATTGCCTATTGATATATTTTTATTCAAACAGTTGTTCGGATAACATCTTGAATCTCGCTAGTCCTGCTGGATTAATTCCAGAAAGATTCAAAGTCGAAAACAGCAATAAAGAAAGGGCTAGAGATCGCGTTGTCATTAGCAGCAAATGATCAGGAGAGCCAGCTCCTTATCTGACTCTCCAATACCAAATCGCTCAAAGACATTGAGTCCCTTGTCAAGAGCATACCTTTTGTCCCACAAACTGGTAGCTTTACATTTCTTTCGATAGCTTTGACAAAACTGTAAGTCGAATTACATATACAATCACACTAGATTTCATTTTAAACTGTACCTTTATGATGTATTATTTTTTATAGCATCGCCCTATGGCAAAGTGAGGTACTTTTCAATCATGATTATAAGGAAACATGGTTCCAAATGCAGGTTTATGGTGATTTGCTGGATTCTGCGTTTCTTTTCGACAAAAATTATAACATCAAACGGTATGTTACATAAAAATACAACGACTATAGACTGACAAGTCTGCAATAATAGATCTGAATGTCACGCCTCCACAATCAAGTATCTGAAGAAGATGGGTAAAATCGATGAAACGGAGAAAGACTGGAAAGTGGATTTGATTCTGTTCAATCATGGCTACGGGGACATGTTTACGTACGAGGATAAGTGCGGAAGCGCTGGGCCAAGTACCGTGCATAATGATGTTGAAAGGGCAATAAGCTCAGAGAAAAGCGGCTATTATACCTGAAGTCAATTATCCTTTACAAATCAAACATACGTCACATCGAAGTATTAAGTGCTCAATTCTACGGACTGTCACTGACAATATACAGATCGAAGATGGCTGAAATGGATGATATTATTCACTACCAAAAGGCCTATGCTTCCATCCCCATCTCTCCGCTTAATCACCTACCTCAAATATCCCATTATCTTCTAACTGTGCTTTCCTTACAAGTAAAATTTTATATAGTATGTTTGTGGTAAAATAATCTAACTTTTATCTATCTGTGATTAGAGGAATATTGCCATCAATCTGAAGAAGCTCGAGATCATATTTGAAACATGTTTGAAAGATTCTGTGGAATATCTGACCGCTCCAGCTGGTGTCATCAATAGTAATCTATTCTTCCGAGAAGATACACCTGGCTCAGAATGCTCGCATAAATTAAGTACCAGTGATGAATTAGGGCTTGAAGAACAAGAACGTCGCATAACGGACTTGGTGTATCACAAGACTGTCTCACCATAGTAACAACTACTCTAATAGAAATACGGAACAAATGAGAATCACCGATACAACAAATACGAATCACCGACTTAACAAACATGAAAATATTATATATATACAAGAACAAATTAATCATTTGATAAAGGATTATCTTATATTTGATTGAAATTATTGACTCTTAGACACCGGATATTACAGGACTGTATTGATCATCAAATCAAAAATTTGGATAATAACGATGAAGGCTTATTAACCGCCAATGATTGGGAGAGCTTTATTACGGAATAAATTTCTTTTATTCATTTGTTTGATATGTAGTAGAAATAATTCATTAAGTCCATCATATAATACCATTGATATAAATAAAAACTGTTGTAGTAAAAGGTGCGTATTAAGTTCAAACAAAATAATGGACTCTTCTTTTTATTCATATAATATACTTTCTCTGTTCTAGTTTAAAATGCTTTTGTATCATTTATAGCTTTTGCATTATTTATTGCTTTTGTATCATTAATTACTTTTGTATCATTAATTACTTTTGTATCATTATTTATTGCTTTTGTATCATTAATTACTTTTGTATCATTATTTTCTTTTGTTTCATTAATTGCTTTTGTGTTCATTTGAGTAGCTAGGTTCATAGATGTGGTAAAACTTAATCGTAAAAGGATTTGAGTGTAAAATACGAGTTCAGAATAGAAAAAAACCTTGTGGAGGAGCAATAACAATATCAAATAAAGCTACTGCTTTTATTTTACAAATTGCGGGCATAATGTTAGGCAATAAACGAAGAAATTTCTTATAATTAGATGGGTTCTTTATTTCTACGCTTTTTGATTTGATGACAAGAGTACCGTATAAAAGCTTTCACGTGTTTAATAAAAGGTGTAAAGAGCCCAAAAAAATTAATGAAACAAAACTTAGAGTCTTAGTTCAGTGTCAAATTAATTGATAAGAACTGAAACTCGCTTCTGCGAGATATGTTTAAATGAACTTTTTAATTTGGAAATTTAATTTCACAGAACACTGCAAATTAAAATAGCTTGTTTGGATATGATGTGTTGAGGGAATTTATTAGAATTAAACAGATCTGAAGTCAGTAGCATGCAATTTTCTATGTCAAAAAAAAATTATAGACTAAACGAACATCTTCAAAGCAGTCGATAGGGTAATTCCACATTGATATGTAGCCAACCCCAAAAAATTGTAGTACAATTTCACAACGCGGATAAAATGTGTACACCCTAAAAGAAAGTCAGCTAATGATCAACATAAAAATTTCGATTTGCAGAATTTCAATAATAGACCTGCATCTTAACAATATTTGAGCTCATGAACTAATTCCTTACTTAAAACAGACGAAAGGACTCCTTTATTTCGTCTTTTTCTTGTTTAAAACATTTTTTTTCTCCATTTACATTTTTTTTTTCTTTTTTCATTTTTCAACTTCTTTTTAAGCTTTTTTTGTGACTTATGTCAAGTGGCAATTGTAAGTTTTTAATATGAAGAAGCAATGTATGATCCAATAACATAAATTTAAACCCTAAATTGTAAAGATACACTCAAAAAATATGTTGACAGCGCGAACTATTTTTTCAAACGTGGAAAAAAGAGATGCGCCTACATCAGTTTTATGAGAGCGATCAATAGATACGATGATAGGGATTCGTATATATGTGTGGGAATAATGTATGAGATGGGGTGGCACGTACCCCAAGATTACATGGAAGCTATCAAGTACTATACTTGTGCCGCCAATCAAGGGGCTCAGGACGCACAATATCGCCTGGGTCTTATCTATCTCTGCGGAAAACTTGATGTAAATGTAAACTACAGAGAAGCTTTTTCCTGGTTCCAGAAAGCCGCTGAAACAACTGCGTTTGTGCCTAAACTTACTTGGCTTGATGGTGCTATACCTAAGGACGAAATGTATAGCCGTGACAAGGCTGAACATTATCTGGGTAAAATTTACTTATTTGGACTAGGCGGAGCTCCAGCCAATCCAGATCTGGCTCTGCATTGGTTTACAAAGTCAGCAGAGAGCGAAAATGCTTTATCTCAATATGATTTGGCTCTTTTATACTATGAGGAGGACGGCTCCCCAGAAAGTAGAAATTTAAGTCTGGAATGGATACAAAAGGCAGCTCTTAACAACCATACTGAAGCTCAATACATAATGGGTATTTATAACTATTTTGGAAGAGACAATGAGAAGGACGGCGATCGTGCAAGATACTGGTTTAATAGAGCTATTAAAACAAATGGACACCCAGAAGCTTGGAAATGCATAATCGCTATGGATAGAAAACAACGAGTGGAATGTAGTAACAGTCCGTTTTTTAGACATATAAATCAAGCAATAGCCTCTACTAGTGACGACAATGAAACTGATGATGAAAGCTCTTCTGAAATAAGTGTTTCTGCATCAAGTAATTGTGAAACCGAAGAAAACGAAGTTTCTCAGCAAAATTCCGCCCAAAACTCATTGCAAGAACTCAAAAACCAAGCGGAGCAAGGTGACTCCGATGCTCAAAACAGATTAGGTGAAGAGTTGCGAGACAATCAAGAGGACAAACATCAGTCCTTTACTTGGTTTTTAACATCGGCTAATAATGGTAATGCTCGTGGTCTATATAACTTGGGTAATTGTTTTTATGAGGGAGTTGGAGTACAAAAGAGCCATAGCAATGCTTTTGAATGGTTTCAAAGCTCCGCAAAAAAAGATGATAGAGATGCACAGTTTATGTTGGGTGAATTTTATCGTCACGGTTACGGGAGCTTGTCCGTTGACTATGATTTGGCTCAATCTTGGTATTTAAAATCCGCTCGTCAGGGCCATGGTAAGGCTCAATGTGAGCTCGGCAATTTGTACTTGCTTGAAGACTATAAGGATAAAGATATGTCTGCAGGCTTTTTTTGGTATTCAAAATCTGCGAAACAAGGTAATTCTGATGCGCAGTACAAAGTTGGTGTATGTTATGTCGAAGGATTTTTCGTCCAAAAAGATTATCATAAAGCACGCGCAAAATTCTTGTTAGCAATTGAAAATGGCAATATGGATGCCTTGCTTTCTATTGGAATGATGTATCAAAAAGGATTAGGCGTTTCTATAGACTATAAAGAGGCTCTGAAGTATTACGAAGCTGCCGCTGAAAAGGACTATGATAAAGCTCTCTTGAGTATCAACAATTTGAAAGATATTATGCGCAAAGCAAGTGACGATCAGAAAACCGTTTTCAGGAGTGGTACAGAGCAGTTTTTCCATGTAGGCGAATTGATAAATGCACTCCCTGAAACGAATAAAATTATCGAATCTTCCAACGAAAAAGATAGTATTATTGAAGAAAGAAGGGAATCCGCCGTTTTCCTTCACATCGATGACAGAAAACAATCCGCGATTTTCCTTCACGTTGAGGGAAAAAACCAATCCGCAGTTTTCCTTCACGTTGAAGATCATAGTGTTAAAGTTAAAAAAGACACAGAAAATCCGACCAAAACTAAAACTATAGATGTTACAAAATTCAGTGCTTACAAAAAAGAAGAAGAATCAGCAAAGTTCTTTCATGTTGACAACAAGGAAGGGCATCTGACATACGCAAGAGAACAGTCGGCTGTACTTATGCACGTAGACGATACAAGTTTAAATGATTCCGAAAAGAAGGAACAGTCAGCCGAATTTCTTCATATCGAAAATGTAGGAATTAGCATTACTGAAAGTTTTAGACAAACCTTACAAGCTCTTTCAGAAAAAAACTCCTTTGATAAAAAAACATACCCTTTATAGGGCTAGGAGAAAAGCGGTACGTAAATAATTATTTGGACTTCACAGATATAAATAAAAATCAGGGATGTGTTTCTTTGTTCGTCATTTTCGCCAAGTTATATACTAGCTTTAAAATACAAGAAAATACAATTGAAAGATTAAATAAAAAAAATACTTGTTGCACCAGTGGATAATAACATCCAGTATCTACGTAAGAAAAAGCTCTTTTAAATGATCAATGTTTAAAAAACCACATTCTACGCAAATGTTACACCGCATCATATGGCAAAAACTTTAATAAACCTGTTTGCATATGTGTCGGGGTGTTTATTATGAGAAAATGTATATACCACCCCTCTTTTTCCAAATATAGTAATTACCACCCCTGTTCGGTCACGCCGGACAGTAAATGTCCGGTGGAAGTGGATCACTTAATACGCATTTATTAGGCTCAATTGTGGATCACTTTATACGCATTTATTAGGCTCATTTGTGGATCACTTTATACGCATTTTTTAGGCTCATTGTTGGATCACTTAATACTTATTTTTTAGGCTCATGTATAGTGTATTTTTGGATCACTTAATACTTAGTTTTTAGGCTCATGTACAGTGTATTTTTGGATCACTTAATACCTATTTTTTAGGCCTATGAAGCAGGTCCGAATTGTGATAATTGAGAAATAAAAAGGGAAAAGTAATTGGGAAAATAAAGCAAGTAAAGAAATGAGACTCTATAATCCTTTATTATAAGTTGGAGAGTTTGTCATGATAAAAATAGAGGTCCTTTTTATATTCAATTATTACTTCAAGATTTTTCCTGCGCAGATCGAATTGACTATTTACCCGCAAACTGGGAAATGGTAGAATTAGATTTAGAAATCAGTTACATATGAAACATAGCTTATTGTTATATACAAGGAGCTAGTTGACCCATATCCGGCACTTCTAGAGCATTATAGTTTATCCATTCAATGACAGGGTCCTTAATTGGATTACTAAAATAAATTTATGAGAAACTAGAAGATTCGGCAGCTACTCGACCAATCCAGGAACGATTATGAAATCTGATCTCAGTTTGACATATGAGGGAGCTGGTACTGTGTCGTACCAATAGGAATGTATTCGCAATATGGTACTTATAATACATAGGTTATATGTATTATAATTGAGTGACAAGATAAGAGTAATTGTATTCGTGGAATTAGGCGTCAAATACGACACGAATAATTGTTTGAGGAGGGGCGGGGGGGGGGATTTAGGTACCATTTTGCTTTTTCCATTTTACAATTTACAACGATTATATAAATAAACAATCAAGAAAGTATTGCTGAAGGCGAGAGTCTTATTGTTCCTAAAAGAGTAGAAGTAGCCCCAAGAAATCCTTTAATCGAGATACTCTTCATAAAATTGAACCAGTCAAAGAATGAAGTATCACTTGAGGAAGTTGATGTCGAAGATGTTGATGACACATTAATTAAAGACAAGTTGACATGTGGTAAGTGCCATAAGACGTTCAACTCGAGATCATCCCTGCTCAAGCACTTGAAGGTCAAACACCATGTTGTAATCGTTGGTGTCAAGCATGGGCGTCCTGACCAAGGTGGAAGGCTTGCATACTGTATCCGCCAGCAGCAAAAGAAGGCCGATATAAATTCCGTTTTGAGAGTCGACGAAAAAAAACTTAAGAAGCAAATAAGGAAACAAATCAGTTATGAGTGAGAAATTCGAGAGTGATAATAGCGAATTAAGAATAAAATGTAAAATTTAACAAAGTGAAATTATCAAACTGCAAAAATAAACTAAAGCTTTATTAAACAAATAAATGGGGGTCTTTATATACACATTATTTCAGACATTGATCACAGATGGGCTGATGACGGTTGTGGGTAGATTTATCCAGATAATACTCGGATGTAATGATCCCATATAGAAAGACCATAATGAGATGTCAATAACAATAACAATAACATTCATTCTTAAACCGTGTATGTCTTGTAGCACAACATTCAGGGGAAAATGTAGTTCTTATTAAAGATAGCTGTGGCACCTCAACGTGGCTGATGTAACCTTCATATGTTTTCATATTATGTTATTATTTAAATGTATGCCTTATACTTGTATGAAGGATGATATGAGATCAAGACTGTACATAAAGTAAATGATCAGTATTTAATATAAAGTACCAATAAGAATCATATTTAGGATTATCAAATGGAAGATTTAAGAAGTGTAGATAGAGTCATATATTAAGTATATAGCCTCGATCACGACAATGAGGCGGTAAAAGCCAAGAAGAGAGCTGAGTGGGCTATGTTGGAGAGTAAGGACCTTCTTGAAAACCTTAAGGTTTTATGGGATACGTCTGATGGTGTATGGAGACCAGATTTTGCCTATGTACAATATATTGAAGATGTCTCTCCCATTTACCAATATCTCATCACCAAACTATGTTTGGAAGATTCATATGTATGAAAATATAGTGAGCCTAAAACATAGGTATTAAGTGATCCAAAAATACACTGTACATGAGCCTAAAAACTAAGTATTAAGTGATCCAAAAATACACTATGCATGAGCCTAAAAAATAAGTATTAAGTGATCCAACAATAAGCCTAAAAAATGCGTATAAAGTGATCCACAATTGAGCCTAATAAATGCGTATTAAGTGATCCACTTCCACCGGACATCTACTGTCCGGTGCGACCGAACAGGGGTGGTAATTACTATATTTGGAAAAAGAGGGGTGGTATATACAGGCTCTCTTTATTATCAGCTTGCAATTTGCCATATTGAATAAAAATCAATAAACTTAATGAACAAATTCGACAGGGTGATGTTGAAGTAAATTCCAAATTGATAGCTGACTTCAAAACATTGTAGTACAATCTCACAATATGCGGATACACTTGCAAACCCGAAAAAAAAGTAATGTTTATGATCAACATAGAAAAGTTTGGATTTCCAGAATTTCAATAATAGATCTGCATACTAAGGAACTATTTGTACTGTTAACCTTATTTAACATTTACGCCGTTACTTAAAGCAAACAAAAAGATCCTTTATTTTCTTTTTTCTATTAAAAAAAGTCTTTTCTTCCATTTTCATATTTTTTTTTTAAAAAAAAAAAATTAACAGCCTATTAAGTACTATTTTCAACTCATATTCGAAACCAATTGTGAGTAATTTAAAGCTACATGTTTACCAGTCTTCTAATTACAAATTTGAACTTCTAGGTAACTGTTCTAATTGTAATCCTACACTAGAAACTTATGTTAGATGGGCAAACGAGTTCTTTAATAAAGGAAACAAAGGATGCGCTTACGTCAATTTTATGAGAGCGATTGACGGATACGATGATAGGGATTCGTATATATGTGTGGGAATAATGTATGAGAAGGGGTGGCACGTACCTCAAGATTATACGGAAGCTATTGAGTACTATACTTGTGCCGCCAATCGAGGAGCTCAGGACGCACAATATCGTCTAGGTATCATCTATTACCACGGAAAACCTGGGATAAACATCGACTACGGAAAAGCTTTCTCCTGGTTTCAGAAAGCCTCTGAAACAACCACGTTTGTTCCTACACTTACTTGGCTTGATGGTGCTATACCTACGGAACAAATGTATAGCCGTGACAAGGCTCAATATTATCTGGGTAGAATGTACACCTTTGGACAAGGCGTAGCAGTCAATCAAGATATGGCTCTGTATTGGTTTACAAAGTCAGCAGAAAAAGAAAATGCTGCAGCTCAGTATGGTATGGCTTATATACACTATATAAAGAACGACTCCCAAGAAAGTAAACATTTAAGTCTTGACTGGCTACGAAAGTCAGCGCGTAACGGCTTAAGTGATGCTCAATATATATTAGGTGTTTACAATTATTTTGGAGGATATTTTCCAAAGAACAAAAGTCGTGCAAAATACTGGTTTAAAAGAGCTGTCGCTACTAATGGACACCCCGAGGCTTTGAAATGTCTAACCGCTATGGATAGAAATCAACCAGTGAAATTAAATAACAGTGTGTTTTTTGACCATCTAAAAGAATCAATAGCCTCTACCAGTGACGACGATGAATCTGATGATAAAAGTATTTCTGAAAGAAGTATTTCTGTATCAAGTGATTGTGAAACTGAAGAAGATGAAGTTTCTCAACAAGATTCCGCCCAAAACTCATTACAAGAACTTGAATATAAAGCAAAACAAGGTAACTCTGATGCCCAAAACAAACTAGGTGAAGAGTTGCGAGACAATCAGGGAGACAAACGCCAAATGTTTATCTGGTTTTTGGAATCCGCTCGTAACGGTCATGCTCGTGGTTTATATAACGTCGGAAAGTGTTTTCATGAAGGGACTGGTGTTGAAATGAACCCTAACCAAGCCTTGTATGCTTTTAAACTTTCTGCAAATAAAGAAGACATAGATGTACAGTTTATGGTGGGTGAGTTATATCGACACGGCTACGGCGACTTGTCCATTGACTATGCTTTGGCCGAATCTTGGTATTTGAAAGCCGCTATAAAAGGTCATGTCAAGGCTCAATATGAACTAGGCAATCTGTACTTCCTTGAAGACTATAAGGATAAAAGTGTATCTAAAGCCTTCTTTTGGTTTTCAAAAGCTTCGAAACACGGTAATTCTGATGCACAGTACAAAGTTGGTGTATGTTATCTCGAAGGATTTGGCGTTCAAAAAGATTATTATAAAGCACGCGCAGAATTCTTGTTAGCAATCGAAAATGGCAATATGGATGCCTTGCTTTCTATTGGAATGATGTATCAACAAGGATTAGGATTTTCTAGAGACTATAAAGAAGCTCTAAAGTATTATGAAACTGTTGCCAGACTAGGTCATGACGAAGCTTTCGAGTGTATGAAAGATTTACAAGATATTATGCGCAAAGAACAAAACGGCAGTCAGAAAACTATTTTCAAAAGTGGTACGGAGCAATATTTCCATGTAGGCGACTTGATAAATGCACTTCCAGACACGGATAAAATCGGGGAATCTTCCAGTGAGAAAGTCCGTATTATTGAAGAAAGAAGGAGATCTGCCGTGTTCCTTCGCGTTGAAGATCATAGTGTTAAAGTTACGGATGGCAGAGAATATACAACACAGACGACGCTGAATAATGATAGCAAATCCACTGTTTACAGAGAAAAAGAAGCAATATTTTTGCATGTTGAAGAAACGAGTGTCAAAGTGACAGAAGGAAGAAAACAACCACCTGTTTTTATGCACGGAGACGATACAAGTTCAAATGTTTCTGAAAAGAACGAACAGTCTCCCCACTTTTTTCATGTCGATAATACAGAAATTCGTGTAGCTAGTAATAATATGTATGATTTTTTTCTTGCTAATTCCAGAGAAGGAATATACTCAAGGTATAGGTGATTTCAAAGGCTCTTACGCTGCGAATTAAGAAAAAAATACAATGCCAGTTTCAATTTTGCAGCATTTTACCATAATGAGACCAAGTTAGATATTTAAAAGATCAAATACGTTAGTCTATTGTTTCTTAAAGTAGCAAGTGATTAAATTAATGATAGCCAACGAATGCTAATTTTTATCTCGTTTTTGATTTCCAAATACTTTATGAATAAATAAATATGAATAGGAACGCACTCAGTAACTGTCCTTAAAAAAATAGCAACACATCAGATTTTTCGTTGTCTTTATAAAAGCAATGACATAAAATACTAAAAAGTGTGAATCCATGAGCTCGTTTTAAGCCAGGCAATGCAGTACCTATAACTTTTGAAAGCCGAAATTCAGTGGGTTCATATAGTGTTCGTACAACATAAGGGTACGCAGTACCTTAATAAAAGCGCACCCTTACATAAAGAATCCTTATATCGCACATCTACTTCAAATTCTTTTGCACAGAAGACACGTATGTTTTGAGGCACAAGGTGAAAGCTTTCCTGGTTACAAAAAAACAAAAGGTGGGGAATTGTACAGAATTATTCTGTTATAACAACGTGAACAGCATTGCATTCGTAAATTAAAAAAAAAAAAAAGAAAAGGATATCTCTTCTACTATTAAAAAAATGACAGAGGATGTTTGTTTGGTCTGAAATTTTTGTCCGCATTAAAAACCTTGGAAAACCAAGACTAGTTTTCGGGATTCTGATGAAATCTTCTTGCACCATCCATAGCTAAATATCAAATAGGGTGTATTTAAAATCAAAAGGTAATTTTCCCCTATTAAGTCTTTTATCTTTTAAAAATAAAAAGTACTACCGTAGCACAAGCAATGATAAAAATAGGCTTGCGTTTCTGTAAGAAAATAGGAGACCCCAAGGAACAATGAAAGAAAAAAAAAACCCCCCAAACTAGTGTGAGAACACCACACTTAAAACGTATTTTTTGGTTTTTTTTTTTTTTTTTTTTTTTTTTTTTTTTTTTTTTTTTTTTTTTTTTTTTTAATTTACTAGATTGGTAGGTAGTAGTAGTAAGAGAAAGTAACACAACAGTTTACCGTGCTCTTTTAAAAACGGCATTTAGTCTAATTTATACTTTTAAAGCTGTTGTCTAAAAAAAAACAATTATTTACCAGATCAAAGCATTCTTTTGTTTTGTTTACAAATATCAGAGCATAAAAAAAAGGCTTACTGTTTTGGGTTGATCCGACCCATTCGACTGATTTTTTTTTTTTAATGTTCAATGATGCCGGCTGCCGTGAAGCTAATAATTTAAAATGAAAATCAGGGATATTTTTTTTCAGTCGTCATTTTCATCACGTTAAATACTGAATTGAATATAAAAAATAAAATACAACAAACATTTTAAAAATTTAAAATAGAAAGTTACTTTTTACACCTAAATAATAATCTCAGTGGCTAACTATAATATCCAATATTCACGGAAGGAAAAGCTCAATGATTTAAACAAAAATGCATATTACGCAAGTGTTACACCGCATCATATGGCAAAAACTTTAATAAACTTGTTTGCATCTGTATTGTGGCGTTAACTAGATTTTAATAAATTATAGTCATCTAGTCAATACGCACATCTTACTCTATCAAAAAAAAAAAAAATCCCGAAGCTAATTATGGACGCTTTTCAGACTGCCGATAGGGTGATACTAAAGTCATGTTAATCTGGATAAACTTGCAAACCCGAAAAAAAAAAAGTAATGTTTATGATCAACATAAAAAGTTTGGATTTCCAGAACTTCAATAATAGATCTGCATACTAATGAACTATGTTTACTTTTAACCTTAATCAACATTTACGCCGCAACTTAGAGCAAACAGATCGATTCTTTATTTTCCCCTTTTTTTAAGATTCTTTTCTTCCATTTTTTTTTTCTTATATATTTTTTTTCTATTCATTTACAGCCTGCTTTTTTTTTTCCAAACCATGCCCAACAGCGACTGTAAGTAATTAATAGTAACATGTATAATGTACAAGTAAACTAATTGCAGATGTAAACTCTAGGTGATTGTGAAAATTGTAATCCGTCATTAGAGACGTATGTTTACTCGGCGAACAAATATTTTAAAGAAGGGAACCTTAAATGCGCTTACTTCCATTTTATGAACGCGATCGACATATACAATGATAGGGATTCGTATATATGTGTGGGAATAATGCATGAAATGGGTTGGCACGTAACGCAAGATTACATGGAAGCTATTAAGTACTATACTTGTGCTGCCAATCGAGGAGCTCAGGACGCACAATACCGTCTAGGTGTCATCTATTACGATGGAAAACCTGGGGTAAACATCGACTACGGAAAAGCTTTTCTCTGGTTCCAAAAAGCCTCTGAAACAACTACGTTTGTGCCTAAACTTACTTGGCTTGATGGTGCCATACCTAAGAACAAAATGTATAGTCGTGACGAAGCTCAAGCATATCTGGGTCAGATGTACCTCTGTAGTAAAGGTGTAGCAGTTAATCAAAATCTGGCTATGTATTGGTTTAAAAAATCAGCAGAGAAAGAAAATGCTTTTGCTCAATATTGTTTGGCTGCTATGTACTGTAAGGGGTACGGCATACAACCAGATATAAATGTAGCTGTGAATTGGCTTCAAAAGGCAGCGAGTAATAACCATAGTGATTCTCAATATATATTGGGTGTTTATAACTATTTTGGAAGAGATGTTCCCAAGAACAAAAATCGTGCAAGATACTGGTTTAAAAGAGCTGTCGATACTGATGAACACTCAGAAGCTTTGAAATGCATAACCGCTATGGATAGGAATCAACCAGTGAAATTAAATAACAGTGTGTTTTTTGACCATCTAAAAGAATCAATAGCCTCTACCAGTGACGACGATGAATCTGACGATGAAAGTATTTCTGAAAGAAGTATTTCTGTATCAAGTGATTGTGAAACCGAAGAAGATGAAGTTTCTCAACAAGATTCCGCCCAAAACTCATTACAAGAACTTGAATATAAAGCGAAACAAGGTGACTCTGATGCGCAAAACAAACTAGGTGAAGAGTTGCGAGACAATCAGGGAGACAAACGCCAAATGTTTATCTGGTTTTTGGAATCCGCTCGTAAAGGTCATGCTCGTGGTTTATATAACGTGGGAAAGTGTTTTCATGAAGGGATTGGTGTTGAAATGAGCTTTAACCAAGCCTTTTATGCTTTTAAACTTTCTGCAGAAAAAGGAGACATAGATGCACAGTTTATGGTGGCTGAGTTTTATTGTTACGGTTACGGCGACTTGTCCATTGATTATTCTCTGGCTGAATCTTGGTATTTGAAAGCCGCTAACAAAGGCCATGTCAAAGCCCAATATGAACTGGGCAATCTGTACTTCATGGAATACTATACGGATAAAAGTATGTTCAAAGGCTATTATTGGTATTCGAAATCCGCAGATCAGGGAAATTCTGATGCCCAGTACAAAGTTGGTGTGTGTTATGTCGAAGGACTTGGCGTCGAAAAAGATTATTATAAAGCACGCGCGGCATTCTCTTACGCAATAGAAAATCACAATGTTCAAGCCATGATTGCTATGGGAAATTTGTATCAACAAGGATTAGGTGTTACTATAGACTATAAAAAAGCTATAAATTATTACGAAGCTGCTGCGGAAGAGAACAATGGCGCAGCTATCTGGATTATTGACAACCCGAAGGAGATTATGCGGAAAGAACAAAGGGACAGCCAGAAATCCATTTTCAAAAGTGGCACGGAGCAGTTTTTCCATGTAGGCGACTTGATAAATGCACTTCCAGACACGGATAAATTTGGGGCATCTTCCAGTGACAAAGTCCGTATTACTGAAGAAAGAAGGGGATCTGCCGTGTTCCTTCGCGTTGAAGATCATAGTGTTAAAGTTACGGATGGCAGAGAATATGCAACAAAGACGACGCTTAATAATGATAGCAAATTCACTGCTTACAGAGAAAAAGAAGCAATATTTTTGCATGTTGAAGACACGAGTGTCAAAGTAACAGAAGGAAGAAAACAACCACCTGTATTTATGCACGTAGACGATACAAGTTCAAATATTTCCGAAAACAATGAAGAGCCTGCCCACTTTTTTCATGTCGAGAATACTGAAATTCGTGTGACCAAAAACAATGTGCTTGATGGTTTTACTGCTTATTCCAGAGGAGGAATATACTCATGGATTTGGTGATTTCAATAATTATTACGCTGCGAATTAAGGGAAAATACTATGTCCGTTTCAATTTCGCAGCATCCATAATGAGGCCAAGTTAGATACTTAAAAGACCAAATATGTCAGGTTTTTGTTTCTTAAAGTAACAAATTTGATTCAAACAGATATGATACAATAATAAACAAACGTTAATCTTTAATTCCTCTTTCTTTTTTGATTTCCGAATACTTTATGAATAAATCAAATATGTATACGAACGTACTTGATTACTGTCCTTAAAAAAATACCAACACATCAGATTTTTCATTGTCTTTATAAAAGCAATCACACAAAATACTAAAAAGTGTGAATCCATGAGCTCGTTTTAAGCCAGGCAATGCAGTACCTATAACTTTTGAAAGCCGAAATTCAGTGGGTTCATATAGTGTTCGTACAACATAAGGGTACGCAGTACCTTAGTAAAAGCGCACCCTTACATAAAGAATCCTTATATCGCACATCTACTTCGAATTCTTTTTCACAGAAGACACGTATGTTTTGAGGCACAAAGTAAAAGCTTTCCTGGTTACAAAAAAACAAAAGGTGGGGAATTGTACAGAATTATTCTGTTATAACAACGAGAACAGCATTGCATTCGTAAATTAAAAAAAAAAAGAAAAGGATATCTCTTCTACTATTAAAAAAAAATGACAGAGGATGTTTGTTTGGTCTGAAATTTTTGTCCGCATTAAAAACCTTGGATAACCAAGACTAGTTTTCGGGATTCTGATGAAATCTTCTTGCACCATCCATAGCGAAATATCAAATAGGGTGTATTTTAAATTGCACAAGATAATTTTACCCTATTAAGGTTTTTTATCTTTTAAAAATAAAAAGTACTACCGTAGCACTATCACTGATAATATAGGCCTGTGTTTCAGTAAATAATAAGAAAATAGGACATTCCAAGGAACAATCAGAGGAACCCCCCAAGAAAAACTAGTGTGATAACATCACACTTAAAACATACTTTTATTGGGTTTTTTAATTTACTAGATTGGTGGGTAGTAGTAGTATGAGAATATAACATAATAGTTTACCATGCTATTTTAAAAACAGTATTTAGTCTAATTTATACTTTTTAAAGCTGTTGTCTAAAAAAACAATTATTTACCAGATCAAAGCATTTTTTTTTTTTTTGTTCACAAATATCAGAGCATCAAAAAAAAAAAAAGGCGTACTGTTTTAGGTTGATCCCACCCATTCGATTGGTTATTTTTTTTTTAATGTCAAATGATGTCGGGTTGCCGTGGAGCCAACAATGTAAAATGAAAATCTGGGGGATGTTTTTCTTCAATCGCCATTTTCATCACGTTAAATACTGAATTGAATATACAAAAAAAAAACATTTTAAAATTTAAAAAAGAAAGTTACTTTTTACCCCTAAATAAAAATCTCAGTGGCTATAATATCTAATATTTACGGAAGGAAAAGGCTCTTTTAATGATCAATGTTTGAAACTAAAATGCATACCACGCAAGTGTTACACCGCATCTTTTGGCAAAAAACTTTAATAAACCTGTTTGCATATGTGTTGGGGTGTTTATTATCAGCATGCAATTTGCCATACTGAATAAAAATCAATAAACTTAATGAACAAATTCGACAGGGTGATGTTGAAGTAAATTCCAAATTGATAGCTGACTTCAAAACATTGTAGTACAATATCACAATGCAAACCTGAAAAAGAAAAAGTAATGTTTATGATCAACATAAAAAGTTTGGATTTCCAGAACTTCAATAATAGATCTGCATACTAATGAACTTTGTGTACTGTTAACCTTAATCAACATTTACGCCGTAACTTAGAGCAAACAGAACTATTCTTTATTTTCCCCTTTTTTTAAGATTCTTTTCTTCCATTTTTTTTTTTTTCTTATATATTTTTTTTCTATTCATTTACAGCCTGCTTTTTTTTTCCAAACCATGCCCAACAGCGACTGTAAGTAATTAATAGTAACATGTATAATGTACAAGTAAACTAATTGCAGATGTAAACTCTAGGTGATTGTGAAAATTGTAATCCGTCATTAGAGACGTATGTTTACTCGGCGAACAAATATTTTAAAGAAGGGAACCTTGGATGCGCTTACTTCCATTTTACGAACGCGATCGACAAATACAATGATAGGGATTCGTATATATGTGTGGGAATAATGCATGAAATGGGTTGGCACGTAAAGCAAGATTACATGGAAGCTATTAAGTACTATACTTGTGCTGCCAATCAAGGAGCTCAGGACGCACAATATCGTCTAGGTCTCATCTATTACATCGGAAAACGTGGGGTAAACATCAACTACGGAAAAGCTTTTTCCTGGTTCCAGAAAGCCTCTGAAACAACTGCTTTTGTGCCTAAACTTACTTGGCTTGATGGTGCTATACCTAAGAAGCAAATGTATACTCGTGACAAAGCTCAATTATGTCTGGGTCGGATGTACGCCTGTGGTGATGGTGTAGCAGTCAATCAGGATACGGCTGTGTATTGGTTTAAAAAATCAGCAGAAAAAGAAAATGCTTCGGCTCAATATTTTTTGGCTGCTATGTACTGTAAGGGATGCGGCACACAACCAGATATAAATTTAGCTGTGAATTGGCTTCAAAAGGCAGCGAGTAACAACAATACTGATTCTCAATATATATTGGGTGTTTATTACTATTTTGGAAGAGATGTTACCAAGAGCAACGATCGTGCAAGATACTGGTTCAAAAGAGCTGTCGATACTGATGGACACTCAGAAGCTTTGAAATGCATAACCGCTATGGATAGGAATCAACCAGTGAAATTAGTAGACATTGTGTTTTTTAAAGATCTAAAAGAATCAATAGCCTCTACCAGTGACGACGATGAATCTGATGATGAAAGCTCTTCTGAAAGAAGTGTTTCTGCATCAAGTGATTGTGAAACCGAAGAAGATGAAGTTTCTCAACAAGATTTCACCCAAAGCACATTAAAAGAACTTGAATATAAAGCGAAACAAGGTAACTCTCATGCCCAAAACAAACTAGGTGAAGAGTTGCGAGACAATCAGGGAGACAAACGCCAAATGTTTATCTGGTTTATGGAATCCGCTCGTAAAGGTCATGCTCGTGGTTTATATAACGTGGGAAAGTGTTTTCATGAAGGGACTGGTGTTGAAATGGAACCTAACCAAGCCTTGTATGCTTTTAAACTTTCTGCAAATAAAGGAGACATAGATGCACAGTTTATGGTGGGTGAGTTTTATCGACACGGCTACGGCGACTTGTCCATTGACTATGCTTTGGCCGAATCTTGGTATTTGAAAGCCGCTAACAATGGTCATGACAAGGCTCAATACGAACTAGGTAATCTGTACTTCCTCGAAGACTTTAAGGGTACCAGTGTATCTAAAGCCCTTATTTGGTTTTCAGAAGCTGCGGAAATTGGTAACTCTGATGCGCAGTACAAACTTGGTGTATGTTTTGTCGAAGGATTTGGCGTCCAAAAAAATTATAAAAGAGCCCGCGCAAAGTTCTTGTTAGCAATCGAAAATGGCAATATGGATGCCTTGCTTTCTATTGGAATGATGTACCAACAAGGATTAGGCATTCCTAGAGACTATAAAGAAGCTCTAAAGTATTATGAAGCTGCTGCCGAAAAGGGCTATGACAAAGCTTTCTTGAGTATCAAAAATCTAAAGGATATTATGCGCAAAGAACAAAGTGACAGTCAGAAATCCGTTTTCAAAAGTGGTACGGAGCAATTTTTTCATGTAGGCGAATTGATAAATGCACTTCCAGACACGGATAAGATTGGGGCATCTTCCAGTGACAAAGTCCGTATTATTGAAGAAAGAGAATCTGCCGTGTTTCTTCATGTTGAAGATCATGGTGTTAAAGTTACGGAAGACAGAAGATATGCAACCAACGCTATATTTAATAACGATAGAGGATCTACTGTTTACAGAAAGGAAGAAGAATCAGCAAAGTTTTTGCATGTTGACGACACGAGTATCAAAATAGCAGAAGCAAAAAAACAATCAGCTGTATTTATGCACGTAGAAGATACAAGTTCAAAGGTTTCTGGAAAGAATGGAGAGCCTGCCCACTTTTTTCATGTCGAGAATACAGAAATTCGTGTGACCAAAAACAATATGTTTGGTGGTTTTGCTGCTAATCCCAAAAGAGGAGTATACTCAAGGTATAAGTGATTTCAATAATTATTACGCTGCGAATTAAGGAAAAATACTATGTCCGTTTCAACTTTGCAGCATCCATAATGAGGCCAAGTTAGATACTTAAAAGACCAAATATGTCAGGTTTTTGTTTCTTAAAGTAGCAAATTTGATTCAAACAGATACGATACAATCATAAACAAACGTTAATCTTTAATTTGTCTTTCTTTTTTGATTTCCGAATACTTTATGAATAAATCAAATATGTATACGAACGTACTTGATTACTGTCCTTAAAAAAATAGCAACACATCAGATTTTTCGTTGTCTTTATAAAAGCAATGACATAAAATACTAAAAAGTGTAAATCCATGAGCTCGTTTTAAGCCAGGCAATGCAGTACCTATAACTTTTGAAAGCCGAAATTCAGTGGGTTCATAAAGTGTTCGTACAGCATAAGGGTACGCAGTACCTTAATAAAAGCGCACCCTTACATAAAGAATCCTTCTATCGCACATCTACTTCAAATTCTTTTTCACAGAAGACATGTATGTTTTGAGGCACAAGGTGAAAGCTTTCCTGGTTACAAAAAAAAAAGGGTAGGGGAGTTGTACAGAATTATCCTGTTATAACAACGAGAACAGCATTGCATTCGTAAATTAAAAAAAAGAAAAGGATATCTCTTCTAATATTAAAAAAAAATGACAGAGGGTGCTTGTTTGGTCTGAAATTTTTGTCCGCATTAAAAAACCTTGGATACCCCAACTAAAGTTTTTTTTGGATTCTGATGAAATCTTCTTGCACCATCCATAGCGAAATATCAAATAGGGTGTATTTTAAATTGCACAAGGTAATTTTCCCCTATTAAGGCTTTTATCTTTTAAAAATAAAAAGTACTACCGTAGCACAATCACTGATGAAATATAGGCTTGTGTTTCTATAAGAAAATAGGACATCCCAGGGAACAATTAGAGAAACCTCCCCCAAAAAAAACTAGTGTGAGAACACCACATTTAAAACATACTTTTTTGGGTTTTTTAATTGACTAGATTGGTGGTTAATAAGTATGAGAAAGTAACACAATAGTTTACCGTGCTATTTATAAAAAATGGTATTTGGTCTTAATTTATACTTTTTAAAGCTGTTGTCTAAACAATTATTTACGAGATCAACGCCATTTTGTTTACTCAAATAGCAAAGCCAAAAAAAGAAAAATGCTTACTGTTTTAGGTTGATCCGGGTCTTCTTTTTGTATATATAACGTCAAATGATACAGGCTGACGTGGGTGTTTTATATTTGAGAAAAAAAAGCCAAGTTTCTTGTTGTTGTTGTTTGATAATTGTAAATCTATAAACAATGCTGCAAATAATCTTGTATCACAATCAGAGATCATCCTACGCAGCTGTATCACTTTCTTCTTCATCCAGAAAGAATAACTGGAAATTTTTTTAAAAAAAAAAAAAAAAAATGGTGTCATCGGGATACACACGTTGAAAATACGCTTTGTATGACGACCCTCATTTTAACAGTAAATATGGGTTAATTATTTCCAAAATAGCAACAAAGAAATCTATACCTGTAGTTGCTATTAAAAAAAACATGTAATACAATTATTTCTGCAAAATATACATGCAATTTAACAAAAATAGAGAGCCCTTACTTTTTTTTTTTATTTATCTGGTAAAAAAAAAAAAGAGTCTAGATGTGTATGTGTGGGGGAAGAAACCTCGAGTGCGCCTTTTTTTTTGTAAGCAGAAAGAGAAAGCATGATTTGTATTAGACATCATATTTTGATTTGCATTATCAATTTTCTTTATACTACCATCGTGCATGGAGTAAACTGTTTATCCGGTTTTGCCTACCGATTAAAAAAAGAAAAGTGACATGAAAATCCATAAACATACGATTTTTTGTTATTTATTTTTTTACTTGCTTGTGATATTTATTCAAGACTGATTGTTGCATAGTAACATAAGGCTATATGCATGAGCTTCTTGGATTGAAAAAAAATAACAAATACTTTTTTTTTGGGAGGTAACCAACTTTTTTTTTTGTTATTTATTATTCTAATGAAAGTGGGAGAGCCCAAAAAAAAAGAAAAAAAAAAAGAAGAGGATGTAGATAATACAAAAAAAAAATAACTGTTAAATAAATATGAAATGAAAGCACAAAATGGGGGAGGGAGGGGGGGAATTAAGCAAAGATAAGAGTGGAAATAAACACTGCAATGGGTAAAATAACAGAGACACGAAGCGCGGTTCCGGCGTTGGCATCCGAGATAGCAGCCACGGCTGAACTGGGAGCGGTAGTGGGTGCAGCGGCAGGAATCACTGCTGCAACAGAAGAAGAAGTGGCAGCAGGAAGAATGGAAGAGGAAACAGCAGAAGCGTTTACAGGTAATGTCACATTGGTTTCCTTATAAGAGGATACACCAGCACATTGACCTACAGTGACAACTTTGTATGCAGCCTATCAACAAAAAAAAAAATTGTAAGTATACATACTCGCCCCAATAAAAAAAATTTACCTGAAGAATGGGCAAGTTCTTGATGGCAGCTTGTACAGTCACCAACATAATATCATGCTCTAAAGAAAGACCACCAGTAGAAGAAGTATTTGCTTCGCCAGCCCATTCAGTAAAGTTACCATCAATCCATTCAGATTTAAAGCCAGGAACTTTTTCAGCAAGCTATAAAAAAGATAAGGGCAGGTTAATATGTATGCGAGATAGAGGTGTGGGGGCTTTTTTTTTTTTGATTTACCATCCAATCATTTGTATCATGATCCCAAATTACGGCTATCAAACAAAACAAAGAGTGAGTAACACAAATAGTGGCAAAAATTAATTTAAGATAACTTACAAGTGAAACCAAGAGCTGTTCCGATATCTCTAACACGATCATCGATATCACCATAAGGCTATTATATATAAAAAAAGAAGTTCAGTACAAATATACACACACACAGAAAAAGGGTTGGATTCCTTTTTAGAAATAAAGTAAACGTACAGGTCTGAATAAACGAGGGGAAACACCAGTAATTTCTTTAATGGCTAATTCAGTCCATTTCAGTTCAGCAACGATTTGTTCATTGGTGAGTGTAGTCATATAGCTGTGAGTCCAAGTATGAATAGCAATCTCATGACCTTCGTCAAATGCACGCTTTACAGTAGCGGGATATTTACGCACGTTGGATCCAATCATGAAGAGGGTTGCCTTTTGGTTCGTTGTCTTTAAGAAGTCATACAACATGGGAGAGACATCCGATGGTCCATCATCGTAAGTAAGACCCCATTGACCTTTAGGACAATCACCGATACTTGAGCCCATACATCCGGATTTAGCCCAATCGCAGTAATTATCAGTGCCACTGGTACTAGGTCCTATTATTAAAGAATAACGTTTAGTTTTTTTTTTTTTGACAACAAAAAATCAAATGTTCTCATCAGATATATATTTTTTTTTACCATCATCGCCATTGCTTTTCAAGATGGGTGCATTTGTGATATTTGCGTTTTTGATGAGCTCCATCCATTCAGGTTTAGGAACAGGCTTTGCGCCATCGGCAGGATAAGTTGAGGTGGTAGTGGTTGCAACGGTAGTACTATTTTGTGCCTGGATCACAGAGATCAATGTGAAGGCAGTAGCGATAGAAGCGATCAATCTCATGACAATAAAAAAAGATGAATAAAAAAAAAAAGGGTGTGAGAGTGTAAAGAAGTGTGAGAGAGAAGAAGAAGAAAAAAATAATAAGGAAGATGAGTTTATATAGCCCAAAAAAAAAAAAAAAAAAAAAGGTCAGGGGGGATGCTGTTGTTGCGACGGAATTAAGGGGCGAAAAAAAAAAAGGTATCGTTAAAGAAGTAGGTACACAAAGTTACTGAAAACGACAGAATTGACATCTAAAAATAATACGGCTTTGTTATTAATAATCTTAATATTTTTTTTTTTGTGGTTACCCATTATTATTATTGATATATACTTTTTATTTTTTCCTTTTTGGAGTGATGCTCCTTGTGTGTACCTGTTTTATTGTTTTTGTGTGTGTATTTTTGTTTATTTATGAATGCTACATTATACATTAGAATAAACAATCTGTGTATTCTATTTTTACGCCCAAACAGACCTCTCTATACATTTTCATAAACAGTGTAGTTACCAGGAATAGCTTTTTTCCTGTATCACCTAAACCCGAGTTAAAAAAAAAAAAAAAAGATAACAAAATGTTTTTTTTTTACACCATTGACATTGATAATCTCCAGATGTAAACTGGGGTGAATTAAATATTTCATTAGTCATTCGAACCAATGCTCACGTGGGGTCTCTCAACTTTTTTTAAACAATAAGTTATCAGGGGCTATATTGTTCATCTATACATCTTGGCGAAGTCATTTTGTAAAACCGTACAACTCATGTTGTTGTGATACGCACACTATTTTTTTTTTTTTTTTTTAAAGGGATGTACCACTTGCAGAAATCAACTAATATTTTCACACACACGGAATATAAGAACCTTTTTTTTTTTTTTTTAAATCGCAAATCTAATTTTGACGTGGCTTTTTAGTGCGAGGTGAGTACAAGTGAGGCTCTGCATGTCAAGACGTGATCGATTTTTTTTTTTTATAGATGGATACTCAAAATATTTGGATCATGATTATCATGGAAAAATGAATAGAGATATATATAACAGCTGTCAACTTTTTTTTTTTTTTTTTTTTTTGGTTGATTATAAAACATGTAAGGTACACCTTACATTCAATGTAGAAGTTAAGGTATGCAGGGTGTTTGAGTTGTTGCGAAACAATAACAAACTGAAGTGAGTGACATCATCTCGGTACTGTTTTCCTTTTTACTTTTCGGTTGTTATCAAGGGCCAATTGAAAATATGTACAATTAAATAGAATGTTACGGTTAAAATATATAAAGAAGGGAAGGATTTCATTTATTTATTTTGATTTTAACCTGTATCAAAATGAGGAGAATTAAGGGTACAACAACAACAACAAAAAAAAAAAAGAGAGAGAGAGAGAGAGAGAGGAAAATAAGTTTATACAGGTATTCAGGTGTTTGGGTGTTCAGGTGATTCAGGTATATATAAGGTGTATATAGGGTATATATATATATAATAATAATAATATATCTATTATTGGGTTTAGACCCTAGGAATGAAATTTGAATAATTTACATTCATTGCGGTTGCTGCAGCAACTGTAGCCACCGCCGACGCTGCCGACGCTGCCGATGGATGGTAACTAGAGGAAGACCAGCTGAGAACAGAGTGACTGTAATATGCTTTTTTACTTGTCTTATCCACCATGAAATGATCAGCGGATCTTTTATTCATTCTTCTGGAGGGTGGTGTTGAAATAAAAAGGGCTCTTGCCGTGAGTTGTGACATCCAATGTTGACATTGAGAAGTCCATGAAAAGAACTGGACGTGATGAACACAAGTTCGGTATTGCAAGGCTGATAAAAATTCCATTTCCATAATGTTTAACTCGTGCAAGGGGACACTTGATACTTCAGACCATGTCTTATAGAGGATATAGTTAGTTAAATGATTGGGGGGTTGATATATATAAAAAAAGATCTTTACCTTGTTCGTAAAGGTATTGTCGTCTAAAAACTTGTTGGCTAGGATAAGGGCCGTAGTGAAGAGTCTGACTTCTGATCCCATAGAGCCTCGTATGGATGGATAGGCGAATCGTAATCTATAAATGTAAAATAAGGCGACAAGGATACATGAGCTTGATATCTGTGTCGCCTTGATGATATTCTGACAAAATGTTCTAAAGAGATTTAAACGATCCGTTGTCATAAATGGTGTTCCAGTCCATATCTTTGGGACCAAATGAGCTACAAATTCCGATAATTGAATTGTATTTGTACAAGTGAGAATGGAGGATGGCATGATTTAATAAAAAAAATAAAAGAGGGAGAGAGAGAGAGAGAGAAACAAATGATTAAAAAAAAAAAAAAAGAATTGAAATCATTTAAATATGTTCATGATAATATGCATTTAAGCTTAATGTTGCTATTGTTGTTATTGTTGTTATGTGAGTTGCAATATTCCGAATTCGATTCCCCTTTCCCTCCCTTTTCCGTCATTTTAACCCTACTCTCTCCCCCCACTAACTGAGTTTACATATTTTCATTCTTGGGGAGTGAAAAAAAAAAAAAAAAAATTCTCAAGAAAAAAAAAAAAAGGGCGGGCTTTTTTTTTATTATTATTATTATTTCCTCCCAACCATGAGTAATGTCGACATTGTCCATGCTGTACTAAAGAAATATCATTCTTTACCAAAGGGTGGTAAACCTATTCAACACGAGACAAAGGCAGAGTGGACTGTATTAGCGTCTATTGTCATGGGTAAAGCCCCAGTCTATCTTTTTTTTTTTTTTTGTGTCAGCTATATCTGACCTTGTCTTTTTTTTTTTTGTAGTCAATGACAAGGGAGAAATTCAAGTCATATCCATCGGGTAATTGGGGGGAGGAGGAGGAGGAAATAAAATCATTTTTTATATATGTATGTGTGTATATTCATTTTTTAATATATGCAGAACTGGACTTAAATGTCTGCCTTTTAGTAAACTTTGCAAGACGGGTGATGTATTAAATGATTGTCATGCAGAAGTGATAGCGCGTAGAGGATTTATAAAGTATGCAAAAAAAAAAAATTGGGGGGAGATCTCTCTCTATCACTGTCTCTCTGTAAAATGTATTATTAAATTTTCATCCTAGATATTTACTAGCACAAGCTAAAATCGCAACTTTAAACTCGAAACCATTTTATTACAAGGACAAGGTTCTTTTACAAGATCCAGCTTATACTTTTCACATGTACATTAGTCAATCGCCCTGTAAGATCTCATTATAAAAAAAAAAAAGAAAGGCAATAGTGACTAAACATAGAATATATGATAGGTGGAGATGCTTCCATGACTGCCCTAGCTCAGGTCCAAACACCGGAATCTTTATCAAATTTTGAATCCGGCTCTCATAAACGCAAATTACAGACCACAGTAGAGCCATTTTTAACCCATAACATTTATGCAAATAAAAAACAAAAAATGATGAATGGTGGACAGTTATTTCAAAGAGGCAGATTTAAATTTGATGAAATTGGTATTTTAAGAACTAAACCAGGTCAGTAAGCAAATATGACATACACATTTTGAAAAAGGAATGATTATTTTACTAGTTTTTTTTTTTTTATTTATTTATGAAAGGCCGTCTTGATTCCGAACCTACACTTTGTATGTCATGCAGGTAAATACTTTAAATACATTTCTCTCTCTCTTTCTCTTTTTTAACCTTTTTTTTTACGTGCAGTGATAAATTAGCAAGGTGGAATGTCTTGGGTCTACAATCGGCTTTACTCTCAGGTCTGTTTAATCCGGTCTATCTGGAATCCATCATCGTAGGTGATCTGTTTGACAAGGAGGCTTTGGAACGAGCTTTATATAAAAGACTGTATAAAATCAAGGGTAAAGAATTAAAGATTGCTTCATGTGAAGATCGTTTGGCTAATAAGAAAGAGAGAGATTAGATGAACTGTCTTTACCATTTCGATTGAATGAACCACGCATAGAGAGTACGGATATTCCATTTGAAAGCTCCAAGAGCCATTTAGAATCAACGGGTAAATACAGCAAGATCATCTCAAGTGCAACCAGTCTATTGTGGGTGACGGCTAACAACAACAACAATAATAATAAAGCGGAAGTGTTTGTGAATGGCCGAAAGCAAGGTGCACCAAAAGGAAAAGCGACCAATGAAAAGACAAGGCCATCAATCAGTAAGAAAAGCTTATGGAGCGAATTCAAAGCGATCCTTGGACAAGAAGAGATGAAGACATATGGTGCATTTAAGGAGTCACAATTGAAATATCAAGAGGCCAAGACATGTTTATTGGAAAGAGTGTTTGATGCTTGGGTTCAAACACCCAAAGAGTATGAAGAGTTTACATAAAAAAAAAAGTGTTGTTGTTTGTTTATCATCATGCTTTTAATAAATTTTTTTTTTTTTTTTTAATATCCACCCCTTAAAACGTATTCATCCTCCCCCCCTTTTTTTTTTATTATTTACTTTACCCGCCTTTTTCTCCTTATTGCATCTCTCTCTCTCTTTTTTTTTTTACTCCTTGAACTTTATACAACAAAATTACCCTTTCTCTCTCTTTTTTTTTTTCTTCTTCTTTTCTCTCTCTCTCATTTCCCCCCACTGAAATAAAACCATCTAAATCCATTCCATTCGTTACACATCAATTATGGATAACAATTTAGACTTGGAAGGTCAGACCGCTCCTGAATCTACGCGAGGTCTTTTTGACTTCCCAGAGGTAAACAAAGAGAGAGAGAGAGAGATCCTTACCCTTTATATTATTAACACCTAAAATAGAACTCCAAAAGATCTGATTGGATTGAAAAGAAAAGACGACCTGCCTCCTCTGATATGCGTACAAGTAAAACCTACAGCAAGGGACAACGTGGTCTCCACACCGTCAATGAAGAAGACTACTACTATCAACAACAACAACAACAAAGCTTTGGACATCAACAACAACAGCGTGAATCTATCACTCCTTTATATCAAAGAAAGCAACGTTCCTCCGTCACCCATTTTAATAATTTTCCCCCTTTGATTAAATCAGAGGATGAACCTAGATCCAGAGCAGATGTACTTGCTGAAACAGAAGCTAAATTAAGTGGAGGTCGTTATGAGACAAATCACACACGTACACAAGACAAACAAAATCGTAGATTATCCGAACCCAATCAATACGTAAGTCAACATGATGCACGAAAGCGTATGTCCTTTCAACAACAACAACAACAATTGGATGATTTTGATCTAAAGAGAAATTCATCTCGTCAACAACAACAAGATTGGAGAACAACAACATCTTCAAGACCTCATTCAACCGTAGGCGTCGTCAATAATCATCGTTTTTCTACTGGATCTACTAGTTTTGAAAGCACTAGCGTCACGACGACCAATAATAATAATAACAATCAGAGAAAACCGTTGTTTGCTTCTCATCTCCCTTTTTCCTCTGTTGTACCTCATTTGAAATCCAATGTGCTCGTGAGTGGTCTGTTACGTGTTAATAAACGAAATCGTTCCGACGCCTATGTGTTTTGTGAAGATATCAATGCGGATATTTATATTTGTGGTTCACGTGATCGTAATCGAGCTTTAGAGGGGGACCATGTGGCCATCAAATTAATCGAGGTAGAACAAGTCATGTTGGAGAAACGAGAAAAGGAAGAAGCAAAATTAGCTAGAAATAATGGGTTGCGCGTTGATCGTAAACCAGATGAAGAAGATGAAAAGGAGATCATTTTTGGTGGTGAAGAAGATGTCGATTGTGTTACACCAAAGCATTGTGGTGTCGTCGTGGCTATCCTGGATCGTGCGCAGAAACAAGTTTTCTCTGGGTATAAAATTAAAGTTTTTTTTTGTTTTTTTTTTTGTTTTTTTAACTTTCTTTTATTATTTAAAAGCACGCTGGGTCTCACTCGTCCAAGTAACAAGAGGTCAAGAAATGGTGTAGAGGATGGACAACGCGATAGTTCGGTACCACGTATCATTTGGTTTAAACCTACAGATAAACGTGTCCCTTTGATTGCCATCCCTGTTGAACAAGCTCCTTCTGGATTCATTGAAAATTGTGACGCATTTGAGAACAGGCTCTTTTTGGTAAGGCTTCTTTTTTTCTGTCCAATGACAAATCATTTTTTTTTTTTAACATCTATTATTTTAAAAAAAAAAAAAAGGGATCCATCAAAAGATGGCCAATCACCTCTTTGCATCCATTTGGTGTGCTTGAAAATGAATTGGGTCCAGTCAGAGACACACGAGTTCAATTACGAGCGATCCTAGCCGATAATAATTTCACTACCCAGGTTTACCCTGAATCTTTTCTTCGTCAGCTCCCTACGAATTTACTCAACCCGGAGTCCATCCAACGCGAGATCCAATCCAAACTCCGTCGTGATCTACGACGATCCATTCAACCCATCACGATGTTGGATGACGCGGGTGGCTTTTTAGAGAACGCCTTGTCTGTCACTTCGGTCAAAGAAGAAGGGACATTTGAGGTGGGATTGCATGTGGCGGATATTACGGCTTTTGTAGGTGCTGATTCCCCTTTAGATAAAGAGGCGAGGTCTCGTGGTATCGATGTCTATCAAACCATGTCAGAAAGTGTCCCCTTATGGCCCGATCAACTTCGACATGAATGTACGGATTTCGTACCGGGTCAAGATCGATTGGCTTTCTCTGTTATTTGGACTATTCGTAATACGGGAGATATTGTAGATACCTGGTATGGAAAGACAGTGATCAAGTAAGTTTTTTATTCCAAAAAAAAAAAAAAAAGACGCAATTGTTGTTTTTAACATCCCCCCGTAAAGTTCGAAGGCAGTTTTAACACGACAAGAAATTCAAGCCATGCTTGATTACAGTCAAGGCAATAGTGAAACAGATACTGAACACGATGCCACAATTTTATCCGATATTCAAACCCTGTACTCCATCTCTCAACTGATCCATGAAAACCAAAGTCAACATGCTTTATCCATCACGCGTCCCCATCTCGATATTCAATTTGGAGAGAACACCACCCCAATTCATATTTCAGCACACACACAATTGGAATCCGAACAAATCCTACGTGAATTCCAAATCTTGGCCAACACCCAAGTAGCTCAAAAGATCTGCAGTCATTTCCCAGACCACGCACTTTTAAGAAACCAAGCCGCACCCAACGAACGTAAGTTACGCGGTCTGACGCGATACCTGGACAGTCTGGGTTATCAGATTCGACCCGAAACATCGGGCAGTTTACAACATTCCATTGACGCCATCGATAACCTCGAAGCCAAGGCCGTGATCGCTACCTTGGTCATGAAGGCCATGAGTCAAGAGAAATACTTTTGCACAGGTGTCTTTGATATCAGTCGATACCATCATTATTCATTAGCTGTCCCACTCTATACCCATTTCACATGTCCTACCAAACGTTATGCCGATGTCTTGGTCCATCGTCAATTGGAAGCCGCTCTCAATGGTTCCTCGTTTTTCTTTATGGAACCCGAGACCGTTCAAAAGACCGCTCAACATTGTAACGTCAAAGCCAGAGCAGCTGAAAACGCTGATGAACAGACACAACATATGTTCTCATCGTATTATCTGGCGGATAATTCGGGTCTCACCACCAGTCGTATCGAAGACGCCATTGTCGTGGGTGTACAAGAAGATGCCTTTGATGTCATCGTACCTCATTTGGGTCTCGAAAGAAGAATTCATACCACCAATTTACCTCTCAAGTCACATACATTTAAACCTACCGAGAATGTGCTTCATTTAATCTGGGTACAAGGTGAAGCAACCGTTGATGCCGGTGTGGAGACCCATCTTTCCTATTCTTCTTCTGAGGAGGAGGAGGAGGATGTAATTTTAGTCGATGTAGAATGTGATGAGGATGAGGATGTGGTGGAACAAGTCAATCGACTCTCGATTAAACCATCCATGCCTTTAGTGACAAAGGTAGAAGAAGAAGAAGAGATGGTAAAGAAGAATCGTAGAAGATCTACCTCTATTCGTGCTATTCAGGGTGAAGATGCTTGTATCACACAAAAGGAATGTACCTTTCCAAATGAAGGAAGACAGCTGATAAGACCCTTTGATTTTGTCAAGGTCGTTATTACGGCAGATCCCATTCGAAGTCCTCCTTTGATCAGAGTTTTGGCTGCCAACCCATTTATTACTACCCATCATCCCATAAATTAAATTAAAATACGCACACACAATGAGTGTATGTGTGTGTGTGTCTGGAAAAATAGTTAAAAAAATAAATAAATTATATAGGTTTTTTTTTTTTTTTTTTTTTTTTTTTTTCAAACGTAATTTTTTAGAATCACATGATGGTCTTACACGTCCTGATGGACATGCCATATCGTCTTAAGTTCATAGGATGTTTGCTTCACTGTCTGAAATTGCTTTGGGGAGGGTGTTTTTTTGCCAAGTGTTTCTATTTTAAGTAAAGTCCCAAACATGATGAGACATGAAACAATTTAAATCATTCTGACATAAGCTCTTGTTTATCAGTCTACAAATAAAAAGCTGGGTTCACACACTTTATTCTTTTCTCCCCTTTTCCCCCCACTTAACTTTCTATCGTATGAAAGCAACCAACATAAAAAAAAAAAAGGTGAGTTTAGTAGTGACTCTTGCTTCAAAAAAAGACGTTAAAATTGAAAAAAGAAAAGATAGATGGGCGGTTGTGGCTAGTCTTTGCTATAGGAGAGGGGCGACTTTCCCTAAGGGCAGGGAGTGCTTGGAACTCTGTGAATGGCTGTGATTACACTGTAAATAGTGTTAGTCATACTGGCTGGCTGGCTGATAGCCCCAGAATTCCTGTAAGTGGTATATATATATATATAAAAAAATAGATGTTTGAAAAAAAAAAAAAAAAATACGGAGGTCTAGACACTAAAGATCAGATTTCTGGGATCATCCAGTACGAATTCTAAGGGCCTCAAAAAACGAGCGAAGCAACTGCGTTTAACGGTTGGTCATGTCGTAGACTCTAGACCAGTTTCAATTTTAATAAAGAAGAACTTGTCAGAGGTATAACAATTAAAGTTATATATTTGTACAGTTTTTTAATAATGCATTTTTTTTTTATTAGCAAGAAAACTTGCACGTTTGAAAGCTCGTTTCAGCTTACAAGCTGCAAAAGAAGAAGAACTTGCTGCGCAGAAAGTTGTCGAAGCTGAAACAGATAGTGACTCCGCTCCTCGCCCCTCCAAAAGGAGAAAAAGGCTTGATTTAAAAAAAGTAAAGAAGCTTGATACAGGAGGAAAAGTAGCAATAATTGTCGAATATTAGTAAATATTAAGCTGAAAATATGTACCTCTTCTATGCAAATATGTAACTAATATAACCAACAGCTTCCATGATAAACAGGTGCTGGATTCGACAAAATCAAGAGCAATACCCTCAAGATGTAAGGATATAATTGACTCGATTTTGATTGATTCAGGACTACAGCTACATCCAAGATTAACCAAGGCTGAGCACGAAATCTTGACAACTCTATCCGAATGCACCAGTAAAAACAGCCTCTATACTACTGTCAATGCAATTGATCTTTTTAGTTCTCAAGTTGAATTATCATTTATAAAGATGGCAGTTTTGAAATTGTACGTATCAGATTGTAAATATGTAATGTTTAGTTGACTGATTTAATTTGTTTAGGTGTTTATTGTACCATGGGGAATGACTTGAAGGAGAACACAATGAAGATTGGTACCGTGTAAACGTATATGGCATTGTTGTTTGACCTGTTTTTTTTTTTTTTTTAAAAAAAAACAGGTCAAAACATGGTTACAAAACAAAAAAAGGGTAAGAACGTATTATCTCTTTTTTTCAGTGTCACTCTTATTCAAGTTTTTACAGATCAGAATGCCATTCGGAAACTATCCTCTATAGTCAATACTTTATCTTGTGACAGTAAAAAAAAAAAAAAAAGGCATGATCGGTGATGCAATTACCGCGATGATGCTTGGTGAAGCGAAATGGTTTCGTAGATATTGATGAAAAGGCCATTCGTTTGGATTTCATATTTACGAAACTCCGCTGGTATTGAAGATGTGTTTTTCTGTGAGGACAAGCCAACTACCAAAGTATCGCATAAAGACAAAATTAAAGCCGACTATTTAAGAGAAAGCTCACTCCGCCATTGGTCTAGTGTCCTTCCTTACAACGAAGAAGGCACCCAGCATTTTATGCTCTTTATCATGTCACTTCGACAAGTTAAACCTGAGAATAATGGGAACCAAGCTTATTAATGGGATTACGGTTCATGCTTGTCTCAAAGAAGTAAATATCCCTCTCTCCAATGACGATGGTGCTGGGATCGCTGACAGCATTTGACTGCTGTCATTTCTTTGGGTTGTTTTGGCCATGGTGTGTATTGTTTTAACGAAAAACATGTTTTTTGAAAAAAAAAAAATGTAAGTAGAAAAAAAAAATTTTTTTTCATTTTATCTATAATATATTAACAACCGATTACTTCTCCATAGACAGGAATGGTCACTTGGAACTTTGAGGCTATTAAACTCATGATACAAACTGCACAGAAAGACGACATAGCATTTTTAACGAAGCCAACCACGCCAAAGATCTGCTACAGAGACGACTCCCCTTCTTCAGAAGGTATTGATAACAACGCCGAATCATCATCTTCATCTGTCGATGTCAGCTGGGAAGAGGACGAAAAGAAATTGAGAATAATGGAGGATATCGAGAACAACCTTGCGGAGCTTTTAAAAAAGACCAACGAACAGTATGTTTCTTCTTCGTGGGAGAACATTGTTTTTCCTAAGCCCTTATATGGTTATGGTTTTTTTTTTTTTTTTAGTTTAAATAAATTGGATTTGGCTACCTAATTTCAATGGTGTTGCTACTGGTGCTGCCGGTGCTGGTGCTGCCGCTCTCGGTGCTCATGAACACAACAAGCATACTGATCCTAACACCACTCATGCCGGTGGCGCTGCCAATGCACTCAAGGGCGATCATGGTTATGCCAACCACAACAAGACCACTGGTACCCACAATCCCGCCGGTGTTAACCCTGAAGAGCCTGGTGTTCATGATTCTAGAGGTGTTCGTCATGCTGGTGTCCCTCTTCATGAAGGTCTTTCTCCTGTTCAAAAGAACTCTCCTCATCAACAAGATGGCGTTGAAGGTGAACATGATCTCAGTGGTTCTCCTGGTAAGGTCAAGGCTGGTGATAAGATCAAGGGTAACCTTGAAAAGTGTAATACTTAAGGTTTAAGGACCGAAAGACAAGATGCAAAAAGGTGCCACTTTGAAGGTGCCTCTTCAAAGGTGCCTCCTCAACAATTCTAAACCTATCATTCTTATATTACTTAGCCATTAACTTAAATTATCTTTACTATATAAACTATCATATTTCTATCAATAAAACATCATTCTATTTTTCTACTTTATATTTTATTGTGATTATAAAAGATAAATATTCTTATTTAATCATATTTATTTTCTGACATATAATCCTCATCTATCCGGGTCGCACTATTGCAAAAAGATCGTCGGTAAGGTGACTGGTAATGAAGCCTTTTCAAAGACCTGGCCCTCAGCTTTTGTCTCTCCTACTTTCTTAATAACAATCCTGATCAATCAAGCCTATATCACTACTACTATTATATTAACTATTCACTCGGAATACTACGGTACTTGATTATTAACGTATAACATCACATTACTGATTTACATCACACGAGCTCCTGGTACATCATTTTTTTTTATATTATTCTATTTAATAAAAACAGAACTTTAAATTTCGTTTAATGTTTACAATATATCGTAGATTTTCCCAGAAGATGAAGCGCAACATCAAAAAGCATATAAATAGAGGAAATATTTAATTTATTTCCTAGACTTCTATTTTTTAAACACTTCCTGTTTCTTATTTAGCCCTTTGAATATTACTATATATAACGTACCAGATGAGTACATGCATTGTTTTAATGAAATGGACGAGATGCCAGTGTCTGATCCCATAGAACTTGAAGCGGTCCAAAATGAATTATGCACCACTGTCAGTTTGGATTGGCGCTATTGGAACCCGACGTTAAGAAACTTATGGATTTATAAGTAGCTATCAAGGCTTTTTACCCAAAAAATAATTCTATGAGTAGTGAAACATCAGAGGCACATGCTAAAGAAAAGATAAGCAGCTCACAACTGCAAAAGTAAAAAATTCTGACCCGCAAAAAAAAAAAAAAAAAAAAGTCCTGGCAAACTTGGAGTAAAAAACCAAATTATATATTTTTATATATCGTTATTAGCGGACTCTAGTCTAAGTAATAGTGTTTTTGTTTTGTATGTTTACCAGCCTTCCCATTCATCATCCGAATCGTTCTTGACAACCTTCTTTACTGTTGAAGCTTCTCTCAGAGGAGTTCTTGTTCTAGCAGGTTGTTGTTGAGCAGCAGCGGGTGATGCACTACGGGGTTGTTGTAAAGAATGAATGGTAGAATTGAAAAAGTCCTCATTGGCATCATGGTTGTTGGTATGATTGGAGGAACTATAGTTACTTCTTAAACTACTACTACTGCTACTTCTATTGGATTGGCTCAACGAGTCGTTCACAAGACTTCGTGTCTTGTCACCAAACGTCTGAACATAACCCGTGACATTATTTCTAAAATTAGGATCATTCCATTGGGATTGTGCAGGTTTAATGTAATTCTCATTGGTGTAACGTCCGATTTGACCAGCGCCCTGAGCTGCCACTTTCACGCCCTCCGCAGCGACTTTACCTAATTCTTCCATACCCATAGATAATAGAGACCATCCCTTTGTCAATGCTTGCATCGGATCGTTTATAATATCGTCAATACCTGGTGTTGCATTTCGAGAAGATGATGGACTTTCAACTAAGGGGGGAAGGGGGGGATCTTGGGGGGTTAAATCCTAATTTTGGTTTCTTCTATTCTATCATGGACTTACAAGCGGGGTTTCCGAAACCTGTGAATTTACCACCTTGATTAGGAGGAAGTGTACTATATATTTAAATGAAAGAGGTGGTGTTATTTGAACGGCAAACCGTGTCTTTTTTTTTTATTCACACAGGGGGGGACTTACGCATCTCGATTGACATTGGCTTGTCCCAATGTAGCAAAATAAGTCTCGTTTCTTTCTTTATCACTCACTAATCCACCGGCAGCAGCTAAATCACTACCAAAGGCAGGCGAGTTTCTACCGGACGATCCGTTACTGCGTTGACTACCCAAGGATCGTGTAGCGGCGGTAGTGACAGTACGTGCGGGTGTAGAGGTGGCAACGGGTGTGGCGGTTGCCTTGGATAGTGCTGGAGTCCAAGTTTTACCTTCTACCTCTGCAGCCAACTTTTTGGAGGGGGAAGAAGATTAATTTTTTTTTTTATGGGGGAGAGTTGCTTTCATGGTTACCTTTTCACGGTAGAGAGCAGCAAATCGACTACTGTACTTTTGAAGTGGAGCCATGGAGGGAGAGTAATCAGGTTGAGATTCGAAAAAGTCTCTTGCATTCTTATTGCCACCCATCTATAGAAGATGAAAAAAAGGGGGAGAGGGAATATAAACATGAGCACAGATGGAGAGGTAAAAGCGTTTAAAAAGGGCAAAAAAAAAAAAAGACTTACATCCATCTTTTTCAGTTGGTCATCAAACCACTTGTCCATACTAATGGAACGTACAAAACTTTTTTATAAAACGAGATGTTAGTTTTTTTTTTTTTCCAATGGCAAAGCTTTTCATCGAGGTTTTTTTTAAAAAGAAAAGGGTACCTAATATGTACACCAAAAGATCGATGTACGCCCGAACAATCGAGACAAATGAAAATACCATGACTTACACTTGCCCATTGAGGGTTAGGTGCTGGACAGTCAAAGCAGGTACGATTTTCCTGTCTTCGTTGAATTTCATAGAGCTTTTGTTTATACTCTGCCATGGTTATTTTTAAACAGAGCTTTTATTATTGAAAGAGAAAAAGTAAAAAAAAAAAAAAAAAAAAAAAAAAAAGAGAGAGAGAGGCACAAATTTTTTTTTTTTACGTTCCGGTTTTTAAATATCTGGTTGATCCGTTCCAAAAAGTTTTACAAAAGGTTTACAAACACGTTCAAAGAAATCGCAATAATGATTACTACAACAACCGAATCCAAAAGCTTCTCGATCACAAGCTACACCAGCTGAAATGCAATCTGTTGCTGAGACTGTGTACATGAATAGAGCCATCACCGATAAAAAATACAAGGTTTTCATCATGCTTATTTTTGGGTTGTTAAGAAGAAGTAAAAGAAAAATAATGAAAAAAAAGTGAAATAGAACAAAGATCGATGGGTATTCCCTTTTTTTTTTTTTTTTTTGTGTGTGTATGTGTGTATTGTTCATGTGATAGATGCATACATTTCTGCCATGTTCATTATTCAATAAAGAGGGGATAGATACAATTTCTCTCTCTTTCTCTCTTCTCAGGGGAAAAAAAAAAAGAAGTGCACACACACACACTTCACTGAACATTCTTCTGCACTTGAAATATTTGTGTAACCATGCTTTTTATTGTTCAAACTTTAAACAATTTTTATCCTGCAGTCTGACGTATCTAGAAACAAACATTTTATTATTTTTCAATGCTTCCTCTCTATACGAAATATAAGCATCAGCTATCACTTCACTTTTTTTTTCTTTTCATCAAAAAATAATAATTATTGCGTTGCTCAACCATATCATAAAGATACACTTTTTTACATATATATATCTACAGCTTATTGACGCGACAGGGAGATAGACATACTTGCCATGCAATTTTTTTTAAAGTTTGCCACATTGAATAACATGATTTTTATAGTGTTTTTTTTGCGCCAAAAAATAAGCGCTGATGATATCACCAAGTTGTTTCTTACTATATAATTCGCCTTTTGTAAACACACTTTCTTTCATGACAATGTCTTATTGCTGAAGGGAGGGGTGTTCTTAAGAGACAAACTACGAGTGAGAAAGTAACGCATCCTAATGAATATCAGGTAATCGGCTGATATAAAAGATACAAAAAAAAAAAAAAGGCGAAATCAAATCGGTCCAAAACTCCCCCTGTCTAGTTTTTATCATTAAGATTTACATCATGGCAATGACAATCCTACCTTGTGTACCCCTAAAAAAAATCTGAGCGTACCGTAATGAATAACTGTAAAAGAAGCCATCTTTTGATTCATTTAAAGGGGTTCGATGAAGATTAATGGAAAGAAAAGCACTTTTTTTTTTTTTTTTTGCTTATGCATACAAATATACCTATTTTTGAATTTGATTTAATGAGAATATAGCCCTTTTTCGTTGATATCAGTGATACACCTTTTGCCGGCGCAAGAAAAAAAAATTAAAGTGTCGCACTTCTTTTTTTAAAAAAAACAGTGTGCCGTATGTTTTTAAAAAAGAGTGTCGCACAATTCAGGAAAATAGTTGTCGCGTCTAAAAAGAGTAAATAGTGCCGTACTTTTCAAAAAAAAAAAAAAAAAAAAAAAAAATGTCGCATATATAATAGTTTATTAATTAATTAATTAAATAGAACGGCCTGTGCACCTCCTAGCCCGATACTCATTAAAAAATAAATCTTTGCCTGCAACTTTTTTTTTTTAAATCTTAATTACCAAGTGTCATATAAGTGTCGTAAGTCTCTCCATTTCTCTAGGATTAAAATGATTTCAATAGGCCTGAGAGCATACCATGCGTTAGATCAGTATCTAATCATTTTTCTAACATTTATTATATCTTGAGTTTAATTTTGAAGATGTGAAAAAGTACAATAATTCCAATACCCTACACTATAGTTGTATTCTTGGTACACTAACCACCACCCACCTTTTTTTTTTAAAGAACGACCATCGCACCTCCTTTACTTAGTTTTTTAAAAAGAATTACACGCAAACTTTGGGAAGAAACGAAACGACTGGCGCTTAATGGCGCTTCATACAAGTCCGTGAAAGGACTTTTTGCTGCTTCGTGTGCGCGCCAAGACCTCACCCTAAAGATGGTGGATATGGATAGTGGTGAAGGGTATGTCGTATACATTTAAAATTATTTTATACTAACTACAATTTCTATTTGAAGATTTAAATATCCACTATCTGTTCTCCACGAGCTGTTTGAAGAGGACAAGGACAGCATCAAGACGCCTGTCAATTTGATGTATGACATCATTTGTGTCTTGTGGATTACCCAAATGCCACATTTTCCTTCAAGGTTCTCTATTAAAGGGAATGTCAGACACAGACTTGATGGCTCTTTTGAAAAAATGTTCAATCCAAAAACCGATACATGTTTATAAATTTGACATAAATCAAACGTAAATACCATGTAAACATCTGTCATAAATGAAAGTAGTTTTTTAACACATCATTTTACTCTTCTCGCAGATTCGGGCATGTTCATTTTGCCAATGAAGCCGATGCCTCTTAGTTTTATCATTTCTATCACAACAGTTACCACATGTTGTGCACAAAACTCTACAATGTGTCGATAAAACCTCGTCGCGTTGAAGGGGCAGAAGTCAGTTATGTAAGTAAACAAGTGTTTTTTTACAATTGTTAATTATAAAAAAATACTAAACACAGTTCTGAAAACGCAGGACATTTCCCTGTGCCAAAGTCGATTGGATCAAGATGCCCATAGCTGGTGCACTTGTTTGTCATCTACTACGGATTATAATGGCCCTGTTGCTTCCTTCACCAACGCGGCTTTAAAAAAATTAATCGATGACTTGAGAGCCGATATCAGAAATGATGAAGAAGTCAATGAAAGAAAGATGAGAAGGTTGAGAGCTTTACAAAATGCATATGCATGTTAATGCTTTTTTCTAAAAAATAAACTCTCATGTTATATGACGACTAAAATTATGAAACTATTACGGTCTACACTATAATTATCTACAAAAAAAAAAAAAAAAAAAAAAAAAAAAGCATAAGCCAAAACGATTTCAGACAAGAAGTCTTCCCAAGATGAATGGATCCGTAAAAAAAAAAAAAATGGACAACAGTAAGATAAATCAGGAACATAAAAGCATAAGCCCAGCAGTGGCACTTAAAATCGGTTACATAAGCACAAAATAGTAGTTTTTTTCACCCCCAGCAGCAGTGGGCTTAAAGTTGTTTTATCTTTTAAGATATCGCTAAAAGCAAGAGATTTTTTAAAAGTTGAAAAAAAAAATCTATCTTTGACAAAAAAAAAAAGATGAGTCCTTTTCCTCTTCAAGAAAATAATCAATATTAACAATGATGACAACGGTGAGTAGAAAAAGCCATCATATTTTATTTTTATATTTTCAGGCACACTTTTTTTTTTTTGTCCGACTGCTGGGATTGATTTAGAACTTTTATGTAACTGCACTTTACGCTAGATAAGCATTTTTTAAGCGCTACTGCTGATGATACTCTAACTGACTTGCTCCTAGATTTCGTTGTAAAAAAAAAAAATCCATGTGACAAAGTTAGCATTTAGGAAGAGAAATTAGCTTTACAATACTGCTTCAAGGCGTTGACATATTTGAAAGTAAACTGAGGAAATACATGAAAGAAAAAATTTAGACTGTCGTCGCTGAAAAAGTCTACACTAAATGCAATTGGATGCTGCACGAATTATTTAATCTCGCTTCAAAAACTGAATGAAATGGCTGTCGGTATGGGGGTTTTCAGAAAGAGTATGTGTGTTTATCGGCGATGCAGGATTCAACTGGGAGCGACACATGCAGAAAAAAAAAAAAATAGGCCACTCAAAAATTATTGAAGCTGAAAGGAGAAGTAACAGAAAGGCGACCAAAAAAAAAAAGCTCAAGTGTCTGACTTGTATTACAGAAATATCTCATTGCCACCCTAGATCCGTTGAATGGAAATCATATTAGTAGCTCTAAAAGGAATTGAGAATTTCAAAAAAGAACGCTGTCACTAAACTATTATAAATGGCTGACTTCACCAAAAGGTCTCAATCGGAGCCCTTATAAGAAACACCCGCCAGAAAAAAAATCGATAAAAAGAAACAAATGGTTTGTTTGTTTCTATTTCCCGGGATCCAAACGCAACCAAATTTTCTGTTGCCAAGTCATCTTATATAAGGGTTTGCACGCCCCATTCCATCCGTTTAAAAAAACGTTTTGATGACGGCCCTTTACAGGGCCGTCATATTTAATAAACAATTATATATGCGACATGTTCTATTTAAAAAGCACGACAATTTAGCAAAGTAAACAATTGTTTTTTTATTAAAAGGATGAATAGACATTTTCTAATATGTATAAATATAGAAACATAAAAGTGAAAGGACGTGAAAAGGGCCTCATGGGGGGGGGGGTTGCCAAAAAAAAAATTCAATTTTATTATCAGGTGACTTGATTAAAAAAATATATATTTTTAGAGGAAGAATCTCAATTCTTCTTTTTGTTGTTGTTGATGGCGTAGCATCACGATCGAGACACGCACATACAAACCCAAAAAATGAATATCTTAATTTAATTTAACTCACCCTCACACAAAAACAACATGTATGCGTTTCTGATTGGCTTAAAATTTCTATCGATTTTTTTGCTTAAAAAGAAAACAAACTTTTTTTTTTTTATATATGAAATAGAAACGCCCTATGTTTAAAAAAAAAGCTGATTTTAGACAAATTGAAAAACGTCAAATTTGCCATTATAAATAAATAAAAAGAATCTCACTTTTTTTTTACATCGCTTTCCGCTTTTTTTTTTTTTTTTTTTTGTTCATCTTATCATCATGAAATTAAAGGCTTGTATTAGTTTTGCTGTTCTACTAGTGACAGTTGTGAACGCGTTTGCTGGTATGTATGAGACTTTTCCTCCCTGTCTATTGCTCTTACAATAAAAGAGGTTGACCTTTCTAACAATTTTTCCTTTTTTGTCTTTGTCAGAACCCAATAATCAATGTCCAGATTATCAGTTAAAATGTCCAGAGTGTGGACCCAATGAAGAGTGTGTGTATCCTAATAGTAATGGTTGTGAAGGTGCAGGTATACCCGTTTGCAAATCTACACAATGTCAAACGGTTCGATGTAAAGGTCTAGGCAGTACATGGTAAAGTTTTTTTTTTTTTTTTTTTTTTTTTTTTTCATCTGTATAAAAGGGTTATTTGTTTACATCATGCATTAAAACTATCTCAAAAAAAGTCCCAAGGAATGTCCATTCTTCTGTACCTATGAAGAATCACCGTGTTGTCCATTTACAAGTGAACCCGTCTGTGAACCTGTCTGTCAAACTTTTGCTCCATGTAAAGTCACACCCTGTCCCACAAACTGTCCTGGGCGCTGTCATTACCCAGACGCAGGTTCCTGTTGTCCTCGCAGTGGTAAAGCCGTCTGTAACGTAAACCATGCTCATCCTAAGCGAAATGGAGGCATAGGTTATAAAAATGGGGGTCGTCCAAATGAAGAGGTCTGGGGTGTAGCTTACTCTCTGGAGGCCCAAGGATGGACTCAAGCGTATGAAGATTTCCCTTGTACACATGCCGAGCATCAGAGTCATTATCATGATCATAATGATGGATATGGCCATGGTGATCATTATGGTCATAATCATGGCCATGAACAGGACTATGAATGTGAGCAACATGATCATCATCATCATCATGGGGAAGGCTATGGACAGCATGATCATTATCAAGGTGACGATGATTACTATGAGGGTCTCTTTGTTGGAGGAATCAATACAGAGGGCGACCATGAATGTCACTCTTGTGCTAAAACTGTCACTGACATTGATATCAGTTTGGAGTTTGTCACTACAACGGTTCAACCGGATGATATATTTTGTGCTCAATACATTATACCTTGGTAAGACCAAAAAAAAAAGAGAGAGAAGGCTCTTATTTCGTTTCGTATATTCACCTTTTTTTTAAAAAACTCTCTGTATAGTCCTGATGAATGTGCTGATAGCTGTGTCTACCCAATGGATCAACCCTGTCCTTATACTCTGCAACCTTGGTGTCCCTCTTCCTATACGGAAGAATGTGACTCTGTGTACCCTACGGAAGGATATCCTTACCCTTATTTCCCAACGTACGATCCTTATTATAGTACATTCAGTTCATTAATGAATGGCTCTGGTGTGACAGAGACACCTTCGTTCATCACCGAGGTTCCTGCTCATACCCCAGTGCAAATATGTCCATTGATCTTTAGATATTGGTAATAGAATATTTATATATATATACAGAAGACAAATGGACTAACATTTTTGACTTTTTCAAAAAAAAAAAAAGTCCTGTAGAATGTCCTGATTCATGCCTTCGTCCAGATGTACCCTGTCCTTTTGCAGTAGATGGTTACTGTCCCGGAGATACTCCGACTACAACGTATGAGACGAGGAGGAAAAAAAAAAAAAAGATAATTAAAATTAATTTGACATGATTTTTAGGATCTCTGAAGCGGCTTTAATTACACCTACTGCCGAGACAGTGGTAGGGGGTGAACTCATGTGTCCACTTTATTTATTAGCCTGGTAAAAACAAAAAGTTTTTTTTTTTGGGATACGAGAAGGTCCAATTTGTTTTGTGTCTTTTGTTAACAATCATTCTTTTATTTAATGCTGTGTAGTCCCATTTGCCCTGAAGGATATTCTTGTTCAAGAGAGACCAAAGGTCACTGTGCTAATACAAATGTTCCTTATTGCGTATCTACCATTTCTCCCGAGACAGCAGAAGTTAAGACAGCTGCTCCTATCTTTGAATACTACCCTTCCTTGTCCGCCCCATCTGCTGCCCCATTAAACCGTCTTGCCCAAAAAGTAGAAGCACATGACGACATCGTCTCCCCAGTAGCCGCAACCGTGCCATTGAGCCGTGACGCTGCGGGTGCAACTCCTGATCCATGTGCCGAAGCTGGACTTGTCAGGGTAGCCACCAAGCAGGTACTCCAACAACTTCAAGAGCATCGTTCGGAATGTCATGATTGTCCAGCTTTGGATTGGGATGATACCTGTCCAAATACATGTATCTATCGTACAGAAGATAATTGTTGTATTCAAACTCGTTGTCTCCCCAACTAGTATATTCATATATGTAATAAAATAAAAAAAAACAGGAGAAAGGGAGGGAGGGGTTTCTTTATAATAATAATAATCATAAAAAAAAAAAAACTCCTATAAAATACATTAAATATATATCTTTCTTTCTTTTTTTATTATTCTTTTTTTTTGAAATACAGAATGAAATTGTTTTTGGTTGCCTCTTTGGCCATCTGTTTATTAGCCAAATCTTCTTATCAAGCTGAAGACTTTCGTAAAGCCTGTCATGGTAAATTTGAAGCAGGTTCCAACATCTGTGATAAATTTAATTTTATATCAAGTCAAGAGGTCAGCATCCCCATTGTTCAAACAACAGCACACACAAAAAAAGTGGAAGGCTAACCTTACTTATTTAAAATACACAACAACAGGCTGTTAAAAAAGGTTGTGTGACGCCCACCAACGGCACCACATTTTATGATTTAAGTGAATTGCCTCCAGTGGATGCTATTGATCCCCATACTGCCATCATGGCTAGTTTAATTACAAACGTTTTTGAAGACGGAGATGCTAATTTTGCCTTTGCGTAAGTTAAGTTGTAAAGTATGTGTATATGGGGGGGGGGGGTTTTTTTTTAACGTTTTTTTTTTTTTTTCATTGTTCGATATAAAAAAAAAGCTCATGTAATGATATCAATGATTTGAGAGGTTACACCAGTGGTTATGCAGGATTTACTGTAAGTATCATTTTTTTTATTATTCTACCAACGTGTATACTAAGGATAATTCTCAAATAGACTGGCACGGGAGACTCGGAAACCCTGATTGAATCCTACACATTACAGGACCCGAATAATACATTAGCGCCTTTTCTAGAGGCTATTCATCAGATCAGCGCATTACCTCACTGTGATCGAAAGAACCGAGGAAATACGTCTTCATTGGAAGGTTTTTGTGAAGCATGGAAAGAAGAAGCCTGTGACCCCAGTCACGCGTTTTCCAAATTACAAAGAGACTGGGTCTATGAAAACTATATGATACCCAGTGCTCGCTATGCAGCTCAAAGTGGGGTTCATTCGCCTCTTGGTCAAGCCATTTTTTATGGTTAGCTCATCCTCAAAAAAAAAAAAAAGTTCTGCCCCATGATTGATCTTCCTTTTTTTAGACACCATTATCCAACATGGTTTCCAATACGTTGAACCTGATATCAATATTGTCAGGGTATTGACCTTGACAGGGCCTAAAGGGACCGATGAGCCCGAAGAATCCTTCTTGAAACGGTTCTTGACAACACGTCGAGAACTGCAGTGTTGTTATCCGTAAGTGTTTATCCACAACAACAAAAATAATTTAGGAATGGTTTTTAACAAAAGATTTTTTTTTCTTTTTTTTGAAAGTGATGATGTATGGCCTGCCAGTGCTACTCGAAGTGAAGACTTTTTAACGTTACTCAACGACTTTGAGTACAATAAAGACTTGAATGTACCTATCAAGCTTAAAAACTTTGAACGAACAATTACTGGGAATGAAGATTCGGTGACGGATGCAAAGCGTTGTTTATAAAATTAAAATAAAAAACATGCTTATTATGCAAAAGCCTCTTTAGAATGAAAGGGGATTGTATGTGACTTTTTTTTTTTTTTTTTTTTTTTTTGCTCTATCTCTCTCCCTCTCTTCCTATAAAAAGAGTGGAGTACTGGTCCCCCCCACTTACTTATTTTTGGGCGGGGTTTTTTTTTCTTTTTCTCTCTTTTTTTATAAAATTAACAATATGCAATTCGGTTTAAATCTTCAGAAAAAAAAGACAGCTACAACACCTTTACGCCGCCGTAATGCCTTTGGCGATGAAAGTAGTGAAGAAGAAGAGGAAGAAAAGAAGAACAAGGGTCAAAAGGCCAAGACACTCGTGAACAGACAACTTTCGAATTACAATACCATGACCAAGAAAATCGCCCAAGAACAAGCGAAAGCGCTAGAACAAGATCCCTCTATTTTTGATTATGACGCCGTCTATGACGATCTGAAAGAGGCCGAAAAAAAAAAGAAAGACGCTGTGAAACCTACCGATAAAAAAGCAAAATATATCAGTGGATTATTGGAAATGGCTGAAATTAGAAAGCGCGATCGAGTCCTTGCCGAAGAAAAGAAGGTGGCAAGAGAGAGAGAAGAGGAAGGTGACGCATTTGCTGGTAAGGACGTTTATGAGACGGCATCGTAAGTTGTTTTTTTATTATTATTATTATTTTTACGAAAGGGGGGGGGAGTCTGCCATGGTTGCGTTTTTCTCTAATCCCCTTCCATGTTGTATAGTTTCAAGAAACAAAAGGCGGAATTAGAACGTATTGAAAGAGAGGAAAAGGAACGTGAAAGAGTGGCTGATAAAACAAGAGGCATGGATTCATTTTATAAGGGGGTGCTTGAGAAAAAGGAAGCAGAACATCAAGCGTTGATGAAACACATGGCCGATAAGAAGAAAGACAAAAGAAGCTCTTCTTCAACTGAAAAGAGTCCAACTGTGATGACAGACGACAAACTCGTGCAATTGGCAGAAAAGGAAGGCAAGGATGTGATGTTGAACGATAACAATGAGATTGTGGATAAGAGACAACTCTTGGGTGCTGGTTTAAATATCAAACCCAAGTTTGGTACACTGGGATCACTTGCTTCTTCAGATGATCGTATTAAGGAAAGAATGAATGAATACGAAGAATACAAACGCAAGAAGGTGGAAGAGTACGACTCCAAGAGAAGAAGTGGAAAGAACAGTGATGAACGTGAACGTATGAGTAAAGAAATGGAAAGACAATTGATCGAAACCAAGAAAAAGGAGGCTCAAGAAGAAGAAAGAAAACGTCAAGAATTCGAGCAGAAAGTCGCTGCAAAACGTACTACAGAGGATGTTGCTATGAGTGCAAGGGATCGTTACATGGCAAGAAAGAAACAAAAATTAGAAGAAAAACAAGAGAAAAAAAAATAAAAAAAAAAAAAAACCACCACAAAAAAAAAAAAAAAAATTGTTATTATTTAAGATTGAGCGTCTTTAAGAATAGCATGATAATTGGCGGTATTGCGCTTCAAGATATCCATGACGGGTCCCAGCAATCTAGTGAAAGCGGCTTTACCTAAAGTGACACACTTGAGATTTCCTTTTGCAATGACTGTGACAGCTCTAGGCTTGTCATTCAATAATGCCAGTTCTAAATATGGTTAAAATGTAAGAACATTAGGGTTAGGGGGGGAATGTTAAATATATATTTGCAAGATGGGATAAATAGTTGTTACCTCCAAAATAATCTCCCTTGGATAATTTGTTTACTAATTGCTGCTCAGAACCAACCTGCTTATAGAATAAAGCCTCACCAGACTCTATTAAATAGAAATTATCACCCGTATCACCTTCCTTCAAAACCATTTCACCATCCATGTAGCTGACAGGCTCAAGGGCATCAGCAATTTTATGAATTTCGGATATCTCGAGTGATTTAAAAAGTGGAACATCTTCTAGAAATTGTTCATGCATTCTACGCTTGTGTGCGTTATTTTCCATCAGAATAGAGCGAAAAGAAATACGATCCAATGCCCAAACGACGACATCTGTTGTAGCCTTTAAAGTAGCAGCCCTTGGTGCATTGTACATGAGAGCCAACTCACCAAAACTACCACCTCGTTGATAGCTTGTCACCTTCTTTTCATCGACAAAACAGTCTACATTTCCACTTGATACGATATAAAAAAAGTCCCCGACAGCGCCCTGTTCAATGATGGTTTCACCTGTTTTAAAGTTCTTTTCTTGCATCGAATCAATCACTTGACGGCATTGATCTTCATCCAGTGCTTTAAAAAGAAAGTGAGAACGTAAAGATTGGATAATCATGCTAATTTCTGTTTCCGTTTTAGGAATGGTCTTGTGTAATGAGGATGGCGTGATGGACATTTTTGTTGGCTGCATCGATTCAGCACTGACAGATACTCGACGGTTACGTATATTGGCGGACTGAAACTTTGGCAACTCATCTGGAACAAAATCTTCTTCATCTGCTGGATCTTCTGGTAAGGTTGGAATGGTAGTATGCGTGGATTCTTGCATAAGAACGTCGTTTGGATGAGGTCCAACGTCTATTCAATAGTTTTTTTTTTTTTTCACAAAAGGGGGGGAGGTGTTAATTTCTTCTTATTCAAAATCATCAAACCCTTATGATTACCATGTAATGTATCTGGATGTCTTGTCTTTGATCGTTCTTCTGATAGTTTTATACGAAAGAAATCATAACAAAATTGCAGTATATCTTCAGGTTGTTCCGATGATACCTGATCATTCAATTCATTTATAAAATTCTGGTATTCTTGAAGAGAAGAATTATGACTAGAAAATGGGTGAACACTACTACCAGGCATTTATTAAAATAGTATAAAGAAAAAGATGTGATGATGAAGAAAAAGAAAAAAAAAAAAAAAAGGTTATGGGTAAGACAAGGATTATATCTACTCGGACAATTTATACCATCCTATCAAAAATGTTACCAATGAGATTTGCTTTTTACTGAAAATAACTTACTTTGGTAATTCAAATTTCTCGCCCTTTAAAACCCTATGATATATATAACTCCAGTGTTGAGAAATATGTGATGGAATACGTATATTCATTATTTTTAAAGACTTACTTGTTGTAATAAATATAAAAGAAATCACTGTATAATGCAGTCTGTATGATACCAGCTACCCAAGCAATCCAATCCGTATGTCCCTCATCCATATATCGGTATACCCAATTGAATAGATATAATCCTCTATATGCCCCCAAAGCAAAAAGATAATGTGTTGTGATCGTTTCTGCTTCTCCCGTTCTTTGTAACATGAACAATTGTGGTAAAATAGCAACCGCTTCCAACCAAATTGAAAAACACCATAAAATCTGTTAATGGGTAAATTATCTATTTACATTCTTTGAAAAAAAAAAATAAACAATAAAAAAAAACACATTTTACCTCCACCACCGTATAAATGTAAGACGTTGTTAAACTAAGTACGGCGGATCCGGCCAAGAGGTACTCAATACGAAACGTATCCAATCCAGCATCATAGGTGGCTTTATACTTGAAGCGCATCAGATATAATATATAAATAGAGGACGCTATAAAGAATATCTTCATTGTCGTGTTATAGATGGACACCTTTTTCAAAACCAAGTCCAAATAACGAGTCAAGAATACAATGGAGTAGAGTAACTGTGTCTTGAAAGATATACCTTTTCCCAAAACAAAAAAACATTTTTTTTTTTTTTTTAGCTTCCTACCCTTTAAATCCCCATCGTTGTAAGAAGACGATCTTTTTACCTGCACATGAACGTGTCTTTCTTATTTTCAGTAACAGAATAAAAATAGAGGCTAGATGCATCAAATCCGCGACTAGCCGGAATAGATTCATTTGTGGGTTTTACGTAAAGAGAAAAAGGAAGAGAAACAAAAAAAAAAAAAAAACAGAAAATGTTCAAAGAACAAAAAAAGAAAGAGTATAAAGAAGTGTGACCTGGAAAATCAACGAGAGTGCAACAATGGGGGAATAAAATCGTACCTTATAGTTGACAAAAAGGATAAACATAAACCGTCCAAACTAAAAAGCAGGAACACTATTTTTTAATAATACAAAAAACGTTGCAATATAACTATTTATGTTGTGACATAAACAAATAAGCATAAAACGTACTCCTTGATTTTGATCTAATAAACAGGTTCCCCCAACCTTGATATGTAAAAAAAAAAAAAAAAAAAGCAGAGATAGACTGAAACATAAAACGCTTACTCTATTGAAGGTACAGTTGTTTTCTTTGCTACTTGGAGCACCAGGAGCCCCAGTCTTGACCTGTTACTGAATAAACCGCATGTCATAGAAGAGTTACTTTAATGATCCCATCGCTCAACCTTGGAATACTAGCATTGACAATACTTGCTTCATTTTTTTTTTAAAAAAAAAAGTAACGGGCGGTACATGTTGTGTCTTGTTCAATTCGGTCTTATTTACACAGGCATGAAGCTCAGCGTGCTCAATATATATATAAAAACCTCACCCTGATCAGTACATGCCCAATGATGACTATATTCCCGTTCATAAATGTCGAGATAGTACCAAACTCCATAAAAAAAGTCCCTTCAAGATTATTTTGAAGGTTACTTGAATGCAATTGAAAGACATTCTAGTGACAGCTTGTGTAATTGATGTCACTTTAAGCTGGTGACACTTATTAATTCTAGTTCATCTAAAAAAAAAAAAAAAAAAAAAAAAACTAACAGAGATAATTAACACGATCAGCACAGTCTCTAGAACTCTCATCATTTTATACTTGCAGCATTTTTAGTGTAAGTTTGATGTATACAGTGGCGTGTGAAGTGTTCATTGTAAGATTTCTGTTTTTTTTTTTGCTTGAAAAGCAAAGTAGCGCATACTGTTATCATAACAGTTTCACTTGATGTGATACAGAACACTTTTAGACTTCCATTTGGCTGACTGCACCATTAATAAAAAACCTTTATGTGATCTTCTAAGTTTTACTTATAATTTATAAATTTCTCGGCTTGCTACCTTGCAGCATGGCTTTCGTTTAAACTATACAACCTCAACATCAATGAAAAATAAGCCCCTTTTATATCTTTTTTTTTTTGTGGACGTATTGTGCCGTATGATTGAAAGATATTTGCTCAGATTTTAAATTGTAACGCCTTCCTGGTACTCTCTCTAATCTTGATTCGCTTTACTAGCCAGGTCACCTCTGAAAAAAAAGAATGGTTTCTGAGACAGTGTCATATTAAAGTTATTAACTTTGCACTTGCATTCTGAGATTTATTAATGAGTATGATGAAAGACACAATGGTACCATAGTCTAAATTTATACGAATTAGGCTCACCCCCCTGATAATACAATAACTTTATGCTGAGATTAACCATAGAGAGTTCCTCCCATTTTCTCCCTTATATACACCACAAAAATGAAAGTGGTCAAAGTACAAATGTGTTTGTAGTTAGTTTTCAAAGCACTCAAGACTTTCTTTAACCAAAATCACTCTATTTTCAACCGTTTCTTGTGAGGGTGGTTGACAGCGTTACATAATTGCTTGATGTATATAGAGGGGTTCATGTTTAGTCCATGTCAAAAAATAAACCAAATGCATGGGGGTACAAGTGAGACTTTTTTGTCTTTTCATAAAAGGCTCTTTATTAACTGAGTCAGTCCCATCATAAGGACATTTACAATTAGAAGACAAGAAAATAATTGTTTTTTTTTTGGAGACAACTCATGCATGAGTGTAAGAAAAAAAAAGAGGTCACAATATTATTTGTTTTTCATTTTCATTAAATTTAAAAAAAAAAAATTAAATAGGGCCAAAAGTCTAATCATTCAACACTTCCCGATGCTGTCACACTGGAGAAACCCCCCATTGATTGAACATTGCTGATCCACTCGTTTCGTACTTGCTGATGCGCTCGTTTCATACTTACTGATGCGCTCGTTTCATACTTGCTGATGCGCTCGTTTCATACTTGCTGATGCGCTCGTTTCGTACTTGCTGATGTGCTCGTTTCATACTTGCTGATGCACTCGTATTCGTATTTGCGGATCGAATGGGAAGCCACCCGCCCGTTTCAACACGCCCGAAAGCAGGAAGTGGATTAGAACTTTCAGCCCAGTTCCAAAAATTATACGATAACCCTACCGAAGTAGTTGGCGATTATCGCATCATATGCTAGGCATAAGAGAATTAGGGGGAAAAAAAAAAAGAGAAAGAGGAGAAAAATGACCCGTTTTTATACCATTTTTCTTTGGCGAAAATTATTTTTGTGTAAGTGGCTTTCCGTGACTTGACATGACGTGAAGATTGATACTTTTCCTTAAACGAAAAAGTAAACAAAAGCACATGATAGAACGCCAAATCAATTTATTTATTATTATCATTACCGAGTGATATATGTTGTAAATAGGGATTTAGAAAATGGAATAAAATGATAAAAAAGAAAAAACAGCGAGTCAAAACTAAGATCTATTTGATTCCAAAGAAGATTAAAAGAAAAACTAAGGCGCATTCGCCATGCCTGCTACGATTACTTATTTTTTGTTTACGAATCTTATGATTATTATGTAAGATGATTATTTATGGGAAAGTTTATTCTGTTAATTGGAGGTGGATTCTAGAATCTCTTCCTGGTTCTATAGCTGCAATCACTACAATATAAAAATAAAAGAATATATACTTTATACTTTACATTTTAACGTGGTAAGATTTTCATTCACACAGAATGAGAAGTAGTCGCCATACTTCGTTATACACTGAGATACATTGTATGACTGTGTGTAACCTATCCATCTCCTCAGACATTATCGAATTGATGCATAAAATACCATGTTACGCACATGGATCGAGTCAGCAATTGGCACTGAGATAAATGGTAGTGTTTCTAATTGTAAAAATGATTAGAATCCATATGTTGTTTACGCACAACTTCTATAGTTAAAGCATTGTTTACCACACTGTTTTAATCCCAGAAAAGTTGTTTTGTTTATGATTGAAGAATAAAAAGATTTGTGAAGAGAGGTAACTGTATAAAGAGGATATTTCTCTTTGAATGGATGGGATAAAACTTCGCCTTATAACTTTACTACTTTTTGAAATGGGATGACGAACGTTGGATCATCTCTGGAATTCTCATTGTATTCATCTGCGATACATCATATAAATGTTAAGATACACCTGAACTAATGAGCAGTAGATATAAACATCCACTTAAAAAAAACCAGATGTTTTTGTTGACAGTAAATGCAAAAAAAAGTAGACGTGGAAAATGAAGACATTGTCTTTAAGGATCTGCAGCTTCCTCCTTGTTCATCGCTTCTTGTCTAGCCTAATTGTGGATATTTTCTTGCCCGTTTTTAAGGAAGATCCTTACTAGTAGTTATTGAACCTGCAAAAAAAAATGTACAGCTGCGAATTGGCGCTGTGAGCATTGTACAGCGGCTCCACCCCCAAAGTTCGTTTTCCAATTTCATAAATTCGCTTTTGTCGCAGCCCAAAGTTCGCTTCTTGATTGGTCAAAGTTCGTTTTTTGTAAATCACCCAAATTCGCTTTGGTGGCACCCAAAGTTCGTTTTCACGTCAGAAGAGTTCGCTTTTAAAAATTACAGGATTATGAGATAATGTTATGAGAGATAATGTTATGAGAGATAATGTTATGAGAAAAAAAAAATGTTATGAGGAAAAAAAAATGTTATGAGAAAATGTAATGAGAAAATGTTATGAGAAAAAAAAATGTTATGAGAAAATGTTATGAGAAAAAAAAATGTTATGAGATAATGTTATGAGATGATATGTTGTGACTTTTTTTTTCATAACATTTTTTTTTTCTCATAACATTTTCTCATAACATTTTCTCATAACATTTTTTTTTCCTCATAACATTTTTTTTTTCTCATAACATTTTTTCATAACATTTTTTTTTCTCATAACATTTTCTCATAACATTTTTTTTTCTCATAACATTTTCTCATAACATTTTTTTTTCTCATAACATTTTCTCATTACATTTTCTCATAACATTTTTTTTTCCTCATAACATTTTTTTTTTCTCATAACATTATCTCTCATAACATTATCTCTCATAACATTATCTCTCATAACATTATCTCATAATCCTGTAATTTTTAAAAGCGAACTCTTCTGACGTGAAAACGAACTTTGGGTGCCACCAAAGCGAATTTGGGTGATTTACAAAAAACGAACTTTGACCAATCAAGAAGCGAACTTTGGGCTGCGACAAAAGCGAATTTATGAAATTGGAAAACGAACTTTGGGGGTGGAGCCGCTGTATAACCTCTGCGATGCTATAAAAGGATTTAATCTGTGTTACATAAAAGAACTGGTTCACTCTTTGATGTGTAAAAAAGGAAGTATACATAGCAAAATGTGAAGACCGATTTTCTGGTATTCTGATGTGACATTAAGAAAAACATAAACATTGTCAAAATAATTTGGTTTTAATTATTATTATTATTTGCGATAAAGTATTGTAAGTATTTGATTATTTAACAGCAACCGCCATTATTATTATTAGCAGCAGGTGATGGAATAGAAGCACCTCTGGTGACTCTGATCTTATCACTGTTGTTGTTATTGGCACCGCCATTTTGTCCAAGCGTTGTCATTTTTTCTTTAATTTGTCTGGCCATTGTTAAAAAGGCTTGTTCGACGTTACTAGAGTTCTTGGCAGAGGTTTCGAGGATTGGTATATTTACGCTATCTGCCCATTTCTTGGAGGCGGCAAAAGTCACTTGTCGCTTATCTTCAAGGTCACTCTTGTTACCAACTAACAATCGATTCACACCTTCAGACGCATATCTCTCAATCTCACGAAGCCATTCCTTTACATTTTCATAACTTTCATTGTCTGTGACATCGTAGACAACAATAATACCATGTGCACCTCGATAATAAGAAGAAGTAATGGTACGAAATCTCTCTTGACCTGCAGTGTCCCACTATGATCATCCCCACATACACACATGGTTAGTCCTCTATATGTTCAATGCACATGATATATTTATAAACTTACAATTTGGAGCTTGCATACTTTGCCATCTAATTCAATTGTTCTAATTTTCTGTATGGGGACAATAATAATTATTCAATCTGATATACGCATACAGCATAATGACTTACAAAGTCTACTCCAATAGTGGAAATGTAGCTCTCGGTGTACGTATCATCAGCAAATCGAAGCAAAAGACAGGATTTTCCAACTCCTGAATCTCCAATAAGCAACAATTTGAAAAGGTAATCGCTACATGAACATGTTAGATGGAGAAAGAAAAAAAAAAGGAGGGAAAGGTGCTTTTCGAAGGTTCGAATACTTACTATTCTGTATTCATTTACAAAGGAGAAAAGAAAGAGAAATAATAACTGGGCTTGTGTCTTTTTTTTTTTACCGCTTTTGTCATGAGTAACCATACAAATTATTATTCACGTGTTACTTTTTCTACTCTATCACTCTCGATTATACTCAATTTCATCAGATCAAAAACTTGTATAAAGGTAGTTTATAAAAATTAATCGTGCTTTTTGAGCTAAAGTGTAAAAGGGGGCTTCTTGCATTCTAAAATCCTGTATTTGGATAAAATATTTTGTGAATGCTGAGCGGGGTACCAAATTACATGGCTTGCTTACATAAACCATAGAAATGCCATAGCAACACGAAAAAAGAATAGTTATCGTAATTTTTCTGTTTTTCTTTACGATTTAGTTGAATTCATTTAAATAAATAAACAAAAAGGCCGACAAGCGATTTCAATCACCTTTATCACTTTTTCTTTTGCACACATATTGTGGCGTATTCTTTTACTGATTTTAGCTGGACTGCAAAAACCTCAAATCTCAAAGGGCCTCGGATCTATATCTTGCCAAGACTAAAATACTCGTTTATTGTTTATTATTTTATAAATAATACAAGCCATGGGAGATATTATTAGTTACAGCCTTTAGATATTTAAAACAAGAGATTCATGGGTCAGACCAACAAATATTGCGTTTTTGTTGGTCATTTCTCAACAAAAGTTTGGGCTGCTGATAGTAAACATCCCCAGGACACTCGTGCTTTGTTCTTACATAACAGTACTAGTACATAAAATAGGTGTTATATGTTGAGTGCCTGTTATATCTTTATACAGCAGGCGCAGCATGCCTCATATCTTGTGCCACATGAAAATGTCGCTATTGTTGTCACATATATCATTGGGATTATCTCTTAGATCTGTAGAGAATGAGAACTACATGAATGAATGCAATAACCATATAAATGCGCCTGATTCGATGTGTATGCATCCTAGACACATTAGAGTTTTATTTTGTTTTTAATGTAGCTAATTATATACCATTGTGTGGGTTACTCGTGAGACCTTACTGTTCTCATCGTAATGCTTTTATAAGATTTGGGCAATGATACTATAAATAAATAAATGGCAATCTTTGAACAATACAGAAATGATTATTAATTCATCCTAAACATTTAAAAAAACTAACACCTTACCAATAAAGTCATGGAAAAGACTCACTCATCCTTTAAACAACCGCCCCGATTTTCTTCTAATGATTCTAAAATTGCCAAGATTCCGTCGATCATTTAATAGACTCCGGTGAAACATCAGTAAGAGATTACCATGAAAAAAGTTTATGCTAAGCTTTAAAGGTACGAAAGAAAAAAAAAGCGGAACACACAGAAAATTCTACTTTACTATAAATATTTGCTAATTTCTTCTAATTCTCTTTTTTTTTTCTTTTTCTTATTTTCTAAAATTACTTCAATTATGACTCGCTCAATTACACCTCCACCTGAACATATCAATGAAGAATTCACAGATTTCTCCAAGAAATCAAGACACGGCCATGGCCAAGATGTCGTGGATCACAACAATATTCGACAAGTTGCCGGATGTATACCATTGGACTTAAAAAACGAACGGGTATTGCTTATCACTAGCAGAAAAAACAAAAATGCCTGGGTTTTGGTAAGTAAGAAAGACGCTTTTCATTAGTACATCTGTCTAACTTAAAAAAAAAAATAGCCTAAAGGTGGTTGGGAACAAGATGAAACTCAAAAGCATGCTGCCCAACGTGAAACATGGGAAGAAGCAGGCATCAAAGGCACCATTACAAGAGACCTGGGTGTCTTTGAAGAACGCACAAATAAAAAGAGACATTTGAAAGCCCATCATTGGATTTTTGAAATGCAAATCGATGAAGTCGCTAAAAAATTCCCGGAAAAGAAGAAGCGTGAAAGACGATGGGTAAGTTCATTTTGTTGTTCATAAAACTATCTCGACGCTTACCGATTATTCTTATAGTTCTCATTCGAAGAATCCTTGATCGCTACACAAGACCATCGTTACATTCAACAAGCAATCATTCAATCTAGCTTAAACCCAGCTAGAAGGTCCCCGCCTTCACCAAGATACTCAATTGAAGATACAGTAAAACCACAAACTCCCGAAAAAACTCAACAAACAAGTTTGCCATCGCCCCCGCAATCGGATATTGTACGTAAAAAGTCAATCATCAAGAGCATCAAGTCCATTTTTCAATAATTTTTTTTTCTTAATACACTGTGTACATATAATATTTTCTCTTATTACGAATAAACCATAAAGAAGCTCTATATTCCTATCGTAACAACATACATGTTCTTGTTTCCTCAATGTTAATTTGCTCCCCAGATTTATGTACAAATGTATACTTATGCATAAAACCCTGCCATTGCAAGTAAACATGGCAGAAACTATAAACATTATTGGTCGATTTAGTTCTTACAGATACGGAAAAAACTTGTTGATGGCGCCAATCATAACATACAGATAGTTTTAAAATAAATACGTAATGCAAAGGCGGGGTCAGCGTAGTGTTAACCCTAAAAACTTAATCCTTGTCGTGTAGCACAGGTCCAGAGTAAAAGCGTTTGAACTAGTTTACATCATTTTGGATTATATGCTGCAGTGACTTTTAATTATATTAAAAAAAACTTTAAAAAAAAACTATGCTGCAAAATAAAAATAAAAATATATAGTTTGAAGCCTCGAGATTTTTGTTGAAATCGTCATTTTTTTTTTTTTTTTTGGCACTAGCATTTTTTTTTTTTTTTTTTTTTTAATATTTTAGAACCCGTCAAAAAATCAAATGTACACAAGCCCGATTCCTTTTTTTGCACAAATGCATAATGTTAGTTGTACCATAAACATCTTTGGGTGCTATTTTTGGTTTATCTGTTTGTTGTTGGGAACACATTTATAATGCCTTTCGGTAAGAAATGCAATTGACGTCGCTTTGCTTGTATCAAGCTGGGTCAGGTAAATACAAACATAACATGACTGATAAAATCTAGTACTTATCATGTAATACACAATCTGCAACAAAATATCGGCCAAAATACGTCAGATCAAATGTCCATTCTTCTGGTTTTGGTGTCACACTCCTCAATTCTACTAAAAATAGGCACAAGAACAGAAGATACTATCTGATTAAAAAGGATACGAAAAAAAAAAAAAGTTTTCACGCGTGCTAAATGATGTCTTTTCACAGAGTAATTTTGCATATCAAGAATTATTTTTACCATGCTAGTAGCCAGTCATTGTTATTTGATCCGTGCATAGAAGCCGTTTCAAGAATAAATTTACTGCTATCTCCAGTCATACTTCTTCTAACTAGTTTGGTGACACCTCTTGTAAGTACTCGGTTCACTTAAAAAGATCAAGGACCTTTCTGGTAATATTAAAAGTCCACTAGCGGCAGAACGAACAACAGCCAATATCTGAAAATTCCGCAGAAGAATCATCAGAATGTTTATTGCCGGTAGTCAAATAAACGATCCTGTTACTGCAGTTCATTAAACAAGCGGGTGGCCTGTCCGAAAAAAAATGTATTTATAGTGACATAGGTTGACGAGATAATTATAGAGTTGGACAGATTAAATATTCAGTGAAAACATAATTAACTTGCTAGTGGGTCTAAATAAACAAGTACCCATCTTGGAAGTACACATCGCTTTGTAGACCCGAGAAAAAAAAAATCAGGAACTAAAAGTTACATGTTTTGCCGTGTGTATATATTTGGAAAAACAGATGGTATTTATAAATTCTTTCAGTGCAACGATCGAACACAGAAATTTAAGCGGTCAGAATATTCCGCACGTGAGAAACCCAAGCCCACCAATTTACGTCTGTGTCTTGCAATTAAAGAAACGCAGAAATGTAACGTTTTACGGTTATTGGCCTGAAAGCAATTATAACTATTCGGCAAGCTGTCTTTTATATTAATCAGAAAATGAACCATGGAAATTGCTTTTCCGAGCAATCACCCATCGGCGTAACCGTCGATCTAATTTGAAATAAAAAAGAAATCATAGAAGGATCCCAAAAGAATTCCCATCAAATAAACCCCGGAAAGTTTCCTTTCCCGGCCTAACTTTTAAGATGTTACATATCTTTTCCGCTTCCGTACGATCTTTACTTGAGTACAATACGCATATTTTCACTCTTCACTGTTGCAAAACATATCAAAAATAGTTTTGAAATACACCCTTCTCATTCTAAAGTACTCTGTCTGAAAGACGATTATGCAATTGTGATTTATGCAATTTCAAAACGTAATAGTTAGAGCCATAAAGAATTGTACATAATACAACTCGGTATTAAGATATTTTTTCATCTCGCACAAAAGCATTATTCTGTCTTAAGAGTATTTGACCACAGAATAACCCATAAATCTCTAATGCTCATTTCACTTGCCAAAAATTACAACTTTTTTGGACGTTACTAACTACTACTACTTTAGTTTTACTGGGCAAGGTACAGGAGATTAAGAAGGTGCACGCAAGTGGATGATAACTAATAGACATTGACAGAAAAACTTGCGACGTGAGATTTAGCAATAGCTAACTATTTCTGGAGCTAAATTCTCGATACATTGTCTCACACCTTTTATCTTGTTGCATGAATACATCCAATGTTGGGAAATTTGGTATAAATCACCTTAAAGTTTGTTTCCTGCAGTGATTTATTTACCGGGCGAAAAAAAAAAGAGAAAAGAAAAAAAAAATTAACTAGGCACTGCCGTCGACTCTTCCTCTTCTTCATCCTCCTCTTCAATTGTTTGATTTGCTTCTATCTCATCCTCTTCGCCATCGTTATTATTTGACTTTTTAATGTTGCCCTTTGGGTCATCAGACCCTTCTACATTGAGAGTTGTGCCAGATTGTTTCGATCGCTTTCTTCGCTGGATGAAGCCTTCATAGTTCACAATCGGCATAATAATATTGTTACTACTGTTGGTGGTGTTGGAGAGTAATGCAGTAGCAGACTCAACATTGGCTTGCCGTAACAGTTGATTTTCGGCAGACATTAATTTTTTCAGGTTCTCTTCGACTGTACGCGATTGTTCTGAATTCAACTCTCGTACTTTTTGTGGATCATCGGGTCTTTGGATATATATCTGGGGATAAATGAATAAAAAAAAAAGCAGATAATAAATACATATAGAACTTACAGGTGTTTGTCTAAATGAATGCTTGCTGGGAAATGAAGGGAGATGACGCGGCACATAGGTTGGTACGCCTCCCTCTGTATCTTCTTCTTCCTCTTCCGATTCCTCATTTTCAGAAGGCAAGAATTCGGGTATTTCCTCCAAGGTAGATTTATTTGATTTGACTGTCTTAAAGAATTTGCTTGTCTTTGCAGCTGATATGTATCCACTTTAGTTTTTTTTTTTTTTTTTTTTTTGTAACAGAAAAAGAAAAACTCGGGTAACAAACCTGTCTCGTTATCATTCAAGTGTGTCGTTAAATATTCTTGAAATGTACTTAATTGAACACCCACATTCTCTAACGATCTCGTGATATCGTGAATATTAGGCTTGGCTCTATTACCTAATTCTGCGTACAAATGGGCTGAACTCAGCATTTTCTCAATGTCTATAGATTGGGAGGAGTATGAGAAACATGGACACGAAAAAAATAACAATTAATTCTTCTTTACAAGAGCCTAGAATATTTGACAAGGAATCGAGTGCTTGTGGCTGGATTCCTTGAAACCCAGTTTCTTTTGCAATGATGGATACAACCTTTTCATTAATATCGGATGTAAAAGCATCACCTAATGATCGTTTGCCATTCATGTTGATTCTATAAAGATAGCACACAATAAAAATATAAAAAAAAAGGCTGATTCAAATGAAATTTAAGCGTAGTCACAAAGTATACCATTTTTTTTTCTATAACCTTTAAACACCAATTGCTATATTTTTAACTGACAAGTTCCTACAATGTTAAGCTCTTAACCGAGATACGAAAAAGAGCATTTGCTTAAAAAAAAAAAAAAAAAAAAGGGACACCAAACGCTTTTTAATGCCTCATAAATAAAACTTGATACTATAACATGGAGAACTGATTCCTGAGATATACAAAACGCATGTCAAATAAGATAATACATAGCATTTGCAAAGTGTATAAAGCAATGAATAGCTAATACATGTAATCATTAAATTACAGAAGTTTAATTTTAAGAGTTTACGTAGCATGACAGTAAACAATGCCAAAGGCGGGGAAATCGGACCGTCTTTCCAATGTCCGTGCCGAACATTATACGCCCGGACCTTCACCTGGGGCGGGGGGGAGGATAGCAGTGAATCGAGAAAGGGGATATACTCAAAGCTGCAGTGGGCAAAAGGAAAGAAACCTTTGAATCCTTTTCTTTTTTCATCTCATATAACAAGATGGTAAATACAACAACAATATGTACATCACAAAATCATCAATCATCCATTAGAATCAATCAATTCACACAATTTGGAATTTTCGCAGTAGACAGCCTTTTTTTATGCATTTCAGTGATCGTAATGATCAATATTGATGATTGATGATTCATAATTGATGATTGATGATTTTAGACATGTACCCACTATATAATTAAGTCGAATCTAACATTTCAATTTTAGTCCGCTGCCAGACCTGTTCTCAACGTTTACGCCGAGTGCGGTAAGACCGTTTCTGCTACCGTCCCTCTCCCCGCTGTCTTCAAGGCTCCCATTCGTCCTGATATTGTCGGTTTCGTTCACACCAACATGGCCAAGAACAAGCGTCAAGCTTACTCTGTTGCCAACAATGCTGGTGAGCAAACCTCTGCTGAGTCTTGGGGTACCGGTCGTGCTGTTGCTCGTATTCCTCGTGTTAACGGTTCCGGTACTCACCGTGCTGGTCAAGCTGCTTTCGGTAACATGTGTCGTGGTGGTCGTATGTTCGCTCCTACCAAGACCTGGAGAAAGTGGCATGTCAAGACTAACCTTAACCAAAAGCGTTTCGCTACTGCTTCTGCTTTAGCTGCTTCTGCTCTCCCCTCTTTGGTTATGGCTCGTGGTCATCGTGTTGAAAAGATTGAAGAGGTTCCTCTTGTTGTTGCCGACTCTGTTGAGAAGTTAACCAAGACTAAGGAAGCTGTTGCTCTCTTAAAGTCCATCAACGCATACTCTGATGTTGTCAAGGTCTCCAACTCTCGTAAACTCCGTGCTGGTCAAGGTAAGCTCCGTAACCGTCGTCACAGACAACGTCGTGGTCCCCTTGTCATCTACAACGAAGATAACGGTCTTGTCAAGGCTTTCCGTAACTTGCCCGGTCTTGAGCTTGTCAACGTCCGTCGTCTTAACCTTTTGCAACTCGCTCCTGGTGGACATTTAGGTCGTTTCATCATCTGGACCCAATCTGCCATTGCTCTTCTCGATGAGCTCTATGGTACTTATGAGGCTCCCGCTACCTTGAAGAAGGACTATGTCTTGCCTGCCCACATCATGACCAACCCTGATGTTGCTCGTCTTATTAACTCTGACGAAATCCAATCTGTTGTTCGTCCCGCTGGTAACAAGCATCACAAGCGTCCTTTCACTCAAAAGAAGAACCCTCTTAAGAACCAAGGTGTTATGAACCGTCTTAACCCTTATGCCCAAGTCCTCCGTCGTGCCGAACTCGTCAAGTCCGAGAAGGCTGCCGCTGGTAAGGTTGCTAAGGTCCAAAAGAAGCGTGGTGTCTCCACTGCTGCTTCCAAGAAGTTCTTGGATACTCTCCGTTCCGCTTAAATTTATGTAAAGCTGTAATAAAAAAATATTAATTATTATTTGTTTGCTTTTTTTTTTATTATTATTATTTGGTATCCATCAATCCCTCCTTAAAATTTCTCACAGGGTGTAACAATTCGCTTGTCAATTTAATCAATCATTAAACTACAGACTCACACTGGAAAAAAAAAAAAAAAATGTTTTCGTTACGCAGAATTGCAACCTGTTTTTGTGTTTTTGTTTTTTTTTTCCCCTTTTTAATATTTCTTAAGCTCTTTTTTTTTTTTTTTTTTCAAAGAATAACTTTATCATTTAAATCGTCATTATTTTTACATGATGAAAGACAGTCAAGCGCAGATGGCGGCTATTCAAGTAGGCATGTAGCTCTTTTTTGTTCTTCCCCTCATCTATTGATTTAATAATACGATTCATACCCTATTTAGCTATTCGTATTAGGCCTTTGACAGAACGAGATCGAGCACAACCACGATATGCTGGCGATGTCTTACGAGCTCAAGAAAAGCATGTTCAGATTGTGTCTCAAAATAAATACTTTACTTATGATCATGTGTTTGGCAATGACACTCATCAAAATGATATATTTACTGCTTTAGGTGAGAGGCCAGTGCAAAAGTTTGTGGAAGGTGAGATGATACTACCCGCTGTTCTTTTTTCTTCTTTATTGACTCTCCTTATTACCCAGGTTACAATGTTACCATGCTTGCTTATGTAAAAAATCAGAATTTGTGCCCTTTTTTGGTTAAAATATTGACAATTTATCTCTAGGGTCAAACATCTTCAGGAAAGACATACACAATGGGTACTGCCCTGCATACAGGAAAGCCAGATCCTGAACAGGAAGGTATTGTGCCTAGAGCCATGGCTCTTTTATTCGACTTATTACACCAACAACAACAACAGAATGATATCATTACATCTGCATCATCGTCAGTAAACAATGACAGCGCTTCAAGAAACCAACGTAGTTTACGACCCGTATCACAGATACACCACCAATCTAACCAGAAATCAACCTATCGTTATTCAGTCAAAGTCTCATTTGTAGAAATTTACAACGAAGAGCTGATCGATCTACTCAACTCTGCACATCCTTCTGAGAAACCCCCCGTCACAATTAGAGAGGATACAAAGGGTCATATTTATTGGACCGGTGTCAAGGAAATGGTTGTCAACAATACCAATGATGTCCTATGGTAACAAAACAAAACAAAAAAATATGTGTTATCTATCACACACACAAGCCTGTATGGACTTATTCTTTTATAGTTTTCTTCAACAGGGAACAGAGAATCGTGCGACAGGTTCCACAGATATGAATGATGTGTCTTCCAGATCTCATGCGATTTTTTCAGTCACCTTAAAACAAGAAAAATGGGTACCATCTTCACCTCAGTCAAGTCGAGCAGCAAGTCCGCTACCAAACAAGCAACAACATTCAAAACAACAGAGACTATCAACCGCAGGTCGATCTAATAGTAACCCTAGTGAGGATGGCGATTGGGTGATCACGAACTCTAAATTCCATTTTGTCGATTTAGCCGGTAGTGAAAGAGTAAGTACTATGCAACAAGGCTTCAACTCATATTTTGGTTTTAATGACACCCCGCCCTTTCCCTTTCCCTTTTTTTTTTTTGGTGACCATAGCTTAAAAGAACAGCGGCAGAAGGAGATCGACGAAAGGAAGGTATTAATATTAATGCAGGATTATTGGCCTTGGGCAATGTCATTTCAGCGCTTGGTGATCCTTCTAAAAAAAGTACACATGTGCCTTACCGTGATTCTAAATTGACGAGACTGCTACAAGACTCATTGGGTGGTAGTGCAATGACGTTAATGATTGCATGTGTGAGTCCTGCTGAATCCAATTTATCCGAAACCTTAAACACTTTACAATATGCAAATCGTGCACGAAATATTAAGAACAAGATGGAGAAGAATGAACTGGAGGAATGGATGACGACCGATAATCTGGATCTATTGAGAAGTACTATCGCCAAATTGAAGAACGAGGTCCGTCTTGCGAAGTCAACCACCCCAACATCAAAAATGGAGAATCCAGTCAACAATCGTATCTTATCGGATTTTAGTGATGAATTTTCTTCTTCCAGTAGTCCAGTTGCCAATCCCGATTTCGATGAGGTATTTCATGGCCAACATGTTATGATTGCAGATCTCCAGCAACAAGTGGAAGAATTACAAGGCGCGGCGGAATTTATAAAAGAACGCAATGTGATGGTCGAAAATGAACTGGTTCGATTGCACCAGGAACGTAACAACCCGTCAGAGTTTGATTTTCAACATTTGGTAGAACCTGTCATCGAAGAATATGAGAAGAGCATATCGGGGTTAGAGTCACAGCTGGCTATGATTCGTGCTGCACTTAGTCATTCCGATCAAGGCTTTGAGGAGCAACAGGCCAAGATTGAACAGTGTGAAATTGTGATAGACAGCCAAGAAAAGACGATTCATGAACTACGAAGACGAGTTGGAAAATTACTAGAGAGGCAACTCAAAGATGAAACCTACGTGACAGAACTGGAAAAAAAGCTAATGACCACAGTGGAAGAGACAGTACACGATAGAGAGATGTTGAGTGAATTAAGAGGCAAAATATTGAAATTGAAGGAAGTGGATGAAAACACAGAGCACTATATTCATGACTTGGAGGCAAGATTAACCGCCAGCGAAGCGGAACGCACAGCTTTGAAGGAAAAGTTAGATCAAGTGGTTGAGACAAACAAGGAAGAAACAACAGGGAATAGCGAAGAGAAACAAATTGCGGATAAAGAACTTGTGACCCTTCATGAAAAGCACGAGTCATCGGAAATGGAGAGAAAAAGGCTTCAAGACCAGGTGAATCAGCTATTACTTGAATTAAAAGATAAGGATGTAGAGGGGATACCAACAGTTGATTCGGTATCTGCTTCCATCGATGAAAAGAAGAGCGATGATAAAGCAGAACGTATCGAAGAGTTAGAGCAAAACCTCGCAAACTTAGAGAGCGAACATCAAGAAACTTTGAAAGAATTGGATGAAGTTTTGCTTAGATACCAGGAAGCCCTAGAAACTTTAGATGCGCTTCAAACAAATCCTAAAAACAACAGTTCAGATGAAGAGCTTCAATTATTACGTGAATCTATCCAGCACCTGGAATATGAGTTGGAAATGTCGGCTAAACGCGAAAATATATTTAGACAAATGTCTGAGGAACATCAGGAATCAGCTGAAGTGGAAAAAACTCTGAAGACGCTCGAAATTTCTGGTCCAGATGACGAAGGTACCATGAAACAAGTGGATCATGAGTTTATCTTACACAATTTGGATGCATTACAAAAAAAGTATCAACATTTAAAAAACGAAGTCCAAATGCAACAAGCTATCATAAACCATGATAGTGATGAAGCCAAAGCATTATTACTGAACGAGTTCACGACAACGGTTGATATCAATAACATGTACGAAACCCAGCATTCTCACTACAAAAGGGAAATTAAGAATCTTACAAGAATACTCAAAGAAATTAAAAGACTTAGAGGTAGTGAAGCAAAATATATCGCTGCTGCTTCTGCTGCAACTAATTCTACTGCAAACAATGGCACCAATATTCTCGAGTACAAAAATATAATGAAGAATTTGGTTGCAATAGATAAACAACTTTTCGATCAGCACGAAAAAATTAGATTAGAAGCAAAACGATTCTCGAACGATGTTCTTGACATGATTGCAATTCATAGTGATCTAGAACACGATTTGGGTTTAATGAAAGCTAAGGAATCAAGCGCAGCTAATTCGCCAGACATTATGGTATCACCCAATACTATCGATCATGGCAATAGTATCTACAGTAGTAGCAGTGTCCATAGCAATAGCTCGTCCGTGCCAACATCGCCATCAGTTAGAAACTCTTTCCTTCGACCTCCTACAAATTTTAACACGAATAAGCCTGCAGCAATTATCTCAAATGACGAACCGCATGAACCAGTGCTGTCTGCCGGATCCGAATTAGTTAGCCAGTTCGAAAAGAACCGCCATGCACTTCAAACTAGACTACATGCAGCTAATCAAGACTTGAAGAACCGCAAGACTGTAATTTACGCGCTAGAAAACAAGTTTAAGATTGCCGAAATCTCCCTAAATACGTGCAAAAAGCGTATGGAAGGAAATACTGTATCAGTGACCGATATAGAAATTGAGGATCTAATGTTAAAGATGGATGCCATGAAAATCCAACTTGAAACGAATGAAAAGAAAGAAAGAAAAACATTATTGGATGCGCAATAATAATTATGTATCGTTATTGTAATTTACTTGCCTCCCCCCACCCACCCCACCCCATCCCACGCACGCCCCCACATTTACACCCAAATACCTGGAAAGAATCGATTTTAAAATAAAACATTCTTTTATTTTTCTATAATTCCTTTAAATGGAAGTATAGAATCAAGATTATCGCCGATCGAAGTTACACTGTACTAATTTAGCCCGATAATCTTTTCTGTACAGTCAGGCCGGCTGATACTTTGGTAAATAACAAATTGGAAAGACATTAAACAAAGAAAAAAGTTTATACATGCTGTGCTTAAAGCCAGGACAGTGTGATTATCTTAGCATACTTCTGATTACGCTTTCCTACAAATCCAATTTGTAATCCAAAGGATCACAGGATTTAAAGGTCAATCTTCTGGGTTTGATTCGCTGTATTTAACTTTTAACACAGATCAAAAATTTTATTCGCAACTTTATTGTTACCACATTCTTCCTCCATTCTTATCATTTAAACTTGATATAACCTTCAGAAACCTATATTTTTAACACCGATTCCCACTTTGTTGTTAGTTATAATTTAACCCTTGCTACTACCCCAAAGCGATCTCTCCTGCTTCCAGAATAAATCACATGGTATATCCGGTGAACGATCATTCCTTTGCTAGTAACAGTTATCACTACATCCTTTGGAAATAAGTGATTCGGAGAGATGCTTGACACTACAAAATGTATGGTCATTTATTAATATCAAGTCGTCGATCATATGTTTAAAAATTGTGCTGGGTGAATGAAGTTCATTGGCTCAAACACTCAGACCCTTTACAGGTACAATGATACTGATTCTATTTTGAATTGGAAACGGCTTGTATTGAATTACTTGTAACTAAATCATATTTCAAGTTATTACGTTCAACAAGAGTTTGCAAGTCTTGGTATATTATTGAGCAATGTTAATGCCCGAGAGACAAAGTATTTAACCCTTAAATATCTGTTCTGAACAAAATTGAAGGTTTTTCTCTTTTAAAAAGATTTCATCTGTCTTGCTGGTACGGTCACTATTAATACAGTTCTTGTATTTTTTGCAGACTGTGGGCACTTCTACATACGACTCGAGGAATAGTGCCTTTATAAATCCTTGTCATGTTTTGGTACTTGCTTGAGGAAAAAACAACTCATCATTAACCAACCTTTTTATGGGACTTCGCTTTTTTTTTAATGTGAAAACTTAAAAGGAAGTGAGTGGGTAAGTGCCATCTGTAATGAGAATGAAAAACAAAGACTGGGTTTATATCACAGTGAGATGATTGTTTATTTTTAGATATAAAATGTCTTTTTCTAGATTTCAGCAACATTACTATTTGCTGTCTTAGTTTTCAAATGTGTCTGTTTATATTCACGTTTCATGTTATAGTCATTAACCCAGACTTTTTTTTTTTCGGTTCTTGTTAGGCTCCTTTCACTATTCCGTCCAATCACCTATCAACCCATCAGTAACCAATCAAACTCTGACCACAGGTTTAACTTTTATCTTCGCTGATTAACTACACACAACTGGTTAAAGATTTTCTAAAGCTGGGCGGAGTCTCCAAACACTGGGGTAAAATGAGGCGGAAAGCACAGTAGATACATTTTATTTTCTTTTTTCTTCTTTCTTCACTTTCATTTTTTTATATTTTTATATTTTTTATCTCTATTTATTTACTCATTTTTTATTTTTAACTCCACTCTCCTCACCTTTTTTTTTTTTAAATATTTATTCTAATATGATGTTTGAAGTGACCCCAAACTTTAATTATTTTTAAGCATAGCATTGAATCGATTACTTATTAAGTTCAGGATTACAACAAATAAATCCTTAATGTTATACCGCTTAAAGTAAGCTACAAGATTTAAACACATATCAGACGTAAATATTTATCCAAGAAGCATTGTTTTATGCTTTAGAAAATGTAGAAAGTAGTATAGAAACGGTTGCATAGTTGAAACTCAAAAGCAATAACCTCATTCTGTGCTGGAAGGTTAGTTTTTGGTTCAGATATTAGTGTTTAGGCTTTGTTTGTTTTAATGACATCGAGTCCTTATATTATAGAAATTTGACGCGTCACTCTTTTTTTTTTATGACTTTTTTTTTTCTTTTCATCGTGATCGACCGATTTAAATTGTTGAAACTCATACAGCACACTCTATATCACTGTTAGTATCAATACTTGAATAACTGCCATAAATAACTATTTAAAATTAATATTGATTAACTTTTTTTTCTCACGTTCAGCAGAAAATAACGTTGATACCTTAACTCTGAAAAGAAACATCGCATTACTAATCAAAACAATTGCGGATCGTCAAACAAACAACATTCTGAAACCTGCTTCCAATGATGTAGTAATAAATGGGCAACAGATTGTCTCAATATGTATTGCGTTGGTGAATTTCCAAGTTCCTGATGAAAAATATCTTTTTGGGACCCATGGATTGCTATTATTTAAATTTTTTTTTTTTTTTTTTTTTTTTTTTTTTTTAAAAAAAAAAAAAAAAAAAAAAAAAAAAAAGAAAAAAAAAGAGGTAAAAGACGCGTTAATAATTTTTAAAACTCTTTAGAATATCGATGCAGTAGATAAACAATATAACAAATAAGATATAATGGAAGAATCCAAGTTACATCACGGATTTAAGGTAATTGGCGAACAGCAGACTTGAGGCATGCTTTGTATCAAGTTTAAATGATGATGGATCAGTTGATAAAAAAGTTGGTAAAGAAATTGGATATAAATTTTGAAGCAAACACTCGGTAAAAAAATATCACTTGAATTTAAACGAATAGTGCAATCTGTGTTGAATTCGTAGATGTCTTTCATGAACGAGAAAAAAAATATGTGAGTCATTTAGAAATTGTTGGGGGTACTACATCAACAATTATTGATGTTACATCTCTTTTGAAAACTAACGTAACTATGTTTTTGTTATCTTTATATATTTATATTTATATCAAAACTCTAGTTTTAGATAAATACACTTTATTGGTGAGGGGAATTGGGGTTTGTCTGACGAGATAGAAATTTGTGATCAAAGCCCTAATTTTGAAACACTAGAGGAACAAAAAGTAGTTTGAAAATATCTTTTTTTTTTAACTGTTTTACATTAATATTCTTTAGTTTTTTATACGCTCAACCTTTTAATACCTGAGAATGGATTTAGATTGGTAACCAGGAGGTATAAATTTCATGTCTACGCGTCTTTGTAAGTGTTTTTTTGATTTTTTAATACTGTAAGCTTAACACTTTATGTGCATTGATTCAAAATAAATCTAAATCAGCCAATTATTTTACTTAAAAATTATGTGTTGCATACTCCAATAGTCTTTCTTTATTGTTGTGTCTCTGATACTGATGATCACACGCCACCGAAAAAAAAAAAAAAAAAAAAAAAAAAAAAAAGTAAAAAAAAGTAAAAAAAAAAAGTGTCTTGAACTACTTCTCTTTGTCACTATAACCGTTTCAGCCCGGATGAAGCAGACGATTAAATGGGATTTGTCTGTTGGTGTAAGCAGGTGATTACTGAACTTATATAAATTGTCTTATTTTGTCGACGTTACTTTTGTGTATAAATTATAATTCGGGTCTCTTAGGGACAGCCATTTTTCTTAGGGACAGTCAGGGTGCACGTAGTCGTAATGTTGGGATTATGATACTTTAATAGATATCAAGAGGTCAATAGAACTTAATAACTTGAAATATATACACATTTATCACAACTAACATAGTTTAAACCAGTATATGTATCTTAAAGCTAACTTTCAGCTTCTCGTTTGGACTTAACATTAATATTTCTGCGTAAGATTTAATTCAAACGAGCTCAAAGGCGAAAGAGTGATAATAGAATTGTCAAAATAAGTATAAATCGTTTGATGTACATTTATTTGTAATTTTTACATTGTTTTTGATTGTATATCCTTGTTCCCATGTCTACAGAACATCCAAACCATAGATCTTACGTTCCGACTACGTGCACTTTGGCTGTCCCTAAGGAAAAATTGGCTGTCCCTAAGAAAAGCGATTATAATTAGCGAGACATATTTACCAAATATCAAATAACACGGCTAGTTTTACATATCGGCTTAGGCCGTCAGTCTTTTTGTATGGTTGAAAACACCTAAAATTGTAGTTTTGAGCTTTGAAATACAATGTGTTGGGCTGACTTGGTGCAAAAAGCGAAATCAACCCAATTGATATTAGTCAGACATACTAGAAAAACAATGCCAAGGATTCGCCGTTAAAATCTTTTTCAAATGGGCTGTTCACACCTCAGGTGCAGCCGGATCAAATGGCATCCAAGTGCACCATGCCCATGAATTTTACGAATGCACAATGGGGCCCCCTGATTGACCGGATGTTGTAAAAGTGATCGAAAGCGGTATTTTAAGGCCAAATCCAGTTACACTGTTGTGTCGTCTTTTAAACGTAGCTCTCCGCAAAGATATTAGCGCGTTCATTTATGGTTAACATAAATAAATAATCAAAAACAGCTGAAACATACACTCTACATCGTTAACTTTGCCAAAAAAAAAAAAAAAAAAAAAATATATATAGGTTTACAGCTGCATTTTTTTTGAAAAAGGTTAGTCAACCTGAAGGAAGTTCTCGGGTTTGTGTAACACTAAAATCATGGAAAGATTTCATCTAGAACAATTGCGCGCGCGTAAGACCTTTTTTTTTTTCAAAGAGAGAACGATATAGTAAGTCTCGTTAAGTATTGGTCAAATAATTTGTGTAAGTGACTTTTTGATTTATTAAGGTTTGAAAGCCGTAAAATGAAAACTAACTTGATGAGATGATTGGCATTTCCCTATCACTCGGATAAAAATTCTAGATTTAGTCATCATCTGACATTTTATATTGGGTCATACAAGGAAAGAATATAAACTTTGAAGTTACTTTGTAAGGCTTTAAGAGCCCAGATAGGCGGTATAAGTTAGATCTAGGCTGCAAATGTTGAGCCCGTGTAACAACGCCTTCAAACATGTGTAATGGAATTTTTTTTTTTTTGATCCACAGCAATGTGGCGTGTTTTTTTAAAGAAACGACAATCGCATTCATTACGAAATCTTGTCATAACACTTAAAAGCTCGGATTAAATATAACACACATCGGACATATTTAAAAAATTCTGGACATTTAATAATAAAATAACGTGTGATAATTTAATCTATATAAAGTGTTTCTTTAATTAGACTGGATGTTCAATACGTCAAGTAAGCATAATTGACATGAGCCTTTCTAATTTTTTGCATCAGTAGTGCGCACATCTATAAAACAGGTATCAAAGTGTACATGGTCGTGCATATCAGCAATCCGTAAAAACAAAATACAGCTATATTATACATATCACGTCATAATTTGCAACAGTAAGTCGATGAAAAAAAAAAAGCTTAAATCTCACTATTGTCAGGAAGACCATATCGGTATTTCTAGTAATGGCTCCGTAATAGAGCAATTAATCTTAAAATTAAAACCAGATTTAACTCGACAGTTTGTCAGATATGAATCATTACGTTTAGTGTCTGATCCTTTTTTTATAATTCTATCACTTATTGTGCCATCGAACCATGGCGAACTTTGCATACTTCCAATGTTTTGAGACATAAACCCAGACTTATGATGCAACCATTTGAAATTCGCTGTTGTTTATTTGAAAAAAAAAATATAGGCGTGTAGCCATGAAGGTAGGTATATTTAACTTTCGGAGTCACATTGAGAGCATCACTGTTACTTGTACATCCATAATCTAATGTTTGTACGTCCATACAGTAATGCTTGTTCTACCTGAAATAGTATTATATGACAGAGTACTTATCGGTATTCGCACACAAGTATAAGTTTTTATGTGATTACTTCGCTGACTATATAGAATGTATCCTATGTTACTTTATTATTCAGGCTTAATACTTTCATCCGTAGTTTTAGCTAATAGTTGCATGTCGTAACCACTCATCTGACCTTTGTGCTTTGGATTAAAGGTTACACACGAAACTATCTCTTAACTTTATTCAGACAGAACCGAGCAAAAAATAACTTTGAATGAAAAGAAGAAAAACAAAAACACCAGATGTTTGCTGTGAAACACAGATATATAGTTCGCCATTATAATAAATACAAAAATATATAAAAGTCTAACTTCCAGAGAGCCTGCCTAGTGATTTTCCAAAGGCACAAAATATTAGTGCTTCGCGAAGAATTCTAGCGATGGTCTGTGCACCCATTTTTTTTTTTGAAATAGTTACTTTCTACAACGACCACAGGGCTCTGTAGCCAGCCTTTTTTTTTTTTTTTTTTTTTTTTTTTTTGAAAAAAAAATCAACTGGGACCGGGAAACAAAATCCGCTGGGAATTTATATATATATTTGAATTTTATCAAAATGGGCAACCATGCAATATTTACTTTAAATAATAGAATGTATTTTATAGCGGGTTTTTTTTGCTTATATTTTATAAAGTTTAAAGTTACGCATAAATTTCTTCTTTAGTAATCAGACGTAGGAAGCTTTTTATAATTTTACAATGACAGGTTTGAGGAGATAGTGATTTAGTCATTTCAATTTATGACGTGGTTCAGTTCCCGCTCGTATAAAACCACCCGGTGTATGTCTAATGATACTTTTCTAAAGCTCTTTTTATAAATGTAAAGAGTTTGAGCTGACTGCCATGAAAAAAGAACAATGAAACCATTTGTATTGGTCCTGCATTTATTAGAACAAGAAAACTCGAGATTGTGACACATTGAATTACTAGATTTAGGCGTGCAAATGATAAATGAGTAGTGATGACCTACATTTAAAAAAAAAGAGCTTTATTGTGCACATTGGTTTACAAATGGGGAAGTGAAGGTAGGGGAAAAAATTACCACGATGTTTTACCAAAAATTAATTCGGCACCTTTCCTTTTAACGTAGGCAAAAATGATACCACATTAAGGAGAGGTAATTCCAGTTGATAATCAACACAATGAATACGAGATAGGGTAAGATAATGACGAGTCAAGTTTATTGCTTAAAAACTGGTGATCAGGGATTACCCATGACCGGTGATTTTAGATATAATGCTGAAAAAAGTAATTTTTAAAAAGTCTTTTGAGGTATTACACAAACAAAAAAATGTATGCAATAAATGAAATAAGAAAATCATTATGAATATGTTTTTTATTATTATTAATAAAACATGCTTTTGAGAATTGAAATGATTTAACCCGTTTTGCGTGCTTAAAAAAAAATCACACAACACGGGGGCTCGTATTTCGCATTTAACAACGCTCCTCAGTTTTAATTTCTTTTGAGTTCTTATAGAGCGCGCAAAATAATTTAGACTTTTGAATTCTTTTTCTTTTTTTTTCGAATATTTTTTTTTTTTAGAAAAATTTTTTTATCTTAACCTCAGTCAAGAAAATACTTAAGTCATTATAATACCTGATAAAGAGTGAATTTACAAAGTAATAAAATATATCTGGTTATGACAATCAAAATGCTTACTCCTTTTAAATGAAAAAAACTAATAGTGATTCATCTTTTTTCAGATGAAAAAATTCAAACCAATAGTACTTTATGATTCTTCAAACACACCTGATACAATCTCCCAAACAGACCTGTTGTATCAACAAACACTTATTGAAGAACATAGAGTAAAGACAAGAGAAATGCTGGATCATAACGCAAAGCTGTGGGAAAGTGAAGCTCCATTAGGTAACACTTTTTCTATTTTGTCCGTACTACATCTCATCTAATACGAAATAGATCATTCATCAGAACCATCACTTGATCAAAAAAATGTACTCATTTCTCCGGCGTCTTTTGTAAACACGCCTGTATCAGAGGCGGGCCGAGCTATATCTAGTCATCAAACAAGAGATGAATTTCCAAAAACAATAAAATTAACGCCTGGTACAACAAACCCGACCGAACCCCAATTATACAGTCATGAAGTTTTTACGTTAGAGGACGTCTCTCCATCAAGTAGTCGCCGCAGCAGTAATGTAGTTGGAAAATCGGAAGATGATGAAGACGATTATTTCGATGGTGAAGACGAGTGTCACACAAATACGACGACATTTATCACTGAACCACAGTTTCATCATACGTATAAACCAAATATATCTAGAAAACGTCGTAGAGGGAACCTTCCCAAAAAAGTTACTGAATTTTTAAAGCGTTGGCTTATTCTTCACAAAAAACACCCATACCCAACAGAACGAGAAAAGCAGAAGCTGGCAGACGAAACTGGATTAATGGTGAATCAAATAAGTAATTGGTTTATCAATGCTCGTCGTCGAATTCTACAGCCTTTGCTCGAATCTGAAAATAAACAATTCACAATGACGGCTGACTCCTCGTTATCGAATGATGTCAACGTTGTTGGTGGGACAAGTACAGGCAATAGAGAAGACCCGGTAACCGAAAGTGATCAATACCAACCCCATTATCATCATAATTATGATGATAGTGGTAATGGTAGCAGCAAAAGAAACTTATTGTTAAATGAACCAACTGAAGATGACGAAACTATCGAAAGAGGTAATTTAGTACAAATTTTTCTTCTTTATTTATATTTACACAAACCTTTTTTGTTCTATTGATCTAGTTCCGAAGTACAATGCCCCACCGCCTTGGGTTCTTTTACCGACAAAGCTTCCTTCCATGAACATTCTAGAGAAAGATCTTGACGCTTTCAACCCAAAGAAATAGATAGAGAAAATGTCTGTTTTCTTTTTGTTTTTTGGCACCCCACCCCCATAAAAGAAAACCCATGTTTTTTTTCACAAGAAAAAAAAAAAAAAAAAAAACAGAAAGAAAAGAAAAAGAAAGAAAGCGGATAAAAGAATCACAAGATAGATCGAACGCGTTGTAAAGTCATCTTCAAAATATAGTTTGGTTTTTTTTGTTATTATACCTTTATAGGAATAATTGAAAGGTACTATTTCCATGTATGGTGATTTTATTTTGACGTCTTCGGCGTAATTGTTTTTTACTCATTGTTCTCGTATATTGCAAATAATTTGCCCTTTTGTTATAAAAATATAAAAAAGAAGAGTGAGAAGGAAGAGAGAGAGAAAAAGAAAAAAGAAAAAAGAGAAGAAAAAAAAAGAAAAAGAGAGAAGAAAATACATCCCAAATATATCTGTCTCTTTTATACCACGCTAGTTAATAAAAAAAAATCATTGTTCATCACGACACCGATCATTTGATTCCTACTTCGGGAATAGCACTTTTACGGGATTTCTCGCTAATCTAGTAATTAGTGTAATTATTTTATTAATGACATATGCTCCCCAACCCATCTTGATAGTATATCAAAATCAAAAAACGGATAAAGGTAGAAAATCTGTGATTAAAAATCTGATGGTTGTCATGACTGCGTCTATTGTTGTTTCAATTGACAGTGTAACAGATTTCCCATGAGTTTCAAAATATACTACAAAGTTATTTATATATATATATTTCAGTGCGTGTCAAAGACTGCTTTTGTTGTTGTTGTTGTTGTTACGTCCAAACGATTCTCACGCAATATCTTTTCTGCGCAGTAAATTAAACCTGTACAACTTACGGGATATGTAGTCATGGCAACGGGCCCGCAGCAACCCGGTTGCGATGCCTTAACGATTGGGCGGGTCCACTTTCATACTGAACACGTCCCGATGTTCAATTGGCTAGTATATATCCTTTTTTTAAAGGTCTCTTGGCATTAAAAGTCCTTTTAAAATAGTTATTGGTGCAATTGGCTATGTTTGTGCATTATTAAAGTTTTTTTTTTTTATTATTAAATTAAAATGGGATGTTTACACATAATTATTAGTCCGACGTCAAACAATAATAATTAAGCCATAATTTTATTTTTGCGATCTTTGCCTTGGACGCCACCTAATTTAATCATCTTTTTCATGACGCTCTTCATATTATTTGACGATGTATAAGGTTCTTCCACAATTGTGTCTTCACTGATAAAACTATCCTCCAGTAGGTCATGTTTGGATCGGTACTTTTTAATATTTAATTTTAGATGCGAGATTGAATGATTAATCTTCTTTAGTGGATTCGACCTATCATCTTGTAAGATAAGATTATTGGTATTCGACTGGTGTGGGATGAACTCAGTAAATGCCTCACGTATCTGTCGTTCAGCCCAAAAGACTTTGGCTGCATTGAATAGGTAAGATGCTGCAAACGGATCCGAAGAGACAATCTCGGGTGGTTTTGATGCCTCTTTGAGTATACGGTATAATATTGGAGATGCCAACATATCTTTGTGAGGGTTTAAAAGTAAATCAGTAGATGTGAATATAGATATCCAAGGCTTCTCAGGTGGTTCAGGGGCATAATCGTAATCGTTATCCAATAATTTTTGAACTCCGATAGTATTGTCTATCCAATCAAATCCTCGTGTTCTTGATACCACACGATTATAAAATTTCGCTCTTGCCTGGGTACCTTGTGTCTTACATAATGGCTTATGTTCTGTATAAAAACTATGGCAAGAAGAGGATACGGAATAATCAAAACCTGAATCGATCCGGCGGATCACTTGCTGAGATTGCTTTTGATGATAAATCTTTGCGTGCTCAATAATCATTCGTGTTAGAAAATGCCCCGCTTTCTCTTGTATGATTGGACCACAGTCTGCTGGCCCTAAAACGACTTTTCCAAGAGCATCGCCCAAGTTATAGGCATCCATCAAATTTAAACTTTTATACTGCATTAGTTCCACAAGAAAATCCAATATGTCGATCAATAACTGCTCGGCTTTACTAGTAATGACCGATGATAAACTAGATAATGTGCACGCTTTTTTTTTTAAAAAAAAAAGTTAGTTTAGTACTTTATGTCCTAAATAAATAAAAAATCTTACTCTGATAATTTATTGTTCTCCATGCTTTTCGAGAAATGATACGATCATGAGTACTCCAAAGAGCAGCCTGCATAAGTGTGGCAACCGAGTGGATATGAACATGGCGTAGATCTTCGCTTGTAAAGGTCTTTTTGCTAAAGACCTTTATTAATAGTCCACTATTGGGTAATGATTTCTTAAATATCTTGCGCTCTTGTAAACCTGTGTTATTGTATATCGTTTTGTTAGTGTTTTTTTTGCAGAGAACCAAAAATTAGTGTTAAAAGTCTAGTACCTCTAAAGCGTATTTCATCAATGCAAAGATGTGTGATGTTTGCTGCGAAATCAAATGAATAATACATGGTGAAGAGAAAAAAAAAGATTGAATAGGTTTTTTATTTTTTTTGGTCTTTTATTACATCTATTTTGACCCCCTTAAATTGGGAGTGCTGTTGTTTACTAAAATAAGCTTGAAGACCCCAGATTGGTTAATTATTCAACCTGCATTGTATCCCATTCCTTTTGCTCCCCTTCCTTTTGGGGGCAGGACAACAAATCGTGTCTTTTCTGGTTACTCATAAAACGCCCTCCTGTTTTTCTGTTTCTTTCTATGAATAAATATCATGTCATGCGGTTCCTTGCAGTACTTAGGAGCTGCCTTTACTTTTTTTAATAATACAGACTGTATGCGTAGTCTGAGGCGCCATCTTTTTTTTTTCTTTCCTGTGATAAGGAGGGCTGCCATAACAATTTGCTCATACTACTTGTCCTCTTAACCAATTAAAACATACATTGACATACGCTGGAAAAACACACAAAAGGAGGTCGGTTCAAATTGAAACATGTCAAAATCACCAAAACACGTCTCCCTATTTTGCAGAAAATTGATGACATCAGCGATTATTTATTGCTTTAGAAGCTCTTTTTTACCTTGAAGATAAATGAAAAGGATAAACGGCTTTTCAACCGTGGTAAGTAAAAACATTTTAGAGTTTTCTCGCGGTTGTCGATTTGTATGAACAAATGGTCAAGTCATAAATCTGGTACGATTCTTTGTACCACGTATCTCCAGAAGAAAAAAAAAAAAACGGAACAAATGTTGAAGTAGCGTTGACACCCCTGCCCAACGGTAACAAAGTTAGTCTAGTTTTAACATTTGAAGTGATATGCTGCCTTTAGTTGAACATTCAGTGCATGGTAATTTGATGAATTATTTAACACAATGCTCTCCTGAGTGGATGACTCATATATTGACAGAAATTAGGTACACCAGCCTTTTTCTTTTCTTTACTTGGATGTCCTGGCAACTGCTAGCTCAGCTCATTACATATTACACATGTAATCGAATAACACTGTACAAGGTTGAGAGCTGTAGAAATAATTCATAAAGAAATGTCATTTCTAACACTGGTAAGTTTCACATGAAATTATCTGTACAGTGCATCTATTTTATAATGAACAATTTTTGGCTCCAATTTTTTTTAAAAAAGAAAAACGCTATCTCCTCGATGAATTTAACATGTATCAAAAATCTGGCTCTATTATGTTCTTTATTAGAGAGTTCTTCATAAACTAATAGAGCCCGATTTTTTTCTTTTCACACAAAATTTTTTTACAGATGGCAAAACAAAATTTGCCATTTACAGTGGCGAGACCCAAAGATGTCCGGGAGGTGTGCAAAAATTCATGAAAATCTATCAGATATACCCCGGTCAAACGTTTTCCCGGGATAAATTAGATTCCTCTGTCAAAAAATATGAAAATCACCAGTGTAAAAAACGGACCTTTTAGTTCTGAAAATGTCCGTTTTAACGAAAATTGTTCATTATAAAATAGATGCACTGTACCCGGGGATGATTTCCCTTGAGGCAATTAGCCAAGTATAAACCCAAGCGAAAAAAAAAAAAAAAAAAAGTGGGAATCTGTCAAATATATGGGCGGGGTTGGATAGATTAAATATTTTTTTCCATCCATCACCAATTTTGTGGTAAAAGAGGCTTCATTGGTGGTGTTTGGAAAGGTGAAATGGAGCTCAGTTATCTGTAAGCTTGCGTAATCTTCCGTCAAGGATCTTACGATGATTTTAAAGATAGTTCAGTTATATCCCGGGAAAAACGCTTAATGTTATTGCCCTTGGCATGCCCAAAAAAAGAGAAAAAAATAAGCTGCTTACATAAAGTAATTAGCATGGCTTGAACTTAGTAATTAGCCTAAATCCGAAGCCTAACAAATTGCTTAAAGAAATCCCGTTCCCTATTATTACGCCACTGTTTAGAAACAGACATAAAATAAGGATGTTCAGCCAAAATGATTGTTCTGTTTAAGGCCATTCCGCTTTCTAGGGCCATCCCATTTTAAGGTCATCTGCTTCAAGACCATTCCGTTTTAAGAATTCGCCTACTTTTTTTTTTTCTGTTTTCTATTTAGGATGATCATAAATAGAACGAGAACTGTAACATATTAGTCAAAACGGTCTCTGGGATTCTTGACACAAAGCTTAAAAGCGGAGCCCCAATTTTTACGGTAGCTTGGTCAATGCAGTCAAATCTATTGCTATCCACTACGGCTCTTTCATATAAATTAAGGAAAAGTAAGGTTTAAATATATCCAGTTCCCAAGTGCCATAAACTAAAAATTGCTGAATTAGTTTAAAAAAATGCAATGGACAATTTAAAATTAGGATCCATTCAGCCATCAATCAACGCGAGATAGCCATGAGCTATCTACGTGCTAGTCAGTTTTAAGGGAGGGAACATTCTATGGTGTAGTCAAGCAGTTTCTATGGTTTTAAACACGTCGAACTATCTGTCAAAGTTAAGCCTACGTTAGTAATGTTTTCAAAAAGTAGAATCTGCGCTGTGTTAATTATAAAACTAAGTCATTCTATCCAATGACTTGACGCCTTTGTCTCTTTTCTCTCACAGACTTGGAAAGCTTTTCAGCCTTGCTTTTTCGTTTACCAAAAAAAAAACTCTTCAGTAAATCCCTATCAATGGGGAGGTACATTATAGACTCTGTAAAGATGACGATTTTAAAAGGATCAACTTCTCATTTTGCGCCTTAAAAAAGAAAACTCACGACGTCAGCAGCATGTCGCAGTTTTAAATGTGATTTTTTTTTCTTCTCTTTTTTTTTTCGTGTCACGGCTCAATTCTCTCTTGTTATTCCTTGTTAAAAAAAAAAAAGAAAATTATGGCTGGTACGTACTTCTATGAATAGGAACGATGAACCAGTTTCTTTATTTCAAAGAATGAAACATGTTTACTCGCATGTTTCAATATTCGAGAAACAATAACTTACACGTCTTTAAAATCACTAGATCCTGTTGATAATATCACCTTGAGACTCGGTGATCTCATCACACCTAAAAGTAGGTATTTCTACATCCCTCTCTCTCTCTCTTTTTTTGTTGTTGTTGTATAGATTCTTAATCCTTTTTGTTTATAGCCTCAGATGCACCCGTTGCTGCTGGTAAATTTTGAAAGCTTACCCATTAATACCTTATAACTAAATATTTTATAGTTGTTCGACCTTCTGCACCTGAACAACGTGGTAATGTCTGATATTATAACTGAGTCTTTTGTACATTCTATATGTGACGTAACTAAACGAGTTCTTTATTATAGTAGAGGAAGACAATTTGATTAGAAGTACCCACACTGTCCAAGTCAAATTAGCCGATCAACAAGCTGATCCCAACTCTCCTTTATACTCTGTCAAATCGTTTGAGCAATTGGGCTTGTAAGGAACTCTCATATACACCCCAAGATTGAGAACACGTTTGATGACTCACATTTTTAGTATAGGAGTCCCGAAATTTTGAAGGGTTTATATGCCATGAATTTCTCCAAGCCTTCCAAGATTCAGGAGCGCGCTCTCCCCTTGTTGATTAGCAACCCGTAAGTTTTTTTGCAGTTATATGTAGGGCGATACGATTCGAGTGCTAATTCCTTTATTTTTAACTATGGCGACAAAGTCCTCGAAACATGATTGGACAATCTCAAAGTGGTACTGGTAAGACTGCTGCGTTTGTGCTTGCTATGCTTGTTAGATTAAATGTGGGATTAAATGTCCCCCAGGTAGGAATCCCCAAAAAGAGAGAGAAAAGTAAAGATAGAAAAAGAAGACTTACGTTCCAATGTAGGCTATCTGTCTCGCTCCTTCTCGTGAGCTTGCTCGTCAAATTATGGATGTCATTGAATCCATGTGTCAATTCACAAATATCACTACCAAGTTGGTTGTTAAGGACTCACTCAAGAGAAATGAACCTGTTCAAGCCCAGATTGTTGTGGGTACACCCGGTACTGTGGCCGAAGTAATTAAGAGACGACAATTACCTGTACAAGCAGTCAAGATTTTTGTTTTGGATGAGGCTGATAACATGTTGGATCAAGATGGTTTAGGTGATCAAAGTATCCGTATTAAAAAGTAAGTTTTTCGAAATACCAGAATTTTTTGTTTTTATTGGACAGAGAAAAAGTACGTGTATTGATGTGTTTTTATATATAAAAAGTATGCTCAAGGGAAATCCTCAAATTGTCTTATTTTCTGCTACTTTCCCTGAACATGTCCGTAAATTTGCTGCACGTTTTGCACCCGAAGCCAATGAAATTTCGCTCAAGCGCGAAGATTTAAGTGTGGATGCGATCAAACAATTCTACATGGATTGTGACAGCGAAGAACACAAATACGAAACACTTTGCAACATTTACGATTTATTGACAGTGAGCCAAAGTATCATTTTCTGTAAGCGTCGAGACTCTGCGGATGAGATTTCTAGACGTATGAAAGAACAAGGGCATTCTGTTGTATCTCTTCACGGTAAGATGTTACCTGAGGAACGTGATCAAGTGATGGATGATTTCCGTAGTGGCAAATTCAAGGTTTTGATTACAACAAACGTGCTTGCTCGTGGTATCGATGTCTCTCAAGTCTCCTTGGTTATCAATTATGATCTTCCTCTTGATCAACGTGGTCAAGTCGACTTTGAGGCTTACCTTCATAGAATTGGTCGTACTGGTCGTTTCGGACGTACTGGTATCAGTATCATCTTGGTTGACAACCGTAAATCCTGGGAACAAATGCAAGAAATTGAAAAACATTTCGAAAGAAACATTGCCCTTGTGCCAACAGATGATTGGCAAGCCGTAGAGAAGCAGTTTAAAGAATTTATCTAAAAAGTTTTTTTTTTTTTTTTTTTTTTTTATATATATTTTTAAAAAATACAGATGTTTGAAACTTGTTCCGCTGATTTAAAACATGAATTCACATGTAGAGTAATATCCCTTTAAAAAGTCACACGCATCTTTCGTCGATAGGAAGCTGTCATCACATGCGTTTGTTATCTATTATTTAGCGTCCATTTTATTGTTGATGTCTTTTTTTTTTTTTTTGCTTTTCTATTACATCTTTATATCTTCCACCCCAAAAATGTAAGTAGTAGGATTATCTCTTATCTATTGTGACTGTACAATGCTAGCCGCATAAAGGTTATCTATTTTAGTTAACCTTAAAAAACAGACGCTCTTTTTTTTTTCCCTTTTCTCCCTTTAGTAGTAAAATTATGCCAAACATGAACAGAATCAAACTAGTCACTTTTGACGCCTACAATACTTTATTTAAGCCGAGAGGAAGTCTTTCGGCGCAATATGTAACTAAAAAAAAAAAACTCGGGGTCCATTCCGTCATTGAAACAAACCCTTTTGTTACTATTAGGTCGACGAAGCATCGAAGCTTGGAATTAAAGTAACTCGAGAACAAATTAATCTTCATTTCGGACAATCGTACAAAAGCCAGCTTTTAAAAGCTCCTTTTTATGGTCTCAGTCTTGGTATGACACCCAAGAGTTGGTGGAAAGAGGTAAAAGCATAAAAGTAACATAATCATTCAATATGTATATATAACGGGCAAAAATAAATAAATAAATGGGATTTAGTTGGTTTATGCGACATTCATTCAAGCGGGTATTCAGCCCAAAGGTAACAAATGTTTTGTTTTTGATCACCATATGAAACCCCCTCCTAACTGGGTACTATATAACTCCACTGTAGAATTGGACCCTAAATTTGACGAGCTGTATCATGCAATTTACACTAGATTCACTACTGCCGAGGCCTATTCCGTATTTCCTGACGTATTAGGAACTTTGAAAGAGTTAAAAATGCATGGATTTCAAATGGGCGTCATTAGTAACTCTGATGAACGAGTGGGTAAGTCATAATGTGTGTGCATGTTTTTTTTGGTCAATTGCTGTTTTCTAAACAATAAGAGACTACCTAACTGGGTGAAATGCAGTCAAAGTCATTGAAAACCTAAAGCTGGATAAATATTTCGATTTCGTTCTGGCGAGTTCATTAGCCGGAACAGAGAAACCCAACAGATCAATCTATGAGCAGGCTCTAAAATTAGCTGGGAATAATGTACGTGCACAAGATGCGTTGCATGTGGGTGATGATGTAAACAAGTAAAGTATTATATGATAATGTACATCAACAAAACATATATATTAAATGGAAACCTGTATGTAGGGACTATTTCGGTGCTTTACATGCTGGATGGCATTCAGTACTATTGGAAAGAAGTAAAACAAAAACAAAAAAGCCTCATCCCCCATTGTACTTAATGTTTATTGTACTTTATAGCCAAACTATCCTATGAAGACTTTTCACCGGCCATGCTTGCAGATAGTAAAATACAATCGAATCGCCCCAAGCAAATTATGACTCTACATGATCTTTACCCATTTATTAACACCTTACATGGCGATAATCACATTATACATGATGCTAACAAGGAGAACCAACAAGAGCATACAGCACAGGCAACTCACTAAAAAAAAAAAAAAAAAAAAAAAAAAAATGCTTTTGTATATGTATAAAGTAAATAAATGTATAGGATTGCTTTTATTTAATACCTACTAGTGTGCCTTGCTTTTACGTTGGTTGTGTTCATAGTATTTAGTGCTTTTAACAATATTCCAGGATTATCCTTGTACATTTGTGGATATATTTGAAACGAACTCGTGTTACACAGTTTAGTTAGATACAATCATTTGTGGGCACCATATTTAATAATTAAAACGGGAAGAAGACTGTGTAGATAGGATCATAAAACCGGTTTACGGTAGCAATCTTATGTACCCATTTAAAATGATCTAGGAGGATAATCCAGGCCCTAAAGAAGTTACATGTAAATTGAAAAAGTTCGATTGAAAATTGAAGATCTTGAATGATCATCCATGCCGCCACGCAAACAAAAAAACGTGCTGTGGCAAAAAGATAAATTAAGGAGTCAAGATGCACTATTTGAGAACACTAGAATGGTGATGCTGATCAACTGAACAGGCTTTTATTATTTCAATCGTGTAAAAAAGGGAGGTATATAATAAAATATATAATAAATTAAATTGATAATAATAATTCGGTTGCTAAGGGCGTTTCTATGAGGTGACAGCGTATGGAAGGATGGGTACTCTTTTCTGATCACCATTAGCTAGTACACAGATAGCGTAAAAATCACCCTCTGAACCAAATACATTAACACCACTACCTGTTGTACATTGTATTAAATGTCTGAGACTTTTGTGTCGAGGAAAATTAAAATAAACCTTTTTTTTAGAAGAGTTAGTTTAGTGCATATTCATCTATTAAAAAAAGAAAATAGTATATGTGTGTACATACGTCAAAATCAGCAGGATCAGTATTTGTACCTCGATAAGAACAATCACGATTTGTGTAAGCACAGCATTCTTTGCCTCCACTTTCTATTGTTTTGGCAAACCCTCTAAGTAAATAAAGGTGAGCAAGATGTACATAATAGATCATAAAAATAGAAAAGTGATTTGTTCTTACTTTCCGGAGTCAACTCTGGCGTGCGATTGATATACCTCTATTGAACTACCATCGGTGAGGAAATTGTAGATGCAGAAACAATAAGTTCCTTGCACAAGAAGAAGAATGAGGGGTAAAAGATACTTGATGTTCATCCTAATGATATTCGATAATACCTTTACTTTAAAAAACTGTTGTACTTATACTCCATCCGTTCCTTTTATTCGCCTAATGGAGTAATAACCATTCATTGTTTTTGAAAGGTTTGATTGTTTTTTATTAACATTTAAATCTGATTGGTTAGATTTAACGTGCTCCCTTTTCAGCTAGCTGAACATCACTTATTTTTTTCACCTTGTTGCTCTCTCTCTCTCTCTCTTTTTTAAAAAACTTAAATGACTACCACCGAAAGAAAAAAACCGACCTTAACGGGAAGTCAAGATCTATTGGCTTACTTTAATCTTATACCCATTTACAACAGAGTTGTTAAACCTTTTCCACCGCCCGACAGAGCAGCAGGTTTAGATCATTCATTATTTCCTTACATTTCCGACTTGCCTGGTAAGACATGCTTCACCTTTTTTTTTTTTCCCATGGCATCTCTCTAAACACACCTCCATGTTCAAAAAAAGGTAGAACCGATGTCGAGCATGATGGGTATTTATTGAATTTACTACGAGATCCACAAGCAGTCGAGACAGGACCAGATATTCGACCGTTGGATACAGAGACATTAAAAGACGCGTTCTCGTTAAAAGAAGGACCAGTGCCTGGCGTATGGGAGTTTTTCTTTCTCACTCAATTACCTTTTTTTTTAACATTTAAAATTTTTATAGTTTGATGCTTCTGTATTAGGAACGGATGACGGAGGAAACGGTAATGGGTCGTCTTCGAATTCGAATCATTACATGTTGGATAAACATCAATACATAACCAACGAAATGGACGGCGAGAAAAAGCACAAGAAAAAGGTAAGCTTGTTTTAAAGACGAGGTACATGAAGCTGAGTGTACGAAAAAAAAAAAAACCTGTAGAAGAAGAAGAGAAAGCATGGTCATGAAGATGAAGAACATTCGCATGGAGACCATAAAAAGAAAAAGAAGAAGAAGAAGGTAAAATAATGTTTGTATTCGTATGAGACTCGATAATTCATGATATTGTAAAAACAGGATAGAGAACGTCGTGATGAATCACTGATTATCGATTAAGTTAATGAAAATAAAAGGGAACCTTTTTTTATTTATTTTTTTAAGAAACAAGGAAACAAAATGCAATCTAAGGTATAAACATCTATAAGTGTGTGTGTGTGTGTGTGTGAAGTGTGAAGTGTGTGTGTGTGAAGTGTGAATATGTATATGTGTGAAGTGTGAAGATATGTTTGAGAAAAGGGAAAGGTAAGATTATGCAGTAATTCCAAGAAGAGGAGCGTCAGGTAAGTTAGCAACCACTGCATTTCGGCGTCTAAGAGCATAGACCGGCAAATTTACAGTGTCTCCACCATCTAAAGTCAACATGGCTTTTGCACTTGGTCTTTGTTGAACCCATTGGGCGATACAAGCAGCTGAAAGGTATTGGACGGCAGATTCCAAAGAGGATTGATCCTTGTTATCAGGAATAAGAGAAAGACGGTGATTATAATTCATTTTTTTGTTGATGTATAAAAAAAAAAAAAGTTGGGAGATTAAAAAAAAAAGAAAGAAGGTGAAAAAGAAACACCCAGTATTTATATAAACTTTTTTTTTTTTGTTTGTGCTACAAAATAACTTTTTCTATTTCCGTATCATATTCACACATGGGCTACCACGTTTATTCGTGCATTCTTTCTATCTTTTTTTCTCTCCTATTCTTGCGTCACTAAAATCAATAAAAAAAAATGTTGATAGATGGCTCCCTAATAAAAAAAAAAGGTGCTAGCTTTTAAAGAAATAATAAAAAAGTCCATTCTTGGTTTACTAATAACCAATCAGATGATGTAATTTTTAAACAAATTAGGACAAGTTTGTGTGATGTTGGGGGTAAAGGGGGGGGGGAACACAGCGCACCCGATCAATAACGTTTCGTTTTTCTTTCCACTATGCCCAAAAGAGAAATTAAAGAGAAAAACGATACACCTTCCAATAAAAGGACAAAAGCCGTGGATATACCTGCTTGTCTGCAAGAGTTACAGTCTAAATTTGAAGCCGTCAATATTTATTGTTCCTTCTGTGATGCACGTTTAACCTCCAGTGTGACTCTAGAATCCTTACAGAAAGCCGTGCCCTCCTTAACCTGTGAAGACCTTGCAGCCATGAACGTCATCCTACCAAACTTTGTAAAGTTTAATTCGGTTTCTACCGAAACGTTACAAGTTGAATTTGGTACTCCTGTGAGTAAAAAATCATCCAAAGACAAACATGGCCAAGCTTTGCGTAACCGCGGCGATGATTGGTTTATCGATAATAACAAAAATCAGGCAGTGATCAAACCTGACCTTATAAAAAAATCCATTGGACAACAAAACAAGTTGTTTAAAGATGCCATACCAAACTTTCTCAAGACATGTCAAGAAAAGGTACAAGAAAAAACTTTTTTATTTCTTTACAATAAACTAAATATAATATATACCAACTACCTACCTTACCTTTTTAGAATGTAGACCCAAAAGTGTACTTGTTGGAGCAACAGGAAAGATATATGCCATGTCCATTTTTTGTTGACGATAGTGATTTGTTTCAAGATCAACCACTTGCGCAGATAAAATCAATTTCCCAAATCATTGACGGTCTAAAATCACAAGTCTTTTATGACGGTCAACTCGACAAACCTGAAAATATTCTCACTTTCCCCGCTAGACCCGCTCTCTATGGCGATTATGAACAATTATCTCCTCAAATCAATCTGGCACTAAAGGAAAAGGGAATTCATCAATTGTATCTTCACCAAACAGAAGCATTAAAGGGCTTATTAAACAATCAACATGTAATTGTTTCCACTTCCACTGCAAGGTAACACACACACACACACACACAAAGAGAGAGGGACACGATAGTGACACTTTTTAATCATTAGCGGAAAATCGTTAATCTATCAAATACCTGTATTAGAAACTTTATTAAAGAATAAATGCGCAAAAGCCATGTACATCTTTCCCACAAAAGCCTTAGCGCAGGATCAAAAAAGAGCACTAGAGGCCATCATGCACCAAATACCGCATTTAGAACATGTCATGGTATGTTTTACAAACCTTAAAAAAAAAAATATGAATCATTTGACCGACAAATATTAATTTCACAGATATCGACATTTGATGGGGATACGCCCACAGAGCAAAGGGCATTCATTAAATCCAATGCAACCATCATTTTTACAAACCCGGATATGCTTCATCATGCTATTTTGCCGCATGCCAAGTCCTGGAGTTTATTTCTTTCACAATTAACCCATGTTGTTGTCGACGGTAAGAAGGAAAACAAAATACAACACCTTTTTTTTTTTTTCTTCTTTGGCCTACTAAACGCTCTGATAGAATTGCACGTTTATAATGGACTTTTTGGTACCCATGTTGCCCTCATTATGCGTCGACTAACAAGATTATGTCGTTATTACAACAATGAAAATATTAAATTTATTTCATGCAGTGCAACAATTGAACATCCTGACAAGGTAAATAAAATACATCACTGTTCCTCTAAATATACACACATCTGTACTAAAGTAAAAGGGAAAAAAAAACAGCATATGCAAACATTATTTGGTGTTGACAATGTGAAACTTGTTTCTCAAGATGGAGCACCGCACGGTCAAAAGAAATGTGTAGTGTGGAACCCACCTTTGCTTTATCCGACAAAACCAGAAAGAAATGACGCCACTATGGAAACCGCAAGACTATTTCAATACTTGATAGAAAACAATGTTCGAACCATTGTTTTTTGTAAAGTACGCAAGACGTGTGAATTATTAATGAAGCAAGTACGTGAGAACTTGCGCCAAAACCCAACTTTGTTGCAGCGGGTCATGAGTTATCGTGGAGGTTATACACCACACGATCGTCGAGAAATCGAATCGCAAATGTTTGAAGGAAAACTCTCCGGAATCATTGCTACAAATGCCTTGGAATTGGGTATCGATATTGGTGCTTTAGGTACATCTATTTCTCCATCTCTTTTTGCTAAAAAAGAAATTTAACGTTTTTTTTTCTTTTCCACAGACGCTGTCTTAATGGTTGGTGTACCCTGGTCTATATCTGCATTGGTAACAAAAAAAAAAACCATATTTTTCTTGTGTTACTGACACACAGGGGAACTATTTAGTGGCAGCAGTCTGGCCGAGCTGGTCGAAGGAATGAAGACTCCTTAACTCTTGTTGTGTGTGATAATAACCCTTTGGATCAATACTATGCTGTAACTAAAAAAACGCTATATTTTTCTGACCCTGTCCCCCCCTCCTTTTTATATATGTATATATTTATCTAATCTTATATATATACTTTTTCTTCATTCTTGTAGAACCATCCCTCAGTTCTATTCGAGAAGACTCCGGATATTCTATCTATTGATTTAGAAAACTCAATCGTATTAGAAAGCCATATCCAATGTGCAGCAGAAGAGCTCCCCATCGACACTGAAAAGGATGAGATGTATTTCGGACCCAACCTAGACAAGATATGTCGCGATCATCTTGCAAAGATTGATGATCACGTAAGTTGTAACTAAAATCTTTTTTTTTTTTTTGAATTTCATCATTTTTTTAAAAAAAAACCTTATATTGATACAAAAAAAAAAAGTTATACAGACCTAATAAGCAATTCAGGCCTTATCCTTCCAAATTCGTTAATATTCGAAACATTCAGCGTGACACATTTGCTGTGATATACCATCAAAGCATCTTGGAAGAAATTGAGGTCCATCGAGCTGCTTTTGAAATTTACGAAGGTGCTATTTTTATTCATCAAGGTAGGACTTATCTGGTAGAGGAATGCAATATAGATAAGCGTTACGCCAAAGTTCATTTAGCAAATGTTGATTGGACAACCGTTCAAAGAGATTACACTGATGTAGATGCACAGAGTACAGATGAAACAAGACATATATTCAACTCTAAAAACTTTGTATGTTTTGGTCAAGTGAAAGGTTTGAACCTTAAAAAAAAAATCAATGACATGTCCAAGGAGGGCTGAAACATATCTTTTTTTTATACAACAGTGACAACGGTTGTATTTGGTTATTACAGACTAGATAAGAAGAAACGAATCATGGATGCACATGACGTATACATGGACCCTATTATCACGCATGCTACTGGTTTATGGGCAGATGCCCCAGGCACTTCTGTAGCTAAATTGCAAGCATTGGATATCGATCTAATGGCCGCCATTCATGCAGCTTGTAAAGTCCAACAAACCCTTATATGAGTTTCTTTAACTCACCCCCCTCCCCCTTTTTTTTAGCTCATTGTTTGATTTCATTGTTACCTCGATTTTCAATATCGTCGGATACGATTCGAACCGAATGTAAAAATCCACATGCTACACGTCCAAGACCTGCAAGGTTTGATATATATATAAAGACTGACCTATTTAAAAAAGACTGAAAAATGAGCATAGGGTCGCATTGTATGAGACATTACCTAGCGGGGTTATCAAACAAGCCTATCGACACTTTGAACAATTAATTGAAACATGCATCCAGCAAATTCGTGATTGTGTGTGTGAGGAAGGATGTCCGCTATGTAAGGTTTTTTTTTTTCTACGCAATAATGAACAAGGGTTTGATGTTTCTTTTTTTTTTAATTAGGTGTTCATTTAGCTAAATGCTCAGAACATAACCAAGTCTGTTCAAAACAGGGCGCTTTAATTGTCTTGACTGCTATGCGGGGAGATCGTTTTTAGATTACATATTGTTTCAACTCATTCAAGACACGATCGATATATGTTTCGACGTCAGTTTTTTTTTTTTTTATTCTCCCATCCCTAGTTTTAAAGTTTCTGGGTTCTTCTCTCAAACTGTTTATAATAATAAAAAAAATCCCATCTAAATTTAAATCTTAAAATGGACAATTTATTCATACATTTTGCGCAGGGTGTCAAAAAAAAATGGGCCAAATGGATGACGCTATCTGATTTTTAAACATTTTCATGCAAAACAAAATGTTTTTGCAGATCCCAAATGTTTCAAAAGTTAATGGTAAGGGTTTACATTCATTTAATATAAAAACCCTGATCAAAGCCCTCCTCTTAAGGGTTAATCAACTTTTATTGAATTAATATCTATTTTTTTCCAACCTAATTAATAATATACATTAATACATATATACACAATGGAAGCAACTCCCAATATTGTTAAAGACGTCTTGCCTATTTCCACCTTTTTAACGGACTGGCATACCCGTGTCACCTGGATTGGTTTCCTCACACTCTGGGTATTCTGGGGCGCTTCATGGGTCATTCGTAACGCCTTTGGTGGTGACTCGAGTACAACCATTCAATCCAATGCTCAAATTTCCTCAAACTATAACGGTCAAGGCGATCCCGAAGTAGGCAACACTACAAATCAAGGTCATAAGCAACTCCTCGCTGCTCCTGCCTGGTCTGTCAATGTCTTTGTAAGCTCCTCTTTTTTTCTCTAGCCATCCTTTTCTTTTTTTTTTTTTTTTCATGAATCTTTTTTCTAACTCACTTTAAATGATTAGAACCGTCTTAATCGTGCTCATGATATGCTTCGTGATCTCGTTCTTATGTTACTCTCTGTGCTCACACTCAACACTTTTGCCCGTGCTTCTCTTCGTGGTGTCATGATTGTTACTTGGTTGTAAGTTTTCCCCCATATATATATGTATAAAAGCTGTGATGTCTAAAAAAAAAAACCAAAATAGGTATGTTGCATTTGCAGTTGTCTACTTTGTAGTCGAAGCCTCTTATGAGCATCGCTATCTTCGTTTGCTTTACACACTTACATTCTACACACTTGGTTTGGCCATTGCAGGTCTTGCTTACAAGAATGGTTTCTATGGTGATGGTGAATCTACCAACGCCTATCGTGATGGTACTTACGAATAATTTATATTTATAATTTTTCTTTTTTACTTTCCATTTTTTTTTTTATTCATACTTTAATACTTAATAAAAAAATAACCTAATATTGCAAAAAAAAAAAACTTGATTCTATTACGCACATAAACATTGTGGCAAAGTTAAGCTTTTTTTTTTTTTTGTTAATGTTTGACGTAATGTTGCATCAAACTGGGGTTGTTAAAACTGAGAACGTCATTGTTGTCAACTTTTTCGATTTCTCGGGGTATTTTTTTTTTTTTGGGAGAATAGTTTCATGGTAAGGTCTCAAGGTAAAACTAAAAAACTAAAAAAAAAAATGCTCCGATAAACTCAAAACTGGTTTAATTCCAGATTGGCTAACAACCTTATTCTACTTGTGTGTTTTACCTCCTGTATCTATGTACTTGCACATCTTTAAACCCATCACATGTTCGGGGGGGGGGGGTGAAATTCTCACTGTAAGTCGAAATCGCCCACAACAACCACATATTGGCTACCATTGCAACCATACGGTAGTTACCATAGCAACCATACAGTGTCTATTACAGTAACTATACAGCAGTTATTATAGCAACCATGCAGTATCTATCATAGGAACCCTACAGTAGTAAATACAGCAACTATACAGTAGCTACCGTAGGATTTATACGGAATTGGAAAAGTTTTTGTCCACACAAATGAAGCTTAACTCCAGATATAAGAAGCCCTGTGCGCATTTTCCATTTATTGCAGCATAGATTAAGACTTTTTGCATAACAACGGGGCCAAAAGTTTTTATTAACGGTTGTACAAGCAGTCCCAGGGTCATAAAAGGAAATATACACAGAACTCAAGATTTTTTTTTCTCATTTATTAATCATCTTTTTTTGAAACAATGTCAAATTGGTCTGTTGATTACGCGTCATTGAACGGAAGGTAAAGAGTCGTTTTTTATTTAAAGAAAAATGAAGCAAAATAATAATAAAAAAAATATTGAAAAACCCTTGGGAGAAAACAGTTTAAAGGTATCCAACCCCATTGGCTTTGAAGCATCTGCGTTACAACGACTTAGTAAATCAGAGGTGAGAAAGCATGTAAATAAGATAAGAGGTCAGGGAGAATAAAACTAAAGATGATGTTTTGATAGAAATCACAACGTCAAATAGGTTCCGACCGAGAAGATCAACTTCAAGTTGCGATCAAAGTCAAGGTAAGATGATGAAGGTTTTATTGTTGTTGTAGCTGTGCGCTAATGGAAATACTATATAGAGAGCTTGGGATGTGGCCATGGCACCTGCTAAAAGTATACCCATGAATGCCATCATGATTTACATGTCAGGTACAGGACTTCAAATATTTACCGTAATGGTGACGGCCATGTTGTTTTTCAATCCCATCAAGGCCATTATGCAAGTGCAACAAAGTAAGTTCTCTTTCTTTAAAAAAAAAAAGTTCGTTTTCTACACAAATCATTGACTTTTTTTTTTTGGATTATAGCCTTCAGTCGTTTTGAATCAACAGGAGCAGCCAGATATCAACCGGGTGCGGATTTATTGATGGTGAAATTAGCATTTGTTGGACTTCATATTGTGACCATTTGTTTGGGTGTGTATAAGGTCAATGCAATGGGATTGTTGCCCAATACTGCTTCTGATTGGTTGGCATTTATAAAGCCTAAAGAAATCCTTGAATTTGCAGCATAAAGTAGAAATCTTTATTTAAACAAAAAAAAAAAAAGAAGAAAAGAAAAAATGAATTAAAAAAAAAGTTGCTAAAAAAAAAAAAAAAAGAAATTAAAAAAATTAAAATTGGGGTTCTAAAGGGAAAAAAAAGTGCGGAAAAAAAAAAGTATATATAAATGTGTATTGTGGGTGGGTTTCTAATGAGAGAAAAAGATATAGGTTATTTTTTTTTTTTGTTATTTTTGTATGTACTTTTTTTTTCTTTTTTTTTCTTTTTTTTTTTGTAGTTGCAAATTGATATCCTTGAATATATGTACATGAACCCCTTCAACCTATCTCTCTTTCTCTCTCTTTTGTGTGTGTGTTTTTTAGGCTTCTTCGGGTGTTTCTGAGATCCAAGCAAGTTGAAGAGTTCCCTTGGAGTAATTAGGACCGGCTGTCATGGCTCTTTCAGCTTCAAATCGTTGACCATATTGAACCACGACTTCAGACTCTTTCTGTTCAAATGATGTCACTGTACCAAATTGCTATTCATACGCAAAAAAAAAAAAGTGTTAGTTTTCCTTTTCTTATTCTTTTTTTACTAATCATCTTAGAAAGACTTACATCGAAATGCTGGCGCAATTCGGTTTCATTGGACTCTTGAGGGATATCTTTCACGACAATCTTGGTAGGACGGTTATCCAAGCTCATTCTAGTCATACCTCCTCTCATACGAGGCCAACTACCACGTCCTCTACCATAGTAACCACCACGTCCTCCACGGAACCCGGATCCTTGAATACCAAGATGAGAAGCTTCAGCTTCTAAACGAGCTAATTTCTTTTTAAGATCCTCTGTTGTCTCTGTACCTTCAGCAGCACCAGCAGCAGGTTCGCTTCCTTCTGATGCAGTGGGGACAACGGGAGGTTGAGTAGCGGCAGTTTTGGTAGTATTAATATCTGATTGAATTGTCTTTAAAGCCTTCAAAAGATCGGCCTTTTCAAGTTGAGATAAACCAGTGCTGTTCGTTAATTGATCTAACAATCTCTTTTGTTCATCAATTTGTTGTTGAAGTTGATTTTCTCTCTTCTTTTGAAGCTCCAAAATGGATTTCATGTGTTCTTGATGTTTCTTTTGCTTTTCCTCTCGCTCTTTAGCAAGTTCAGCAGCACGAGCTGCTACCAATTCTGGATCGGGTTCATTAGGATTAATCATGGGAGGTTGAGGTTCAACAGGTGCTGTCGCTGTGGCTGCTGTATTTGTACCGTTGGCATTTACAGCGGGTGTCTCATCCTTATGCCAATAAACCTTGACAAATCGATTATCAAAGATAGCATCAGGTGAATTGTAAGCATTCTCCGCTTCTTGACGCGTACTGTATTGAATCACGGCCTTTTGAGCATGAGGTTGAACACTGATATTGGTGATCGTACCAAATTTAGCAAAGAATTCATTGACAGTGGCAATTTGACAGAATTCAACAGGAATCTTTTCGACGTTTAAAGTGGTATTTTGAGCATTATGCTGATTATAATGTTGACGTCCATTATATCCGCCACGTGCATTACCACGATGACCACGACCGCCACGACGCATACCGTTACCACGCATATTCATCATATCGTTATTATTAGGCATCATACCACCGGGGAATCCCATATCTTGACCGGGCATCATACCAGATCGTTCAGGATCGTAAGCATCGGGCATACCGTAAAAAGGTTGAGGAGGGACGGTACGTACACCCATGGGAGGAATAGGTCCTCCAGGGGGGAAAGGACCAGGATAAGCTCCAGCGCCTTCATCTACAATGATTCTATCCATACCATGATCATAAGGGCACATATCACCTCTCATACAGAAACCCTTTTCTGCAATCATTTTTAAAGAAAAAAAAAAGGGTGTTTAGTTTTCTTTTATATATCCCCGAGATAGTATTTCTTTTCTTATTTTTTGGGCTTACCATTGTAGTCTCTACATTGAGGTCTGTTTTGACCACGGTTCATGTTATGCATTCTAGGGTTGACGCCAGGACGGCCCATATTTCCTCCAGTTCCACTTCCTCCTCGAGCACGGTTATTGTTATCGAAATGGTGTCCATTGAAACCGCCGGTGACAGGTATATTATTAGGGTTGGGTCTTCTTTCATCATTGGAAGAGGTATTGGTACGGTAATATTTCGAGCCAAGAGAAGAGGAAGGGTCGTCATTCATTCTACGTTTGCTACCACGATCTCCGTCTTCTTGGGACTCGGATCGTTGACGTCTATGTTTAAAATTACGATCGCCGTCATCTTCGTCATCCGAAAAATCATTGAATCGATCGGTAGTAGGGGGAAGAGAAGGAACAACCGCAGTAGCAGCAGCAGTGGTGGTGTTGGTGGTGGTGGCGGAAGCAGATTGACCATTAATCTTTGAGAACAAACGATTAATAAAAGGCATAGTTTCTACATGTATATATATACAAAAGTTTTTTTTTTTTTTTTTGAATGTTAGTGTTGCTTTTACATGCCCAAAGTTCAAATTAAATAACTTACGGTCATCAAAGAATTCATGGAGTTTTTCCTCAAGACTAGATTTTAAACGATCGTCTAAATCTTCATTACCAATTAATGCAATAATATATTGTGCCAACACAGTAGGATCAGCATCACAACTACACATTCATAAAAAAACACGTTAATATTCTCTCTCTTTCTTCTTTTCTTTAAATTAGAATCTCCTATCCCCCACTACCACCACAAACAACTTACAGTGAAGCAACTTCTTTACTCACAAAGACTTCCAAGTCTGCTGGTAATTGCGTATTTGCCATGTTTTTTTTAGTGTTATACGGACAAAAAAGAGAAAGTTTTTTTTTATAAGTGGGTACTAGTCGTGCGTTTAAAAAAAAAAAAAAAAAAAAAAGAAAACTTTCATACGTCACGGGTGACTGCGATTTTTGTCTAGACACTATCCATTTTATTTTGTGGAGGGTCCTTTTTTTTTATTGTTCATCACATGTCGTTTAATATTAAGAATTCGTTTGTTTCGCGTGCAATTGTAGAGGATGACAAGCAAGTGGATGCGGAAGGAGGAAAAGATACAGAAGAAGGTAATAATGAAACTGCCCCCGCTTATATTTATATGGATATATTTTATCCATGGAGGAGGAAAAATAGAGGGGGGAACTAAAAAGTAATCAAGCTTTTTTATTTTTTCTTGTAAACAGTGGTTATTCAAGAAGAATACGATCCACGTACACTCTTTGAACGTCTTCAAGAACAACGTACTTTAAAAGAAGAAAAATTTGCAGAAGAATCACGTCTATCTAATCAAATCAAACGCGTGGATGCTGAAGAAGCTGAATTCTTTCGTACTTTATCCGATGAAAAAGAGAAATTAGATCATGATCGTAAAATAAAAGAGGAATTGGAATTAGCAGAGTATCGACAAGCGGTAGAAGCAAGAGCACAACCAGTGGGTCCCGCTTCCATTGTCGCTCCCTCATCCACCATCACCACTACAGCTATAGTCACATCGACTACCACACAAAACAAACCATCAGCACCAACAGCAGCAGCGGCGAAATCTAAAAAGTCAGTGAAGGGAGGAGCTTTGTTTGTCAAAAAGAGAAAACACAGCACCGATGATACAGAAAAAGAAGATAATAAAAAACCAAAGAAAACGTCAACAACATCCTTGTCTTTACTGGTGGATTATGGCGATATCAGTGACAGTGATTGATCCTATTACTTGCCTCTAGAATAAATATGATTGGATCATTACAAGAGTGTGGAAGAATAAAGAAGAAAAAAAAATAGGGGAGAGAGGGGGTACAATTGCGCGGGCAAAGATTAAAAAAAAATACAAGAAATGTTGGTTTTAATGCAGACTTTTTGACATTTATGAACGGAAAATTATGAGAATGCCAATTAGCATTTTTTGGCGGCAAAAAAAAAAGAAAGAAAGGGGGTGCGTGGGTGGGAGGGAGATCTACTTTCTTTTGTTGTATGGGGGTGGATGTAGCCACGGTAAAGATCGTTGGATCTTAGCCAGAATGTAATTATTTTGTTATTTCGCTATCATGACGGATTTTCGAATGGAATGAAAGAAGGGAACGTCAGAAGATAATAATCCCCCATGACGAAGTGTATAAACAATAATAACATGGATGCATTTGTTATTGGACGAGGTATGCATTCTTTCATTTTTATCACTTTTTTTATTTTTTATATTTTATATATTTCTACGTGTAATTTAGAGTATGTTTACAAATGTGTGGCAAAAAAAAAAAAAAAAGTGATACCATGGGTGTGTGATACCATAAACAATCGAAAAAGTGATGCAAAATGAGGTAGATCAACAAAAAGGCGTGAATCGAAAATCCACATACAACAACAAAGTTTTGTAAAGAATGCTTTTTAAAGCATGTGGGACTATAAATTTCGATTCCAAAAACAAATTTCGTTTCAGATTCGACCCTTCCCCTTTTTTTATCTATATCTCTTGTTATACAAAACCCCCCCATTCCTTTCGTTATAAAGTATGGATACCAGTTATACTTATCCTCAATTGTTTGATATGGATACTACGTTTGATACGGATCTATTTGGTGGATTGAACCTCAGTGATAATTACTTGGATACTAACAATAACAACAATAACAATAACAATAGAAAGGGAGATTATAATGTCAATAACAATCATTCTTATCTTCAATATTTACAAAATAACAATCATAACGAGTTTTACTATGATGCTTGTTCTCAACAAATGCTCTTATCATCAACAGTCAATATGGATCTACCTGATTATGATTTCAACCCACACACAGATCATAAATTACAACAATACAATTGGCTTTATGATCCCATCGATACCTTCTTACCTCCCCAACAACAAGCCAATATCTTTCATGAAAATAATCCTTCTTCCTCAGCCTCTTCTTCTTTGCATATGGTAAATGGCTTTGATACCCTCATGTCTGAAAACATGGATGCCATGACAACCGTCCAAGGTGGAATGTCTCGTGACTATGTCAGTCTTAGCGTAAGTTTCCTCCTCCCCCCATCCTTTTTTTTTTTTTCTAACCAACTAATCAAAATAAAAAAAAAAAAATTGTAGGACGTAAACTCATTTGTAGCCAAAGCAGACTCTAAACATTCTTGCTTACAAGTGCCCATGGATTGCAATGGCCGAACGGATTTCTCTTCTTCTGAATCTACCACGAATGAAGATAGCGAAGATGATTATTCAGATAGTGAAAATGAATTACGTTGGCCTTCCTTTCATGCCCATCACAATCATCATCAACAGCAACAACAACAGAATGATAAACAAAAGCTCTTGATAAAAATCAAAAAACCCATCACAACATCCGTATCATCCACATCAGCACCAGGAACAGCAACAGCGTATAATAATCATGAATGGTTACTCAATAATAAAAAAGTGTATCGAAACAAGTACAGAAAATCCATGTCAAATATATTTCAAGACAAAAAGAATGCAACGAATAAAAGACGTGGTAGTGCACCGAACGCTCATCATCATCCACATTATTTACAACCTTCACATGTCCATCATCGATTAACAGGGAGTTTACATTCTTCCTCCTCATTGACGTCGTTATCCAACACTTTGCAAAGATCAATGCGTGTGTCGGATAGCATGAATTTCTTGTCTCGTGGAGGATCCTCCGATGAGGACGAGGACGAGGAAGGCGTAGTGGAGGAAGAAGACGACGACGACGAGGAAGAAGAAGAGGAAGAAGAGGATGATGATGAATATCAAATCAGACACACACATGCTCCTCCTTATCAGCTTCCCACAAAGAAGGGTCGCAATGTAGATAAAGCCTGTAATCATTGTAAACGTTCTCATTTACGTTGTGATGATATGAGACCATGTCGTCGTTGCGTAGCTACCGGTAAAACTGGATGTAAAGATGTTCAACATAAACCAAGAGGAAGACCCAAGCTTCACAAGAAATAATAAAAAAAGTAGTAGTTAGCAAGTACATTATAATTTTTAAGCAAACCACCATAATAATAAAAGCAGTCCCTCGTGACTGGTCACACGAAAAAAAACTCAACCATTGCTGTTTTAAAAAAAATTTCATGTCAAAGAAAAAATAAGCCTTTTTTTTTTACATACATACACACATATTGAACATTATTTAAAAATGGTTGCCAGTACTGATGCTCAAAAGATTTGTAAGCAAGTCGAATTCTATTTCTCTGACTCCAACTTGCCTTATGATAAATTTTTATGGACTCTCCGTGCCAACACTCCCGAAGGCTGTAAATATGCTGCATAGATATATATGAAAAATCACGTAAAAAAAAAAAAAAAAAATTAACATGATAGAAAATTGATAGGGATTCCCATTGAGACCATTGCTAGTTTCAAAAAAATGAAGATGATTACCGAGGATTTAGAGGTAGTTGTCAAGGCTTTAAAGGAGCATGAGAGTGAGATTTACGAACTTGATGCTGAAGCCAAGAACATTAGAAGAAAGTCCGAAGTTGTTCAACAAGACCATGCCGTGCGTTCCATCTATATCAAGGGTTTACCTCTTGTCGATATCGATGCTAAAGATCCCGTCGCTGAACTTTTCTTGCTTCAAGATAAAATCGATGATCTTTTCAGCGAACATGCCAAGGTTCTCTGTGTCCGTTTAAAGAAAACCAATGATCGTCCCAAGAAGTTCAAGGTAAAAAAAAATTTATCTTTTTATTTCATCCTCATTTTTTTTTTAATTAACACTTATCATTTTTTTTTTAAAAAAAAAGGGAAGCGCTTATGTCGAATTTGAAACTGCTGAAGAGGCCAAGAAGGTCGCTGAATTAAAACAAGTCGAATTAGATGGAAAGACAATTGAGATTTTATACAAGCCTACCTATCATGAAATGAAGGCTGCCGAATATAAGGATGCTCCCTCCGCTAACCGTCCCAGAAACTTTTCTTTCAATGCTTTCAAACCTCATGCTGAAGCCAAGTTCGCTGGTAACAAGAGAAAGAGTGCTGGTTTCTCTAAGGCTGAACCCAAGAAGGCTAAGGTTGTTGAGGAGGCCAAGCCTGTTGAGGCTGCCCCCGCTGCTGCTGTTGCCACTGAGGAGGCCAAGCCTGTTGAAGCTGCTGCCCCTGCTGTTGAAGAGACCAAGCCTGTTGAGGCCGCTGTTGTTGAAGAGACCAACTAGATACATTTGTAATTAAGAAAAAAAAATGATAATAAAACATGTGCCCTTTTTTTTTTAGCATCCCATATAATACATACACATAAGTTTTTTTTTATTTGTTTAGTTATGAAGATTGAGGGATGGTAACTAACCAACGTTGTAAAATACGTTTAACCACAGCTCCGCCACTTGGATCAATTTTCTCCAAAAATTGAATGGTAATGTGTTGCGAGGTAAAGGTTGTGTTTCCAATGATCAGTGGTCTTGTCAAAGGAGATAATGTCATAGTTAATATCTCTCGTGCCGGTCCTCCCATCTCTTCTCCGCCAGTGGGTTGGGTCGAAATTTCAAATTGAGCATCGGCTAAATCTGATTTTTCCAAATTGATCAAACTTTGTTCCCCTTCCATACAACATAATCGAATATGAAAATGACCATCGAGTAAGGTCACGGCGCAATTCGGATGTGAAAATGTCTGTGTGGTTCCAAATGAAATAAATAGCGTGGGTAAAGGGATACCTCCTTGACTATACAAAAAGAAGGAGTTCTGTGTTGATGTTTCTACTACGCCTGATGTGGTGGAGGGGGTGGCCGCCCCTGTTGTAGACGCTGTAGCTACTGTAGCTGCTGTGGCTGTTGTGGCCGTTGTGATTGTCGTGACCGGCGCCACCATGGTTGCCACGGTAACTGGCGTCACGGATGATGGGGTCGTTGCCACCGCCACAGTCGTCTCTTCTGTTTTCTTCATCGATTCTCCTTTCACTTTCTTGATCGTTGTAGTAGGTACGGTTTTTTTCACAGGGGCGACATGTATTGTATCCTCCTTCTTTTGCGATACCTTCTTTTGCTGTTGTTGTTGTTGTTGCTGCAACTGCAGTTGCTTTTTTTGTTGAAGTAATTCCTCCTCCCTTTCCAACTCCAAGGCACGTTCCTTTTCCTTCTTTTCACGTAACAGTCTTTTCTCTTCGTGAGGACTAATGACGGGTGCACCCTTCAAGATTTCCTTTCGTTTCCATTGAATACCACAACTGTTACAAAGTGTACCGTGGCCTGCAGGACCGGGCTGCCACATGGCTGTATACCGTGTGCTACAGTAGGCACATTTGAGTAATCCGTCTTCCTTGGCTACATTATTTTGATACTTGTTCTTGGGCACTATTCCAAAAAAAAAAACAAAAACAAAAAGGTTAGAGAGTTTTTTTTTTTTTTTTTTTTTTTTTTTTGGTGGAATTGAGGTCGCGGAGGGAGGGGGGAGGGGGAGGAGGTGAAAACTTACGCTCGGCTTCAAATTTATGATCGCGTGGACGTTTGCCTAGTCGAATGGCGTTTAAAATTTCATTACGCTTTTTCTCGGCCATGATGGGACCTGTGGTAATATCGGGTACGGTCATGGCTCTTTTAACGAGCTCACTGACATCGGATTTATCAGTGCTTTGTTCTGACAAATCGTATTGCACATATTTCTTACGCGGGAATGTTTTCATCTATAGTAAAAAGAAGCGGTGTGAATATATACCACAATGGAAAGAGAGAGAAAAAAAAAGTATACTTTGGAGGTAAGACTGTGTTTGACTTTGTCGGGTGGGTAGACGTTATCTTCCAGGGCGTCTAAAGTGACCTGATTTAACAAGGTGATACGAATATTGGCAGGTTCATAGACCTTGTTATCAGCCTTGTCGGTGGGAGGAGGAGGGGGGTGGTCTCGCAAGATGTCTAAAAGAGGTGTAGGTAAATTCATGTCATGACAAGCGTATAATTGTTCTTGTGGACTTGAGAAGAATGTGTCGGTTGTATCAGACGGTATTGCAAACGATGCATGTAACTACTTTGGTTCTCATACGTGGTGAGTCTTTAACCAAACATGAAAAAAGTTGGTTTTTTTTTTTACCTCGATGGGTCCATTCTCGACGGAGAGACTGACAAGTGCTTCTTTAGGGAAAATAAATCGTTCGTTGGGAATTTCAGCAAGTTCAAAAACAATATCGACAAATTCAAGCTTAGCCTCTTGGTCCTCGCATGCCACACCATGGGCTTGTGCAATGGATGAAAGAAGGGTCGATCGTTTGGCTTCATAAAATGTTGTGTTGGGAAATACATGGGGACCTAATTCTAAATGGCCCGTGCCCAACCATTTCATAAAGGGCCATTTCTTGCGTGAATTACTGGTTCGTTTTGGTTGTTGTAATGGGTCGGATTTATAACGTGGAAAAACAGAATGGGTCCAGTGAAGACGAGATTGTAGTAAGGATAATAGCAACACACCGCTTTTTTATAGAAAGAGAGAGAGAAAAAGGGGGTCATTTATGCATGTCTTTTTATTTTAATTATCAAGTTGTGGAGGTCATTTACCTGTCACAAGCATCCACTGAATGAGGTGTGTCTGTGGTGGGTATGTCGTATTTTTTTAAACTGGTTTCCAGTCTCTTTTTCGCGGCAATAAGAGCAGAACTTGACATGTGTTTCAAGTGTAATATCAAAGGAATACATAGCAAAAAGATAAAAAAAAAAAAAGGAGAGAGAGAAAGTGACTGTCTTTGAATTTTGTGCGGGCGGGGCGGGGTGTATTGCCCCGGGGAGGAGGAGGAGGACACCAATGAGTGTCATCAAGGTGTTCAAGTAGACAATGGTGAATCTTTCTCTTTATAGTTTGAACGGAAGGACAACATGGTTTGCAGAGTAAGCACAAAAATTCATACAGTCTTAAAACAGAGGAGAGGCGTGTATGGGTAGAGGGGAAGGGATGGATTCACCAAGTTTATGGATGGATGCTATCATACACATACTTTTTTTTTTTCATATTTCTGGGGAAAATGTTGTGAAATGACAATTCCATTTGGATCGATCCCTCGCTACCACACACCTTCTCTCCCTCTGTGGTCATGCCTGCCCACGTCTCCACAATTGCATAATGTACTAATCCAACTTTTTTTTTTTAATCATTCGCAGTTAAACGAATATCAGGTAAGACTTTAAACATTTAACAAAGCACTTAGTATCACGATAATTAACTTTTTATGAACCTAGGTGGTTGGCCGTAAGCTCCCCTCAGCTCAAGAAGTTGCCCCCAAGCTCTTCCGTATGAGAATCTTTGCTCCTAACAACGTTGTTGCCAAGTCTCGTTTCTGGTACTTCCTCAAGAAGCTCCGTAAGGTCAAGAAGGCTGCTGGTGAGATTGTTTCCATCAACCAAGTAAGTTTATATTTACATACCACTGGGCAGAAAAAAAGAAAGCAATAAATTGACATTCATATGTGCATTAGATCTCCGAGAAGCGTCCTGAACAAGTCAAGAACTTTGGTGTCTGGATCCGTTACGATTCTCGCTCCGGTACTCACAACATGTACAAGGAATACCGTGAAATGTCTCGTTGTGAAGCTGTTGAACACTGTTGTACGTATACATAAAAACTAGTTTTTTTTTATGCGTTTTAGGGGATATGAATTGAAAAACTCACACTTTATATATTATTAGACCAAGATATGGCTTCTCGTCATCGTGCTCGTTTCAGATCTGTCCAGATCATTCGTGTTGCCGAAGTCAAGGATGCCGATGTTCGTCGTGCATACATCAAGCAACTCTTGACCCCCAAGCTCGCTTTCCCCTTGCCTCATCGTCTTGCCAACGTCGAGAAGAAGCACCGTGCTCTCTTCGTCGCCAAGCGTCCTACCACCTTCTATTAAATTTTTTTTTTTTAGTTTTTTTTATTTTTTTTTTTAATGGTTTAAAAAAGCTTTTGATTTTACATTAAAAGAAACATAAAATTTCCTTTTATATTCTCTTTTTTGTTTTGTCTTAGACATTTTTTGGTGATTAGTTAAGCAGCAGGGTTTAGATTATGGTTTCATTGGTACTTGTTTGATCGCCTTGTTTGTCATTGACGCATTGGTGGTGCGATCATTTTAGGGGTTGTGGGATTTGCAGGGAGAATACAAACATCACAACAGCAGCAAAAAAAAAAAAAAAAAAAAATCGTATCATCCTTTTTTTTAAAAAATATTTATATACACTCTCTCTATTTTTAAACATACACACATGGCGATATTTTTCTTCTTGTTTTTTACCGGGTAACAATGAATTAAAAAAGGCATGTCTGGATATTTCATTCTTTTTTGTTCATCATTTCATTCGTTTAGTTGTATTTCAAATCAGACAAAAAAATATGCAAGACCCACATCAACCAACATTTTTTTTTTCTTTTTGACAAGTGTGGGTAAACCCTTGGTGTGTGTGTGTGTGTTTTTATTACTATGTTGCCTAAAGGGAGAAGTAAAGTTTATTAATAGACAATTAGAAATAGGGGAGTACGGTGTATCGAGTAGGGTGTAGCCTATTTTCCCTTTTTTGTACTGAAGAGTGATGTCAAGTGTTTCCAATGGTTTTAGCCCATGATTGGTTGCAGCATGTAAAAAAAGGGAGTTTCATGTATATAAAACTTATTTCTTCTTGTTCTTCTTCTTCTTCTTCTTGTTTTTTCTTTATTCATACTTTTTTTAATTTACTTTACAAACCCAAAATCAAAAAATTAATTACATATATATATAATATACCATCATGCTTCATACAACAAAACGCGATCACACCTCAATCTATTCAAATGATTCAACAGTAAAGACACTATGGCATCGTTTTCTAGCGCACTTCTATGCACAACAACAACAAGAAGAAAAAGAACTCCATAAACGACGACATTCAACCTATTCTAGCAGCGAAAGTGATCTATCCTCTGTGCAGACCTTGACAAAAAAGAGGAGGAGGAGAAAGGCTCGTCAAGAACAAGTACTTTCATTAGAACCCACCCATCTCGTCTTACCTCCCTTTAGTCCTACCTATTGTAAAAAAAACGAATTTCCATACTCCAATTTCTATGTTAAGTTACCCAACGGTAAATGGATGATACGATATCGATCTGGTAACAGAGATATACTGGGCACCGAAGAATTTGAAGGCTACATGATTTAATTTTTTTTTTTTTTTTTTTTTTTTTTTACATACACAAATATATAAATAAATGTGTGACAAAACAACAAAGAGAGAGAGAGAAATTCTATTATTATTACATTATACTATTTTATTTTATGTTTGGTTCACAAGGGCTTTTGTGCACAGTAGGCCCACACTTTCACTCGCCATCCTACGTTAGTGATGCCATTCATATATCGATCAACAGCACTACTGTATTGCGCAGGATCTGTCGTCACTCGATGCGCGAGCATTGGCTTTAATGATAGAATCGCACTTTTCCAATTAATTAGCATTTCTTTGGCAATCGGGTTCAAAGGTAATTCTAGAGACAAAATGTAAGTCCTTCTTTCTTTTTTTATCATCTGCCAACCTAAAAAAAAATCATTGATGTTTCATACCGTAACTTAGAAACAGTTCTTTTACTTCGATAATGTCATATTGAAGCTCCTGTAAAAGCGTATTTAGTTTAGCACCGATAAAAGGGTCCTGTTCGTTGGCTTGCATCGCTTTGATCACTATTATTTAAAACGATTTTTTTTTTTTACTTCACCTGGTTAAAAAAAAAGGAAAGGATATACAATAGATGAGGAGGGTTCTTTTTTTTTTTACATACATTCACTGTTAAATAATTCCACAACTGGGTCCGTAGTCTTTTCCTAAAATCATATTTAAAAGATTAGAATACAAAAAAAAAAAGATGGTGCGATAAGTGAAAAAAAAGGTACAGTAAAATCGGTTTCCACAACACTCAAAAGTCCGCCAGGTTTAAGCACACGAAATATTTCGGTGAGAATGGTGGACCATTCTCCCGAACGAAAAGCAACAATCATTAACCTGAGATGAACGAAATCAAAAGAATTATCAGGATAAGGTAAACCACCTTTCACCACATTGTGCAATAGAAATGTCACGTTTTCCGGTCGAATAGTTGTTGGAAACATATCGGCAATATCAATGCCTGTAATTTGATATTCTGGGTGGTCAATGGCCATTTCCTATTTTTTTTTTTAACATTTGTGTCTGTGTGTGTGAGTGAGAGGTAGGATTCAGATAAAGAAAGAAAATAAAATAAAATAAAAAATCTTACCATGACCCAGCATCCAGACCCACACCCTACATCCAAAACACTAGCTTTTCTCGGTGTCATGGTTTCAATCGAAGGTAAAACATTGCTATGGCAATAAAAGGGGGGGTTTTTTTTTTTAATATTATCATTTACCAACTCAGTGTGTTACTTTTTTTTTTACCCTCCCAAGAGTGCTTTTAACGAAAAGTGTTGCTAAAGAAAGAAGAGAGTTTATGAGGAGTGTGCTTTTTTTTTTAATTGAGAATGTAATGTTCACATGGAGGGGAAAGAAAAGGGCATGCTTACAGAATTAAGTCGATCTTGTTCAACCTCATCACTCGGTAAACAATAGGAACCTGTATCTGATACAAGATAGTAACGACCTTCGATATTGACTGAACTGGTCGAATGCTGTACCGATTGATCACTATGAACACTTTCTTTACGTGCAATTGGTTTTGATTTATGTCGAGATTGATTAATTCCCATTTTTTATTTTTTTATATTTTGGTTTGCTTTGTTTATAAAAGCATTAAAAGAGAGATAGAATACATAAAAAAAAAAAAAAGATTATGTGTTTCTCGAATAAACCTTGTTTAGAGTTTGGTAATACGTTGCTCAAAAAGGTACATTTTGTTTGACAGTAAAAAAAAAAAACTTATCTAAACCCCCCTTAACAAAAAGGCTACGGGGCAGCCAAAAAAAAGAGATTGATAGAGCGCAAAAAGGGCAAGCGCGCCGGAGCCTTAATTTTTTAAAAATAGAAAAAAAAAAATATAGTTTTGTTTGGGGGAAGCATCAATTAAATTACAGAGAGGAACGACGTAAAAGGGAAGCAAGGGGGGAGAGAAAGTGTAAAAGCCAAGCCTTTTTTTCTCATATCTTTTACAATTCGTTCCCAATGGGTCTGATGATTAGAAATATCACTTGATTGTGTGACAATCGATATAAGATGCAAAAAAATGGTATTTTTTATAAAAGCGGATTGGTATTAAAAAAAAACGCTATTGTACATTTTATATGTCTAGCTGCTTTTTACATGTAAACAAAAAAAATAAAATAAAAAAACTATAATTAGACGTTTTTAAATTTTTTTTTTTTTCATCTTTCTTTTCTCTCCCTCTTTTTTTTCTCTCTCTTTACTTTATACATACAATGCCAGAATCAACGCAAAGAAGATACTGGAAGAACAGGCTCAGTCAACAAATCAGTGGATTTCATTTCAACACATGTTTGTCAGCAAACAACGTACAAGGAGAAGAGGAGGAGGAAGAAGAAAAGACACCAGCGGAAGCGCCCGTGCCGTTACCAGCCACACTCTCAAAAAAGAGACTGCTCTGGAGAAAACCGTTACCCAATGACTGTCCTGTCTTTGATTTCAACTCTTCTTCATCAAATAACAACTCGCTGGACGAAAAGACAGAGATACCCACAAGACAGCAAAGTAAACATTATGAACGCATACCCAATCTTGAAGCTGAATTAGACCGTGCCTGTAAAAATGAAAAGGCTCTCTTTCTGACAAACATATTATCCCATCAACGCCATTAAAAAAAAACAAAAGAGATTGTTTCTATATATCTGTTCTATTTTTTTATTTTTATTTTTTTTCTTTAATATAATATAAATGTTTATACATGTCCTTGAGGGTCTTTTATACAGTTTTGTTCTTTTGAAGACCCTTTCTCTTTCTTTGAGTGAGTTTTGTTTCTTCAATATATTTAGCATCTTCTTCATCATTAAATGTCACTTCTTCAGTCTTCTTCTCAGGCTTCTCCTCATCATCGTATTGTGTGATACGTTCACTAGGATCTCTCTCTTCTTTAGTGGGTGCAGGGAACTTGTTATCCATCTTTTTGAATTTAGCAACATAGAAACCATCCATGTTATGAACGTGAGGATAGAAACGACGTGTTAATTTCACACTGGGATGGAAGTTCTTTCCACGGTATGAGACAAAGCCTTCACGACCAAAATCAAGTGTGGTAGGTACTAACTTGACATTGGGTCGCTTCATCAAAGCATAATTCACCACAGCCTCGTTTTCTTCCACTGTAACAGAACATGTAGAGTACACAATATATCCACCCGTCTTACTCTTGGCATCCACACTATCAATAGCTGCCAAAATCAATTGCTTTTGAAGGAAAGGAATATCAATGAAATCCTTCTCGGTCTTGTTTAACTTGACACTAGGATCCTTGGAAATAACACCTGTACCTGAACAAGGTGCATCCAATAAAACACGATCGAAACCACCGACAACCTTGGGGAACTCACGACCATCATAGTTACAGACAATCGCGTTCTTGACACCCATACGATGAATATTGGCAATAAGAGACTTCAAACGATCCTTGGTAGCATCGTTGGCAAAGACCATACCTGTGTTCTTTTGCAAGGCAGCGATATAAGTAGTCTTACCACCGGGAGCAGAAGCCATATCAAGGACACGTTCGTTGGGTTGAGGAGCAAGAGCCATGACGGGTAAGAAAGAAGAGGCGGCTTGGAGCATGTAATGACCAGCGAGGTATTCAGGGGTAGCACCAATGGGCACAGAAGAATCAAACACTTGAAGACCGACTTTACTCCATTTACCAATAGGTTCGAGGTTGACGCCACGGTTAATCAAGGCTTGAGCAAGATCACGACGACGTGTCTTTAAAGTGTTGGTACGGATGGTGACAGGACGAGGCACTTCATTAGCTTCGAAGAATTCAATGGCTTCAGACACCGTGAACAAGTTGAAGAGCTTTTCGGCCAAGAATTGAGAGTAACCATAGTAACTGGCAATATCTTTAATTAAACGATCAACATAATCTTGACGATCTTTGGTAGGATCACGAAGTTTACGGAAATCGTTAAGGACATTGACAATGTCCTTGAGACGTTGACTGACTTGAGTGACATCGGCAACTAATTCATCGTCATCGCCTTCGGGAAGGACGTAACGTTCATCTTCCTCGAGTTCACTGTCTTGGTTGGCTTGTTCGACTAATTCTGCTTCAGCATCGGCAGCTTCACGAGCAGCACGAGCTTCAATTTGACGAGACTTGCGTTCATCAAGAGCTTGACCCTTTTCAAAGAAAAAAGAGGAAGAAAAAAAATTAATTTTGAGATCTAAGAAAAAAAGTTTTTTTTTTTTCATGTACTTACTTCAGCATGTTCATCCTCATCCTCATCCTCAGATTCTTCTTCAAGTTCCTCTTCTTGATCTAATTCCATTTCCTCTTCTTCAGAATCAGAACCAAGGAAACCACCTTCAGCTTGAGGGAAAACATCTTGTTCCTCCAACTCTTCTTCCTCCTCCTCTTCCTCTTCTTCTTCGTCGTTAGAGTTGGCATAATCACTCATATCAAACTCGTCAGGTAAGTCGTCACTGTTTTCATCATCGGTAGCCACTTCGAGATTATCCCAAAGATCACCACCTTCAACAGGGGCTTCTTCGACACTTTTCTTGGCCTTCTTGCTACCACCCTTCTTAACAATGGCTGATTCTTCTAAAGCACGCTTATTGCTCTTTTTTTCGGCAGCAGCGGCTTTTGTCTTGTTTTGTCTAGCCTTGGCTCTCTTTGAGAGTCCTTCGTATTTAGGCTTCTCGATGGGTTCGGGAGCTCCTTGCTTATTCTTTGCCTTGTGTCCCATTCTATATAAAGTTTTGTATAAAGTTAACAAATAAAAAAAAAAAGTTCACTCTAATTTTTTTTTTTTTTCTTTTGCCTGAACTATTTTTTTTTTGACAGAGTAGTCACGCAAAACAAGTCACGATTTTTATTTTTTTTTAATTTTGAAGAAGGATAAAAAGGGGGAGGGGAGGAATTCATGCGGCGTGGCTTGTCTAGATCATGGGCATATCCAGACAAGGTACTTTACCATTAGGCAAAGTACCCATAGGACAAGGTCTCCAACCTTGATATAATTTCCAAGAAGGATCCAAGTCAATCATTTTATCAAGTTTTCTCTTTTCAGGTCTTGTAGATTTGACTACGACGGATTCTATTTCTGCTGCTTTCACTTGTGCCAATTGGGTCTCCAAAGTTTCTAATTCGCGTTGCAAGGTGTCTTCATCAATGGAAGGAAGGGTGGTATCACTGCTTTTGGCGATTTTATCAGTTTGGAGATTTTTCATAATCATTTGATCAATGTAACGCGTGAAAGGTTTGATGGATTGTCCTAATTCGGGGTCCACGTTCACCACACTCTGAAGCACCGATCGCGTACTATTTTTTTTTTTTTTTTTTTTGGTTGAGTTTGGAAAACTTGTGTTTATGCGCATAAAATTTAAATCACTTACTAGTAATTAGGGTTTCGAAGACAATCTTCTAATATATCGTCCATGGTGAGATGGCTTAATGTACGCTTCTGATGAGGAATTCCAAATTCACTGACAAAATGCCTTAACCAACACGCTATTGTAAAAAAAAAAAAAAATGTCTGCGTTTTAGTTCCCAAATCTTTGTCATTGCATATTTAAAAAAAATAAAAACTTACTGAGCGTTAACAGGTAAGTGGGTGATTTTGTAGGATCTTCAGCATTTTGAATAGCAAAGGCTGCATATGGATTTAAAGCAACTTCATCCAAAACAAAGTCTAAATTTAAGAAATAGACGGATGAATTAAAAAAAGAAGATACGCATTTTTCAACTTCTTTTTCCCTTTACCGTAATTGGTGTCTAATTTCTGAATCATGGAGGAGACTAATTGACTTCCAAAAGCAGGAAATCCCACATCCAAACCTTGAATCAAGGGAGTCCAGAGTTCGATCAGACCTCTGGAGATGGACATATTTTCAGCGGAAGCACGCTTCTTTTTACCGGTAGGTACCAGACCTCCTACGCCCAATAAAAGGGGAATGATATTATCTTGAATCGCATCGTCATCAATAATCTCAATCAAAGCCTCAATAGCTGCAACATAGGTGGTAGGATCTGCATTCGGGTCGCCGCCCAATTTCTCTTTGAGAAAAGTCTTTCGACATTCCTTGTACACATTTAATTTGCCTTTAATTTCGACGTTTTGTAAATAGGTGTTCTTTTCGTGCTCGGGTTTAATGTTGTGAATCCAATAATTTTCGTGGAGCCAACCGACGGCTTGAATGGCGGCTGCACGCAAAACGGTTAAACTGGGTAGGCGTTCATGGGTACCCATATGTCTCAAATCGACAAACCAACTGGGTAAACCTAAACTTCTGGCCAAAGTGTAGGACGATTTGGCAAAGATACCCTTTTGTACAGGATCGACTAATCCATTAACAAATCGAATAATGGCTAAACCATACATGAGTCGTAATTCTTTATGCGGTAAAGGTGTTTGTTCATCGCGAAGGATAATGGCGATAAATGCAGCTGTCATTTCAACAGCGCTGGGGCATTCACTTCGATGTGTCCATGTTTGGACCTAGATATGCACGTTCAGTTTTTTTTTTTCTTTTTTCTTTTTAATCGCTTTTTTTTTTTTGTAAATATATATTTTTTATTACTCTGTCAAGTCCAAGTTGAATCGTGTCTTTTTCGGTCTTTCGATCGGCAAAAAGCCATTGATACACATTTTCAAATTCGGTGTAGTCAATCCAAGGAACGTAACGTTTTTTATTTTGTACCATTGAGAAGTTTAAAGAAGAAAGCAGAGAGGCAAAAAAAAACAGAGTTAGGTAATATGGAATGATTTCCTAAGCCACATGAAACCAAGTCTTCCTTTTTTTTTTTTTTTTTGAGTTAAAGCGGGGACAAAGTAAAGCGACCGATAATTATGCGTCCCACACCAAAAAAAAAAGTTATTTTTTATTTTTTACTTTAAACCAAAATGTCAAAACGCGCCAATCAAGATCCTAGTATTACCTCTGAAAGTAAGCGTACACGTAAAGAAGGCCATGCCTCTGATTGTACCGACAGCAAATGTGAAGGTTGCGATGTTGGCCAAGTAGAGATCTCTTTTGTACGTAAAGACGCTCAAGGCCAACCCATCGATACGGAACCCGATGCCACCGAACTCTTAGCCATGGCCATTGATGAAGCCAGTCGTGATACAAACAATGACAATGATGACGAAAACAATGGTATGGCTCGTCGTTTATTCGATATGGCCATCGAAAAATTCCAAAAGGAGGAACCCGAAAACCGTTTGGGTTATGCTACCTGTCTTGTTGAACTCGGTAAAGCCATTGCCGTAAAAGAAAGTATCAGTGAAGGCCTTGAAATCTTGCGTGGTGAATTGAAAAAGAACAATACCGAACACGTCGCTTTACAATTAGCAGGTGCTGCCATCGCATTGGCTACCTTTATCCGTAAGGAACAAGATGCTTACTTTGAAAAACAAGAGAAAGAAATGGATGAGGATGATGAGGTGGCTCGTGGTGAGCTTTTGGCTAAACAGGTCGTGGGTAAGGACGAGGAAAAGCTCTACAAGGAGGCCTTGGAACATACCAAGGACGCTTTTAGTCGTTTAAATGAGTCGCTTCATAAAGAGGCTCAAAGTGTCTTGTATGAATTAAAAACATACGGTCTCTTATTGGTCCAACCTTTCCACAAGGATCATGCCAACGCTGTCCTCGATACCGTCTCCGATTTGCTCCAAAAGTTACCCAATTATGAAGAAAACGATGAATTATTATTATTGTGGGCCGCTTGTCTTTTACATCAAGAAAAATTCGTTGAGGATAAAAAACATTTAGAGGTCATGGATACCAAGATTGATCAATTATTAGCCAAGGCCAACGCCTTGTATTTAATTAAACACGAAAAGGAAAACCATTACGTGTGGGAAATGGTAAAAAAAAAAATACTAGAAAAAGTATACTTGGACATTCAGCTAAATCAAATATATTAGTATGCTATGCTCCGTATCAATCAATCAAATAACGCAGATGATGAGGATGAGGCGTTAGAGTTGTATGACGAAGCTATCCAATTCTTCAAGAAAGCTCATACTTTAGACCCAGGTAAGGATAGGCATTATAATTATTTCTTATGGTTACACTGCATAGACCTACATCAATATTCATTATTACATTTACTAAATAGACAATGAGAAACTCGCTGGTTTGGTTGCTATGTTTGAATCAATGGAAGAACAGGAGATGGCTGAGTTGGATGAGCATGGTGAAGATGATGATGAGGAAGAAGAAGAAGAAGAAGAGGAGGAGGAGGAGGAATAAAAGATGCCTACCTAAGCTCTTTCTTTTTTTTTTATAAATGTAAAATAAAACACACTTTATGCACGTCTAGAAATAGCTATGAACATCCCCCGCCGCTTCAAAAAGAAGTTACACTGTCTTTATAAATTGGTTTTGCGGAAATGAAATTTATGATCCTGAACTGACCGATGACGTTTCCGACATGCTAAAAGGTTATTTTTCCTGACATGCGGGAGACACAAAAGAGTAATCTATTTTTTGTTTTTTTTTTAGGTAATAGTCTTCTCATGTTATATCAATGTACAAAAGGAGATTAGAAGCCTTCTCTTTGTCCGAGGACGAAAAGGGTTACACGTATTTAATAAAATTATAAAGGTATCAGCATAGCAACCCAGGAAAAAAAAGACCTGTTCCTATGTTGATAATGGAGCCGTGGATAAACTTTGAGCGTGGATTTCTATTGTGGCGTGATATCCGGATGCTGTATTTTTAGACGGATTATCTTCAAAAATGGGGGAGCTTATAAATAAACATCCGCAAATTTAAGGCTGAATCACTAATAGATAATGTTCGAGTCCAATGCAATCTATAAACATACATCAGAATGTCTGCTTCGAATTTCAATTGATCTATTGCTTTTTTTTTTTTTTTTTTTGCCTTTTACACAGAAATGAAAGGTACAGAGCTTATAATCTATCCAATCACAGCATTTGATCAAGATAAGACGGAGTTTAAAGTCATTACTCGTCATCGTCAAACAGAATGATATACAATCAATACAAGTGAGAAGCCTCGTGGTGCGTGCTTGCAAGTCTTTTAGTCTGTTCTATATTGATATGACAATACGTAGTGTCTCTCAGCTCAATTTGGTTGGAGTTGCTAGAAATTACAAGGCTTGGTACCATAAAGTAAGTAGTGATTTAAAACTCCTGTATTTTACCAACTGTCTAAAGCAGGAGACATAAGCAAAGCTTACTATCTAATTTCTAACCAGTAAAAAATGTAGTAGTAAGCCCGATTTAGCTCTCAGAACTGCAATGAATGAATTGTTGTAAAGAAAGTTGTTCAGTGAGCAAAAAAAAAAAACGCGATAAAGCAAAAATAATGTCCATACAATACATACTAAATGTACTCTAGGTGAGGTTTAATTGAAAGGTAGCTGTAATATGATTTTTTGTACATGTTTGCGTTTGCTAAAAATGGCGCAAATAACGTCTGGATGTTATTTTTGGGATGCGTCGAAAAATTTTGTGAAAATTTTTATAGGTGTGTATGGTATAATTATAGCATCGCGGATCACGAAAACAAAAACATAAATCCCGTTTTTCAGAAATCTGCCAAGGGAAGATACATATTTTCAGATTACCTCGTGGGAACTTCTAATATGCGTTACAAGGACAAATATGCCATTTGTAATGCGAAAAAAAAATTCTCACTTATTAAATCACAAGTTGGGTTTGCTCATACACTGTTGCATCCTGTCTGTCCATGTGACTTTTCGATGGGTAAAGAGCTATCGACACCATATTTAGATTCCAATCGCATAGTTTCTTACAATTGCTCCTTGATACCGTGTTTGGATTACAACTTCAAACTTTATTTGCTGCCTGCGCAAAAAAAACATGTTTTATTATGATTAGAGGCCGCTATCTCTTTTAGATCAAATTTTTACCACCAAGTCAAATAGTTATTAGATGATATAAATACCGGGTTTAACCAGTTAGTAGCCAAGCCAAATGTCTTACATTTAATAAAACATGCCAAGAAAAAAAAAGTGCTACGAGTGGGGCTTGGTACATATGTGAATACATTGACTAATAGAGTATTCCGTGACAACCAATTAAAGGATGCGGAATGTACGGATAATGCGCTGGAAGCGATCCTAAGCTTTCATGAAGGCTCACGCTTTTAGACCCAGGTAACAATAGTTTTTTTTTTCTTTTTTCGTTACACTGCATAGACCTACAGCATATGTATTATATACTACATAGACAACGAGGCAGCTTATCAGATGCTTATATCTTTAAATTGGTTCAGAGAAGATGAGATGGGAAAGAGTATTCAATGTAGAGAAAGATGTCGAAGTGGAGAGGAAGATATCAGTGAAGAAGAGGATAAATAACGTGCTTACCTAATCTTTTTGTGTAAAAAAAAAAAAAAAGAACACTTCATGCACGCTTTTAGAAAATCTTTTAATTATTTATGAACCTCCGCTTTCTAAAAGTAAAAAAGTCCAATAATGGTAAAATCGTCAGTTGAGCCCTTGTAGCTCGATATTTTAAACTTATTTCGATACAGACTTATAATGTGAGTGGTTGATGGATAAAAATGATCTGCTATTAAGTTAGCATCATTTTCTCTCGAGATAATATGTAATGTTTCTAGCGAGTTTGTTGAATTGAAGATCTTTTACAGTCCTTCATTGAATATCATAGTCTATAAATACACAAAAGATTCTCCCCATTCAATCTAAAGCGATTATTGGTCAAGGTGTGATTGGCTATAAAGAGTGTCCAGTTTAAATTAAGCTGTCAGCTGCTGATGACTTATAAAATATTGTGTACACATTAATAGAATGATAATAAGTAAAAAAAAATATTTATATAATATACAGAGAGGAGGGAGTAGGGGGGTATTTTCTAAAATGGCGGTAGTTATTATTTGTTGTTTAAACGTTGTTTTGCTCTAGCGGCTTTCCTTTCCACTGGTGGGACGACAGATCCTTCAGCGGTAAACCAAAAATGAGTGGCAAACTTGAGTTTTAATTCAGTGACTAATAAAGAAATTCCTTCTTTTTCAGTCAACTCGTCTTCATGACTCCAATCGATAGTTTCATCCCAAAGACCCTGACTAAGGCCACTGATGAACTCGTCCCATTCATTATTTGTAAACGTCAAGTGTAATTTCGATCCACTTAATTCTTTGGTCATAAGCAAGATGCCTTGTCCCACCACTTTGGTTAATTGCATGATTCTCTCGCCCACCATAATATTACGTCGAAATGCAGCCCAATTCGTTTCCGTCAAGAACGGTTCTATCCAACCTCGGTATGCCTTCATATTAGCATTCCGCTCTCTATCTTTATCTCGTTCTGACATTGACAATCCTGGTGAGGAGGAAAGGGATTCTTCGGTAGAACCCTTGATCACTTCATGAGGAAAGATCTCGGCAAAAATATCTTGGAATTGAACAAAGGCCAGGTAGAGCCTAAAGTAATCGTTGTTATAGTAAATTCCATTTTGGTTCATGCCATTGTCAAGGTGTGGTTTCATATTGGAGTGTTGCGTCAAAATCCCTAATGCCGGTGCTAGTAAATTACCCGTCTCTTCCGCGCTTAAACTATCCAAGTTGAGATTCTTTGGTAGTTTGACCTTTTCAATGCCTAGTGTAAAGTGACTGGGCAATCGTTGTGCTTTTTGTTCTAAATCGGCCATCATAATTGTCCTCATCCGACTAATAATATCGTCACCTACATATACATATATATAGATTGCATTTAATAAGAATATAAAATATCGCACTAAAACATAGAAGGGACTTACGCCGTTGTTTAAACTCGCCGTGTCTGTGTGGTATTTTGGGTTTTTTCACGACCTGTGAGGTGATCAAATCTGATGGAAATAATTCGTTATCTGGTTTTTTTCTTTTCCGCATCAGGGAAGCATGTGTGAGTACACCTTGTTCAGCAAATTTTTGTAGAGATGCGGGTTCTCTCGTGATTCTACCGTCCTGATAATAAAATCCACGCTGCTTGGGTTCCATCAGGACCTCACTATTGCCATTCATCAGTGTATTTAAATGTGGATATCTGTTGGGTTGATCTTCTGAAATGGTTGTAGGAGACCAGGGAGCTGTGGGTGGTTGAAATGAAGGTGGCGCAGATGTGAATAAGGGCCTGATATGTGTGTAAGGTCTCACTGAATACTGATCTGTGGAAATATCTTCTCTCATTTGTTGTGGACTGGCGGGTGTTGGATTTGTTAAATAAGATACGGATAGTAATCTCTGTGGCACAGGAGGAATAGGTGAGCTTGTATTGGAAGAAGAAGGAGGAGGTGTGGTGATTGTATTTTGACAACAAGAGACAGAATTGGGTAGTTGTACGTCGGCTGTCACTGCTTGTCCGTTAGACTCGTCTCGAAAAACAATGCAATCGCTGTGAATGGGTTTATAGAAATGGTACAAATCCCCAAGGGCATACACAATGCAAAAGAACAATTTAGCCATGCGTTCAGCATCAGGCTTTTTTCGAATAATTTGTTTGACAATACGAAATAATTCAAGTAGGTCTTCGTCCGTCAAAATATCCTCTGCTTGGGGTTGAAAATGTGGCATGTCACTTGTAGTTTGTAATAAACAGGGTATGGAGTTACTTTGACTCATGACGAAAAAAAAAAAAAACGTAGAATAAGAAAGAAAAAGATAATCAAAAAATAATTTCCATTATTTTTATATAAAAAAAAACTCACACGCAAAAAAGGCAAGTGAATACAAATTTATATATTCCGCCTTATCAAAATTATAATTGGTATCAGGCCGCAAGAATAGATTGACAGACTATAATGTATTTTTATAAATATATATTCCTATATTGGTGTCACACACACACACACACATACACACAAATATAAAGACTACAGAACAAAAAAGCTAAAGATTTAATATACTGTAAAGGTAGAATAAAAGGAAGTTCATGTTACATCAATGATAAAACCTTAGCAAATATTCCATGTGACTATAATTGTATCTGAACACAATTGGTATATGAGCGTACATTTAATTCAATTTTTTTTTTCACGTTTAGGTACATCCACGGCTCTATCACCTTAAACACTGATAACCATGCACTTTAACCCCTGTCACACAAAACCACACGTATGATTATTTACTATTTTCTGGGTCCATTATACTTGCTATTTGTAGCTGCATTATGATGCAAGTCAAACTCAATTCCGACATTTTACTTCCTTCATTTTGCATCCTACTAATGCATCTCGTTTATTCGTATCCCCGTTGACAGATACAGCTGTGTGTAACACTGATTTTCCTAATAAATTCCTTGTATAAGGTTCTCGTTTCCACTTCATTATTTTGTGTAGCTAACAAAAGCAGAAAACTCAACTCCCATAAGGCTATGCTCAAACCAACCTAGACTGCCGGGTACGCAGATCCTGTGTCTCCATGTCAGAAAAATAAACTTTTTTTTTTAGGTACCGAAAACGTCATGGGCCGTTCAGGATCATGTTTCATTTCCGCCCTAATAATATTGGAAACTTTTGAAAAAAAAAAAATCCAGACAGCTTCAGTACTCACGGCTTTAAATTGTGCACAGGTGATTTCTCAAACTGCGTCAATACAGTGCGTTGCGTTTAAAAATAGAATCTTGGGAAAGTAATAATGGACATTGTCAGTAGAGACAGTTGACTTTTTATTATAATTCAGAAAAGCTCAAAAAAAGCAGTAAGAGTTTCTTCCTTTGGGACAACTGTTAAACCAGAATTTTCTTTTTTCAATTCCATATCAACATGTTCTTCTTCCTTCAGACATAAAAACAGCGTAACAATTAGTTCAAACATCTTTACCCAGTTAAAACGGTCACTCCAGTTTGTAGGAATATCTGCTGATCTCAATTCAACAAACTTCCGTAATCGATCTTCTTTCAAGTTCATTCTAGAGAGGGTAATTGTATCTTTGATCACTTCGGCTTTTCTTAAATCGGGTCTCTGAGGGACAGCCAAATTATCTTAGGGACAGCCATTTTTCTAAGGGACAGCCAGGGTGCGCATAGTCGTAATGTTGGAATTATAATACTTTAACAGACACCAAGAGGTCAATATATCTTAATAACATGAAATGGATACACATATATCACAATCAAAATAGTGTAAACCAGTATATGTGTGTTATAGCTTACCTTTAGCTTCTAGTTTGGACTTTACCTTAATATTTCTTCGTAATATTAAGATCAAACGAGCTTAAAGACGAAGGAGTGTCGGTAGAATTGTCAAACCAAGTACAAATCATTCAATATTTAACTATTTATTTGTAATTATCATATTGTTTTTGATTATATTTTCTTATTTCCAAGTCTAAAGGATAGCCAAAATCACAGATCGCACGTTGTGACTACGTGCACTTTGGCTGTCCCTAAGAAAAGCGATTCTCTTGCAGTAAACCACTAGAAGATTCAATAAACAAAACTTCAGGGTTATTGGTTTTTCCAAGACCATCAGCATATTTCCTATATGTACTTGTTGTATCATGATCAACTTCAACGATTTGTGCGTATTTTTGAGTTTCAACCAACTTTTCACACCACGAGAAATCAAGTTAACCGGTTTCTATAGATAAGTATTTAAACATGGGTATAACATATTCAACAAATGGAGTTCTCTCGTGGTTACTGTTGAAGACTATTGGCTGTTTACAGTTACAATGAAAGTCTGTTAAAGTGTATGCTATAATGTTGGCAAGATGTTTATTATCGTTATCTATTGACCTGTGAATCAAATGGCTCCAAATTTTATATGGGAATTCAGCAAAGTCATAGTTCAGAATGTCGTCCTCCCAATCACCAAACCAGGAGCCCATCAAGAAAATCCAGGACATTGTTGACTTTTGACAATGATTTGCTTTTCTCCTGCATTTTACAGTTTTCGTTAAATATTTCTTCATCGCATCTGTATTTTTGTAGTTTTTATCGTTCTCGAGAGACTCGACCCCTAAAGAACATAAACCAGCTATGGTTTTCCTATCTACTTTTTGGTTTTGTGAGGTGTACAGTGTAGGCCCAGCTATTTACAGTCTGAGCGCAGAAAATGTAGTGTGTAGCTTGCTCACTTTGCCTGGTATTGGAGACATCAATCAATACTTCTGACCTATATTGTTTGATGGGACAAACTTTCCACTCCCAATTCATGCATTTCAAAGAGCCTAATATCCCGGGAAATCCTCTTTCTGAATGCACCAACACCACCGAGCATTTCCTCATCAACAAGCATATTCACCATACTTGCATGATGGACCATGCTTTTTTTACTGTTGCACAATAATGTCCCGAATATAGAGGATACAAAGACAATTTTGAGAGGATTCCTTTAAAATTCGTTCTACATCTTCATCTGTAGGTGATCGAAGGTATTCCTCTCCGTACAATCGAATAATGGCCTTGCAAAAATGGCGTAAGGCCTGTGGTATTTGACAGAATAATTACAATAGAAAAGTAATGAGATAAAAGTATATCTTTATTGGAGGTAAAAATAGACTAAAAGAACTATGCTGCTATGAAATAATTGATCCTTTTTATAATGCACAACTCTCCTGAGTTTTAATGATGAGTCAACCGTTCTGGTTTTTGGAATAGATCTATACTTTGTTTCCCGCCTTAGGTTAAATGAATACTACTCGTTAGAATTGTTTCCAGTTAACGTTGTCCCATATCAGTGGATCGGGAGCATCAGTATTCTGATAAATCTTTAGTATTACGAGACACTTATTTATCAGATCATGCAACGGTTACTGTAAAAGATGCATACTTGTTTGTCAAGTGTAATTGGCAATAGAACATAATAGTTAATCATTTATTCATTATCTTTGTAATGAGTAAAATACGATCCCAAATATAAAATGTCCTATCGTTATTTGTATATTTGGTTGTAGCAGATAGGTATCCATTATTTCATACACTATTTCTTTATAGTCTTTGTCGGCAGTATAATTATATCAATATATAAGTAAATGAACCATTTATATTAATAGCTGTTCTATTCTCTCTCTGGGTAGCTAATCCATTGAGAGAACTATTAATATTAAGTTTCTCTTTCTTATAGTTCTTGATTTGATCTGAGAAGATTCTCTTCTCGATCGGTGATATCGTAACTCAGTGGTATAGCATTCTGTATCCAACTGTCATTCGTATATCGTATTTAGGCCAATCATGCAATCTTTAATATAGAAGTATGTACTCGTAGTGGGAGAATTTGTATAGCAGTATACAAGCGTATGCTGGTATGCAACATCAAAGGTTGTTTTAATTGCATAATTCATTTATTTAAACGATTTGCTTAATTATTCCTAAGTGAATCGTACCCAAATGCGACAAGGCCTTTTCACCGGTGGACTCGGCCATTCCATATTGATCATCCAACATTTCAGGTGGAGCACCGTAAGCAAGTTGGCGGACTGATATAGCCATTTTGAGAAGACCTGAAAGGCCTAGTCTCCCAGTTGCATCCTTCTTCCGCTTGAAGTAGTCATACTTGTTTTCCAAATCGCCAAGTATTCTCAAAAACAACTCCTTATCCATTCTAAACCAACGACGAAAATAAGTGTCTGGATATGTAGGATTCTTGGCGAAGTATTGCTTTTAGAGTCTTTCGTGCTCTCCTTCTCTGTCGCGGTCAATATGTTTCTTTTTCTCTTTGATACCCTGTTCTGTCATTCTCTTTTTAAATGCGTAAATTAAAATTTCTCTATTACGATCTAATTGCAATTTTCTTTGCTTTTCTTCTTCCTCAAGGAATTGGCTGACAAGGTAATGTGTATTCATGTTTGTAAAAGTTAAAGAAAAAAATCGATAGGGGTATTCAATTGCCGTATTTTCGAATAAATCGTATTTTGAGGAATAATTGTTGAATGTTCGAGAAAAAACTTGGTCAAATAATTATATGATTGGCTGAATTTTTTACTCCTCAAAATACGATTTATTCGAAAATACGGTAGTTATTTTTTGACCGCTGTGGACTCACTAAAAAAAGGCACTACATTTGTAGTACTATGGGCTTAAGTACTTTGACCATATGATCGGAAATCTTGGGAGTATTGGGCGCACTTAGGCAATTCGCGTATGAATATGTGACAATACGTTTGCTGGTTAAAACGCTTACAGTCTATGGAAACGGTCGTTTTCTGTCGGAGTTGGCATTATTTTTTGCCGATGTTTCTGTTTCTGTGCTGTAGATAATTGTAGAATTAAATCATCTAGCTCAATATGTTAGTATAAATTGGGCACCACTTCTATAAGGTTTTTAAATTATTATTTTTTTGTAACATTATCATCAAAGTGTTCAACATAAAGAGCATACAAATTACCAGGTAGTATCCTGCTATTATATATTTTGTAGGGATTAAGAAAAGGAAAAGTTGGGTAGCTTTAATCGAAATTGGAGATACTAAAAGACTAAGCAGTACATATTAAACACGCTAAAGGAAATATTGAGAAATATAATATATATTTTTGATGTTTTGAAACATTGAGCCAACACAACTTATCCATAGCACCCTTTTATTTTCCTTAATAATGTGCAACCTTTTGGGAAGTGCTTTTTTTAGGAAACCATTTCCTTTGCTCGGAAACTTTTAGCAATCATTCCCGTATCAAGTGGCAGTAAAAATTAATATTTGAAGCGAAAACTGAGCCCATTAGATGAACTGAGATTTTGTTATTTAGTTGAGACTTGCTTAAATGCTAATAATATTGAGCTCGTGTCTATTGCCAGGTTTTTTAACATGAACTCGAGCTCACCCGCATTTTTATGAAACGAACTGTACGTAAAAGCTCTTGAACGTACCCCAATGTAACCGTTTATAGCATACAAAGTGACGCTAAAATACTAAAACAATGACTACTTAGTAGTAACACCTTTTTGGTATAAAAGTGCAAAGCACAAGTGACTTTCTCTTTAATGTTTTAGGGTTTCTTATATTATTCAGGTTCCATTTTGCATTTATGCACCCAGCAACCCCACTTTCATCTAGTTTATAGTCAACATTGACAACTTTGGTAGCTTTGAAAGGTTTCTGAAAAGTAGTTGGACAAGAGAAAATTATCTCAAGCTGTATACAAATACTTTTTTTATTGTTGCTGTTGTAGCAACCACTGAGTTTTTTGTTTTTTTTTATTCCTCAGTTACTTTTGCATATATGCTGATTAACTCGAGCAGAAAGAGTAACTGGTAACGAACTTAGATAATTCTACTTTAATTTTTTATAATTACATATTTACTATCTTTGTAAAAGAAATTTATTTATCAAGTAAGACTTAAAACGTTGCAAAGATTGGCTCAGCAGTGCTTTACCACTTTAGATATTTTTAACCCCGCCAGATAGGCGTGATTGGATGCACTGGCTTTGACCCTAAAAGTACTCTCGTGAACCTTTTTTTTTTAGACAGAGGATTAATTTTTCTTTGTATGAAATAACTAGTTTATTTTTATTTTTTTACATATATCTCCTTTACAAACCTCCATCCCTTTATATAAATAAAATATGGCACTCGTTGCTATGCTTAATTCGCAGGAAAACCTGAACAGAATATTTAGTGAATTAAAGTCTAAGTAAAGGACAAGACGAGATTTTTTCAATTACCATTGTTAATCTATTTTTCGTTTTTTTTTTATACAGACACGAAGATAGACGTATTAAAGCTGCGGAAGAACTACGTGAAACAGTAAGCTAAATAGAATAAGCAAGATTCCCTCTTTTTTTTTGTGACGAAAAATTTATTAGGCAGCAACAGCATCAAGAGAATTATCAGAAGAGAACCTGACTCGCTTCACCAATGACATTAACAAGCGTTTCTTTGAATGGACACACGGTAATGACAACAATGAGAAATTAGGTGCCATTATTGGTATAGGTAATTAGTATAAACAAAAATGTGTTTCACAAATAAGGAATTAACCCCGGAATGTATAGATCGCTTAATCGGTTTGGAACCTGAGAGCAATGCCAATCGTTTTCATAACTATCTACAGCACATGTTACCGCATCATGACCAGCAAATCATGGTCCCCGCTGCAAAGGCTTTAGGTCGCCTGGCCGTGAGTTCTACCACCTTGACAGCAGATTTAGTTGATACACAAGTCGAGCATGCGCTCGAATGGCTCCAAGGGGACCGTAGTCGTTTAGCAGCCGTACTAGTCCTGAGAGAACTGGCCGTGAATGCGCCTACCTTGATTTACGCTTATGTGCCTCGTATTCTGGACCTTATTTGGGTCGCCCTCAGAGATTCGAGAAATGTGATTCGTGAATATGCTGCCGATTGTCTTTCTCAGTGTCTCGAAATCGTACAACAGCGTGAAACGCCAATGCGAAAGACTTGGTATGCTCGCATCTGGGAAGAAGTCAATCGGGGATTACGTATGAATAGTGCAGAGGCTACACATGGTAGTTTATTAGCCATGAGAGAATTATTATTGCACGCCGGCATGGTAAGAACTAAGCCTATATCATGCTCTTATCTGTTTACTAATTTTTTTCCAAAAAAAAACAGTTTATGACAGACATGTACAAGGAAGTGTGTGATATTACACTTCGTCTCAAAGATTCCCGTGATGTCTTGATTAGAAAAACTGTAGTGTCCATCATTCCTACTTTAGCCCTGTATGATCCCGCTACTTTCTCTGAGCTCTACCTGCATAAATCAATGAGTCATCTACTGAATTTACTTCGAAAGAACAGCGAAAAGCGTGATGGTGAACACAGGATTGTAAACAATATTTAAAATAAGAGTATTAATTTTTTATATATATATTAGCCTTTATTGCTATCGGTCAAGTGGCTATTCAAGTCAAGAGCAACATGAGCCCATATTTGGATGCCACCTTAACTTGCATTAAAGAAGCACTCTCAGTCAAAGGACGTCAACGAAAAGAAGTTGAAACGGCTACTTTTAGTTGTATCAGTATGTTAGCTACAGCAGTAGGACAAGCCTTGACCAAATACCTTCATGATCTATTGGAATTAATGTTTAACGGAGGTCTTTCTGAACCTTTGGTGGCGGCATTGAGTAACATTGCCGATCGCATAAAACCACTATCGCCTGTCATCCAAGGTAAAAGAAATATACATAAATAATGACCGGCATATTTACATCTTTATTTAGAACGTTTATTGAATGTGATATCTATCACATTAAGTGGCCAACCCTATAAACAACCAGGAGCCCCCACCAACCGTACAATCATACAATCTGTCGAACGACCTCTTCGTGAAGGAGGAGTTGGCGAAAAGGATGATGAGACTATTGTATTGGCACTCACCACACTTGGATCTTTTGATTTTTCCAACCATGTGCTGAATGAATTTGTACGTGATTGTATTGTCAATTATTTAGATGATGATCTTCCCGAAATTCGAAAATCCGCTGCCGTCACCTGTTGTCAGTTATTTGTGCGGGATCCCATTTGCAATCAGACTAGTGCACACGCTATCAAGGTGGTAGGTGAAGTGTTGGAAAAACTTCTGACAGTAGGTATTGCAGATCCAGATCCTGTCATCCGAGAGACTGTGTTGTCTTCTTTGGATGTCCGCTTTGATCGACATTTGGCTCAAGCAGACAACGTCAGATCACTGTTTATTGCTCTTAATGATGAAGTTTTTGCTATTCGAGAAATCTCAATCACCTTGATCGGAAGATTAACCACCTTTAACCCGGCATACGTCATGCCATCTCTCCGGAAAACTCTAATTCAACTTTTGACAGAATTGGAATATTCCGTTGTGAGTAGACAAAAGGAAGAGGCCGCAAGACTCGTGGCATTATTGGTCAGAGCCGCTCAAAGACTGACAAAGCCGTATATAGAACCTGTTCTTAAAGTTCTGTTGCCAAAGGCAAGAGATCCTTCCACAGGTGTTGTCTCTGCTGTTTTAGGTGCTCTAGGCGAACTAGCTGCCGTCAGTGGTGAAGATATGGCCCCACATCTTGATGAATTAATGCCCCTGATTATGGAAACCTTACAAGATCAAAGTTCAAGCGCTAAACGAGATGCTGCCTTAAAAACATTAGGCCAATTGGCAAGCAATACAGGCTTCGTTATCGAGCCTTACACCAAATACCCTGCACTTCTCAATATCTTGATTAATATTATGAAGACTGAACAAAATCCTACCATCAGAAGAGAGACCGTCAAGCTCATGGGTATATTAGGTGCATTGGATCCTTATAAACATAAGGTAAAAAAAACTATCTGCACATTTATAAGACAATTGTGGCTAACTATCAAAATCAGATGAATGCTATCGGTAATTCGAGTGAAGAATTAGCAGATCCTAAACTTGCCAGTAATGATGTAACGTTATTGATGATGGGTATCGGACCCTCCTCAGAGGATTATTACCCACAAGTGGTGATGCACTCACTCATGAAGATCTTGAGAGATCCGTCACTTAGTACACATCATTACGCAGTGATTGATGCCATCATGTTTATCTTTAAAACGTTAGGCTTAAAAGTCGTTCAATTCTTACCTTTGGTGATCCCCGGCTTTTTGTCGTTGATGCGATCTTCTACTTCGGGTATGCTTGAACTGTATTTTCACAAGCTAGGAGATTTAGTTTCGATTGTGGAGCAGCATATTCGTAACTACTTGAAAGATATTTTTGACTTGATTGATGATTACTGGACTCCCGTTTCATCCATCCAGATTACCATCATTTCTTTGATTGAGGCCATTGCCAAAGCATTAGATGGAGAACTTAAGGTGTATTTACCCCGTTTATTACCTCATATGCTCCAAATCTTTGATAGCGATGTATCCGAACGAAGACAACCCACAATCAAGGTCTTGCACGCATTTGTTGTGTTTGGCGCTAACATCGAAGAATATATGCATTTAGTCATACCCGCTGTGGTCAAATTCTTTGAAAAACCAGATGCACCTGTATCTGTTCGTCGACAGGCGATTTTGACCATTACAGCACTATGTAAAAAAGTTAACATGTTTGATTACGCCTCTCGTATTATACACCCCTTAGCCCGTGTCCTGCCTGTCTTGCCCATCGAAGCCAGAAAAGCTGCTATGGATTTGTTATGTGCTCTTGTGTTTCAACTCGGAACAGATTATACCAAGTTTATTCCTGTCATCAACAAGGTCTTAACAAGACATCGTATCACACACACAAATTATGAATTGCTTGTGGGAAAGTTGCTAAAGGGAGAAAATTTACCTCAGGAATTAGGAAAGGCGTTTGATGATCGTGATGCCAAAGGAGATGAAACACCTTCGGCCGACCAAAGTATAGCAAAAAAGCAACCTGTTAATCAGCAGCAACTGAAAAAGGCTTGGGAAGCTTCGCAACGATCCACAAAAGAGGATTGGATGGAATGGATTCGTCGATTCAGTGTTGAATTATTAAAGCAATCCCCCTCGCATGCACTTCGTGCTTGTGTTTTTTTGGCATCGAAATATACACCACTAGCAAGAGAACTGTTCAATGCGGCATTTGTCTCTTGTTGGAACGAACTATACGATCAGTATGTCGATGAACTTGTCAAATCGTTAGAAGTGGCATTAAAAGCACCGAATATCCCACCCGAGATCATTCAGGTCCTTTTACATCTTGCTGAATTCATGGAGCACGATAACAAGATGTTACCAATTGATATCCGTACATTAGCCGTATATGCTCAAAAATGTCATGCATATGCCAAAGCACTGCATTATAAAGAGACCGAATTTCATATCGAACAATCCTTTGAGGCTGTTGAGATGCTCATGTCCATCAACAATTTGCTTCAACAACCTGATGCTGCCATGGGTATCTTGACATTTGCCCAAGACTCTTTGGGTTTAGAGCGTAAAGTGTCCTGGTTTGAAAAATTGCATAGATACCAAGACGCCCTTGATGCTTATGAAGCGCAACAGCTGGAGAATCCAAACTCGATGGAAATCACACTGGGTCGTATGCGTTGTTTACATGCACTGGGTGAATGGGATCAATTATCTGCGCTGGCGCAAGAAAAGTGGATCCATGCACCTACGGATAACCGTAAAAGTATGGCGCCCTTTGCTGCTGCCGCGGCTTGGGGTTTGGGTCAATGGGAACAAATGGAGGAATATATCGCCCTGTTGAAGCCTGAAAGTCCCGATCGAACCTTTTTCCGGGCCATCCTGGGCATGCATCGAAACAGATATGCCGAAACTGAAAAGTTCATCAACAAGACGCGTGATTTGCTTGATACAGAATTGACTGCCCTTTTGGGCGAAAGTTATAATCGAGCTTATACCACGGTAGTCCGTGTTCAGATGCTGGCTGAGTTGGAAGAAATGATCATTTACAAACAGTCAGCTAATGATATGGAACGACAGAGCGCTATCCGCCGAACTTGGGTCAAACGTTTAGAAGGCTGTGAACGTAATGTAGAAGTTTGGCAACGCATTCTTCGTGTCAGAACCATGGTCATTTCTCCTCAAGAAGATATGGAAATGTGGATCAAGTTCGCTAATCTATGTCGAAAGAGTGGCCGTTTCTCTTTATCCGAGAAAACCCTGAGAAGCCTGATGGAAGCAGATGGTGATGGGTCTGGCACTCCTCATCCAAAGATTGTATATGCTCAATTGAAACACATGTGGGATTCAGCGTCTATTGCAACAGGCGATAGAGCTCCTGCGATTCGTACTAGAGCCCTCAGTATCTTGCGTGATTTTACAGCACAAAAGACTAATGATCTCGGCTTAAACCCTGATGAAATGGCTGTGAGCATGCCAATTGATCCCAGCCGTATTACAGATGATGTTGCCGAATATACACGTTTATTGAGTAGATGTTATCTTCGTCAAGGTGAATGGCAACGTGCTTTATCTTATGAACTTACAGAAGAATCCATTCCTGAGATCTTGTCTTCCTTCTTATTGGCAACCAGGTTCGATCAAAACTGGTATAAAGCATGGCATTCTTGGGCTTTGGCCAACTTTGATATCATTGATTACCATGAACGACTTCATCCAGATAACCTACCCCCTCAAATTTTCAATCATCACATTGTTCCTGCTGTCCAAGGTTTCTTTAGATCTATCGCTTTATCCAAAGAAAACTCGCTTCAAGATACATTGCGTTTATTGACCCTGTGGTTTAAGTATGGATATCAAGCAGAAGTGAGTGCTGCCATTAATGAAGGTTTTGGCACTATCAGTATTGATGTCTGGTTACAAGTGATCCCTCAATTAATTGCTCGTATCCATGCTCCAAATGCTACTGTCCGTTTGTTAATTCATCAGCTGTTGACAGATATTGGTCGCGAACATCCTCAAGCGCTTGTGTACTCATTAACTGTCGCTTCTAAATCTCAAAGCGTTCCCAGACGAAGAGCTACGTTTGTTATCATGGATCGCATGCGTATGCATAGCGATGTACTTGTCGAGCAAGCCTTAATGGTAAGTCAAGAACTTATTCGTGTGGCTATTCTCTGGCACGAAATGTGGCATGAAGGTTTGGAAGAGGCCTCTCGTCTCTATTTCGGTGACCGTAATGTCGAAGCCATGTTTGCTACTTTAGAGCCTTTGCATCAAATGCTGGATCGTGGACCTGAAACAATGCGTGAAGAATCGTTTGTGCAAGCATTCGGTCGCGATCTGCAAGAGGCGCAAGAATGGTGCCATCGCTATCAGGAAACGCGTGATCTTAATAACTTGAACCAAGCTTGGGAGCTTTATTACCAGGTGTTCAGACGTATCGTTCGACAACTGCCTCAATTGACAAGCTTGGAGCTTCAATACATTTCGCCTCAATTATTGGAAGCTCGTAATCTGGAATTGTGTGTACCTGGTTACTACCGTAGTGGAGAACCCATTGTCCGTATTGCTCACTTCAATCCAAGCCTAAGTGTCATTGCTTCGAAACAAAGACCCCGAAAGTTGACAATTGTAGGTAGTGACAGTAAGGACTATATGTATCTTTTGAAGGGTCATGAAGATCTTCGTCAGGATGAACGAGTAATGCAATTGTTTGGTCTTGTCAACACTTTATTAACTAATGATGCTGAGACCTTTAAACGCCATCTCAATATTCAACGTTACCCTGCTGTCCCTCTTTCTCCTAATTCTGGTTTAATTGGTTGGGTGACTGAAACAGATACCTTACATACCCTAATTCGTGATTACAGAGATAGTAGAAAGATTTTGTTAAATCTTGAGCACCGACTCATGCTTCAGGTAATATAAAAAAGAACGGAATGAGTAGGAAAATACTGACAACATATATCTAGATGGCTCCTGATTATGACAATTTAACTGTCATCCAAAAAGTTGAAGTACTACAATATGCCTTTGAAAAAACGAGTGGACAAGACTTGTACAATGTTCTTTGGTTGAAGAGTCGTAACTCAGAAGCCTGGCTTGATAGACGTACCAATTACACCAGATCGCTTGCTGTCATGTCAATGGTAGGATATATCCTTGGTCTGGGCGATCGCCATCCCTCAAATCTCATGCTTCATCGTGTGACGGGTAAGGTTGTTCATATCGATTTCGGTGATTGCTTTGAGGTAAAAATATGCATGTACTTTTATAAATTGACATTGTATTGACAAAAAGTAATATAATATAGGTGGCTATGCATCGTGAAAAGTTCCCTGAAAAAATTCCATTCCGTTTGACACGTATGTTGGTCAAGGCCATGGAAGTAAGTGGTATAGAAGGAAATTTCCGTACAACTTGTGAACATGTGATGCGTGTATTACGTGATAATAAGGAAAGTTTAATGGCTGTTTTGGAAGCCTTTGTATACGATCCTTTAATCAATTGGAGATTGCTTAATACTCAACCTCAGAGTCCCGCACAAAGTAAGTTTTTTCTGAAAAAAAAAAAAAAATAGGCTCTTATTTTTCGCTTTTTATGTTAGATGAACGTATGAGAGGTATTGAAAATATGGCACATGAAGATGGCCCTGATGATGGACATCGAAACTTTTCTGTTAGTAGAAGATTGAACCGTATCGAAGTAGAAGCTGTGGCGAATGGTATGATATTAGTTATTTTTAACAAGCGCTTTTATTCCTATGACTAACTTGTTTTTAAAGAAAATCCTCAGGGACCTGAATTACTAAACTCTCGTGCGGTTGCAGTCGTCAACCGAGTTTCAAACAAGCTGACAGGTCGTGATTTTAACCCTCGTGTTACACTGGATGTACCAACTCAGGTGGAGAAACTGATCCAACAAGCTACATCTTTGGAAAACTTGTGTCAATGCTATGTGGGATGGTAGGTTTCAAAAGTATCTGCTACATTATTTATAAACTAACCCGTTGCTGTTTTCAATAGGTGTGCATTCTGGTAAACTGAAGCAAATAAATCGTTGTCAAATAGACTTTATATATATAATAATAATAGTAATAAATACAATTTTGAAAAAATGAATAAAGAACAAATATAAAATATGTACATCATGCGGCTGTTTTGTTCAATAGCCTTGGGGAAATTTTGTGTATGGAAACCGTTGCTCATTCACATAATTAGATGGAGTGGGGCTTCCGACGTTATGTTGTGAGTTAGTATAATATGGTTGGATTTGGTTGAGATATGGAAGCTGTTGTGGGGTTTGTCTGGATTGGTAGTGCTGAAGAATGGGGAGTCCTTCTATTGAATGTGAATCCTTGTGATCATCGACGAAGTAGTTTTGGTCATCCCTTGCCAAGAGATGGCGGCGATCGGAGATCGATGGTGATAAATCACTTGCATAAACTGGTTTCTCCACCAGTTCAGACGACGATGAATGAGGGTCTATAAATCCGTAATTGGATGCAGGCTGATAATTACAATAAAGCCGTTCGTCTGATTGTTCTGTTCTATAGTGTACCTTTCTACTTTTAGACGCTTGTTTACGAAGAATTTCGGCAATTCTTTTATCAACCTTGTGACAGCAGTATTCTTTCAGATTTCCTCGAATATGACAGAACAATGGAATATATAAGATGGCTGCAGCGCACACAAGCAAAAAAGAGACAGCAAACACTAGAACTGAAAATGCCATCGTTCCTGTCAGAATTTGTTGTTTAACATCGTCTCCCAAAGCTTCATTATTTAAAACTATGGTGCCGTGAATAATCCGCAACCATGCTGGAGCCAATGCTTCGAGAGTCACAACATTAATGACTTGGCGAGGTGCTTCAGCAAGTAAAAGACGCTTCCAACCTTTTAATGTGAAAAAGACAAAAAATGCGTAGCCGTCAATACCTTTAGTGCTACTGTTGATGGATTTGAATAGACAATGATAACGATAATCCTTCATGGACAGGTACTTATTTACTATGACGGATGTAAATGAACAAGAGATATTGTCTGTTTTAAGGATATAACGAGCTTTGATTAAATCCCAAACAATAAGTAAGTATGACACCATAATACAAGCAAAGAAAATCCATTTGGAGTATTCGGTTGGGATAGCAGGTGTCACTGTTGTCTGTCCGATAACCAAGAGTGAGACTGATCAATGTTAGATGTAGCTCTGATAATGGTCAGTAGAAGTAAACTTACCCGCAGTGTATAGATCTGCCAAGCAGACACAAACAGACTTTATTGCAGTTATAAAGACAAATATGTATCCAAATCGAGAAGTACAGGATGGATCGTGAAAGACATCCAAATCGATATTTTCAAATCTGTGGCCCGATACAATTTCACGTTTCCATTTAGGATTATTGTTTCCACATAATCCCTAATAAACAATATATTTACTTCAATTGGTTCAATTGAACGATAGCAAAAAAATTTCTATTTTTTTTTTTACCATTCTTGTTATTATTCTGTTGCTGGTGAAAGATAATTTTAAGGAAAAAGGGGAATTTGTGAAGAACAGAATAATTTTTTTTTTTACTGCTGATTTGAACTTGCGATTAGACGTCCCTGGTTTATTCGGAGATCTAATGGGAAATAATAGAGGCAAACCACATTGGCTTTGATAGACTGTAAAGAGTTCATGTTGTCAAGGAAGGCACGGTAGTTAAAGTACTTAAAGGACTAAGATTTACTGCATGATGGTATGATTTATGGTCGTACAACATATGCTTATATTTGTTTTGTCATGAACACAAAAAGAAATTTAGACTGTTACACGGTTCTACTCCGAATTTTATGATTTGCTGAAAAAAATTGGTTTTGGTTGGACTACTGTTTTTTGAATATGACATTAAATAATATTTACGTCAAGGTAAAAATAGTTTTGCGTTGCTTAATAATAAATTTTGCGCCAAGAAATTAGAAAAAAAAAATACAACAAAGTAAAGATTTATTTTTGAGGTCCTTTTATAAGAAAAGGACCGAAAAACAGTCAGAAAAATATAGGGATCTGAAGTCAAAAGGACCAACAGAAGAAAAAGGTGGTGTAACAGTCAGTATATGCGTCTCCAATTTCTTCTTTTTCCAGTGTTGCTTTTACTTTTAATAAACATGACATCATCTTCGGTGTATTTATTGTCGTTTGTGTGGGCTTGACTAGGTTCAGACGCCTTTGTGAGATCTACCTGAGTTTGATCTGGCCTGTTTATTGTTGCAAAGCTTTCGTTGATGTAACCTTTGACTTTTTTTGCAACTGCTTCTGGTATTTCATCGTTATCAACATCACCATCGCTTCTTCTTTTTATGTTTTCTAGAAGTGGTTTCACCGATTCCGTAAATACTTGCTGTACCCGACACTCTTACCTGTCCACCACCAGCTACCAGCCACATCAACCACCTACGACTTTGGATCTGACTCTTTCATTATTAGGTTTTAGAAAGTCGGAAAAGAAGACGTACGGTAGGATCGAATTGATACTCTAGTGAAGTCAAAGACACAGTATTGCTAGTCAGAAAATGGCCCATCACTACTATTGGATTCTAAAACGAAAAAACGCCTTAAGCCCACAACAAAGTTGTTATGAAATCCCTTTAGCAATCCTACAAATTTTTCTTACGGATATGTAAACCCAGTCGAGTTGTAATAACTTGATCGGGAACCCGTTCGTTCATTGGAAACTCGTTGACATGTTCCGATATAGACTTAGATGATACCAAAAAGCATTTCTTTGCCCAGAATTTAGCTTCGATTTCTAAGAATGGTTTTTCATCGGCAACAACAAACTCTTCTTCAACTTCAACGCTTGAAAAGCCTTTAATGGCAAAGATGAGGACGATTGGGTGCGCTTTGTATCGGCGATATGCTGAAAGTGAATATCCTATTACTCTATTCATAAAGTCATGATTGACTTGGTTTACACTTTTTCCAAAGCAGTTATCACTGGGAACTTTTTGGGACACGACACTTTATGAAATTCAATTAAAATAGGTAGACTTGATTTCACTTGACTGCTTTTGGTCGCATAAACGACGTCAGACCTAGTCCCATCTGCCCACTCATTCGAGGCTACATAATAATTGTTTGTTGGAATGACTGTACCTATGATACCTTACGCGTATTAAAAGCCAATGCATTTATAATAGACAGGTATACTACCTAGTAATGACTGCACCACCAAGTTCACGACTACAGGGTCATTGAATAGTAGCTTACACATCAAATCAGAGCCAGGTCTCCAGTTCCCTGGTAAAGTAAATGAGTTTGTTTCTTGTGAATAAAATTTAGTTAATGATGTATTCAGCGAAATGAGATTCATATCTTAATACAAAAAAAGAAAAAAAAGCGAGATTCATACCTTCACCAGGGAAATGTCTAGACCTCCGTATTTTTTTCAAACGTATTTTTTATACCACTTACAAGAATTCTGGCCAGGACCAGCAGGCCAGTATGATTGCACCTATTTACAGTGCAATCCCTGCTATTCACAGTCCGTGAGTACCAAAAACTCAAGAGCTCTGTCTAGGAGGTCGCCCTCCTATAGCAAAGACTAGCCACAGCCGCAATATCGCAATATATCTTTTTCTATTTAGCGTCTTTTCAAAGAAACAAGTGTCATTACTAATCTAACCTTTTTACGTTATCAGTTACTTTCATACGATAGAAAAAAATATGTGAAGGGAAAAGAAAAGGAGAAGAATAAAGTGTGTGAACCAGCTTTATTTGTAGGCTGATAAACAAGCTTATGTCAGGATGATTTAATTGCTTGTTTCATGATCCATAATGTTTGGGCCTTTACTTAAAATAGAAACACTTGCAAAATCTTCCCAAGCAAGTCAGAACTCGGTAATTGTCTATCTGCGTTCCAGTAGTAGCTTGTAATGACAGTGAAGCGGATTTAATGGAAAACAGAAATCGATCATCCCATGAAGTTTAGATGATATGGCATGTCAATCGACGTGTAGACCATCGCATGATTTTAAAAAATACGTTTGAAAAAATACGGAGTTCTAGACATTTCCCTTCACTGAACATCCTTTTAGTAGTTTTTTTTTATCTAAACAATAAAAAAAAGCGATTACGACTACAACTACGACGACGACGACGATAACGACGACGACGATAACGACTACTGTTTTTTTAATTTGCGCTGACATTGAAAGAATATTTACGTAATATAAAATAACCTAATGCTTGTTTCATGAGCACTCAGTATGCGTCTGTTGGAAAGCTGCACTCCTACTTCTTATTTTAAAGATTTCTTTCTCCATTCAAACACTTCTGGAAAATGACATCGAATGCTTAATCCATCCTTCACAATCTTTTTTTGTTACTTTTCCAGCCGAATCACATATACGATCTGTGAGGCGATCATCTGTCGTCAATGGTGTTCTTCTAACACCAGCTTTTACTTTTGACCGAAATTCCTCGATTGGATTCAAAAAAGGAGAATATGGTGGCAAATATATGTACTTATGTTCTCGTTCTTCGATCAATGTTTTGATTACTTTTGGCTTATGAATAGGTGCATTATCCATAACAATATTTTGCCCCTTTATATCATTCTTATCTAGTATATACATTACGTTGTTTAGATAAGCTAAAAAGTGCTCAGTTCTTGTCCCAACTTTGCCATTTATTTCTACTTCCTTACCATTTGCCCTTCTTTTTTTAGAAGAAGCTGATTCTAGTTTTTTAGCTCCAATATTTATGATACCTGCTTGAGAAATTGCCCCTAAAATTGTAAATGTTACACCTTTTCCAGTTGGTACAGTGCCCTTTGCAGGTGTGCCTTTTAATGAACGGCCTTGGTTTCTTTGCGTATGCAAATTGAAACCTGCTTCATCGATAAAAACACAATTCTTATAAAAATCCATATTTGCATCACTCTTATATTGTTCAACAATCGTTTTTTGTAATGCTATCACTCTGTTAGAATTCCTTGCTGCCGGTATTTTTTTGAGTTTCTTTAACGTAATGTTATGCTTATGTACTAAATGTTTGTGGATGGCAGAAATAGAAATTTTCAAGCCCTCAAATTTCTCACAAAGTTTTAACTTTAACTCATCTGATATAGCAGTGGTATTCCTTTCGATATAGTCAATTAGAAACTTAGAATGCTCCTCAGTCAACTTATTACGGGGCCTTCCACGAGGTTTAGAATAAGATCCTGGAAATCGTCTCTCAGGATCATTGTTATAAGTCTTAACGTAATTTTGGGCAGTGCGTACATTAATCCCAGTGGCTAAAGCTACAGCTTTTGTCGTGAATCCTTATTCGATTATCAAGTCGAAGAGTTTCTCAACTTGTTTAGGAGTATATTTTCTGTAAGAACCTCTTGTTTTAACTTTCAAAGCCGTGTGTCTTTTTCTCAATGGCATTGACTCTGCGAAGAGAAAAGCATCTCCAAAATTCTCTTTCTCTATTAAATCTACTTCCATATATTCACGTATATATGATAGAGAATCATTCCCAATTCGTCTTATTTTCTCCATCCAATCTTCGCTCAAACTAGAATGCTCAATTTTCCTTGCTTCCTGTTCGTCAGCTTCCATATAATCGTCAGATAAAGTGTCCATATCGTTATCTGAAATGATTTTACTATTGGTAATAAATTCACTAACGCTTTGCATGTTTGTTCTAATAGTTAAACTAAATAAAAGAGAAGGAGTCGAAATCTTTACGATATTTAAGGCTACTTCATATTTTTTTTTTCTAATTTCTTAGCAAAATTTATTACCAAGCAACGCAAAACTATTTTTGCCTTGACGTAAAGTATTATTTTAATGTCAGCGCAAATTAATTTTTATCTCAACGCAAACTCAAAAAACAGTGAGCTTAAGCTTAGCAATCAATTAGTAATCTAGTCTGATGCATTCAAAGGTTACGGCTCCGCTAGTTTACCAAGATTAAAATAACATTTTGCGTTCTAATTGTGAAGAGATAGAGTTAAAGAAAGTATGTCTTTTACTGATTATCCAAGTAGATCTGATAATTGTTGATCAAATATCTTTTTTTTTTATTTGGCTATAAAGAAAAAGGGATTCCGGAAAATAAATGTCTCTTATTTATTTGCGCGGAGTATGTTCACTGGACTAAAGTTTGAAAAATCGAATGCATCAAAGCAAGTATGCATAAAAAGTGGCAGTTTAACATATCACTGAAAGAGCAAAATTTGTTTAAAGATTACAAAGAGCTATGTAGCATTCTCTACGTAAAAAATACATGGTATTCCAAATCACAAATAAAGACGGGCGGCATTTTTGTTTTTAAGGTCAGAACCGGACCGCTAAAGAGGGCACAGCCAAGCGAGATACTATGCCCTATAATACGTGCGAAGGCAAGTAAACCATTTGTTTGTGATAATCTCTTTTTAAAATTAATTAAATGCGAAGAATTCTATCACTAAACCAAATATACACATTATAAGTCGACGCTTTATCTATAAATAATAAAATTCCATAGCAGACAGTATGGTTGTTTTTGGAGTAAAAACAAATGTGGCATATTTTTATCTGAGTATAGGCTTTTCGAGTTGGACGGGTGGTTCAGACCGTTAACCAACTTCCCCTTTGGTACTTGAAAATTTTTGACTATTGTTAGATTATCTACGTTGAGTGTTTATTTATTGATGTTCGAATTATAATGTCAAATGGCATGCATCTTCCTAGTATGCATGTTTTAATTTTACTACAATAGTACATTGGATAATTTTTACTCTAAAGCGTATGTCTAAATAACGTCATATGGCTATAGGTAGGTTAAAATATCTTCTAGACCTTACGTAATCCTATGATGTGCTCCACACGCTTGCATCAATGACATTCTTATAAGCAATTTATCAAATCTTTATACCAAATACCCGGGCGCTCGCGCACAAACATATCTAACCTTGCATCTCCACCCTGCAAGAAAGAATGGAACTGTTATGCTAGTGTAAATCGAACAAAGATGTTCCATATATATTTTAGAATAATTCTCATTGATGAGTCGATTGAGATACCTCTTTTTCGCTCACAATGCAGCTTTCGACGCATTCCCCTTCGAAATGTGTTCTTAAAACATTCGTAGAACTTACTAATTCTGTCTGAGCTCATGCGTGATATGAATGTTTCTGCTAAAGTATTGTTCTATGTAGTTAATTGTGGTTCATTTCAACTTTTGAATACGGAAAAATTCGAGTTTTTTGGTTTTTTTATCGAGCGTATGACGAGAGACAGGACAAAACAGCTTTACCCAAATAAAAATTTATGCAATAAAGCAAACTAAATATTATGTTACGTTGATCAAAAAAAAAAAAAAAAAAAAAATGAAATAATTAAAGAGACAAGTGTAAACGTACCAAAAGATGTTGAAGAGAAAATTTATTGTAAAACAGAAGACAACATATGAGATATGGGGTAGGGTATTTATCTTAACGCAGAGAATTGCACTTTTTAGGCAATAAATGAAACAGTAAACATATAGCTTTATGGCTGCATTGTACTGGCATACTGTACCAAATCAAATTATGCATTTTATCCGAGAGATTTCTTTTAATTGTAAACGGAAATTTTAGAAGAAAAAAAAATAACAAAACATTGATAATATTACTACGGCCTCCTTCTTCCCTTTTTTCTTTTCTCCTCTACTTGTTCTTCTTTTTGAAATAAAAATAAAATTCCCTATCGGATGGCTATGCTTATGAAACCCGGACAACCAATAAAGACAATAGGTCGAAATTTAGCTGGACTATGGAGACCTTCTTTTGTAAAAGTAGATCAACGATTATATGTATTTGGTGGCGGAGGTAATGTCACTGATGACTTGCACTATCTTGATTTGAAACAAATGCGTTGGGAGACGATTCAGGTTTGTAGGAGAAATTGTTTATTTTTTTTTAGAGCTGATTTAAGTATTGATAGCATTATTTTAGAACCCATCTGGAACTCCTCCTTGTAAAAGATATGGACACTCAGCAACAAGATGGAGAGATTCCATCATTGTATTTGGTAAAATATTTTAAAAGTTGTCCTTATTTATCTTTTTGTTTGTTCATTTTGAAGGGCAATATATTTATTCAAAATTTACGTAGGGGGCTGTAACGAATATCAAGAATATTGTGGCGATGTTCATATTTTCAATCTCAAGACATCATCTTGGCATCAGCCAGTTATAACCGGAAATGTTTCTTCGCGTTATTTACACAGTGCAGCAGTGTTTGAAGATAAACTAATTATTTATGGGGGTTTTGCGAAAAGTTCTGACTGTAAATATACGCCCCCAAATCACAATCGTACAAGTGTTCACTTTTAAATTATAAATAGGTACATACGTCTTGGACGAATTATGCGTACTTGATTTAAACTCCATGCTGTGGACAAGATATCATGATATGCCGCCAAGGTATAACCATTCAGCCACACTTGTTGGAAATAAAATGTATATTTATGCTGGTAAAGACGAGCAAGGTAACACGGTCTCCGACCTATTTATGGTGAACCTACAAAAATTACCTTATACACCCCATTTAGTGCTTAATGGTAATCAGCAGTCTTGTAACACCCGAATGGTGTTGTTAAAAAGTCAACACTTTTGTGATACCGCATGTGGAAAATTGCTTGTATTTGGAAGATACCTTAATAACAATAATAATAATAATAGCAGTAATAATAAAACGCCCCTACAGCAGCAGCAACAGCAGCAACAAAATAATAGTCCGGAATCAACCTACAGCTTATGGATGTTAGACCTCGATACACTAGAATGGGAAAAGCAAGAATGTGACGGACATTTTGAAGTTGGCGGATGGAACTATTTTACAATAATAAATGAAGCACAGAGTCAGATATCCATTAATAACCTTTTATTTCTTGGCAACACTGATCCTTATAGACCCCAAGGATACGATCACTTTAGGTAAGATTATTTAATTTGAGCTAAAACAAAAAACAAAAAAAAACTTATTCGGCAATTTTTTTTAATAATAGAGATGCGCTTGTCATACATGGAGAATCGCTGGGCTTATATGATATTGCTGAACCAAGGTTCTCAACTGAATTTGTGCAACTATTGAATAGTCCAGAATTATCAGATTTTTCAATCGTGGCAGCTGATGGCCAAGAGATTTATGTCCATCAAGTCATTTTGTTAACTCGTTGGCCACACTTTAAAAATATACATAAATCTGGTATGTCAGAGTCAATAGAAAGAAGAATGACAATACCAGAACCATTTGAAGTGATTATGGCCTTCTTGAAATTTCTTTACAGTGATAGATTGGACGATAATGAACCATGGGAAGTTGTTTGTGATTTATTAGTAATGGCCAATATGTATTTGTTACATCGCCTCAAGAAACTGTGCTGCGAAAGATTATATCGAAACCACATGACAATAGAGAGCTGTGGATTAATATTCGAAAAGGCCATCATGGCGGAAGAAGTTGGGCTCAAGTTACTTGTGCTGAGCTTTATGTTTCAAAATTACGGCTCTATACTTAAATCAAATATGCTGATGGAATTGCCTCATTCAATAAGAGAAGAGTTTTTGGATTCTGTGCCAGAAGAGGCGGTATTAGAAGTTGGAAGATCAAGACAATATCAGCAGCCAACGATATATAATAATAGTAACACTAATAGCAATAACAGTATGATTTACTTGAATAGTGCTCAGCCCAACACATCAAGTTACCATCATCATCATCACCACCACCAGCAACTAGTAAATTACACGGTGGCCAGCGATGTGCTTTTAAACCAACGTAGCACACAGGCTGCAACCGAATTAATTCCAATTAATGCAACAACAAATAACAATTCTGACATGACCGTAGAAGTATAGAAATTAAATAAATAAACAAAAAAAGTAAACAAAAAAAAATTGTTGGTGAACATTATACCACCACAATTCGGTATAGAAAATAATTAAACAGGATCCGGAACACTGAATTTGAAATAATGAAACATTAGAAATTAATTTGAGCAAGACAGTGTCAACTCCTCTTTATGGAGCTATGAACGATTAGTTTCAAAGAGATATAAAATTCGCAAATAATTCTTATAAAGTGGTTGGATAACTAATTTTAGCCACATACGAATCAAAAGTGAAAATATTATTATCCCATAATCTAAATTAAGAAATAAAAATGAAAATCTACTCTTGGAATACCCTTACCCCACTAGCCAAGACTGCTGCTTGGCTTGAGTCCAATTTGTAAAAATAGAACACACAATGTTATTGGTAGCTTAAATCTATTTTTAGAAACGAACCCTTTATTTTTTAAAATTGCATATGTATATAAATACGAAGATCTTTTTCGTATTTTTTTCCTTTTTTCTTTTTTATATTATATCTTTAATACAAATAATAAACATGTCAAAATCAGTACGCTTTAACAATTCCGACACAATCATCATCACTTATAGTGCAGACGAATATGATAGATCTTGCTTTGCTTCTGTTATTCCCACATCATATACCTTTCGCCCCTCATCCATTCCTACAACAGTCATTACACAAGTAGTCACTGTGCCACAATCTCGGCCTGTAATTAAACCGCTTGATTTGTCAGTGATTCCTAATTCAAGAAGACGAGTTTTAGATTCACCTATCACTCCCACTGATGCTGACTTGAAGAAATTATCAAACAAAAAGCCAAGATTATCTATTAATACACAATCATTAACACCGCTATTCTTTTCTGGATTATCAACCCATTATAAATGCAAAGATGGTGAAGAAGAAGAGCATGGTTATTTGATCCCTGTTATGTCCTGTTAATAATAATATTCCCCCCACCCTCCATATACGAAGTCAAAAAAAGTTGTATCTTCTCTCTCTCTTTCCCCACTGTATACTGTATATACGCCTGTCTTTTACCCTGCATTTTTTAAAAACAAAAATAAACTCTTTAGCATTACTTTTTTTTATTTATAAATAATATAGAACTGGCAATTTTTTTTCCTATTTTTTTTTAAAGATATGTAATAGCGGAAGAGAAACTTGTCTACTGCGTTGTACGCATTTTTTTGATAATTGGCGCTTTGATGACCATTTTTTTGGGGGAAAGGGAAGATTGGCGCGAAGAACGTTTTGCTAATTCGTCGTCTTCATCTTCCTCGGCTTCTTTTCTCTTTCGCGATAAAAATGGTGGTGGAGACGACGAGCCTTCTGGGGATTCTGTTTTATTTTTGGAGGTGCGCTTAGCTAATTCATCTTCCTCATCGATGTCGTCCTCTTCTTTTCGTAACACTAAATGTGAAGGAAATGCAGGGTCGTTGCTTTCGTCCTTTGTCTTTTGTATTTTGCTGGGCGGTGGCGTTTGCGAATCGACATTATCTATATTGGCTTCTTCACTTTTTCTTTTTAATGTATTTATATTTTCACCAGTAGATGATGTAGTCTTGTTTTCTTCAGCATCATCTTCTTGAGAATGATCTTCTTCCGCTTCCTCATCTTCGTCATCGTCGGTGTCATCTTCATCATAACTCACAAGAGGTGCACGCGTTACTACCTCTTCCTCATCTGATCCATTGAAATACTCCTCCTCTTCGTCGTCTGTATTCGTCTTTGCGTCTGATTTGTCTCCAACATTATCGTTATTTCCGGTTTTTTCGGTAGCCTTCATATTTTCTTCGTACTTATCCCTCAGCTGCTGGCAAGTGGAAATATATGTAATAGTATCTAGCACAGAGCCAAATTGATTGATTAAGTGATCGATGAGAGGTTTTATGTTTTCCTATGTCTCTATTAACACGCGAATATCCATTTGTATGTAAATACAAAGCTTCTACTTACTTTTCTTATAAATTCGAGAAGCTCAAGGCAGGCTGAATTTAATAGGCAATCCCGGCCGTCTGTGTCCAGTAATACACGTATTGTTGGTTCAAATATGTTGTGCTTAATAAGATTACGGTTATAGAATTCATCTGAAAGCGCAATACAAGTTCTGAAAAATCTCAAAGCAGCTAAAATCAAAAGGTTAGTAAACTAAAGTATCATTCCATATTATTCTCATCATACCCAATTTTACATGCTTGTATTTGGATCTGTAGAGTTGGGTAATTTTAAGGAAAAAGTCGGAGGATAATAGAACATATTTACTACGGAATCCATGGTTTCGCACAGCAAACATTAAAAATTCACAGACATAGAGGTATAGTTGTGCTTGATCTGATGTTATTTCCAAAGGTTCGATGGGTCCTTTTAATCCAATGGGCTTAATCTCTAAATCTTCAATCCATTTAAAAAGGGTTTTGGTGTATTTATCATAGAACAATGATAAAAATTCATCCGTCTCTGGTGCTTGCTTTGACATGGCCTATACAAATAGAAGTTTATTACCAATTTGTTAATTGACATGTCTATTGTGATACCTACATCATTTCCTGGCCCAGTTTGTGGGTTGTTATTGGGGTCTAACAATAACCTTAAAATTTCGAAATATTGAACTTTTAAACCATAATCGGCGTCTTTAACGGCTTGTTCGACAATGACTTCGATCAATGGTTTCGTGAGCATTTTGGTGTCCTTTGATTGCAACATAATATGACTTCTTACAGAAGCTAAATCCAGATCGGTAAACGAGGCGAGTATATTTAAAGAGGTTGTACGGAAACTCTCATTTTCATGTGGAAGAGTAACACACATTAATTCAAAAAATCCGTAGGGTGCAAGAGATCTAAACGTATTGACGCGAACAGATGTCTGCATTGTTTTTGTAAGATTACATAACTGATGGAAAAAGCGAATAATATCGTCTCTCTTTTCAGCCGGTGTCTCTGGATCTTTGAATACGCTGAATAACTCTGATAAAAGAAGGTGATTATTCTGAATATAATTGACGATATCGAGATGAATTTGATAAAGCATGTTACTGATGACGCCCATTAAACCTTCCACAGATGTTTCGCTATGTAACAAAATACTCTGAAGATATTCTAAACGAAATGACAACTTGATCTTTCTGGTGATCACTTCATCTTTAATTTCGACTGCTTGTTTGGTGTCTCCGTTTTTCTGTATGAATTCTCGATGTTTTGCTTTTAAACCAGGTGTCTTTGGATTGTCTTTTTTTAAATATAAAATAAAACATTAAAATACGTTGATTATTAATCTCTTATGTTGTGTATAATTACATTCCAGGATGCCCATTACATTTGTTATGTATTCGTCTTGAAGAGCTAAGTCTACAATCTGTTGATCATTCAATGCCACTGGAAAATATATGATTAAAAATATTGGCATTTAAATATGTAACATTATGACTTACATATTCCTTCCAACACGTTATACAACAAATGCAAATCTGCAATATCTTCTAAATCCTCACAAGTCTCGAAAAGAGGCATCAACTTATCCATGTAACCCTAACAAGTAGATCCATCAATAACTGCCACTTGCAAATTGTAAATTCAAATATATTACTTCTGTCATGATATATGCTGAGAGTTTATCTTTGTCGTCTAAACTATGAGCATTATGCAATACATCCGAAATCTCCTTTAGATTAGATAACTCTGGTTCAGGTAATGATATATCGGTTGGATTTCTTGATGCGAAATCTTCGTTTTCGGGTTCTTTTACTCATATTAAAATTAAAGTTTTTTTTTCTCGTTGATTGATTTCTTTACCTCCTGTGACCATGGATCCGACAGGTCCTTGTTTTTTACTGATACAGCTCCTACGCAGCAATTAAGTTGTATTAATGATACGTGTAAAATAAACATATTAGTGTTATTTACCACATCTCATTGCATCCACTAGGGTCTTGAAAACTCAAAGCTAAATCTCGATTATCATCCTCAGTCCAAACAATCAAGGTATCTTAAGAAAGGTCAACAATAGTTGGGGAAAAGTAAGTAATATACTACCTTGTTGTCTTTGGTATAAACGACGTTTGGCTACTTGAGAAGTCAATAAAATAGAGTTATCCTCTTCTGAGCGAACAATTATTTGATCTGGCTTTCCATCTGTGCCCTGTTCAATTGTATAAAAATTAGTTCAGGGACGCGTCTAATCATTTGGTGATGTTTACCTTTTGGTAGGTGCAATGGCCGGTTCCTTTGTCTTCCCAATGGGTGTCAACGTTGAGTTGATAAAATTTTACTCGATGTGTGATTGTGGGAGAAGCGATCTCTTGATCGTCTGCTGGGATTTGAGGTTCGTTCACTTCTGTCATTTTTCCTTTTACAGATGCGTAAAAAAAGATTTAATAGATAATCGACAAAAAAAAATTAGAAACGTGCGGTATTAAAAGTTGAAGAGTTTCTTTTTTGTATGTATAGTGATATATATAATATGTATATTTGTGTGTACAAAAAAAAAGGTTACGTTTCAATAGCAGCAATATACCACCAGGTGAAAAAAAAAAAAAAAAAAAAAAAAAAAAAAGTCTGTTTTTTTTTTCTTTGAGCATGAAATTTATTGATATTTCATTGGTTGAAAACATTTCCTAAATCCCACACGCCTCCTTAAATACCCGAAAAAATATAAAAGACGTCAGAACTTTTCTCTCTCTTTTGCTATGAGGATCATGCTTCATTTGCAATGATCTGAACGAATGATGTTAAATTCACTGCTTATTGAACTTGTCTAGGTTCAATAAGCACGTTTCTTTGTTCCGAAGCCTTATGCCACCTATCTAGAAAAAATTGTTCCGGTGTTTGTAGTAGATAACTTCTCACTATTACAAAGAGAAAGAAACTTACTACCATGAATTTTACGCTACTGCCAGTAAATTTCCGTCATTCATTGACGCTGGGGGCACACTTACAATGAATAAGCGGTTCTGCTTCCTGTCAGATTAAATAACCTTTTTATCTGTGATATGTGTAACGGCGAATGTTTGTAAATGTAACAGCTCTCGCTGGACACTGGACGGTTCTAAAGAAGATATTGTAATCATCATCAGACGTAACTTCGAAGGCCAGAGGGTCCAATTTAGACAGGCTCAAACCCTCGATCTGGAGGAGGTTCGCTTGCATGCTCGTACGCGTAACCAACGTGCTAGGCTGTCTGCAGTAAGTACATTATTACAGTTTTGGTGATGCATCTATCTAACTTTACCTTTAATAGAAGCTGAGAAGAAGAAAGGTCAACTTCTTGGCTAACGAGGAGGCCATCGTAACACGCTTTCACCCAAAAGAAAGCTGCATGGTCTTCCTCGAGGCAGCCTACATGTCTGAAGATGAAGACAATGTTACCAATGAGCATGGTCAAGCCATCTCGTACACCACCCTCCGCCCAAGTTGGAGAACCGACGAGGTATTTTTAAAATTAGTAAAGAATAATCATGAAAATAATGTCTAACATACCACTTTTTTAATATAAACCAGCTGAACAACATGTTGAGTGAGTTGGATTCTCTCCATGGGCATAGAAACCCTGGACGTCATTTGCCTCGTACGGTCAGATCGGCTTTGCCAAATTACCCAGTTGGGGTGTGCGAGATGTCATTGAATAATAAAATTGTCTTCATCTTCTAAAGGCCTATCATAGCTAAAAAATATCATAATAATTCAATGTTCAAACTACGCGTTTATAAGTTGATAATGTTTCTTGCTTTCATTGATCACTATCTTCTTTTTTCCTGTATGCTAAAAATTTATCACTCTTCCCATTGTCGGTGGTCGCAAGACAGTGGGTACTCTTATTTTCCATCTTTTACCAAGAAAACTCTGCTTGAACCGTCATCCAACATTAAAGAATCCGGATAAAATGAACCTGACACCTCAAGTTACAGCCGAAAAGCGATGCAAGAAGGTCCATATAAATTTATTGGACGCGATTTTCATGTATGATGCAAGAAATCTTGACAATATACATGTAGTATAAAAAAAAACTCGTCTACAATGCCTTTAACTCCCGTGGGATAGGTTGAACCCCTCTAAGGCCATACACAGCTAAATGTAATAGTTTTACGGCGGAATCTACGGAACTCAAAGGTCGATACTGTAATATTATAAGTGTTGTCTGTGAAGATAAAGTTGCCTCGGAGGATGATAACCATAATATCGATAAGAATAATTCGGAAATCTCGGTGAATGTGAAGGGCATCCGTGAAACTAGTATGGAATCTTTCATTCTCATTAAAAGCTACTTTTATTTTCTGCTTTCGATAAGTCTAGTGTAGTTTCGTTTAAATTTTTTATTTTATTTTCATGATTGAATATCCCTAATACATATATTATTGTTATATCGGTGAGAGTCTTTATAAACAAAAAACATTTATGCTCAAACCACTTCAAAGTGGCATAAACGGCTGCACCTAGTTACCGTAACAAATATGTAGGCCGCTGTGACATGTAATGTGCTAATATCGATCGGCGAGCCCACAAGTTGAAGAATAAATGGGAAAAGATTGCTGCAATGATTCTCAATAAAAGAATTTTATATATCTTTGCCCTCTCGGGTGAGCTTTCCTTCATCATCGATAATATTATCATCACCAGAATGACTTGCGGCTTCCCCATTTACGGGCCCAAAGCTGGTACCATGACATTTGCAAACGATCCTCAAGTCAATCTTAAAGGCAATCACGTTTTTGGCATCAATTAATGTCTCCTTTTTCTTGGCAGCGGCGAAAGGATTGTACAATTCTGAGATACTTACAATGGATTTTCTATATCGTCTATTTGAATATAAAACCACAACTTACCATGTGATATAATTATTACATACACAGACTTAGAAAACGTATGCGTAATACTTTTAACTAGCTGCTATTATATAATGACATGACAATATCGATGCAAGAATACTATAAAAGAAAGTTCGTGTAATGGCTTCGACTCTGGTATAATTAGATAGCTTCTAACTATAATGCAGGCCGATTTTCCTTTCCTCTTACCTACAAGTTTGGTATATTAAAAGATTTAGCAAAATTGGCGCGAACACTTTTTCAAAATTCAGTGGGTCCAGTGCGTCTCAAATATTTTGAGAGAAATGCATGTGGAACACACTGCAGCTTTAGAGATTTAGTACTAAGATGCTGCCTGCCTGCGACAAGAAAAGAAATCCTGCTGTAATTCCTTTGATGAAGATATCTACTGGTGTAAATGATGAACTCCCCAAATTTTCTGCATTTCGAGACAGACAAAAATATAATGGCTATGTCCCGCTACCATCATACTTGAGTTATGTTTACTCGTATGTGATAGATTGAATTCGGCCGTAGTTAGACTGGCGTATGATGTCTTTGAACAGCACGATTCTTAATTGTGATCACTCTTTCAAAGTAATCGGCCATATGGGTAATACCTACTTTTCCAGCATTATACTGATGTCTCGATGTACATGAAGAAATAAGAACCCATGTCCTGGCTCCTTCAAAGATTCTATATCATCTCTCATCTCCTTTTAAATCTCTATCCAAATTTTATCAGCTGAATGTTTATAGTTTACCATCGCTCTTTTACACTGAAAACGTAAATAATGATCGTAAAATTTTGGAGGGTGTATTACACAGTTTGTTGGAAAACGTTAGCCAGGCCACCATTCCTCAGTCAACTAGGATTGCCGATTCAGAGCAGGAAGTGGGACTGGAAGTTTTAGCAATTCCTGGAATGATAATTTTTTATTATATTCCGATATATAAGATATCAACGGCATTTGTCTAGGCATTTTAGATAACATAAACACAAGTACTCCCCTCTACATTGGTTTCAATTGTGAATGGGTTGCATTAAATCATCCTATATTCAATACCAGATCAAGAAGAGCAGAGGCTACTATAAAAGAGATGTACCTTGTACAGATCTGCTATCAAAATCAAGTATATTTGTTTCGAAAACTTGATCTCCGAAGCAAACTTGCTGGAGATCTCAAGCAACTTATGGCGTGTGAAGAATTTAAAAAAAGTAGGAAAGAATGTAAGCGGGGACTTCTCACGTTTAAGAAAGGCTATGGAGTGAATTCAAAGGGTCTTATATATCTTAACTTTGTACGAGAAAAGGGTTATTGCTAAAAAATACATCTACTTCTCTAGCCACCATTTGTGCCCTTGTTTTCAATAGAAGTCTACCCAAAATTCAACACATTTGATGCGGAGATTGGAATGCAGTAGAACTCTCTCGAAAGCAAATTATTTATGCTGCTTTAGATGCTTATGCTGGCTTAGCCGTTTCAACAAATCAATAAATTACCCTACTTTTAATATAAATTCCAATCACTTGACGGTTGAAAACATGTTGGTTGCATTGTATACAACATCTTGTAAGATTTATTCTTGTGCTTTTGGTTATCTATCTGAAGAAATTTGGAGCACATTAAGATTCATTACATCCATCAACTCTAAGAAGTATATCGAAACAGAGTTTAACACATCAAATGAAATGGAAACAGTCGTAAAATTAATTAATGTACAAATACCTGGCACTATCTTGTCAAATTATACAAACCTCCTTCAATTATCTTCAGTTAGGCGCAAAGCTTTACAAGGTTTTGGCAGTATATCGTTCTGTATCTTTGCTGATTACGATCCGTTAAAAACATCTTTTGAATTCCAGCTTTTTTTTACCTAAAAGCATTCAAGTAAGTACATTTCACATAACTATGCCACGATTCAAGCATGGAATAATGTTGATGCACAACCAACAGTAGCAACTACAACACTTTCTCGGGTTTTAAAATATGCCTTTTATCTCATGGATATGTTGCCATTATTACAAAAGCACGGTATGGATATAAACTTTTACCAAAGATTTCAAGAGTCTTTGTTTGTATATGGTTCTCTCGACAAGCTAATGCTAAAAATTACTTGCGATCTATTGGTGCCAATTTCTAAAATTTACCAGCAAACCAGCTGGGTCACGTTGTTTCCGGTGGATCTGGCAACTCTATCTTAAAAATCACAGTTTACTCTCTACCATTCTAGACGTATGATTCAAACCAAAGTTTGATCTGGCATCTATTAACCATAAAAAGCCAGCGTAAATAAATAAACTGTGACATCCCAATCTTATACCAATATGACTTTCTGTGCACCAACATCAATGTGTTATGAAACATTGTGTTAAATCAGGATTTATCGCGCCGATGACAGCTCCTGATTTATACAATAGTATGATCATTTCTGTGTCTATATTTATTAGGAGAATTAAGGGGTCTACAAATACAAATACACTGGTTCTTAATGTATTCTCACATGATGCTTGATAGCGTTTCCTTTCATTAGAATCAATATTCAATATAACAAGTATAAATACAAATATATCATATAGCCGTCATTAAACTACATACTTCGATTCTGTTGTACTTAAAAAAATGGCTATTTAGTGCACCAGCATTCAAGACTTTGGCATAATGAAATTTATGGTTTGTGTAACGTTTAAGTCTGAAACGATGAACACTCAAACTATAAATAATCCCCAATTTAGCGATATTTACTAAACAAAGTTTTACCAACTCTCAATGATTCGGAAAAAAGGAATTGATTTGATTTAACTATAAAATATACGTTACTTAAACCTTTTTCTCTCTTATTTCACACAACTGCAAAAATCTAAACTTCATTTTAATTATGTCTACTGTAAAAGGGATAGGAAGTTTTGGAAGTACAGCTCTTTTGGTATCATCAATGACTGTAAGTATATCGCATATATGTTGCCTCAAATGTCCTGATTAACGCATGTACATTTTACAGGGTCCAGGATTAGCTACTATTCCGGCTTTATTTCAACAGGTATGACTGAAATCAGGCTACTTTAACAAAAATTAAGTGCTAACTATAATGCTTAAAGTCTGGCTGGATTGCCCCAGTTTTTATCTTTATTGTAGTCGCCTTTTTATCAGGTTGCTCTGCATTGTTTGTTTGTGAAGCATTATCTAATATTCGCGGCAATGAAAAATTTCAGGTGAGTACGCGTTTAAAATTACCCTTTTTTATACTAATATGCTTAATTTAATACATTTAGGCTAAGATTGAATTAACGACAATAGCTCAGGTATATCTGGGACGAAGATATCATTACTTTTTTCAGATCATGCTATTCTTAGCCCTTCAATCAGTAAATGTTGCTAGTATAATCATCGCTGCCCAGGTAACATCTACAACTTCTATCAACTATACATTATTAACATTATAAATAAGACATTTGATAATATGTTGCTGACCATATTTCATGGTACCTGTGGTCTTGGTGTTTCTCCTGGGGGATGGTTTTGCATTACTGGTGATGAAATTTTCAATCCTGATGATTATTTCATTTTCACTTTTGGCTTTCTACTTACCGCGGTTCTGGTTATTCCTTTAGGGTTCTTTACTTTGGTTGATAACATTGCTGTTCAGATGACTTCTTTTATTGTTTTAACAGCTATTTTAGTGCAATGGATGGTAGAGTTTGGTGAAGTAGGTCTGAAACCAGACCTTTTGCCTGCAAGCGGAAGTAACTCCACGACTGTTCTTGGTATTGTTATTTTCAACTACAGTTTCATTACCACTGTATGTACTATTTTGGACAATTTATCTTTTTGCGTACTTATAAAATCTCTTTTAGATTCCTTCCTGGGTCAATAGTTTAAAGCCTGATGTAAACATTCATAAATGTATGTGGATTTCTGTATTTATCTCTACCGTTTTTTATATTGCGCTTGGTAGGTTCTCGATGTAAAAATAATAATCATTTGTAGTACTAAAGCTTTTAAAGGTATATTTGGAGCCATGGCATACCAAATGGATGCTTCTAGTGATATCCTTAACATTTTAAGTTCGCAGGGTACGACAGCATATAACATTGTTTATTGTTAATTGTTTATGTTTATTCATTGTTTGTTTGTTAGGCTCTACTGCTGCTATGGTTACGTCGTATATATTTCCCGTCTGCGCCCTCGTCACTTCCATTCCAGTGTTTACAATTGTCATCAGATCAAACTTATCGAGAGGTCAGATCTGTAGTGAGCCATGGGCTATTTTCTGGTCTAATTTTCTTCCTTGGTTAATCTGCATGTAAGTTCAAATTAAGTGTAAATATATATTGTATAAAAGGCTTATAGGACTGTTATAATTATAGTCCGTTGCAAACAAAAGACTGGGTAAGCACCATACAAAACTGGTGCAGTTTATTCTTTCAATCAGTAAGTACGGTATCTTCAATTTAGAAGCTTTATTTACCAATATATTATTAGACCGTGAACTTTATTTTGCCCTTTGTATTATACTTTGTTTCTAGAAAATATGTTGCTTCCGTTGAGCCGATAGAAACTAACGACAAAGTTTCAATTTACCCAAATGAAAAAAATCTTTCTGCTATACACCCTCAAACTTTGGCTTATCCTTCACCAATTTTGCAGAACCCTGACAACAATGATGTTCATATGTTCAACCCAGATGATAATTATTCAATTTCCATTAGAAGATCGAGCATCAGACCTTCCAAACATAGCCAAATGGAATCAAATATAGCATATTCACCAATGGCAGAAAAAAGTGGAGTTCCAACAATTATATATAGTGACATTATCAGTTTTAATAACGATCCTATTACCCCATATTCACCAAACGCTTTAGCACCTGGTAAAAAACATTTGGCTCCATCTCCATCTCCTTCTCCGTCAACATTGACATCTAATACTCGAAAGTCTGCCAACGGTCTTGGAATATCTGATCCTTCTTTAGACAATAACAGTGCAAAAACTCCAGTCAATGCCTCGTCTGCTCCTGGGTCACCAATGTCTTTCGTTAGCACAACAGATAAAAAAGTGGAAAGCACCAAACATAACCAACAGTCACCTATTATGGGCAAATTACATAAGCCTATACCCAAATCCCCAGAAATATCCCAAGCATCACCACATTTAGCATCACCACACTTAGGATCTTTGCCTAGACCATTTCACCATTCTTCAATCCTTGCTAGTGCTATCTCGTTTAAGAATTCTCTTGTTGCTCCTGAAGTTGATAAATCCGTTCTGAGTGAAGCAGATACAAAACATGAAAATGAGCGATTCATTGCCTTTCTTCCAAAACGTTGGTTAAACCCATTTTATTTAGCCATCGGTGCATGTGCAGCACTGAGTATATCTGTTTCTTTCATGATTGTTTACGATTTAACTATGTTGGGCTTGGGAAATGATGTTCTCAGTTAAATAACCCAAAACTATTTTTACATTACTTTATCATCACAAACTATAATATTATTACATTATTTTTTTAACCAATAAACCAAAATATTCCAAATATATTAATTTTTCAGCTTAATTTAACTGAATTTGCGTTTTGCATTTTACACTACAATTTTCCTTATAATTAGTCTAACGTTACTTTTATCTGAGGATGAGGGACTTTTTTTTATGCCCATCATCTCCATCTTTTTCATTTTATCACGGATTACTTATTAGCATAAAGAGGATGCTGATAACGATAATTATATTATAGTACATAGTGAATATATGCTATCGCATCCCATCACAACCGCTTTACCATAGAATAAAGCGCCTTAGATAAACTGCTTTCCTAACACAGTAACAAATTAGTTTTTAAATAGTGTGCTGAAGGTATTATTTATACTTTTAAAAGGTACGATCGTAACAAAAAAAAAAAAAAAAAACCCAAAATATTTTGCCACACAACTACAGACACCACATCCCAGATAAAAACCAAAAAATAATTGCTCACTAACAGGGTCGAACTGTTGACCTTGGCGTTATTAGCACCACGCTCTAACCAACTGAGCTAAGCGAGCTGATATGTATATTTTAAAAATAAAAGTAAATATAGCCACGCATATTTAAAAATTTAAAATCACGTGATAAACACGTGTTTGCCGGAATTTAATATACATGGGCCGGAGCGGTTCGGTGTCCGGTGACATACGATGTTGCTTATTTTAACAGGACAAGTAGTGCCTACATAGATACCTTTACAACACAGACAGGTTATTGTTTTTGTTTCAACACATGTAACTTTATTGTAAGATGTGATTTATAAGCTTTTGCAATCAAAAAAATATATACATTAAGGGAATGATGTCAATTTCAGTAGTAACAATAAATTGCGTATCGAGCAATACAAAACAAACATCTATCATTTAATATACTTTTTAAAAGAGCTTTATATACCAATAAGAGAGAGAATTAATATATAAAACTGTTAGGAAAACATAGTTTACTATGTACTTCTGTTAATCAACGGAGCAACTGGAGTGTAATAAAACTGTGTATATTATAGTCTATAAATGTCACTACGCTGAGTGTTTACTTGGCCCTATAATAGCTTTCATCCAACTCGAGACAAATCATACGCAGAATAAACAGGAAGTAAATTATGATAATGTTTAACAAAGTTTTTTCAGGGAAACAAGAGGAGAACGTGATACGCAAATTGTAAATAGGAGTGCTAACAAAAGTCTAAATACTGCATATTATTGCTAGTTTTAATCATTTCTCGTTTCTCTTTTCTTTATTCTTATTCCACATATTAGGAAGCTAAATAATAATTACCACAAACAATGAATGAAGGTACACATATACTGATTTTATTTATACAAAAAGTATTGAAGAAATTAAAAAAGTTGGTCATATCAAAAGTTCACATACTTGTCATTGGCGTGTGCCAAATTGGTCTCAACTTCGTTTAGGTATAGAATACAGTAGTCCTCCTTTGCTTTTCGATGATTTAAAATGGTAATATGCTGCACCTTGCCTTTATAAATTTGTTCTCAAAAAGATTTTTTTTCTTTAGGTCGATAAAAGTAAGATACATGAATGACTATTTTTCAAAAAAGAGTACACAGATTAATGTTGCTTTAGCTTGTTAAAGGCAAAACTAAAACCCCAGATGTAAATGATTATGAGTGTTCTGCTTTCAATTTAGTAACAATAATTTTTGTAGATGCTCTCAATATATGTGCAAATACACGAGACATCCCCAGGTTCCTTAAGGGGAATAAGAAAAAATGTTCAACTCACTTTAAAGATAAACAATACAAATCCATCAAGCTATTATAACGATTTCGGCGTAGGAAAAAGTAAAATAATATTAATACCAAATCCTATGAATTGATCTAATATATACTATTTAGGGCTGCAACCTGTCTGGTTTAGTGAGAGTAATACCACGAACTTTTTGTACTTAATTTCAACAGAAAAGTCTAATAATATGATATAGAACATACAAAATGGGGAGAAGATTCATTAGGAACATTAAGTAGCATCATTCCTTTCCTTAGTAGAGATCAAGTCTCCTTGTCAGTCAACATCACTATTCTGAAATCCGAAGTAAACAACATGACTGCAGCAACACCTACAGATATTATTACATCACCGCCATTTTCTAGATACATTGATTCAAAGGAATTTTCTGATATCTCGTTTAAAGTGTTAGGGAATGACTCGGTCGAGAATTTTCGTATTTTTTATGGCCACAAAAACATTTTGGCGGCAATATCTCCATGGTTCAATATTATATTTACAAACGGTATGAAAGAGTCCCTAGAAAATGAAATAACGATTAGCGATGTAAAGCATGATATATTTTACCGATTATTGAAGTATTGCTACACATTCAAAATTGATATCGACGATATAGACGACGCTTATGAGATGTTAAAAGCCTCAGATCGTTTTCAAATATCAAACATACGAGAAGAGTCACTTCGCTTTTTGAGGCAAGAACTAAATGAGGATAATATATGGGATATATGGGAGTGCGCAGGTAAGCGGTCAGTATATGCTCTAAAGAAAAAAAAATTAATTTCTTAGACATGTATGGATGCGAAAAGACAATCAACACATGCAATTCATATGCTAGTGTTGAAATGAAAGCTCTAATAGCACACCCTTCGTGGCTGTATGCACAACCAAGGGTTATCAAAATGGCCTTGGAAATAGGAGAGGGAGATCTACCAGCTGAAACAGAGTTATACAAAGCTGTTTTATTATGGGCAAAACAAAGGCTTGATAAAATAACTATTATAGATGACACTAAAGAAGATGTTGAAAAACTATCAATGACAAGAACACAGCTATTAGCTTCTGTTGTTGATGTAGAGCCTCTTGCTATTTCATCAGCTGTGGTGGAACCCGATGATGATGACGAAGAGGAACAAAAGCATTCATTGGATCGAGAAGTTCATGTTACACATGTTACGAATAGAGTCATAGCCCCATTAGAGCCACATGATCTTGAAATACACCTTGCAAGCATACTGCAATCGATAAGATTCCCCATGATGCCACCAGCATTTTTAGCCAACAAAATAGAAAGTGATTCTTTCATCATGAACATAGAGGGAATGAGGGATATGGTAAGATTGATTTTAAAATACTAGTTGTAATACTAAAAAATTCATGCATTTTACATTTTAGTTGTACGAGGCCTATAAATATCACGCTGTCCTCGGAACTTCTTCATCCATAAGGTGTCAACCGCGAAAACCGCAAGCAGAAGATGAACTTTAAGTACCTGTGTATCACCATTAGCTTAAAAGCCCGATACTTTTTTTTCCCATTCTTATCTGCATTGCAACAATAAACCTTTTCTATTTTCTTTATTATAACCTCTTTTTAACTACAATTAAGATCCATGGTTGCAAACGAAACAGATTCTATATTAACGGCCCCAGGTCATACACGCTATCAGTCTATTGGACCTTCTGAACCCGAAGAAGAGGTATAATTTTTCTTTGCTCTTTATGTTGACAATTAGTCAAGATCGAAAATAGTTGTAAATAACATTGTTAATAGACTGTAAAAGGCAAACATAAAATTGCTGTGGCTATATTAATAACGCTTGCTTCTTTATTGTTTGGAGGGGTTCTTGTTCATGGTTTAACAAGCGGTAATGAACAAGCGCCCATATACAATAACGGTACTCATTCGTTTGCACCTACTGTCATCTTCATTTCTTTGGATGGCGTTGTAAGTCATGATCTTGATCTCCACTTTACGCCTGTATTGAGTGAAATAGGTAAGCTCCTAGTATTACGTAAAATCAACGAATATGGTAATAATCTTCTAATGCCCCTTTGTTTAACAAAGCTGAACAGGGCGTCAAAGCTGATTACATGACACCATCATTTCCTGTAACTATGGCAAATATTATAACAACTTTTGTGCCTACCTAACCTTAACTTTTCAAGCCAATTACTTTTCCAAGTCATTGGTCTCTAGTGACTGGATTGTATCCCGAAGCTCATGGAATTGTTGGAAATTATTTTTACGATAAAAATTTAAACGACAGTTTTTATTACAAAAGCCCTGACCAAAGTTGGGATTCTAAATGGTGGGGCGGAGAGCCTGTAAGTCCTGATCACCTGAATTATTCCATTTACTAATAATAGAAGTTTTAGATATGGATTACAGCCGTGCGACAAAAGAAGAAGTCCGGTGTAATTATGTGGCCAGGTTGCAGTACAGAATTTAGTGGACTTCGTCCCACTTACTCAGTTGCATTTAATGACCATATCAAGTTTGACGATAAGGTGGACCAAGTCTTTGACTGGATTGATTTACCCTTGGAGGATCGACCCCAATTTGTAGGTGTATATGTTCAGCAAGTAGATCAAGCAGGTCATGCTTACGGTCCATATGGAAATGAGGTAGGCAATTATTTTTATAATCATAATAAGCCAGTAATCAAGGGCTTTTCTGAAAATTCCAATGTTAATGTTAACATAAATTAGACCTTCAAACAGTTACACCTTGCTGACAAAAGTATTGGTAGATTGTTAGATGGATTAAAGGAAAGAAATTTAACGGACATTGTAAATGTGATGGTTGTAAGCGATCATGGTATGTCTGAAACTGACAAATCGCGGTTAATCTATTACGACGATGTTCTTACAGAAAAGGAACTTAGTTTAATATGGTCAATTGAAGCATCACCAACTCTAGGTATCAGAATTCATCCCAGTGAAAATGAGGAGGAAGCGGTTGAAATATTATATGAAGCATTCAGAAGATTGCACAATTCCTTGGATACACCTCATTTTGAGGTATATAAACGAGAGGATTTCCCTAGTAGATTTCAATTTCGGGATAACATCAGAATTCCCCCATTAATGGTTTTACCAGATGCAGGATGGAATTTTGTAACACATAAAGAGTTTGATCCAAACCTTGGTGGTGAATATGAGCCCCGTGGCGTTCATGGCTATGACAACATGTCCCCTGAATCAAGAGCCATTTTTGTTGCCCAAGGACCAGACTTCCCAAAGAAAAAGACAATTGTTCCTTTCTGGAACATTGAGCTTTATAGTGTCATGTCACGCATTTTACATTTGAAACCATCCAATAATAATAATACCTTAAATGGATTACTGGAGGTGGAATAATTATCACAGGCTTTAATAACAAGAACGACATTTGAGACCATCAAACAATAAAACTATGCTTAATTAATTTGTCGTGTACGTGTGTTCGTGTGTAATTATTTGTAAATGAATATAAATGTATAAATGTATGTGAGTAATAGACATATTGCATAATATTCCTTTTAATTTGACCAAAACTAGAAAAAAAGTATGATTTTTCAAACAAATAAAATTCTCAAACACATACATATGACGACTGATTTTATTTCTAGGTTTGGGTGCAGAACAAAGAAATCAAGAAAAAGTATTTATACGTCAGCCCCCCTCTTCTTTCTTTTGTCTTATCGTCATAAAAACCCATTGCCGAAGAATGAAATCAGTTATACCACAAAGAAAACAAATGTCTATCTCTTCTATTACCTGTAAACAAACACAACACCAGCCAAAGCTACAGTGCAACTATTATCAGGATACACAGCCTATTCGTGCCATTCGATCACCACCTACTTCACCGGAGCATGAGCACTTTATCAACTCGCCGCCCTCATCACCACATTCTTTTGATTTTTCACCCCCGTCATCTTTATCACATCATTATTACCGAGACGAAGATGATCAAAGCATTTCCAATAGAAATGGTACAGCTACATTGCAAGAAAGAAGACAAAGGAATAAAGCAGCTTCAGCTAAATATCGTCAAAAAAAGAACATCCAACAAAATGAAATGAGAGATATGATTAACCAAATATCTGAACGTAATGCCACACTTGAAAGACAGCTCCGGGAAGTCCGACTTGAAAACCAAAAGTTAAGGGCTGATGCTGATAGATTGCGAGGTAAATGTGTTGCTAAAAAACTATTACGTCAATGGATGGATCGCCAGAAGCAAGGTTCTTTTGATACAGTGAGTCACCATGATTTGTTGAGTGATGATGACTTAGATAGTTTATCTTCAGATATTTAATATATATGTATGTATTTATATGTATACATATATGATATCCCCTCTCTTAATTACATTGTACTTCTTTTTTTTTTTTTTACTACTATCTTACTTTTTGTAATAAACAATTTCTTGTCTATTTTAAGCACTGAGACAACAAATATGACGCCAAAATAACAGTTTTCAATACCCAGCAATTATGCAGCTGAGTTGGCTCAAATAATGACACATACACATGATCTTATGGACATAACAGGTTAGCCTAATATTTATGCCGTTATTCCTTACTGTTTATTCAAGGAATGCAATCTGATGAACTTTAAAATTGTCACCATTTGAAAGTCTTCAAAGCAAGATAGTTTTTCTAAGATGCTCAACTATTCGAGATATACTAAAATATAAGTCTTTTTTAAAGTAGAGGCTAGGATACAACTTTATAAATGCGGACATTGATGTCGAGGTGATAGATAGTACTTTAAAATCGGATAACAAAGATTCCAAGGATAGACTAAACTTACTCCAGACAACTGCAAAAATGATTTAGACAAATCGAAAACAAAAAATTGTTAAGACATTGAATTATACAGCATGCCTTTCCTTTCTACGAAGACGTGTACCCGGATAGATTTTGAAAGATCTTGTTCAATGCACTTCATTCTTTTCAAAACGCTTACATATTAGGGATTTAAAAAACAATTGTCGTATCACAAAAAAAGTAAGTGCGTACCAGCAGACTATATTATAGCCAAGTAAACACTCTTGCGGGCTCTCATAGCCTACCCTAACTCCGTTATCCAGGCGCTTCATACACCTAGGCTATGAAATTTCAGATATATATAAAAAAAAACAAACGGATTCCCATAATTTCTATTAGCAAATGCACAAATCAAAATGTTCAATCAATTATGTAACGGAGGTATGAAGGCAATGATAATTTAGATATTATTATATGCAGCTACAATTAAGGACCACATAATCCATCTACACTCAAAAGACAACGTTTCAGCACCCTTAAAAAGCAACTATGGCTTTCTGAGCAAATATTTCAGCTCTATGCTTACTGACGACGGCTGTCTTGCCTTCCGAAAAACCTACGATCCAGGTAAATTATTTCCATCTCTTTTCTTCTTCTGAAAACATATGAACCTTTTGTCCAAAACTCACCAGAAACATACATACATGTTTAGAGCATCCCTATCAGTGACCCGTTAAAAGCGCTTAGCCGGAAAAACCCAATAAAATAAAGTTCTTTACCCGTTAAAAACTGTTGAAACTTAAATTTCTGATACAACCGAAGAAGGAATTATGAAGCCTACACTTTCCCTTTACAACCAACCTCGCTTAGGTAAGATGCTTTTTTTAAATAAAAGAGTGAAAGCGACCACTTATTTCAAGCTGTCTTTGGGCTTGTGATTAATTGTACACTAATCGATTTACAATTAAAGAGATTTAACTCAGTAACTGCACTGTAGTAATCCATCCCATTATAATAGTTTAGTGAATACACTTCTTGCTCTTAACTAGTACTTGCCCAGTTGTATTTTTGTCATTTATTAAAGATTTGCTATTATCAACATGCTCACCTTCCTTAAAAGAATATATTCATATATCTATAGAGATAAAAGAGTCGCCAGTCTTTACTATTCACTCAATGTTTAAGTTTTAATCAATATTAAAATTTTGTCTCTCATCCAAGAAGGTTGCAGGAAGAGCCCAACAACTAGTATAGTCCGAAAAAAATGTGTTTGACATGTTTATAAAAAAAGAAAAAAGAAAAAGGCTTAATTACAGCCTTCTTATCCGGAGCTATGTGTTATAAAAATACAAAGTAAGAAATGACTGTGTTAATTTATATGTCCTTTCAAATCCTTAGAAGCTGCAGCACAGTTCACGTTTGCTGTATTTTCTTAAAAATAAATATCACTATATGATAATTGATAAATATCTTTAGACTAATTCAAAATGCATTAAATTCATGCAACTACAAGGTACATGCCTTTGTGGCTGGATTTCCTTATACTTTACCGGCAAAAAAATTACCCAGAAATTACAATAAAAAACCAGGATATAGTGCTCAGTCAATTGGACATCCAAATTGTAACACAATTATATTATTAGCCGAGCTTTTCTTAAAGTCTAAAAAACTACGCATTTAAGGGCTGCAGACAATATGGTTAATTACGTTAGACCATAGAATAATAAAAACGCCTAGAACCTCAACAAATTCTGCGTCATAAGTATCAGCCAGTGCATCAGCTGTCAAAAAAGAAGTCCAGGATTCCATAGAGTTACCACGCAGACTTATCAAAGATTAAATTTAATATCGAGGAGCAATGTAAGTCTATGTAGAAGTAAAATATTATTCATCATCTTATTAATTTCAATTCTAGTGCTATTATTAGTATAATTTTATTATTTTTCAGGTTACCACTATCCCAGATATTTTGGTAAGAGATATAAATCAAAAGTCCAGACCAAAACCAGTTTAATGTATGCTTAACATAATTTTTAGTTTTCGGGGGGAAAGGGGTTCAGTTCCAAACTAAATGAAATAAATATGCTGTCATTGCTATTTTTTTTTTTTTTTTTTTTTTTTTTTGCAGTTGTACAAATAAAAATAGGCCCAGCGGATAGTAGCAGAAATAGGTAGGAAAACCAAAAACAGCCTTACGCACCTTACGGGCACTACATTATTAGATACATTAAATATAGGAAATATTTAATGAAGAAGGCTGAGAGCAAAGACAACCGAAGAAAAACCAGCTTTGTCGATAAGTTAAGGTGGCATGCAATGCTAAGCGATTTTGCGTAATTGATAGTAAGTCGCGTAATTGTCAACTAGATATGGCAAAAATTAAATCCTGCAAAATGACCCAATCATTGTGTAATGGCACAAACAATAAATTTAATGTCTTACAATATATTACATTACTGATTATAATAGAAAATTTCTAATTAAAGAGAAAATACAAGAAAACTTGGGAGGGAGTTGAGAATGTTAATTACAGGGAAGTGAAAAGAGGGATATATATATATATAAGGAGAGGGATTTTAATGGCTGGGAGGCATAAAAATACATCGCAAGACTGGCATAAAATATAATCACCAGATAAATTCAAGAGCATCCACAAATATCGAATCATCGTCATCTTCAGTTTCGTTTTTATCGAGCTGCTGTTTGAGTTGACTCGAAAATTTATTGTCTTGTGATATTATGATTGTCACAGTTTCATTAAATGATACAGATTTGGACCTTTTATTTATTTTGGTCATATTGTTATCATTATAGTGTATCGTTTTAGAATTTTCGGCAGTGTTTCTGTCAACGAGGGTATCTTGTGGAGTATGTGTGCGAGTATGGTGGGTCTCCTCACCAAGCCAACTTCTTTGAGTTTTGTATGAAATAGAAGATCTAGTCCTTGTGTAGGGATACTGTACTGGTCGCTTTGTTGTCTTGGTTGCAAGTAAAGAATTGGTGTTTACTTTTTCTAATGAATCCGTATTTAAATAAAGTGATAACAGGTGATATACAGACTTGTCGATTTCAATATCTTTATTTGTCTTTCGCGCAGACTTAGTATCATGAAAATGAGGGTAAACAAAAGATTGTTGTGGCCGTGATTCGATATTCATTGTGGACATAATAAGTGGTTTAAGTGGAGAAGAAAGAAAGAAAAAGCAAAAGTTATTAACAATGTATTTATAAAATAAATCAGAGGGGGGGGGCATCCATTTTAAGCCCAATTTGGGTCATCTTTATTCTTAAAGTGGAAACACATATCTTCCCCCCGCTTACAAAAGGATAAATTATGGCCCCAGTTTTTGACCAACCGGCAACACACCCGTCTTCTCCATTTAAAAAAAAAAAAAAAAGAGAGGGAAAAACATAGAAGTTTAATTATACATTTTGTTTGTAATCACAACAAGGAATGGTTGGGGCTTCATGTTGGGGTTCCATAGTTGTTTGTTTGTTGTTGGAAAAAAAGCTTACATACAATCCCTGAACAATGTGAACATTATAACGAACATTGATGGGGAAAAAAGTTACAGATGAATAAAGAATGCTTACAAAAATCCTGTTCCCTTATCTTTCAGAGGATTATCAATCAAACTGCAATCAAGCATCAATGTGTTTCACCAATGGTAACAACATCGATTGACACAAAATGGACACCTTAAGTTATTTAATCGGAGATCTTCTATTATTACATATGAAGTCTTTGGGACGATTGATGAATAATGTAATGCATTCACATTTGATAAATTGGCAGGAAATAAAGGCGTCTGTATTTTCCACCGGGTTGCAACACTTTTGGGAAGCATAAACGTTTTCTGACCTTAAATAGACGTAATCTTTGTCATCATGTGATTGAATTTGTCTCAATTCATTTCGGAGTCTCGGCGCTGTTATTATCTACTCAAGCTCGATCAGAACAAGAAGATTAGGAATGCTCAGTAAGTATAAAAGAACCCCCTTCTTACTTGAGCTTATAAGAATTTATTATCACATAATATTGACGTAACATACCAAGTAACCATTTTAGGAACATTACTAACATCATTTGTAATACTGATCGCTTTGATTTTTTTCCACGTACATTTAGTACCTGGGCCATATTGTTGACAGTTGTAGCGCCGAGCCCAAACCTGATTCAATGAAGCCGAGCAGGGTCCTTGCTACGCCCTAGTCCGTACGCATTTGCGTGAACTATATTTAAGCTTGGCATGCCGAATTAACAAGTTACATGGTAGAGACTAATTTATTATCTACTGACCTGGGCTGTTAGAGTAAAAATTTACATACCTATTTCAATTTAACAACTCGCAGACCATAATGCTGTCATTGTATCTGATAGTAATCTGCTTTGCCAACGGATCCGGTGCATAACCAGCAGTGCTGTTGTTAAGGTCATTTGATTGTCCTCGTTACCCAAATCCAAATACATGATTATGCTTGCTGGTAGACATGATGACAATAAAATATAGAGGAAGCAGAGATGTCAGAGGTGTTAAAAACGTTTGAGATGGTGATGTTGTTGTTGGTATAGGTCGAGACGATGGAGTTTCGCAATCGATGTAATAATGTAGGAATAACGAATATTATTAATATACGATTTATTAGTAATCGTTCCGTTCCAATCAATGATTTGTGTTTATCTTATAAACCGTAATGTAACAAAGGGTCAGAAAACTTAAAAAGTAGGGGATTGCTTAGTGAGTTTGAAACATCGCTTTTAAAATTAAAATGACCCGAACGGCCCGAAGTTTTGAGAAACATCACAAGTAGGTCAATGATCGCAACGGGAGAATAGTTTAACACTAAAAAATCAGGGAAAAACTAAAAAAGCCACCACGGCGTTTCATTTCAGCCAAAATTTATCGAATTTTTTTTTCCATGGCTAATCCAATTACACATTGTCTTGATCGTCTTAACTTGGGAGATAACACTAAAGTCAAACAAAGAGCAGAGGAATTTCTTGGACAACTTTCGAATATTCCAAACAAAATATTTGATAAAGGACCTTATCTCAAAGCCGTTATTTGCATTCAGCTTGCTTATGAAAGGTAAGAACTAAAATCGTGTGAACATAGAAACGTAACCACTCACATCTTAAGTTTTTATAGTTTAAAAAATTATGATTGGGACGCTAAAATTGCCTCTCAACTTGCAGGCTGTGCTCTCTCCGCGTACGAACAAGCTCTCAGTATAACACGAAAACAATTAAACCTACAAACCAAAGTCACGCTAGACATGCTGGCTGTAGCTCTAGGTTCAACCACCATGTTGAGCCAAGCTAACATCTTATGGGAAGCCTTTTTAACTAAATACCTGGGCAAGTTAAGTGGAGCGAAGAAAGTCAATGCACAAGCCGAAATTGAACAATCGTGTTGGAAAGGAGCCATCATGTATACATGTGCAAAAGCCTTTGGTGTGAGTATGACGAGGTTACAAAGAGTACTTAAAAGCTAAACCAGTTATTGTAGAAAAATTTGGATAAGGATAAACTCCACTCACTCTGTGGTTGTAGTACAGCAGAATTGAACAAAAGCATAAAAGTTGTTAAAGCAACCTGTGATGATACGATAGTAGGATTGAAAAATCAGTCAACATCAGTTGCACGTGGATCGAGAAGAGGAAAAGGATCGATCAAGGAGATCGAAGAGAAGAATAACGAAGAGGAGACGGAAGAAAAGGGGAAGCCAGGGGATAAAAAGAAAGTGTCACAAAGTAAAAAAAGAAAGGCAGTAGCAGAAGAGCCTATCAAGGCAAGAATAAAGCCTGTCTCGGGAATTGTTTCCATGATAAACCACCAAGATTACCTTAAAACCAAAAGATATGGAGAATATAAAAAATGGAAGGCTGATCTGATTCGTGACATAAAAACAACAAAGATCTAATCTCCTTACATTCATATTAAAATAAGAATAATTAAAAGTGATGCTTTGCTAACTTCTCTCCATAACGGTAAATACAACGGTACTACTACTATATCAAACCAATCCTAAGCGAAATAATAGCCATCAGGCAAAATAACGGCAGTACATTCCTCCCTTTATTTCAGTCCTTTTAAACCAGACTTGGATAGAATATTTTCCCCTTTCTCTTTCTTTCTTTTTTTTTTTGATGTCCATAACTCATACAACCACTGTAAGTGCACACGCAGCACATGCATTATCAGAAATAAATAGGGAATCATCTACATCATTTTCATCTTCCGCCGATAGAACAACTGCTGTGGAAGATCAGTATTCAATACGGCTCGAAACTTATCCACCAAGCTATAAAGAATCAATCAAAAATCACAACGCACTTTTGATTAATGGACAGGAAGAATCGAACAAAAACATTGAGACAATGTCAAAACAAAAAAGAAGATGGCTTGTATTTAGAAGGACTGCATATATTATCATTATGAATGCTGCAATACCGATCGCCTTATATTACTTACTCAAGCCTCATTTACCCGCTGTTTGGGCTTTAGTGTTATCAAGTGCACCAACTATTATTTCAGTCATTGTCCAAGCAATATTTATGAAACGAATCGACTCATTAGGAATCGGTGTTATATTTGGTTAGTTAAGCAAGCGATATTTTTTTGTAATAAACCTAATAATACATATTTAGGGTTTATACTATCTGTTGTTTTAGCAGTATTAAACGGTGACCCAAAAATGCTTTTAATGCGAGAATCATTTGTGTAAGATTAGTTGGCACACACCAATAAGCCTGTTTTTTTAATTCTTAATGTAGGACTGCTGGAGTTGGATTTGCATGTGCCGTAACACTTTTACCGCTACGTTTTAAGTCATTTGTATTAAAGCCAGTATTATACTACCTTGCAAGAGACCTGATACCTTTAGAACCGATTTATTTCTTTGACAACACCAAGCCACCACAACCACGCATGGAGTTTTATTGGCAATATTCTAAATTTTGCAGATTTCATTTTAGACTTTTGACAGCAATCGATGTTGTAATTTTAGAGTTGGAATTCGGATTGAAACTATTTTATATATTGAATTTTGATATAGATACCGTCGTTATTCTTAGCAACTCTACCTTATCAGCTATAGGAATTGTTGTATCACTATCAACCATTGGATATATACTTCAAATTAGGAAGAGGCTAAGAAAAGATGAACCCCAAATGTTAATCGACGCTCAGGCCGATACCAACGGAGTGTGAATTTAACATTTGTTTTGTCGATCCTTTTATTTTAAAACTTGCTTATGTGTGGGTTTCATCTGTTTAATTTTCCCTTTCTTTTAACTCTTGCTTTTTTTTTAAAAATGTATAATATAAAGAAAAGAACTTGGAAACTTCTCATCGGTCTCCTTTCCATATCAATTTTGATTTATTTGTTGCAATCATCGCCATTTTCAATTAAGGAAACCATCAAAGCATATAATCCGCACGGGGTTGTACAAGATATTACACAAACAGCGGCTGTAGGAGATGAAAAGAAAGCTTTTGTTACGTTTCTTTGCGACGATATTATGGTAAATCTAAATAAATAACGTGTCTTTCCGTCCTGTTTATCATTATTTTCATTTAACAAAGGGCGAAGCAACTGAAGTTTTGGTTTATTCTCTAAAGAATACAAATACCAGTCATGACATTGTTGTTTTGGTACTTGAAGACGTTACACATAGTGTTAGAAGTAGATTGGAATATCTCGGCGCAAACGTTATTGATGTAGAGCATGTAATAGATATAGCTAAGACATTTATTTTCATTACAATCTGACAACATTTTTTTTTTAGATAAAGTACCCATGGGACTCAAGTTCTGCAAGAAGAAAGGGGTTTAATAAAGCTTGTCGTTACTCCAAACTTAATTTATGGAGTCTAACGCAATATAAAAAGGTAACTTGCATAAATTATTGCGCCACAATTTAACATATCTGTTACAATTTTTAGGTGGTGTTTTTAGATGCGGATACAATGGTTGTTAATGTAAGTACGTGCACACTAGAAAAATAATTGAAAAGTTGGATGCCAACAGTTTCATGTAGCCCATCGATGAATTGTTTGATTATCCAGAGTTTACAGCCGTTGTAGACATCGGCGGTGTATTAAATACAGGTGTATTTGTTGCCGAGCCCAGCATGAAAACTTATCTAGATATCATGGATACCTATGAAAGTTCTCCAAGTTACAATAAGGGCGATCAAGGATTTCTTAACTATTATTTTAATCAGTCCGTACATCATTTACCTGGAAACTACAATCTGATGGTTAAATTCACGGTAATTCAAATATGTATTGGTATATATATTATGTAGTCATCGTAATAATGTTTCCCTTCAGCATTTTTCGACATTAGCATCAAGTTTTATAACACGAAACACCGTGAAAGTCTTACATTTTACGAGCGAAACAAAGCCTTGGAATTTTTATTTCTTACACCATAAAGAATGGAGAGAAAACTATGATGGATACCTGTTTGGGCTCTGGACACGCGCATTAAGACAGATGCGACATCAATTAACTACCGGTAAATATTTCGTTAAAGTGTATTTTTGCTTTTCAATGATTAAACTAAAAAATTTCAAGGCGGCTTATGGAAAAATGACTACGGCCAAGAGAATACCATTTGGAAGAATAAAGGACGTGTACAGGAAATATGTGATCGTACGCTTCCACGGACATATGGACGCTACTATCCAAAAACCTCCCAGTTTACTGTCATTTTAAATCTTCGTAACTCTGACATCAGTATCAAATATCTTGAAAAGCTGTTACGTATGTATACTTCGTCCAAAAAGGTAGCACGAATACTTATTGATGGTAACGTGATTAAGGCCGAAGATGGGAAAAGAATAACTTTGAATACTGCGTATTTTCGCAGTCTTCACTTGAGTAAATCTGTTAATATCGTTGCTTCTAAAAAATTCAAGTCGATAAACAACAGATTCAACCCAATGAGAGGCATCACCACTCACGCAGTTTTTCTTGTAGACGGAAATGTAAGTCTTGGCCCAACACGAGAAACAAAGTTAATAAACTTTTTTAAATTTACTTAGGTCCTGACTTCTGTTGAAGATCTCGAGTTTGGATACGAAATCTGGAAAAAGAATCAAGATGCTATAGTTGGGTTTGAATCCAACTCACACACTCGTTTAGGAAAAAGCCAAGAGATAGTTTCCGATCAAAGTTTACGTTACAGCATGATTTCATCCAAATCAATGTTCATAAAGTCCGATTTTTTGTATGCTTATACATGCTTGATACCAGAAGAAATCCATCATTATATTGACAACAATCCAATTTGCCTTGATATTGGAATTAACATGCTTGTCAGTGGTATGACAGGAACAAGCCCTATATTAGTCAAAGCCTCAAATTTTGTAATGTTCCAAAAAGCAGATACCCACACCAAGCAGCTTTTAAATTGTTTAAATGATCTCAGCAAGCTTTTTGGCGGCGAAAATCCCTTGATTTTTACTAATGAACTCGTAAAAAAAATATCTAGTAATGATATAATTACTCCCGTAGCATGGGATACATGGGAAGAAAATGTAGAGTTGAGTAAGAAATCCGTTTCTAAATAATTATTTATAATAAAATGGCTAGTATATATCAACTAATTTCAGGTTGTACAGAATGTGTTATTGTCATGATGGCATCACCACCACAGAGAGCTAGAGGGAAAAGAAAACCCGAGAAGACCGAGATTCAGTCATGAATCGATCATCATTGCATATAGTAGTACAATATGGTCATAAGATTTTCGCTTTCAATACCTCATAGCCACAATTTGATAAGGGTAAGGGTTCCAGAACACGAGTCCACATGATGTCCCCAAGCAGGCGCAGGCCCATACTACAATTTTTTTTGTGTCCGACCTTCAATTGATCTTACAAATATCATAATGAGGAAAATAACTAGACAACAGATGACTTTAAATAGAAAAACGTGTCGAAAAATGATCTCTAGGCAACACAATGGTAAATATAGATGATCACAAGTCTGTGCACGCACAGGGTGCGTCGGGAGCTTTCAATGCCGATTTGTATAACCCCACCTTTACAGATGATTAAGTGGATCTACACTCTTAAGAACATACTTATCGTATGTTTCTTCAGTTTCTTGGCTTGTGTTCCGCAACATTTGTGGTTATGCGTGGAACAAATAAATCAGTAAAATATCATCGTGCTTAATGCACACAGAGATTTTCGTAGTAGCGTGATCAATTGACAAGTGAAAGTCAAAAAATTAAAGCTAGGTTGGACTTATTTGACACAATTCTGTGTCGTATCTTGTACAGTGCTATTTATACCAAGGTATCGTATATGGTTTTATATAATAAATAAAAATAGAAGGATAAGAAGGAAAGAGTTTAGACAACCCTAAGAAACAAGGAAACTTGTAATTAAAAATAAGAAGCATATTGCCTATTTTTTTTTTTAATTTTTTTTTTTTTTTTTTTATTATTAGGGATTTTTTTGTGCAGTAGAGTCGTAAATGATGTCTTGGATAACAATACGAGCTCTTTCCTTAAAGTTCAACGCTATCTTTGAAGGATCTATCGTGGCTAAGTTTAATGCATACACTTCTTCTACGAGGTTAGGCATTGCGCATAGACGGAATTGGAGTGAATATGAAGGTTTAACAACATTAGTTATCTCCAAGCTGATATTACTACGAAAAAAAAAATACGACATTAGAGTAATACAAATTAGATGAGCTCAGTCATAATTACATGTTTCTCCATTCGTGATGTGACCATGATGTATGGTACCAGCAAATGGATCCGTGAACTGCTTCATCTACTTGATTGACTTTCCATAGCAGCCTACGCTTATCACTACCTGTTGCCATTATATAACTTTCATGTCTTTGAATAATGTCATTTGCTACATCGCACACGGTGCGTAAGCAAATAACCTTCAATTCGCGTGATAGAAATGCCTCGAACTCTGATACATTTTGCAGAATAACTGTTGTCTGTGGGAGACAGACGGAGATCGAACCTAATTGATTAAAGCCAAAATGTAACGAAGGACTATATTTAAAAAAGAAAAAGAAGATTAGGTGTAAAATTTAAGCATGAAAAGTGTATACAATTACCCCTTGAGTATACTAATACCCAGACTAAGTGCAATTTCACTATTACCCGGATAGGCGTCATATGTAAGTTTTGAGTAACTAGGCTTAGACAACAAAGGATCGTGAAACTTAAAATGGACCGAGATAGTCAGACCACCATTTCCACTAAATGGGCTTGTCATAGAATGAACAACATGCCTAATTCGGTCGAATTGTACCCAGAATTTTGTGAGGGACATGATTGGCAACAATATGGGAATTTCCTTTGGGAGAACACGGGTCAGTTGACTGTGTGATGTTAATGCTACTCGTGCACGGTGAAAAGGGATATTCGAGGTATTTGTATTGGGCACCGGAACAGAATTGTTTGTGCCGACTGTATTACCAAGATTATTGTTCACATTACCATTGTTATTAGTTATATTATTATTAGCTGGGTTGTTATTATTTGCACTTGTAGGTGCGTTGTTTGCCGTGTGATTGATATTGCTGGACTCATTTAACAATAGCAATTGTTGTATTTTATGATTAGATGATAATATCTTGGCACGGTCTTTCCATAGGTTAAATTTGTGATGCTGTAACAGCAATAGTCGTAGTGAAGCATCGATATTACGACTGATGATTTCTTGTGTTGACCCACCGTTTGAGCATTTGGAATTACTAGATGATAAAGATTTCGAAACGGACAAATCAATTTGCCCATCAATATTGATAACAATTTCATCATCTAAAAAGCGCACATTACTGTTTAATGCCTGTGCTTCCGCTAGAACCTATATATGGTTAAAATGAAAATTATTAAGGAGTTGGGAGCCAAAGAATTAATTTACATGCCTTGGAATATAATTCGGCATCAAATACAGTTGATTGAGCTTCTGCAAGTTGATTTTGTATATCACTATGTGCAGTTCTTGTATTGGATCTGCAAGAAGTGCTATCATCTACAAATCCACTTTAGCATACATTCTCCCTTTTTTTTTCTTTTCTTAATTTACCTTGATTATTTCCTGCATCTGTAGAAATTCCTAAGATGCCTTCTGAAAATGCATCCTGCCCTAAACCTAATTTACCAGTATGACTCTGACTGACGCGCACACCTACTTTACGTGCCGTACTATGGGGTAGAGCCATTTGTAATTTATTCGAATTATCTCCTGAACGTTTTAATTCACCAACAGATGCCTCATTAAAGTCAGATCCAACTAAGTAAAACTATGTCAATCATTGCGTTCTCTAAAAAATGTTATCCCTACCTTCTGTAAACCCATACTGCACAGAAATTGAAGACCCTCCCGGTTGCGGGTTTGCCTGCATCATCCAGTTATTTCGTCTAATATCCAATGCTTCATCCCAGAATACCTCTTCCTTTTCCACAATCTTTTTTAAGGAAAATGCACTCCTTTTTAAAAAATCTGACGCTTGTTTTTGTTTCTGATAAAAATGTCAATGCTTAATCAGGGCGCGACTACCTCTTTCTATGAGCTCACCTGTCTTTTCAAACCTAAATTCAATTGCAATGATTCTAGCTGTGCTTTTGGTGTTGGTTTAGGTTTCGTAACATATGTTGCTGCAAGCGATCCAGGTGGGACGACGAAATCCTTAGCAGCTGTTGAATGTCGATTTCCTGCCGTCAGCACATTAATAACGTCTAAGGCAACGTCAATTTCACTCTTAGCATGTCTAATGCAAGGAAAAAATTACATTAAAACTTGAACAATCATAATATTTGACTTGCTTACGATAATTTATTAATGACAGATTCCCGAAGTTTGCCAATGTCATAACCAGCAGGTGGTAATTGGACGGATTGTGGTGCATCTTGCTCTTCATCAGAATCTGTCTCAACTAAGGTTGGCTCCTGACTGTTCAAAGATTGTGATAGAGACTTTTCCGTGATGTCTTTCCATTCTCCCCTTTCAAACCAGATGCGATCGACTGATTGCATTAGTTTTTCTGGCAATGTAGTCTCACTAGTAAGGCAACAGAAGAGGTTAATTTATGTTTTCGATTGTTTGCGCGTTTTACTACGTTTTAAGTATCTCTTGTCCTTCATTCGTTATGTCAACGACATTATTGTCAATTGAAGGTTCTAGAGACAATTTTAATTTCTTTCTTATTGGTTCACTCATATTATTCAACCGAAACAAATTAAATCAAAACACGAAAAAAGGAAAAAGAAAATAAAATAAGCTTAAAAAAAGGTCACACGCATTCTAGGAGTGTGATTTATTATTGTTTCACACATTGTGGACATTGGTAAGAATTTGCAGATTTACTATACAAGCCATGAAGCTGACACTTCTTAAAACAACGTTCGCAAAATTCTTCTGGGTTTTTTGTTAATGCTCTATTACAAATGGGACATTCTATTCTACAAGCTGTACATTTCCATTTATTATCTAATTCTTTGCCACATTCACCGCATACGGCTTTTGTTTGTTGATTGGAGTCTTCTTCGTCGCTGGATAGAGAGGATTCTTCAGATGTAATAGCTGACATTGTCGAAAGTAAATTACAGGCGTGCTTCATCCTGGGCTTGTATCTGAGACAACACAATCTAGGGACGAACGACTCTTTTATATTTTTAAGCATGAAATCGAAATTTCAGTATAGATTATTCCACATGTTTCTAGTTCTTTTTTTGTCTATTGAAACATTACCAATAGATGAAATAGCACAGACAATGGGAAATAAAAAACCCCTTTTCGAAATCGCATACCGAGGGGTCATAGCAAATAAACAACAAGAAAATGTATGTATAAAAGGATACCCCTCACTAGAATTTTTTTATTTTTAATAGCTTTTCTAAATAATATGGACAACAACACAGGAATTAAGCATTCAGACACGGATATTACCCTAGTAGAACCACCAAAGATACATAATATTATGCACAGCTCATCTGATACTAACCTTTCGGCGGCAACACGTCAAGCTAGTTCAATGTCAAATATTGATCTTGGGATGCATACAATTCCCCCTCGTATAATAACAAAAGATGCATCCTATTCATTTATTTGGATAGATGATCATTATAAAAATCTTTCAAAGCTAGAAACTATATCTCATGATAGAAACAAAATATCCAACAAAGTGTCGAAAAGAGGATTCTGCAATCTATTTACAATCATTTTTATCATATCAATCATACTCTTTTTATTTTTATACCCATTTATTACTTTTTACATCTTGCCTATTTACAACAATAATAAATAAAATAACACATTACCATATTTGCCTGATCTTTTTTTTTTTTTTTTTTTTTTTTTTTTTTTCTTTCGGAACATCTAATCCGGGCTGTGTACCTTACGAAAACACGTAAACTTGTATCACATAAAAAAACAAAACTTTGTCCTACTCATTCGGCTAACTTGACCCTTTATGTATCACTTATTTAAGTATAAAAACCATCACTTTTTGTAATTTTTTTTCTGTACCCTCTTTTTTTTCATATACATAAAATTTCTTTTACATAACTCATCATGGATTATGATTCAGATTCAAGCGATTTCCATTTCCCAAGTGATACTGGATTAGCTAAACTCTCTTCACCTTTATCATTTAAAGTGCCAGAAAGCCATGATTGGGCTTTAGATGAGTTTATGCAAACATTATCATCCAAACCATGTATGGAATCAGACAATTTAACAAGTTTCAAACAGTATATTCCTGTGCAGCAAGGAGATGATGACTTTAATTATGGACCACCAAAATTATCCTTAGTAACCTATGAAGAGAAGGACTTTTTAACACAAATATCTCAGCATTTTGTTGATTTGGAACGCAGAGAATTACATGAAATTTTAAAAGGCGGTTTCTCCCTTGTACAAAATGATATACAGGCAAATGCAGGTGCCAGTCCATTCCCTTCTGCCCATCCTGATATTAGTTGGTTCGACGAAGCCTTGGATTACGGCCATAATCAACATAATTCGATTAGTACCTTGGAAAATGTAGACTTCCAGCGATCAAAGAGCTTTAGTCCATTTGAATCCCATCAGGGTCGATCAACAAGCACTATTACTTACCCACTAGAAGAAGAGGAGGAGGAAGACGAATCGATAATTGAAGTACAACACCAGCCAATGGAAATTCATAAGCCCTTGCCAGCGTTACCTTCGTTACCAAACTTATCAACCAGTACTACTGACACAACAAACAAAAAGAAGACTAAGGGGCTTAAACATAAACTTAAATCAAAATTAATCAAGACATTTACGCCTACAACAAATAATAACAAAAAGTCATTCTTGCAGAATACAAAGAAATTCATTACAAAAATATTCCCTACAAAAACCTCTACTAAAGATCAGTAACTAACTCGAAAAAAGCTTTCCGATGGTTTGCAAAAAATCGTCTGGAATGAACTTTGAAAAAGCAAATTGTATATAGCACACACACACACAAAAAAAAAAAAAAAAATTCTCCTTCTTTTTATATTATTTATTTATTAACACACTCCTCTTTACTCGAGATACCCAATTATTCCCCCAACCTCCCTATTTAAACTGTAAACACGTTTCCATATTTATCAATCGATTTGATAAAACCAAAGAAAGATTTATATCTTTTTTGTTACAATAAAATTTCACTTAGAAAAAAAAAATAATAATTAAAGGGCACTTTAGCTATATAAATGTGTGTGATACTAAATAAAGTTAGATTTGTATTTGTAAACAACAATTATTATTTTCAAAACGGCAGGCGTCGGCGCTGTGAAGATGAAGCTGAGGGAGGATCATCAGGGGATGCATCTCTCTTTGCACCTCTTCCTCTTCCTCTTACTTGTCCTCTTCCTCTTCCTCTTACTTGTCCTCTTCCTCTTCCTGTAGTAACCGGAGTGTTTGTTTCTTCGTAGTCATCGTCCGAACTAGCCAAAGGAGATGGCTCATCGTTGTTGTTGTTATTGTTGTCATTATTGGTGTCACCTTGCTGTGATAGTATGGGTGATACTGCATCGTTCATAATTGGCGCTGATGACGGATTGTTAGCCGATGCACTATTCTGACTTTGTTTAAGTTCTGATGCTTTTCGCTTGATGTAATCCAGTGTCAAGTCGTCGATATCTGGTGGTATATTTACAAAGTTTCCCGGTGCTTGGCTAATAATTTTATTAACGGCCCGGTTGATTGAAGTTGAATCATTCTTTTCGATGCATGACGTGACAGCTAGTTCGATCTCTGTTTCTTGCAAGACAAACATGTCTGTTTTTATTAATTCTTTAACCAAGTCCTCGATTCTGACAGAATCCAACCTTTCTGGTACTGCCAGGGTTAAATCATTCAACATTTCGGTTTGTAAGACTGGTTTTCTTCTTACTACTTTTGCTTTTTGAAATTTTAACATGTCATCTGCATTCGCTACCCGTTCATTAAACTTTCTCCCAAATTGTAAAGGGTTAAATGTTTCATAACCTCCTGTATAATCAACTCTAATTCTTATTAATGGCTTCGGCATGTCCATAGAAGGCTGAATTCCCGAATCCTCTTGTTGTTGCTCTTCCCACTCGTTTTTAGCCCTTTCAATAAGGGCTTCAATAATACCTTCTATGTAGACTTCGGTGCTTTCTCTATCATTTGGTCTTAATGAATCGACTTGGGCAAGCACAACCGATGTAAACTGAAACGGTCTAACAGTTTTCAATCGGATCTTGTCCAATTGATAAGTTCCGCCTTCAATTGTTAAAATACCGACGTGTTTAGGTTTTGCTTCGCCCTCAGACAAACTTGTAGCAACCGAAGATCCCGGTTGTGTGATGCAAAAGTTCTCATATTGCTCTGGATAAATACGACATTCGTGTTCATGTCCCCAGAATACCAAATCAAGGAATCCGTCTAAAAATTCTGCAGGAATATGGGATGTCGCCCCATGAGCCGCCCGATTTTGGTGAAGCACGAACATATTGAAGCAATTCTTCCAGCTATCAAAAGTACCATCATCTTCAGGTCGTGTAAAAGTAACTTTACCAGAACGCCATTGCCGGTGCAATCTCTCTTCTCGGATATTACCCAATCCATACAACGCGAGTTTCGATATTCCCTTTTCAAGTAAAATTGGATTTATCGTTACATCAGAAATACTTGTACCATGTCCAAAATAGTTGACCATTCCTGCTGCTGATAAAACATTTAATGGATTACACATCTCCATTCCAGACGCATCATCATGATTGCCATGAATCGAAAAGATCGGTATCTTAATATTCAAGTTTCCATCGAGGTAATTAGCTTTGGAAAAGTCTCCAAAGTTAAGTGACTGATCGCTTGCGATCCTGAGCTTGATATCTCCATCGCCAAAGCAGTGTTGTCTGATGAGCATCATCGTTTGATAAAGACTCGTTTGGGAAGGCTGAGCTTCATGGAATAGATCCCCACCTAGCAAAATAAAATCTACTTTTTGAATTACTGCGATTCTTAAAATCTCTTCAAACGCAGCAAAAGAATCTTGGCCACGAATCTGGTCTTTTTCCATATAACCTATGTGGTTGTCGGTCGCAATTAATATCTTGAACGCATTATCTTCAGCTCCTTGAGACGACATTTCGGTTTTGAAAACAACAACAAAAAAAAAAGTGTCTTCGCGCTGCGGATAAAATGTCGCGTATTATTGCCCTAAATTGTTACCGCGAAAAAAAAAAAAAAAAAAAAAAAAAAAAGTCTTAAGAAAATCGACACATATGCTCATACTCTCAAAGAGCAAACTGAACACCACATAGACACCATCTACCCGATACTATCTGTTCTACCATACATGTCTTCTCATCATAAGAATGTGACCTGTAAAGTGACCATTTTTTATTTCTTTTTATGAACAGGCAACCCCGCCCATTTCTTTTACTTCTTTTCCATTTTCCACATCATATCTATTTTTTGTTATGTTTAGGAGCTCAAGAGTAGTATGGCCATTGGTATCCCGATCGACCAAGAGCCTGGGTAAAACCTTTGTTTCTCAAAAATCAAGTGTATATAGAATACAGCCCATACCGATACTTCGATCATTCACAACCTTGGGTAATTTGACAGATATTCCCTCAACTACCCAACCAGCACCTACCCATGAAGATGAATGGAATACTTACAGCGACCGAATCAGTAAATCTAAAGAAATACCCGTAGAAGAACAGACCTTTATCGATATCGCTTCACATACTCAGGCTGATAACACTTTAAGTGGACCCGAAAAAGTACAACGGTTACAACATATTCTCCGTGATATTCATCAGCATTTGGAAGGGCAACCAGAATTAAAAAACGCATTTCAAAGAGCTTGTAACATGTTGATGTACGTGTATATCGACCAAGGCAATGTCAAATCAGCAAAACTAGTGTTCGAAGGACTTGCAAGCTCTGAGTGTAAAATCAATCTTGTTTCTATCCGGACAATGATTCATGGATTCCAAAAGCATGGTACAAAGACCGATTTACACAAATTTATTCAATCACTCGAAGCAAGAGAATTATTCCCCAGAAAATCAAGTCTTTATGTTGCCCTCATATATGCCTTTAAACATTTTAATGATATTCGTGGATGTCAGTTCTATTTTGCAGAAATGAGTAAACATGGCCTACCAATGGACGAACTAAGTATAAAAGTAATGATGGAAGTATACAGAAAAGCGAAAAAACCAGAAAGTGTATTGGATTTGTACAACACTATGAAGGAGAAGAACATGGAAATCACAGCACGTATCTACAGCATTGTTTTGTCAGCACTTTCGCATGACAAAAATTTCCATTCTGAAATGGTCAAAATCTTTGACGAGTTCAAATCGACAAATATCAAAATGACTCCGGAAATTTACATATCTATGAAGTGGGATCCACTGAAAGCTTTGCAAGATATGAAGGATAAGAACATGACACCAGAAATTAGAGATTACAATGAATTTTTGCATTACTATGTTAGAAAGAACAAGTTTAAGCAGGCTCTGGAAATGTATAAGTTGATGAAGGAAGACAAAAATGTTGAAATGGATGCGTATAGTTATGGGATCGTTATGGACGTGCTTGTCAAGGATCTCGAGCAGTCTCCGGAGTCTGTATTTGATTTATACAGAGAAATGAAGCAGCATTGTGTTAAACCAGACCCTGCTGTTTACACTTCTCTTTTATCGGCATGTAACAGAGCTCAAGATTTAGAACGTGCCATGGCCCTTTTAGAAGAAATGGAGTCGTTCAATGTTAAACCAAATGCATATACGTTCAACTCAATTCTTAGCATATTATCTACAATGGATAAGACTTCAAGTATAGATCTGGACAGAGCAAGTTTGATCTGGGAAAAAATGACTTCCTTAGGTATTCATCCCGATACACGTACTTACAACACTTACCTATCAATTATATCCAAGCTGGTCAAACCGATAGAAGAAGATAGCGAAGAGCATGTTGTAGATTCAACACTATGGGGAGAAGAAGAAAGCGAACAACATGTGCCTAGAACTGTGAGGGAAATGTTGAGAATGTATAGATACATGAGAAGAAATCATCATCACACAATTCAACCGGATTTTGCTACCTACACTATTGTAATTAACTCGCTATCTGCTGCTGGGCAATTAAGATCAGCTCTCCAAGTATATTCTGATGCAAAGATGAGTCGTGTAACATTGCCTGTTACTGCATATAACGAGCTTATGCGGGCTTTACAACGTGGGGGTAAAATATCTGAAGCTATGAATATTTGGTACGATATGAAAATTATAGGCGTACTTCCGGATACTACAACATATGAAATTGTATTGGAGGCTTGCGAACAACTGGATCTTGTCGACACCTTGACGAGCATACGTAATCAGAGAAAACAGGATTTTGCGAGATTATTAGAGTTAGACACAAAAAAAGAGAACCGCATGAAAAAACGTTATCAATAAATATACTGTCCTTTGAAACGGCCGGATTAAAACAGCATAGGGATAACTTAAAGTTGCATAGTATGTATGTATGCCCAAACTTTAGGACTTCCAATGTTAATTTTCAAAGATGTACAAGCTTTAAACAGTAACGGTTGATATTTGACTATCCTTGCTGACTTGTTATTCCAAATATTTCAATTTTCTTTTATGGTAAAACTGAATGCTTCGGCTTATTTTAATTGTGATATGAACGCTCGCATAGTCAATTTCTGATTAACTAAAACAATCACAACTGCGCACTCAGCAGTAAAAACCCGCTACCAGACGCATGATTATGCGACATGTGTTAAAATACGCAACCATCGACTTCTATTTTACTTTATTTTTAGAATAAAAAAAATCACCGCTTTAGCTGAATCACCCAAAAAATTTGAATAATAACATTCTCATTTAAACCCTACTTCCTTTACAACATAATGTATTTCTTGATCGCACAACAGTAAAAACGTCCAGCAGTGTCAACAATCACATATTTAAAAGTTACGCAATAACGTGTGTAAGTTCGAGTGAAAGGACTTTGTTTTTACTACTGCAGGTTATGGGTTTTTAATACGGGTCGCGGGTTTCTATTGAGTGCATTACTGCCTTAATGTAAAGGATCCTTGGAACTAGCTAACGAAGAACTTGACGTAAAAAATAGTCGAACTAATTGAATGTTCATTCTATACTTAAAAACAGGGCACGTTCTTTGAGATTTAGACGACACAACTAAAAACTTGGGCCGTTTGGTAACAGAGTATCATTCAACATCCGATTGTTTGTGGTGTTTTTTTGGCAAACGGAAATCGTGACTATCAAGTGGCTTGTGTGCAGCCTTTTTTAAAAAATAATGAAAGGGCAGAAAAAAATGTTATTAACATACTTTTTTATTCCTAAACAAGTTTTCAATATGGCTCAAAACTTAGATTTACAACAGGTAAAATTTAAAAATGAAGAGTAGAACTATTCCATTAAGCTTCGAGTACTAAAATTATATATCAGGTCAAGAAAGCTATTTCTGCTTTGTACAAGTATAACACTACCAAGTCCGATAACGACATGCTTGACAGCGATGAGGATAACTACGTCTACGTCCAAATTTCCACCCACAAAATTATGAACAAGGCCTCTTTGAAAAAGTCAAAGATGTAAGATTTACTTGATAAAAAAAAGTTTAGATCTTGAGACTAATTGTTATGAAATAGCGCCCTCAAACATTCCCCTTACCCTGACAACTACGAAATTTGTTTGATCACAAAGGAATCCGAGAAAGTTATGGAAGACAAGATTAAGTCAATCACACCCATTAAGAAGGTTAGTCCATTTGCTTTTATAAGTTTATAATAAGTCTAATGCTTTATATAATATTTTGTCACTAGGCTGTTAGTGTTGCCACCTTAAAGTCCACATATAAGAACTATGAAGCTAGAAGAAAGCTTTGCGATTCATATGACCTTTTCCTCGTTGACGACAGAGTTGCTCACCTTATGCCCAAGCTTCTTGGAAAGTCTTTCTTTGCAAAGAACAAGTAAGTTGTGGATGACAGTGTATAAATGGAAAAAAAGTACTTATCGTTGGATTTTTTTTTCCAAAAATAGGGCACCAATTGCTATCAAAACAACCAACTTAAAAAAATCAATTGAAGCTACCTTAGAAGCTACCTTCGTAAAGTTGAACAATGGTGTTAACACGTAAGTTGTGATGTGAAGATAGATATATACAGATCTCTAATAAGTTTGTTTAGCCTCATCACTGTTGGTAACTTTGGTATGCCTCAAGAACAAATTTTAGACAATTGCGAAGCCGCTATTCCTGCGCTTGTCAAGATTGTTGCACACGAATGGAAGCAAGTAAATTTGATTAGTTTGAAGTCACAAAAATCCCCATCTCTCCCTGTATATACTGCTTTACCCGTCGCCGAAGATGTTAAGGAGAAAAAGGCTAAAAAGGTCACTAAGGAGGTTGTTGCACCCGTTAAGGAAGCTGCACCCGTAGAAAAGAAAGCCGCCCCTGCTAAGAAGGCTGCTGCTCCCAAGACTGCCACTCCTAAGAAGGTTGTCCCCAAGAAGGCTGCTGCTCCCAAAAAGACTGCTGTCGCCAAGGAGGAAGTTGTCGAAGCTGCCGCCAAAAAGGTTGCCCCCGCTAAAAAGGCCGCCCCCGCTAAGAAGGCCGCCCCCGTAAAGGAAGCTGCTCCCGTCAAGGAAGCCGCTCCTGCCAAAAAAGCTGCCCCTGCCAAAAAAGCTGCTGCTCCTGCTAAGAAGGTTGCCGTTGCACCCGCTAAGAAGACAGAAACCAAAAAAGTAACCAAAAAGGTCGTCAAGAGCAAAAAATAGGTGCAAAACATTCCATCCTTTATATAATTTTTAAATAGTAAATAATAAAAACATCAAATCAGCAAAAAAGATTATAAAACATTGTAAAACTATAATTGCCATTACAATTCCTTCTTAGATCTGTGCTTATCATTAGAAGGAAACCATGGAATGAAGCGGCTGACAGACTGTCGGTATTTTAGATAATCTGGATATTTTTCGGAAGAAATTTTCTAAGCAGAAAAATTATGTCAGTTTTTAAAAATAATCTCACGGGAGTTGTATTACCTCGGTCAGCCATGTACTTCCTTGGAATAAGCCTGTTAATATAAGCGGCCCTGCGATTGTCCAATTTATAAAGGTACCAACGTCATTTGTTTTTGAAACCTCTTGAACTGCAGACACAGAAAAGAGATAGATCACCCACCACATGGACATCTCAGCAAAAAAATTGGCATGTCGGCTATACTGAAATAGCCCAGAGTGCCAAAGAAATCCATGTTTATAATCCCCTTTCAATTGAGATACCTTTAAGTGACTTAATAAGGCATACTTTTCTGTCTGGAATACATATTGTTGCTCGTCTGCAATCGTTTCAATCAATAGGAATGTCAAATGAGATATGATGGCAATATAATCCAATGTATTTAACGTGGTAGTGCGAACTCCTGTTGCCGAATTTAAAGAATTAGTGATATATAATGGTGTGACCATAAGAAGCAAAAGGTAATCCTGAAATGGTGCAATAAAAACGATGTTCAAAAGAGCCATCAATGGTGCACCGAGCTTCTCACGAAGATATGGATATCTGTAATCTTGACCAGACCAGTAATAGCCGCCCTTTCTAGCGAAGTTATACGTAAGACGAGTTCCCCAAATTGAAATTAGAATAGCTGCCGCTAGGAGTCTGGGATGGAACGAATTGTTCAAAACGTAGTCATGAATAGTAAAGTGCCATGCATATATGGCAGGAAGAATGGACCAGGCTTTGTCTAAAGCACAAAAAACATGTTAATATTTGCGCGTTATTATCTTGTATTGATATGTTTACCAACTTGGCTGTAATTTTTTGTTATTTCAGACATTACATAATGAATTACAATAAGACCTGTCGTGAAATATAACGCAGATACCAAAGGATCCGTATTTTTATAAAATACGATTAACTGAGTGGGATTTTGAACGAGTGAAAGAATAGAAGAAGTAATATTCTTGTTAGAAAGCAAGCTATCAAATGCCTTGCATACTATTTCCCAAGTATATTCCCAGGTAGCACTTATAGGGAAGTTTGAGTCAGCACGATTGTGTATATTTATCATAATTTATAGTATAAATGTTTAAAAGACCCACAGAAAAAAAGGTTTCTCTGATTTCTTTTAAATACGATCGTGACTGCCCAGAAATCGATCGATCGCACAAGCGATTTTACCAAAAAGGCAGTGCCACGCAATACTTCTTTTACTGTAAGTGTCGTCATTACCATCAGATTTTTTAAAAATTACGTAAAGGGTAACAGTAATATACAATACATACTCCAGACTTTCAGAAAAGAGTTAAATCAGATCATACTCCAAATTTTATATATCAAACAAAAGTGAATGACAGCGTGCTTATGAAGGATGCAAGAACTGTTAGGAATTTGACATACTCTTTGAGGCTGTTTAGTAAAGTTAAATATGAGATCCCTACAATGTAGAAGTCAGCTACGGATTTGATTTTTCAAACAATTAGGTAAAGTATCATCTTAGTTTTTTAATGGAAACATTTCTGAGTAGAAATGCATAAGATGCATAAGTTTAATCACTTGTGTGACATAGTAACATGCCACTTTCGACCGCCGTTTTATTCAATGTAGAAAGCTGAATTTTCACAATTGAGACGAGCGTTAACGTAAAAATACGGTTGACTGTGCTACTCAAGCCACGTCCTTAAATATCTTGATAACTCGTTCATGCATAAAAAAACTCAAAAAATTAAAACCACCCAATTCTAACATAGTACTTTCGATAATTTTTTATTTTAACATTTTCATGCGGATAACTTCTACAGTTTCAAAGGAAACAAAAAAGCAAACCGCAAAAAACACTCTTGAATTTGTTTAATAGAAAGTGGTAGGACGCTTGGCGACGAAGAGAGCACGGTGCTTCTTCTCGACGTTGGCAAGACGATGAGGCAAGGGGAAAGAGAGCTTGGGGGTCAAGAGTTGCTTGATGTAAGCACGACGAACATCGGCATCCTTGACTTCAGCAACACGAATGATTTGAACAGATCTGAAACGAGCACGATGACGGGCAGCCATGTCTTGGTCTAAAATATATATTATGAGTTACATATCCCAAATTGCAAACATTTTTTAAATACATACAACAGTGTTCAACGGCTTCGCAACGAGTCATTTCACGGTATTCCTTGTACATGTTGTGGGTACCGGAACGAGAATCGTAACGGATCCAGACACCGAAGTTCTTAACTTGCTCAGGACGCTTCTCGGAGATCTTAAAAAATCAAAAAAAAAGTTAGAGCAATGTCAATAATAACAATAATAGACTACGTACGACGTTGACAGCAACGATCTCACCGGCGGCCTTCTTGACCTTACGGAGCTTCTTCAAGAAGTACCAGAAACGGGACTTAGCGACAACAACGTTGGGAGCGAAAATACGCATACGGAAGAGCTTAGGGGCAACTTCTTGAGCGGAAGGGAGCTTACGTCCAACCACCTGATATTCGGTGAACTGATTTGGTAGAAATTAAATTAGACATTATATTTGGAATTGAAATTGGTTAAATGAATTTGGTCAATCTGGGGGAGTTGGAAGTCGTTTGCTTCGACATGTTGTAATTCCACAAATTAAATTTCAAAAAGCATGTGGTGCGTTTGTCGTTTTTGCTAAATACTGTATATTCATTCATAATGCACTTCCATGAGTCGTAAAATGGCGAGATATGATGGATGGATGGATGGATGGATGAATTATATGGTGTTGTTTTTATAACCTGGGCTAAAAGGAAAAAAATGCTGTACATCCATCTACTGCTTCGGTATATTTGATATGTTTCCCCAGATTGATTCATTTCTAGTATATTTTGAAATGCTATACTTACTCTAGCCATGTGCCTTGAAGGAAAGAAAGGAGGATCACAGTATGCACCTTCCACCTCCCTTTGATAGCGATAGCTCCCCCGATGAAAAATAGAGCGGCACATGAAATTTGAACGGGGTTATTGATTAACCGCTCACCTGTCCGGTATATGTCCGGTTCTAGTATCATTCATAACGGTTCCAACTTCATTTTACTGCTTTTGATAAAATGCCTGAATAGGTCACCACCAACAATTGAAGAATGCCATATGCAGCGTCCTGAGTGTGAATATGATATTGTCAAACATCACAAACATATATATCAAGCATAATGATAAGGCAGATATTAAAAATAGCAAACTTGTCAAGAAAAAAGACATCAGAGGGCATAATATAATCAAGACTTAAGATACATCTCTAAAAAAGAGTTCGCCCCATACTTATTAAGAAGGAAGAATAAAAAAAGTATTCGATAAATAATTAACTTTTATTGTCCCATTATTGTTATGTATGGACTTGAACGTAATTTTGAGCCACATAACCCATTTCATTTGTCAATGCGTTTAACCTGGCATCAAACTTCGTTGCATAATACCAACCGTCGGGTCTTATTTCTGTAACTGCTAACCAAGTACCTCTAGCATATTGTAACTCATCAGATTTTCCACTATACCAATCCCCGATTGCTATAGCCCAGAATAAGGTTGGCTGGTGACCCGATTGAGGAGTGGTAGATGGGGGGCTATATACGCTACCACCGGAATTATGGTATGCATGACTGGCTGAATTTATAGATTGTCCAACTGATGGTAAAGTACCGTGCTGAGTAGCATATTGGTTGTGATATTGTTGCTGATGTAATTGCTGATGGTGTTGCTGATGGTGTGGCTGTTTACGGTAGAGATCAGGATTACTAATCATACCATTGTACATATCTTGCTGCTGGGATAAAGTAGTACTTACTGCTGGTTGTATTGCATGAATAACTTGTGGTGTTTGATATAACTCGGGAGGTTGATATTGCTGCTGCTGTTGCTGTTGTTGCTGTTGCTGTTGCTGTTGCTGTTGCTGTTGCTGTTGCTGTTGCTGTTGCTGTTGCTGTTGTTGTTGTTGTTGTTTTTGTTGTTGTTGTTGCTGCTGCATCGGTCTTCTATCACGCTGTGATAATCTTTTTATTGAAGCCTTTTTTTCGGGCACCCCTATGTTTTTGCTAGTTTGTGATGAGCTGCCATTTCCATTCTTGTCGAAGACACCCAATTCCTCTAATAAACTTTGGTAGGAGAAGTTACATGCGGCTTCCAAATCGGATGAGGCTTGACGTCTCCTGGTTGTAGTCAAACGACGAGTGCTGGAAACAGGCTGGGTTTGATCAGATTTCTTGTCGTCTTGTCCAAGGTGCCCCAAGTCAAACATGTTATTACCAATAGCAAAAACAACCTTAGCACGTGGATCGATTGTTATATCCCCGTCCTCTTCATTTTTTGTTATTGCCCTGTTTCTTCTTACAGGCTGCTCCTCTTCTTCGTCGGATGCTGATGTTGTTGAAGAGGAAGATATATCAGGTACGATAATAACAGGTGGTGGTGGGTTCGGCTGTTGTGATCTGCTACTGTAGTTCTCATGAATAGATGTTCTTCTTTGATGATTTGTCTTTTGTTTTATTAATGGAGTTGAAATAGATGGTAAAGGCTTGATAGCAATTCGGATAGAAGATTTTCTTTTTTCATTAGTGCCCTTACTAAGTGTAGTCGGTTCTACTAAGGTGGAAGAAGCAGCAGTCATAGACCTTACTCTTTTAAGAAGTGAAGATTCATCGGGCAAAACCGTGGTAGGATTTCTAACGGTTAATTCTGGTTTGGGATGTGATTCAGATGGAGAAGATATACTTGCTAACAGCTCTGTGGGACACGGGAAATTAGCAACTGTGTGTTTTTGAAAAGTTTTTGCCGGGTCATCCATGTAATCCACAAAAATCTCTGGTTCAGGTATATTGGGGCCAGTCCCCTTTTCATTAATAAATATTTGGATATCATTTATGGGATCATATTGATCCAAGGATTTCCAAAAGCGTTCGTACGACTGTAAACAAGTTGTTACTACAATAGTAATGTTTTGCCCCCTCCTTTGTTTTTGTCAATTACCTCCTGATCTTGACTTGTAGCACTTGAGAGAACATTAATAAACATTGAGAAACTATGACGAAGAAATTCTAATCTCTTTTGTTCCATTCCTTGATATGTCTATATTCAAAAAAATTTAATACAATTATTATCGTTTATGCAGATTTAAAACGTACGTCGCAAGTTAGCTTCCAAGTTTTATTCCAAGCGTTAGTGGCATCCGCAACCTTGATACAAGCATTTTTATATTCTTGTTCTTAAAATTATATTTTATTAACTAGTTATCAGAAATGTATCTTTATCTGTTTACCTTGAACTTTTATTTCATGTTGTGTTCTATCAATTCTTTGCTTGATTCTTTCGGCTTCACGACCTGATGAAGTCGTTACTTGTGTCTGTAGTGTGATCAACTTGGCACAATCAGACTCATATTTCTCTTTAACTTTTGCCAAGTAGGCCTCATTTGATTGTTTATAACGATGTGCTTTTTCAACATTTGTATGAGTTAGTTTTCGTCTGTCTTTTTGCTCAAGTATAAAATTATCAAGATCAACTTCCAGTCGAGTCTTAAGTTTCTGGGCCAAATTGAGATGTGCTTGTGCTATCCACTCTGTCTCTTTATGAGCCGATGACAGTAGTGCTTGAAGTGTTCTAACATATGAATATTTATTAATTTATTTAGTTTAGTATCAGGAAATTACTACATACCCAGTCTCTTCACGACCCATTCCAACTTTGGCATGTTTCATTAATTTTCGTCCAAACTCTTCATGAAGAGAAGCTCTGTATCGATATTAAGTAAACGGCGGAGTAAAATCAAGTGGTTGCTTTACCTGATATTATAAAATGACTTTACTTCGTCAAATGTCTTTTTAGTACTAGTCATCTTAGCGGTGAGTACGTGGAAACCATCGTCTTTTAGGCCCTAGTATCAGATGTAAGTATGTTATTGAGTTACATTAAAAACTATTTTAAAAGGGTATACCCAAAAGTTATTAGCAAAAATTTGTTCCGTCATTGTTTTATTGAGCAGAAAAAAGAGAGCATAAACAAAAAAGTGAATGCATTTCTTAATAAAAACAAAAAACTACCTTAAATGGAAATACAAATAATACAGTTTTTCACACTTCAGATTCGGACAGTGTAATTTTCTTGGACGAATCAAAATAATTTAATATTTGCTAACCTTTTTCTGGACGAAAAAAAGAGAAACTAACAAGGTAGAGCTGTATATCATATAGTAACTTTATATCGGCAGTCTGAACAAGCATGTTTTCATATTGTTATAAGCATTTGTAGAATTCATTTTGCTCAATACATTTTATATGCCTTTTAAGGCCGCATGTGAAAATATAACTACAAAAAACTTCCTTGGCTTGATTAGACACCGTGAAGATTAAATAGTACTTGTCTTGATAGAAAAACAAGAATTGTGTAGTAATTGTTTGGTAATTCTGTCTTAATTGTTTTTACACTTGCCTGGAATTTATGATTTCACGGCAATATAAGGATTACGACGCGTGGCTTATTGGATTATTGATTCTATCTTATTTCGGAGTGCGCGTTTTCGCGCACCAAAAAAATATTTCTTTTTCTTTGCCTTGATATATCATGCATAGACAACCTCCAAAAAAGAAAAGACTCATTAAGAAGGATGAGCAGCCCGATTTTTACGAATCTGACGCCCAAAACATCCAAAAGGATCGCAGCGTGTCTTCTGACAACACTAAAGAGATTCAGCAAGAGACATCAACCTCTCAACCTCAAGAAAATCCTTCTTCGACAGCTTCAATTCGAGAGGACCCCAGTACAACACCAATAATCGAAAAAAGCTCTACTGATACATCTCCGTCTAATTTGACATCCTCGTTGGATATAAACTCGACAAGTTCCCCTATACCAGTAGATAGTCCTATTACGAATCCAACACCTGTAGAGAAATCTACAAATTTTACACCGGAGCCAATGGAAGAGAGTAATGAGGATAACAATAAAAAACACGAACCCAGACTTGTAATGAAAAAAATGGTACTGAACGATTTCAAATCGTACGCTGGTAGACAAGTTATTGGGCCTTTTCACAAAGTATGACCACAATTTACGATTCAATTGTCATAATACTCATTTTATCACTCTTATTTGTAGTCCTTCAGTGCCAGTAAAGTATTATATTTGCAGATAAAACAGTTTCACACTAGTAACCACATTCCTTTCAATAGTTGTTGGGCCTAATGGTTCAGGCAAATCAAATGTCATTGACGCTTTACTTTTCGTATTTGGTTACAGAGCAAATAAAATGAGACAAGGCAAATTATCAGAGCTTATCCATAATTCAGCAAAATATCCCAATCTACCCTCCTGTAGTGTTGAAATTCATTTTCAAGAAATTATTGATGGCGAGAAACCCAACGAATGTACTGTTGTTCCTGGTACGCAACTCGTTGTATCCCGTCAAGCCAGTCGAAATAACGCCAGTAAATATTTTATCAATGATCGAACCAGCAGTTACGCGGAAGTCACGACACTTTTAAAGGCAAGAGGCATCGATTTAGATCATAAGCGTTTCTTGATCTTGCAAGGTGAAGTAGAATCCATTGCCTTAATGAAAGCAAAAGCAAAAGACGGAAACGATGATGGGCTGTTAGAATACCTTGAAGATATCATTGGAACATCGAAATATAAGGGCCCCATTGAAGAAGCAAATTCGAAATTAGAAGTATTAAATGAAGACCGTGCTGAGAAGTTAACTCGTGTTAGATATGTTAGCAAAGAAATGGATGGCATGGAAGACAAAAAAGCAGAAGCAGAGAATTACTTGGAAAATGAGAATGAATTGGCAAGAAAGAAAAATGAACTGTACCAGGTCTATTTGAGCGAAGCAAATGAAAACATAACTGTGGCGAATCAAGCCGTTGAAGAATTAAATGTAAAACTTCTGGCTGAAGCAAAGAAGTTCGAATCCATTGAAGCTGAAAAAGCTGAAATTGGAGCCGTTTATCAAGGGTTTGTTAGAGAGTATAGTTCAATGGAAGCCGACACAAGCAAACTCATCAAGCATCAAGCAAAAATCGAGAAAGATGAAGTTCAAACTCGTGAACGCAAGGAACATTTGCTTAAGCAGAAAGAGAAAGGAAAAGCCTCTTTAGAAGCTGATCGTGCTGCCCGCGTCGCTGCACAAGAATCAATTAAAAAGAACACGGAAGAATTAGCAAAGAGAAAGAGTGAATTGGTGGATCTTGAAAAGCAGTTTAAGCAAGAGGAAAAAAAATTAGATACAATCAACAGAGAATTGAAGGGCAAAACAGATGGTTACTTGGCACAAATAGAGGAACATCAGAAGAAATTGGTGCCTTGGTCAGAAAAAATCAATAACAAACAAAAAGCCATTGACCTCAAAAAGTCAGAACGGGAAATTTTAGCTGAACGTATTGTGTCAGGCGAAAAGGCTCTCAAAGAAGCAGAAGAGCAAGTCAAGAAATTAAATCAATCTGTGACTGAGAAAGAAAAGGAACTTAACAAGTTACCTAGTAAGATCAAGGAAATTGAAATTGAAATCAAAGAATTGGAAAGCTTCGTGGCTAGTATCGCTGACAAAGAAACTGAGAAGCGTGCCAATTTAAGTAGTGCACGCCAAAAGGCTGAAGAAGCAAGGGCATCGATGCAGCAGTCTCAAACTAGAGGAAAAGTGCTAGACAGTATCTTACGAATGCGAGACTCAGGTCGTATTGAGGGCATTTATGATCGCTTGGGTAGTCTTGGTGTAATTGATGACCATTATGACGTAGCCATTTCCACTGCCTGCCCCGCCCTTGATAACATTGTTGTTGAGACTGTCGAAGCAGGACAAGCCTGTATCGAATACTTACGAAAGAACAATTTGGGACGTGCGGTGTTTACCGTTCTCAGTCAACTTCGTAATCAAAATACACGCCAAATCAATACCCCTGAAAATGTGCCTCGTCTTTTTGATCTAGTGGAACCTAAAGATGAAAAGTTCTTACCCGCATTTTATAGCGTCCTTCAGGATACTCTTGTAGCAGATAATATGCGTCAAGCAAACAACATTGCGTATGGTAATAAACGTTGGAGAGTTGTTACATTGGATGGTAAATTAATCGAAAAGTCTGGTGCTATGACTGGTGGTGGTAATCGCCAATTGCGTGGTGCTATGAGCTCGATGTTTAAGGATGATGGTGTTAGTGCAGATGTTGTGGCCGAACTTGAGCAAGAAAGGGACAATCTAGAGCGGGAATATCGCAAGGCTGCCGATGAAAAGCGTGCAACTGAAACCGCATTGAGAAGAAAGAAGGAATATTTACCAAAAATAGAAATGTCTCTTGAGAAGATTCAGATGGATATGACAAGTTTGAATAGCCAGCTGGAGGATGAAAATGGTCGTTTGGAGCAATTAAGGTATGAATTTTTTGCTGTTTACAAGTCATGTTCATAAAGTAATCTATTATTTTGTAGAGCTCAAACGAAACCGAAACCTGCTGATGTTGCGCGCGAGTCAGAAATCGAATCAGAAATCGAACAGCTTCAAGCTGAAATGGCAGATCTTAAAGAACAGACAGCAGAGATTGAAGAGACAATCAGCTCTTTACACGAAGAGATTATGGAGGCGGGTGGAATGGACTTGCGTTTACAAAAGATTTGTGTGAATGATGTTCGAAAGCGGATTGACGGCCTAAACAATCGAATCACTAAAAACATGGTTGCCAAAACTAAGGCTGAAAAGGATGTGATAAAATTGGAAAATTCAATTGCTAAAACAGAAAAAGAAAGCGAGAAATTTGAACAAAACATGGCTAATTTAGATAGAGAAATAGAAGAAGTTGCAAAGAATATGGCCGATATTGTTTTAAAAGTCGACGAGGCTAAGAAGGTATTTCTAGTAAATACGTACAATCGTTTTTTATTCATTATTCTTTAAAATCAGCAAATGGCAGAGAAAAAGGAAAAAATGAACGACTTTAAAAAGGAATTGGACGAGAAGTCCGAAAGTATTAACAAACTTCGCCAATCAGAAGTCGACCTTAAGAATCAGCTCGAAGATTATTCGCGATCTGCGGCTGATAATAAAAAGAAGGCGAGTCATTGGGAGGGTCAAATCGCTGCATTGGAACTTCAGCGTATTGATGAAGAACCTGACGAACAACTTAAATTAGCAGTATACTCAGGCTCTAAATTAAAAGAATTGGTTCAATTAAAGGCACAGATAAAAATGGAAATCGCTGAAATCGAAGGTATGAAAAAAAAACAATTAGTGATCCGGACTTAATTCAGACTCTATACATAGCTTTTGTACAGAGTGCTAAGCCGAATTTATCGGTACTTGAGGAATATCGACGTCGTCGTGGTGAATACAATATTAGAAAGGGTGATCTTGATTCTGTCACATCAGAAAGAGATATTGTGAAGTCCGAAGTCGAAACATTGCGTAAGAAGCGTTTGGATGAATTTATGAGTGGCTTCAATATTATTTCTCAAAAACTCAAAGAAATGTATCAGGTAAAGCGGCTTAACATGCAGAATATGAAAAAATATTCACTGATGATTTTGGGAAATAACATAGATGATCACCATGGGTGGTAATGCAGAGCTTGAATTAGTAGACAGTTTGGACCCTTTCTCAGAAGGAATTGTTTTCAGTGTCATGCCTCCCAAAAAGAGTTGGAAAAATATTTCCAATTTGTCGGGTGGTGAGAAAGTAAGTCAAAAATAGACATTACTTGAGTAATTTTATTTAATCTTACGAAATTATAGACGTTAAGTTCTTTGGCGCTTGTATTTGCGTTACATCATTTTAAACCCACTCCCTTATATGTAATGGATGAAATTGATGCAGCTTTAGATTTCCGTAATGTTTCTATTATTGCGAATTATATTGCCGAGCGTACCAAAAATGCCCAATTTGTCATTATTAGTTTAAGAAACAATATGTTTGAATTGGCTGATAGATTAGTGGGTATTTATAAGACAAGCAATTGTACAAAGAGTGTTGCAATCAACCCAAACATGATTGCCACGTTGACAGCAACACCTACACATACCACCCCCTCATAAGCATTAATAAGCGCGTTATTGGTTACTGAAATAAACAAAATGTAAAATAATTGACACCAATAATGCTATTATAAGGGCAAAAAAATAAAATCTGCATTAACAATCAATCATTTCCCTTACGTCGAATAATTATGCATACTCCCAATGCTGGTCATTGGATCAGGGGGAGTAAATAATATATATCCGCGAGAAATAAATAGTAAACAACTTTTATGCTCATTTTTTAGGTGGATATGAATTTTTGAAAGGCAATAAAAGGAAATATTACTTTTATTAGTATGAATATAGGTTATAATATACAATGATATAATGAAGTGATAGTGAAAATGAGTTTAAATTATGTAGCAAGTATTTTATGAAAGCATCGACAGGTGTAATCTGGACTTAGGCCCAGGCACCCAGAACGGCCATCAAGGCAGCCCCAAGGTACATACAGAAAAAGCAGAAGACCTTACGAGACAACGAAGATCTACGGAATCCAACGTTGTGATTGATTTCGATACTCATAAGAGAAACGTAAGCGTTGTATAACAAAATACCAGCAGAGAGAGAGTCCAGAATAGCCTGAGCCAGAATAGAAGATCTAGGGTTAACAGTTGATCTGACACCAATACCAATTCCAATACCAATAGGAGTCATGCAGATAAACAAGAGACCCATGAGAATGGGCTTTTTCCAGCTTTTACAATTGAGATCATTAACACGTGTACCGAGGGCAATACCTTCGAAGAATTGATGGAAAATCAAAGCAATAAACAAAGTGTTGAATGATTCATTGTCTGTTGTTCCAAGTGTGATACCAATGATAATTGAATGCATAACAATGCCTAACTCCAAAATAAATGTACCAATGTTACGAAGAGATTGTTCGTTTTCCATGAATCCTGCAGAATGAACATGTCCGTCTTCGTGGATACCATCATGATTATGTTCATGAGCACTAAGATCGCGATTTGACACACCCACATTGCCTTTTTCACTGAGTTTCCCGTCAGCTGCTTCTTCGGCGTTGATGTTTAAAGTTTGGTTAGAAATGGACTTAGTAGCAGCAGCCTCTGCGTTTCTTCTAGCAATGGCATCTAAATTTGAAATAGCAGCTAATTCAATAATTTGAAGGGCAAAGGAAGCAATCATACAAAAGAGACCCCCAAAGGCATGGTACGAGTGCCATCCTTCTCCAAGACATTCGGAATCAAATCGTTCAAGTGCTTCCGGAAGCATGTGAATAAAGGCGGTAGCAATAATGACACCTGTACCGAAGAATTTACCAGCAGTAAGAGCCCAATCGCGGACAGAACCTTCTTGATGAGGGCTGATACGGAAAAGAATAATGGGAGCAAAAATTCCAACGGCGGAAGTGGCCAAGATGATAAATACCGAACCGATTCGCATAGGCATATTATAATTAAGCATAGGCTCAACATCGCAAGACTCTGATCCATGTGAATGACCACTGCTACCTGAGGCGGATTCCTCGGTGGCGTGTTCCTCTACATCACTATGCACGGACCCATCTGATAAACAAAATATATTAACATTAGTGACATTCAATGACGATATGATGCATTTGCTAAGTTACCTTCATGGACATGTTCTTGAGCATGGATTACTGTTATAAAAAATAGAGCCGCCAGTAATAAGAATATACAGGATCTGGATATACTAGTCTTTGATGTCATATTTAGATAAATTAACCAAGGAATGCAAAGATAAAAAAAAAAGAAGAAGGGAAAATAGTTTGATGTAACTTAAAAAATCCTTTAGTTTATATACCCTCTCTTTTTTTTTCTTTTTTTTTTTTCGAGACCAGTGGGGTCCTCATTTAATTCGCATGTACCCTAAAAGTCAAATGTTTCGTATTTTTTATCCAATAAGAGCTAAAAATTTCTAGAAAAAAGTCACTTTTTAACTTGGAAGGTACACAACTATTACTTCTCAACCTTCTATTTTCCATCAAATCTCACTTAATTTCCTTTTAGTGTCATCACGATTAGCATCTTCCATTATGTTTGTTGTGGTGAACACAATCATCCAATTTTATTACGTATATCAATGTTGCTGTTAGTATGCTATTCGTGGGTTTTAAAAGTAACACAATCATACTTATGGAATTTGGTGTTTCTCGAAATAGATGGCAGAAAAATCGCCAGAAAATTGATATCATGAGTTTGAATTAAATTGGTGCTTTTTTTTTTCGCCTGCTTGTCCTACTTAAATTGCAGTATGCTGTTAAATACCTTTTGTAAAGTAGACATGAAAAGTTCTACAATGAGGATGTACAGTTGGGAGATAGAATTCAATTGCAACGTGGCTATAATAAAAAACCCAGGAAAACAGTAAAAAAAATACTCTTTATCAGAATGCAACCGGAACCTGATAAGTTAGATCCATCAGCAAAATTATTTAACCATAACAAAAGCCTTGCCAAAGATATATATACATATATACATATATATCTAATGTTTATGTTTGGTGATCCTCAAGATCATAAAAGTGACGGGACAAACTAATATGTCAAAGGTTTAATATTTCTTGATCTATAAAATAAATGTAAATACATAGTGCATCCAAGCCGAAGCTTAGATTGATTACGATCAAGCCAGTTTGGCTCCAAAAGGTTTCCTTTTAAAAATTTCACATACTCATTAACTCTCTATTTAAAGTTCTTTTCATCTTTCCCTCACGGTACTTGTCCGCTATCGGTCTCTCGCAAATGTTTAGCTCTGGTGAGATTTACCACCCAATTTAGGCTGCATTCCGAGACAACCTGAAAATGTATCATAAAAAACAACAGCTCTGGCCGAAGACGGGGTTCTCACCCTCTATGATACCCTGTTCCAAAGGTCTTTTTTACCACGCGTGTCAGCAAAACACATCGTGATAGTTTACAATCAGGTTTAACTAGGCCAGTCAGGTTCCGACTTCGAGCTCTTTCCTCTTTACTCGCCGTTACTAGGTAAATCACACATTGTTACTTTCTTTTCCTCTGCTTATTGATATGCTTATGTTCAGCCTGATTTCAGACCAAATTATAAAAAGCTATTTTAGTAGCCTCCGGTTTCAATTACGTAGTTGCACGTAGACTTAAAGCGCCGCAAAAAATCTTTCGATTAGAAGGTTTAATGATCATCTACAAACATACAGTCAAAAAATTTTTGCCAGTTATGTTAAAGACAACCAATGAAAAAAAAAGAAACCCCATCGGTAAACTTCCAAAGCCCATCCTTAACTAAAAAAAATTATAAATGTGAGGTAGTTTTTGATACTAAAACAGGAGGCTGACATAAAGACCAGTTACCGTGATATGTAAGGTGCTAATATTAATAAACAACCCCACTAGTTACATTATAAAAGGAAACATATTGCTTCATTGATTCTCAATAAAAGAATCTTCAATGTCTTTACCCTCTCGGGCGGGCTAATTACAGTGAATTTTCTATGTCATCCATTTGAATACGAAAACCACAACTTACCAAGTAATATGAACAGTGACTTATCTTTGAGAAACAATGCCTTGATCATGAATGATAAGAGAGTTCTCATATAATTGTTTTATATCAGGTTTTTTTAAAAAGAACTCTGGGTATTTCTTAATGTATTTGATTCTACCAGTTTGCTGTTAATGTTTCCTTTTGTCACATACATAATGTTTGTTTATAGAAACCTGAAAATGCTGGTATACATCTTAAGGCAATTGGTTTTCTTCAGAAAGTCGATAGTAAGCCTTATTGCTGTATACTAAACTTTTTTTCCAAATCATCAGACTTCTTTATCGTCTTATTAAAGGAACACATAATTTTTTTTTATTGCAAATTGATGATAATCTTCAAAGTTTATAATTGTTTATTTATATTAACCGGTTGGGGGTAATTAGACTACTACCTCTTTCTAGCTGCAACCACTAACAAAAGTCCTCCAGAATGTCACCGAAATATATCCAGAAAGGTAGCAATTATAATATAAATATTGCCCTTGTTGCACTACCGGATTGGCTAACAAATAAGATTAAGTATGTCGCACTTAAAACTAAAGGTGTAAAAGTGTTGGATTTGTGCTAACTCGGGAAGCAATTTCCTAATTTGTTTCGCTAGATGATGTTAATTCTTGAATTTATCAAAAAAATCAAGCTCTGAAAAACGATAACAATATTAAGTCAGGACAAAATAGCATAGAAAGTTAATCGTATCGGTAAAACGGTGTAAATGATGTTTTAATATTTTTCAATTTTATTAAGACTGAATCTCAAAAGAAGGTATTAAGGCGAACGTGAGCATGTTGATGTTGTACTTGAAAGCATGGGACTGTTTTTATGCTATCGACTATCAAATATACAAGTTGATTTGGTTTATGTAAGAAAGTTGCTTTTTTTTAAAAAAATACTGTTTCATGGTGTTACTGAATGGCTACCAATGCCAATAACTTTGCATGACAATATTATCGCAATTTATGAGGTATGACAATTTATGCAAAACAGAGCTCAGCTGATCACTTAATATCCATAAAAAAAAAGTACAGTACAGTGCTCACGGTACCAATTTTTTTTAACCGGCGTAAAATGGCCACCTAGCCACCTTCTCTTTTTTTATACAGCGTAAAATGGCCACTGGATATTTTTTTATTATTTTCAAAAGTGAGTATTGGATTACCACCAAGAATCACCACCTTTGATTTGGTGACTATACTGCTGCAATAACTATCGGGATCGTTTAACACATTCTCTTCGACATCGAAATTTGTTAAAATTCCTGGTGTTTTTTGTCAAGTCATGGCGAGAATATACTTCAACCTTATGACCTATGTCTACCACCACTTCACGTACGGACTTACTCGACGATAAGAACAACTTGATGTTGTCCGGATTGGTCGACAATCCGGCATAATCAATTACAACAAGGCGAATTTGGCGAGAGGATTTTGTAATCTTGGTAATCAAGTCTTGAGTGTTACCAGAGCGATCTTCGAAAGTATACAGTGGAGTTGTTGCATCCCTTTCGGCAATTGGATCATTGGCAGAAGTATTCTATGACACAAATACATCCTCACATAACAGCTTCGTCTTCATCTTGTAAATTTGGAGATTAACTGTAGCTTAGTTTTGGTAGTATCAGATACCTTAGTATTAGATTTTCGGGCGTATCCGACAATACAACTAGTAGCCATCGATGATTTAACCATTGGCCTGTATTCCTGAATGTTCGAAAGATCATCCCTTAGAATATAGCATTGCGATGGCCAGAAAGTGGTGTTGACGCAATGTGATTTCCGCCCATTGCTCTGAATGCCAAAGTAAAGAAATTTAACCAAGCGGGGGTAAAGGGCGGGAGTAACTATGACTCTCTTAAGGTAGCCAAATGCCTCGTCATCTAATTATTGGCGCGCATAAATGGATTAACGAAATTCCCATTGTCCCTATCTACCATCTAGCGAAGCCACAGCCAAGGGAACGGGCTTGGCAGAATCAGCAGGGGAAGAGTAAAATCTAATCAAAATAAGATGAATATTCTTAATAAAAAAGTAGATACTTTCCGGGTATTACCTCGGTAATCTTTTTTTTACGACATTGATTAATCGGCCACGTTTTCTTTTATAGTTTGATTGCCTTCTGATGGTCGTACCCCAAGTGCCATCTTTGGACATTCAATTAGAAAGGTCATCGCATGTGGCGGTTTCTTCGGGAACATATACTGAAACGAGGTCATGGATTTCGTTCTCAGAAAGAAAACACTCTTCCGTAACACCTGAGATTGGTGTGGAAGGGCATAATCTTAGTTAAAAGGTCAATTACCGCTGATCGGGATGTTGGTATCGAGACAAAGAAAGATTCACTGCTTTCGATCTCGTCGCGTTGTGGTTGAGATTATTGGTATTCTGAGGAAGACACGAATATCTCCATGGCTCCATGTTGACTTTTTTCCGAAGACACGGCTACAGCAATGGTGGGATCGCCGTTAACCAACGTGACAGGCTCCAAAACAGCATTTTTAAGATGCTGTAATGAAAAAAGTCAATTCTCCAAAGTGATTTCAAGTCCATAATCGAACCAGCGATATTAACCACCTCCGAGCATCACCACCGTACTTGGCCGCTCTTCAGACTGCCGATCGGGACCTACGGCCGGAAATGCTCAGACCTCCGAATTTTTTTTTTTTTTTTTAAAAAAAACGTATTTTCTTTTATACCACTTACATGAATATTGGCCAAGACCAGCAGGCCAATATAATTACACCCATGTAAAATGTAACCACTGCTATTCACAGCCTTTGAGTTCCAAAAAAAAATAAAAAAATAAAAACTCAAGAATCCTGCTTATAGGAGGTCGCCCTCCTATAGCAAAGACTAGCCGCAGCCGCAATATCGCAACATTTCTTTTTCGATTTAGCGTCTTTGAAAGAAAACAAGAGTCATTACTAAACTAACCTTTTTACGTTATCAGTTACTTTCATACGATAGAAAAAAAAAGTATGTGAAGGGAAAAGAAAAGGAGAAGAATAAAGTGTGTGAACCAGCTTTTATTTGTAGGCTGATAAACAAGCTTATGTCAGGATGATTTAATTGCTTGTTTCATGATCCATCATGTTTAGGACTTTACTTAAAATAGAAATACTTGCAAAATCTTCCCAAGCAATTCAGAACTTGGTAATTGTTCTATCTGCGTTCCATTAGTAGCTTGTAATGGCAGTGAAGTAGATTTTATGGAAAACAGAAATCGATGATCCTTATGAACTTTAGACGATATGAGATGTCAATCGACGTAAAGACTTACGTGTAGACCATCACGTGATTCTAAAAACGCGTTTAAAAAAAAATACGGAGTTCTAGACATTTTCCCTTGTCGGTCCTCTCGTGATGATTTAGTTTTTCTTTTATTGCCGTTCGGGACTAACAGTCTCCCTCTCCCAAGTGTACATTGAATCACTATATGCTAACAAAGTGTGTGTGTGTGTTTTTTTTTTGCCGTTCAGGACTCACAACCCCTCTTTAACCAATTTATTAAGCTCATGTGTCAATTATTATTGTGACAGTGATAACCTTAAAATGATGACACTTTCACTGTTTTTTGACGACACAGTATTCTAGTAAACAACCACTAGATCTTGATATGAAAGACCCCAAACTTTCTTATAGGACGAATCAATTAGAGGGAACTATCAATACTGGTACTACATCTTAAAACAAGTATGCCGATTATTCAGATATTTTAAAAAAAAACTATGGATAGAATGGACTAGTACCCCCAATTTTAGAGGGTTTTCCATGATCAGATGTATAATTCTCCAATTCATGGAAAAAAACAGTGAGCTCGGCCAACTGATCAAAAGCAGAGGATACAAATCTGTTTACCTTGTTCCTTATTCCCCTGAGCTTAAATCCACTATTGAGCAATTCTGGGTAAGTGTAAAAAAGGAAAAGGTAGCCAGTTCAGAAATACGAGAGGTCTTAAAAACAAGAATTACTGAAGCATACATGCGAACAAGTTCCCAGAAATTACCTACGTAACTTTGCACAGCATTCGGTATTTAAAGACTGTCTGAACGGCATTCCTATATAAATTACAAAAAAAAAAAAAAAAAAAAAAAAATGCAAATTTAGTGATTAACGACGCAAATTGATTTTATTTTTTTACGCAATTATGAGTTTTTAAGTTGACACAAACCTTAAATTTATGCCATCAAAATTAATTGTTTACTATAGAGAGCTTAATCGAAGGGGGGGGGGGGGAATTGCAAATAATGACTTTTTTACTTGATTTTTTTTTTTTTTTTGGGATCATTCATCGGACAAGTGATTACATTACAAAGTTTACTTTATTATTAAATCAAGGGATGACACTACCATCCTAAAATTCACACTGTTTTCTTATTGTTCAAAGTATGGTACAGCGCTTGAGCCACCTCAGATAAGCCATTATAAATGGTTGTGACACAGCCGCGCACGGTTTTGTGAGAATACACACTCAGCTGATATTTTACACATACAAATGTAAAATTACTCAATTGACTGTAAAAACACACAATCAAAAAAAAAAAAAATATTAAATCCTTTTTTTTCCTCAATTTGAATACAAGAATATTTACAAGTCATCGTTTATTACGCCTCTTCAGAAGAAAAAAAAAAAAAAAAAAAAAAAAACGTAAAGGTAGCAACCGACTACAGTTCACGAAGAGAGAAAGCTGGAGGCCAAACAACCTTAAAGATATTCAGTGAATTCGAGTACTGAACAAGACCAACAGCTTAAAGAATGTCGCTTACTGTTATCAGGGCTTACTTTCTGTATTTTTCACCTACAGAGCTTCAAGTCAAAGTTACAACATTATAACTGTGAAACTTCTGCTTCATACCGCCCAAAACTGCTAAGAAATGTTTAGTGCCGCTACAAATATAGGAGTAGATCGCCCTGTGGCTGTTGCGGGCCTTGCAATAAAGAAGACGAGAAGAATAATTCGCTCTTTAAAATAATGTGATAATGAGATTCATAAACCCGTTTTTTTTTCTGTCTCTGTTCCTCTCTTTCTTTTACTTTCACTTTTTTCACTTTCGATAAAATGATTCTTAGATTTTAATTCATGTAATACACTACAACAAAATAAGTTATAGGTGCTAAACTTGAATAAATTTACAATGCTAGTGAGTGTACCCCTCTTATCTTATTAAGAATTGTTAGGTATATTCACCAAGAAATGTTTAAAACATGATGTATCTAAGGTAATTGTGGTTGCCTATGAAGTTTTATACGTCTTTCTGATTTGTATGTTGTTTAGATGCTGAGCACTTCACTGTCAATAACTAGGTATTTTAAAAAAATATAAGGCTAATTGTTTTTAGGCTGTTTTTTTTATTTTAGGCTATTTGTTTTTTGTTTTAGGCTCTTTTTTTTTATTTTAGGCCGTATTTTATCATAGGCTGTTTATTCTAGGTTACTTCTAAGAACTATATGGCTCTTTACCTGTATACATGTAAGTCTGCCAGGCGATTCTGTTGCTTCCTTAGCAGGTTATTAGTATGTGAGTACTGTAAATATCTACACGCGAATAATTCCCTATAGCTTTTAGAGATGACGTATAGTATACTTAAAATTGCTTCCAGTTTAAAATCACAAAATAAATTATTTTTAAACAAAATTTAAACGTCTTTTTTAAACCATATTTCCTATGGAAGCACCATATTAATGTGAACAATTAATAAACTAGTGTTGAATATCAAATGTGTATTTGTAAAAGGGATGCATTTGTAAGAATAATAATGCAATGTACGATTGGTAAAAGGCCCACATACATGTGTAAATAAACAGCGTATAACGGTAAAAAACTACCATTGGATGTGAAAACGCACAACTACTCAATGTGAGTTTTAACAATCATTCATTGTGAATTTACACAAAATGCACCATCATTGATTGCTTAAATCGGCCATTTAAGCAATCAATGATGGTGTATTTTTGGTGTGTTTTAGCAACATTTTACCATTTGGTGCGCCGCTGTGTGACAGAGGTTGTGTATTCGCTCTTCATAATGTTGTATGTAGTATCCCGATCATGATAAGCATTGTCCATAGCAACAGAATCACATGCAAAAAAACGCTTCAGCGCATTCTTGATACGGTTGTCACCACACCATGTGTTTACTTTGGACTTATTTCGTATAACACTTTCGATTTCAAACTTGAACGCTCCTAAAAATTGGACGACTTGATAGGACGCAAAAGCTTTTTCATGTTGAAACAGATGGCCTTGGTATTGCTTAAACTTGGACAACAGATTCTTGTACGCATTCTGAAGCTGATCAAAGCATTGGGTCGTGGTAGCATGTGTGCATGTTTTTATGTACAGTTCCACATTCACACTAGCTTGCACGCGTTCGATGCTTGATCGAATAAGGGCATAGTGTTCCCGGTGGTCTTGAATACTTTTTTTAAATGTCATGGCATGATACGCATTATCATCGGTAATAGGAGCAGCAAAGATAAGATGGTACTTTTCAAAATCCGTCGTTTTTTCGTCGTCGATGCTTGAGATAATACCAGCAGACAATAAATCTTGTTTGGTGAATACATAATTGTTGTTGGAATCTCGTTGAAGCAGAAAATGAATTTTCTTGATTTCTGTTAGTACCTCTCGTATGTGGGCCTCAAAGAAATTGACGTAAACATCCTTGTATTCGGTGTTATAAAAACTGCATATTATATTTTGGAAAAAAGAGATAGCATGTCTCCTTAGTCTATATCCAAATAAACCATTCTTGATCCCGGGAGCAGTGTTTAACATAAAAGAGGGTTTTGAGAATGCATTTATAATAGGGGTTCTGTATTTGTCGCTGACAAGTGTATATTTGACATGTTCATCCACTAGTAGTTCTTGAAAAAAAGTTGTAGCTTCCACATCGGATGGGGTAATGATATAGTTCAATACAAAATCAAAAACATACGAGTCTTGAGATGCACGTAGCGCATCTACCATGATGGAGTCTATAAATCGAAATTTGGACGAAGAAGAGTTGATGTAAAAATGTTCAGGGAATCCAACTGTCATCACAATCAATGTCGATAAAGCTCCAGCCAGCTCTTGTGATTCATAAAAGTTGGGGACACTGTCGTTCAGATAATGAAGTAGAGTATTTAAGCGAGTTAAACGGTGGGTGCTGAATAGCTCTAGTATAATTTTTCTGGAGAACACATCATCGGTGGAGGAAAAGTTTTCTGCAATGGATAGGGATTCCAATTTTATTACGTCTGCTAACTGGGTCCACTTATATAAGATAAAAACGGCATCATTCAGTTTATCGGCATGTAAAGCTCTATTGCTTTTAAGCAGGTGAATGAAATTGCGATCCTCCTTATTCGTATAAAGTAGATTGGTTTTTGTGTAATAGGTGTTTATAAATGCTGATCCAAGTGTACCAATGTATCTCAGAATCGGGGGAACAAAGAATCTGTGAATATGGCTTTCGACATAACGAGCCGCTTTTCTGACGAAGAACCAGCTCCAGTAAGTTCCAGATACACACAATAAAACATGCTTTATCAGATATAAGTAAGTATTGTAGTTGTCATCTAGTCTTCCAAATCCAGAAACATAAGATCGTTCGCTAAATAAAGACATTACAGTAATAAAAGCAGGTGGAATTGGCATAATAGAAAGCAAAGATAATAAATTCGGAGAGAATAAGGAAAAACACATGGATATTTATACATATTTTTCAAAAAGTCCTCTATTCGATTGTATTGCTCTTCTTCCTTTGTTCACAGACAAAAAAAAAAAATTGCTGCATTATACAATTTGTTGTCTATAAAAAGCGGATGGATATTATACTGTGTTGTCCCAATTTTTAATTTTTTATTACTGACAAATGTACCTTAACAAAGGGAAGGTAGTAATACAAAGGAAACAATTGAGGGATCGTATCATCAATTTCTGAATGATCATAATGAAATTTATAATGTAATATGATGTAGCCTATAAGAAGATGCCATTTTTTTTTTTTTTTTTAGTACCCCGTAATTTCTGCAAAAATATGTCACTCCCTAATACTTTTGTTCATTTTGTCTCAATATTTTATACAATACGGATTTGGGGACCATAATGACGAACATAAAAAAATCTTCCGACTTTAAAATGTAAGTCTGCACTGTCTTCTTTCAGAAAGCGATATTGTGTCATAAAAATGAAACCCTTTGCTTAAGGAATAACACCGATTACGTCTGGCGAAGAATATTATTGAATAAAGACTACCCCCAGGGGCGGTATTGTCTACACTTACATAACTTTTACTCTTGTTAATGATATATTGTGGCCAGGACAAATAAGTTATTGCCATTAAACCGCCAGTATATGGGTTTAGGCTTTTTTTTTTTTTTTTTAAATATACAGTATATAATGATAAACCTGAGAAATAAACTTAGTAGACAACTACGATTATTTTATTACATGCTCTAAAATTTCATGTGATACATGCAGAGAAAAATGGAATTGATATATTGATGAGATTTCTTGTCTGAATATCATTTACTCGTATTGAAACCCTAATTTTCGAATGAAGTAAAACAAGCCCAATCAACGTGACTGTCGGACGCATTAGTCCTTTTTTTTTTTTTTTCAGTGAAATGACAAGCACTGTTAAAAAAAAACACAAATCTTAATACAATGGGTAGATTTGATAAAAAAGGAGCAAAAGGAAAGCCAATTTCAAAAAAGAAGAAAGAGCCCGAGACGTTCGATGAGTGTATGGAAGGTGAATAAGAATGCTGATTAAAAAAAGACATGCAGTCGTGTCACTAAAAAACAAAGAATTGTAGAGGCTATTCATTTTGAAGAACAAGGCGAGCGTTATCAAAGTGGAGAGAGATCTCAACGTAATTATGAAAGGGCTGCCGAAATGTACGGAAAAGCTTTCGAGTATAACAGTACGGATGCTGATTGTATTTATAACTGGTAAAAAAAAAAATAGTCATTCATGTCAAACAACAACAAAATACGTGTTGGTGGTAAACTGACTCTTTTTTTCTTCGTCCATGATTTTCATTAGGGGACGTGTTTTGTTCCTTTTAGTCAATTTCTTACCTTCTCATGCTTCGCCCGAAGAAAAACTAGAGAAGGTAGATCAATCCATCGAAAAATTCAGAACTGCTTTAGAATTGGAGAAAAACAAGACGGACGCACAATTTAATTTAGCGCAAGCACTTCATCAGAGATCAGAAATTTTACAAGAGACAACCGAAATCGATCATGCGTATGCTGATTCAGCCAGATCGTTGCAAGAAGCCATCGATTTGTTTGATAATGTTTATATCTTGCAAGAGAAAGAGTTCTTAGAACAATCTGCACCCGATGAAAACGATGAATTACCCACAGAAGAAAATCACGTTCATGATAGCAATTGCCACCACGAAGATGATAATATAAAAAAAGAGATCAAAAGTGAGGATGCTTCCAAAACCGAAGAAGAATTTACGACAGTTACCAAGATGGAATCCACTACTGCCTATTCTCTCATCGAGACACTTTTATCCACTTCAGAAACAATGACAACGATGGCATCCATGCTTGCTTCATTCCCTGCATCCATGGATTTATTCAGTCGTGCCAAAGCAAAGTTAGGTCTTGCCGAAAAATGGTTATCCAAAATGCCTTCGGAATCTAGTCCTGATGATACGGTAGATGCCGAAAAGGAAAAGAAGGATGCACGTATTCAAATCAACCTGAAAGAAGCATCCACGCATGCGGCCATGGCCGATCGTACTTTTATTGCCACAAACAATGTTGATAGCTCTTTATTCGGAAAGGCAATAGATAAACTGGATGAGATTGTGGATAAATATGATCCTCGTCATGTGGAGGCTATGTGCGATCGTGGTGATATCTTGACTTCTTATGCTCAAGCCATCATGGAGCTGGCTAATAAGAAGAATTTGCCATTGATCCCCGAAGGAAACGGTAAGGAGGTGTGGCAATTACTTGCTTCCGCTACAAAATCATTCCAAGCAGCTCTAGCGATCGAACCAAAGAACTTGAGTATCTTGAACAAAATGGGTGACTTGAGTTTGATCCGGGCTTCGTTGGATTTACCCATTGCCGAAAGAAACAAGCTTCAGCTTTTGAAAAACGCACAATTTTATTTCAAACATTCAGTTGAGGTGGACAAGGAGGTTCTGACAAGTGGGTACATTGGCTGGGCAATGAGCGAATGGGCCCTTGAGGAATGGGCTGAAGTGAGTGGTAAAAAGCAAGACGCTCTCAAGATTATTCGCGTCTGGATTAAACGCGGTGGCAATGGCTCATTATTTAGAAGTTTGGCCGAAGATAATGAATCTTGGGACGAGGATTTTGTAGAGTTTATTATTGAAACTTTCTTTTCTGATGATGAAGAATCAGAATAAATCCTATTGTATTTAATAAATAGAAAATGTACTTTTTTCCCTTGTATAATAATCCAATGCACCTATAATCATGTTTCAGGCTGATGCAATGTATAAATTACTTGGCAACTAAAAATTATCTTAGAGTTCCAATGCACACAACGCGAAACTAGGGAGTTATAAAATAAATTCAGGGCCACATTTAAATCAGAAGCTTTCTCAAAAAGAACAATTTGACAGCTTAGTAACTGCTGTATATGTTCGGCTTTGGAGGTCCCAATACTTGTGTGAGCCCTGTACAACTAAAATCGTTCTCGGATCTTGTTTTTCCTCAATTAAAGTTTTAATCGATAAACGAAATCGATCAGATTATGGTAAGCTCAGAGCATATGTTTGAAGACTAAAGCTATCCGACTATGAGTACCAAGCTTTGCGTTTAAAATAAAAGTAATTAAAACTTTGATTTGTGACAGAAAAAAAAAATTCCATATCTAGCTTTTAAGTAATTTGTCATCGCAGCCCATCCTGCCTTTTGCTTACAGGTACGGATTTTTTTTTTTCTATCAAGTTATTGTATTCATTCATTCTCCCTTTACAAAGTATCACAAATGAAAATGTTCTACTTGACAGCCCAAGACTATTGAGATGGTGAACGCTTACTTTAATTTTTTCTAGATACATAATTATGAGCTGTCAATAAATTTCTTAAATCAAAAAAAAATAAAACGCTAAATAAAAACGCTTGACCATAGATTTTCGGCGATACCTTAGATCGTTCTACGAAAAAAAAAAAAAAAAACTCTTAGTCCGATGCCACGCTATTAGATTATCATAAATATGTAAATACAAATGGACCAGGAATTCGAACTTTTTTTAGTATTTTTCATATACAAAAGTATTTCTAAGAAACAACCCGTTTTCCGTTTTGGGTCCTACAGAGAATAGGGGGAGTACAAATTATGGTATTACTGATAAAAAATATTATGAACTCAAAAATGTTGCCATGGAAACTCAAAAATGTTGCCATGGAAAAAAGAAGTAAGTGGTCTGAATAAAATCGCTACCGGATATCTGCTAGAAGATGTGAAAACCTGTCAGGTGCTCACCAGTTCACAAGCCATAATGTATGATGATGTCCAAAAGAGAGCATTAGCGAGGGATTCACTTTTCTATTTCAAACCAATTTGTTTATAAACACAGCCTCGAACTATTATTTTTTTATATTTTTTTCGCAGTGGTTCAGTCATTGGATAGGACTCCCAATCATACATGTGCTACACTTGTTTTAAGTAAAAAAAAAAGAAAAGAAAAGAATAGGATACTGTTTTCTTTTTTAAATAATACTGAACAATCATATCCAGTCTTTTTTTTTTTTTTACAAGTTTTTTTTAACTCTTTAGTACCGTAAATATTTTCGGCTTTTGCCTATTTCGGAGAATCATCCCCTAAGCGTAGATTTGGGGAGTAAGAAAGGATTGCAAATAAATATCCAGTGGTACGCCATCAGAACAAGCAATGTCCCTTTTCAACTGACAGCTCTATCACCCCCTTTTCCTTCTCTGTAAAATATAGATCACTATGTAATCAAAGGAGATCATTATGTAATCAAAGGAGATGGGGTTTTAAAACGATAATTACCTAAATTATTAAGCAATTGAAAAACTAGAACAAGAAGTACTTTTTTGGGGGGTGGAGAGGGGGACCAGAGGAGGCCCGTCTTTGAAAGACAATTAATCGCCCATTAGAGGCTTGTGTGACATACCTGGGGGGGAGGGAGGAAAGATTTTTTTTTGGCGGCAGCCAAAAAAAAAAAAAAAAAAAAAACGAAGAATGCAAAAAAAATGCTGCCAGTGTTCATTAATGAATAAAATATTTATTTTTTAATCTATTGCTGGGAAAAAAACAGTATATACGTACATATGCTGTCACGGGGATCAGAGTTTAGTTTTTTTGTTGGGTGTTACACCATTGATTTTGTATAAAAGCCGTAACGAGAGATGCAATAAGGAGCCTTTTTATCTGCTCCTTATATTAAAACTTTTGCATCTTTTGTTACAGGTAAGATTAAATAATAAAACACATCTGCTCCTTAAATTAAAACTTTTGCATTTTTGTTACAGTTATAAGTTCATTTCAATTTTAATTCAAGAATCCAATTACATTTACTATCAAAGTTAATATCCCCGCAACAATGCTATTTAATAATATGTGCATGAATGATATTTATTCGACAGATAACGAAAAGGTTGAAGGCATAAGGTTGAAGGCATAAGGTTTAAAGCATAAGGTTGAAGTCATAAGGTTGAAGGCATAAGGTTTAAAGCATAAGGTTGAAGGCATAAGGTTGAAGGCATAAGGTTGAAGGCATAAGGTTGAAGGCATAAGGTAAGGTAAGAAGCATGAATTTGAAGCATAAGTTGATAGATTATTTGCATGTTTGATATATAGATCGGCTTAAATATTTGTACATTTTGTTCTGTTCATATTTCCTGGACACTGCTCGCGTTTACAAATTTGACAGATCCTTACTCTCTTTGCACGCTTTATGGGAGGACCATTTTGGGCTGTTGTTACTTGTGCTGGCTGGATTGACCGGTATGGCTGTTCCTAGATTAGATAGTGGAATTAGTATAACATAGTTTAATTGATGGTAACTTCTCTTACAGTAGGAGAGCTTACAGATGTGTAATTATATGGGGTAGAAAAAAATTGAGGAGATATGGTAACTTGTTGTTGTTGTTGTTGTTGTTGTTGTTGATTTGGAAAATAATTTGTATTAGCATTTTTTTGAGGTATCATTGGATTAAATACGAAATTAGAGATATATTGGTGAGGTTGATTACATGCAACGTTTAAAGAATTTGGGGAATTGATGGGTGGGATACTCGTTAAATTTACTGCATCTGCACCTGAAGATCCTGAAGATAAAGGATGGGAGAAATTGTGATGATTTGTTACAGAGGCATTAGGGATTATGTAAGGTCGCTCTGGGACCTGTACCCGTATGTTTGTAGTAGTATTTGTTTGTTCTATTCTAATCTTGACGGTGCTCAACAAGGTTTCAAATTTATTTCTGGATTCAGCAGCATCTCTAAATTTTTTCCATTGGCTGTAATACAGTTTTAAATGCTCTGGCGTCTTGTAAAATACTGTCATTCCATTTACTGAAAGTTCCTTGTCATTTAAGTTGGAGGTATTCCAAGCTATAGCAATACTTTTGAAATTAGGCAAAGAGTTAGACTGTGAGTGATGATCAAGGAGCATTTTGTGAAACATATGTTTTTCCTCGTTAGTTATGACTGGAAGGACTGCATATAAGGCCTGCTGCAAACTGGCAATATATTTGAATCTTGCAAATTTGACACGTAATGTTGAGCCTACTGTATGAAAGTAGATATTCTCTATACTAGGAATAGTTGAATCACGATCTGGATTATAGACTGTCTTACTGGGATTGGAACCTAAAATAAAATTGTTATTTTTTGTTTTTTCGAGTGAGCTTCACAATAAACGTACATTTCTCTATACATAGTTTCTCCATAACATCAGTGGGCAGAGGACATATACCAAAACTCTCGTCAGATCCTTGATATTGAGTTGAGTTCAACCCAATTGCAATCTGGTTAGCGTCGGTTGGAAACTCCAGTAATAATCGCTTTTCGTGAATTATTTGTGTCAGCCATGGATCATAATGAGAGCGGTAATTTCGAAGGTATCTGTTGGCTGTACCCACCTAAAATTTATCACAATATATAAAATAATTAGGTACATATTAAAACATAAAACCTTCAAATTGACACTTACGTCCAAATTGTGTCTCATTCTGAATTCTGCGAGAGCACTATCTGTTAAAGCAGGACCAGCACCATACGAACCAAATTTCTTGATTATGTGTCTGTGTATGCCACCTTCAAGTGAATTTGTTCCACGCAAGCAATGATACTTTGTAAGGCCATGTTTATCTACACCCATGTTGAGGTATAAAACAACATCAGGAGGGTCGGAAACGTGACCAAGATTCACTGAGTGTAATATATTGGCTGCTTGGCTCCATGCAACTTTGTCAAACAAACAACTTCCTGTAACAGAACATTTCAAGGGACCAAATGTGAGGAATAGCGTTTTGAGTTGCGTAAAAAGAGAAGAAGGCTCACGGACTCTTCTCTTAACTCGTTTCCATACCCACTCAGAATCATATTTCAGCTTTTCATCCCAGGTTGTATGAAGCTTTTCATTCAAGACCTTTTCAACTTCGGCTTTGTCTTCAGCATCCAAAATCAATAGCGTATCACGAAATCTTCGAGAAAATTCAACCCGCAAACCGTGATTGGATGGTGTTTTAATAAGATCCATAAGATGAAAAACATCTTTTATAACTCGGCTAAACACCCTATTGTCGTGGGGAGCGGAATTTAGGTTGTTAATTGGCATAACTTTTTTGTAACCGTACTCAAAATTTTCTCGATCAACATCAGAAATACAGTCATCAAACATGTTTTTCATTACTTCTGAAATATCCTCTTCTCCAGTCTCTTGTAAATCCCCAATTTCGTCTTCATTTTCTACCACACTTTCATCTTGAGTATTATTGCTGCTATTCGATCTGGTGCTATTTATGCAACCGTTGACGAATTCCGCAGAATCAGTCTCTAAATCAGCCTTCAAAACTGGTAACTTGAATGGTACCGGGAGATACGAGCCCAACGGCCTACCATTATTTTGACTTTTGCGAGGTGTCTTGGCGATGCCACGTGGTATATATCCAGGTGCTGATACATGTAAAATTGTAACAATGACCCGACTTGCAATTAAGTAATCCGTTGTGATTTGAAACTTTTCCCTGTCTTCAGCGGTTTGCTCGTCTACTCTACCAAGTGCAACATAACTACTCGAACCTTTCGGTCTAAATCTCACATAGGTTCCAGGGACAACAATATTACCAAAGGAGAGACGTGTTCCAACTTCCGGTAACGTTACAGCCTTTTCGTAAATTTTCAAAGAAGCCCAAGCATCTATAGCAGCATATTTTTTTTGAACTTCTGACAAACAAGATACACTCCAGTCTC